CTGCTGCTGATGTCGTCAAGCAGCGCCTGGTGGAGCCTGCTCGGAGTTGCCGAGCCGTATGTCTTTCTAGGGGCCGGGGATTTGAGCACGCCGCCGGTGGTCGTCTTTGGGACGGCCACAGGCGTGTTTGGGGGCCTATCGTGGAAGAGTGCCATCCGGCTTGTGAAAAAAATTCTCTTATGCCTTGGCAGAGATAGTTGATTACTGAAAGAAGTGCCTGCTTTAGTGCAAATATTAAGGTTGCGCCCTAACAGCGGGGCGCCAAGAAAAATAGTTGTTTTTGTGAGGCTCGTGAAATGAAACATATAGACACGGGCATCTAGTCATCCACTCTGTGAATACAGCAGGAGGACAAAAGAGTGCAGGCCCTACAGAGTTAGCCATCAACCTAGCTGACTATAAAGGAGAACAAGCAGACATCATTCTGATGCAAGAGCCCTGGGTCGGCATTCCACCAGGCAGAAGAATGGGAGTAAAGACACACCCCAATTACGATATATACTCCCCAGACGCACCCAGGAAATATAAGTGAAGTTCCCGACGCAACATGCGAATGCCCTACCTGTCTGGCCTTGGGAGGGGCCATATGAAGGTTGATCCGTGCGTCGCCAGCCAGCCAGGAGCTCTGGAGAGACCCGACCAGGAGCCAGCCAGCCAGCCAGGACAGTCTTAGCGCCGGAGCGGGATCAAGAGTCTCCGCACCAATCAGATCGCACGGCTTAACGAGAGGTCGCACCCCGGAAGAGTCGTGGGTGCCGTTTCGTTCTTCCACTTCGTTCTGGAACTTTACTTCCACCACACATTCATGGGACTTATCAGAATACATGTAAAACACCTTACGCACTGTTTGACAGTAGAAAGGATGCAAGCTTTCAGTTTGATTTCGTCTACCCTCCATGGACGATGAGTACAGAAAGTGACGACGGTCGACAGGGGCTCGGGTGGCAAAAAAATGCGCTAAGTAAGGGTATCCCAGCGCATATCAGGATGACAATTCGTTCAAACTTTCAAACCCTCGTTGGCTCTCCCGGCACTGTGACGGAACGCTCACCATAACCACCATGCCACGGCTGTTCCTCCCAAAAGGATGTCGAATATCAAGCGTGGCAGCTTGACATTCAATGGTGGTACATGTACTCATGTCCTGGCTCCAGGACTCACCACATGGGCTACCTGTACCAGACCATAACAGGCACAGCCGTTCGCCATCAACAAGATGAAGCTGAATTCACAGCTCAGTAGTCTTCCCGAAGACAGTGGTCCATTGGGGTCGGAAGTGCTTATAGCCATATCAGAGCTTCAGGCGTTGATTCTCAAAAGTAGGGGCAGCGTAAGGGCATCTCGTGGGTGAGCAGTCAACTCCACCCTGTAATAACCGAGAATCTATATATCAATGTTACGTCGTGCATACTTGACGATCTGAATAGGCGGCGGGCTATTTTTGGTGTATTCTAATTATACCGGGAGGCGATATCTAGGCTTAGGGGCCCCTAATAACTGGGGCGCGGTAAGCATCTCCATCCTGAACACTTATAGGTGACAATTCGGTATGGATATCACTGACCGAGCAAGAGTGCACATCCTGAGACCAGCACACTGGCTACCAATCGGCATGAACGAAGGATCCTATCCCTTGCTTCTTGGTTGCACAAATAAGTTACCTGCGTCATGGGCTAATTGAAGAGTTGTAGATGTGACAAGTAAGTACGGCGGGTCGTCCAACGTTATAAAGCGGCGATGTCTACGCTGTCTGTGCTGTCCCCGAGGTCAGTTTGAGCCCCAATCACACATCTTAGACACAATTTCGAGCTGCAAATCCAAGGACCTCCGCCAGAGCCTCTTGCAGTAAAAGCCCTTTAAAGAGCATGCTTCCTCGGAGCCTAGTTGCAGTCCTTGCTGTCTCGAGCGGATTGGGCGTGCAGGGACGGATCCGGATCGTGCAATCAAACGATGACGGCTGGGCACAGATGACCATCCGGGCCGTGTATGACACGCTTTCGAAGGCGCACGATGTCATCATCTCTGCGCCCGCAGATGACCAATCAGTCAAGGGTAAGTTCGGCGGCAACGCCCATCAATACTCGACATGGACCGCTGCTGACTGCTCGCAGGGGCCAACGATGCGTTCCCGACCAAGAGGTACAAAGCTTGCCAATTCCACAGCTGCGAAGGCAATGGCCAGCGATTCGGCAGCGCGCCCGAGTCCGAGAACATGCGCTGGGTGAACAGCTTCCCAGTGACCTCTGTCCGATACGGCATAGAGACGTTCGCGCAGGAGATCTGGGGCAACGACAAGGAAGCCGAGCTCGTTGTGTCTGGGCCGAACTACGTCTGGAACACGGGCAAGAACATCCGACTGTCTGGCACCGCCGGCGTCGCCGTCTATGCAGCCAGCAAGAACGTGCCCGCCATTGCGGTCTCCGGCGAGCACTTCGACAGACACAGCTACAAGGCTCCTAAGCCCCCGCTAAACTGGCCCGGCGTGTATGCCGAGCTGGTGCAGAAGCTCGTCGATACACTCGATAACCAGCGGGAGGACGGGAAGCCCGTGCTGCCGACAGGCGTGTGGCTGAACGTCAACATCCCCGCTGTGACGGACGAAGACGAGCTGGGCCACTGCGAAGAAGCGGACAAGTTCACCTGGGTGCTGAGCAGGTCCAATATCAACTCGACTCCCGTGGTATGGCGTAAGAAGTTTAAGAACGGAGACAGCGACAGCGACAGCGACAGCGACAGCGACAGCGAGGCATGCAAGATCGGCGCATTGCCCCTCGAGCAGAAGGTGTTGATGTCCGAGAAAAAGCACTGCCAGATCCCCATTAGCATTAATTGGGTACCCAAGAACCGCAATTTCGAGATAATAGACCGGAAAAAAGAGTTCCCCGACTACGCCAGTAAAGTGGGACTGACGGGCGCAGAGAAATGGCCAGGAGTCTACTCCGAGTCTGCGTCTGAGGACATCCAGAAGGAGGTGAAGGAGAAGCTGAAAGGTCTTCGTGAGTACATCCAGGCCGCTGTGCCCCTTCATCTGCACCATTTGTTAGAAGCCCAGACCGTCGCTACTGGCATCCTTGGTCCTTGCAAGCAATGTTTCCTTATGACACCATGGCAAATGCCGATTAGAACACATGCTATAGCCTTCCTTGAAGGACCAGATGGATGACCCCAAGGTCATACCGCCGCAACAACGGGGATGGGCCCGTGAGCGGGACTGACTGTACTTATTATCTTGAGACCTCCACAACCCTGCGATGCAGAGGCTCTGGGAGGCGTGGTTTGCACTACTGAGGAGCTACCCCCCACGTTAAATACAAAACAAACAAACAAACAAACAGAACACATGCTAACTCTTAAGCACACAGTTTCCTGTAGCAGCTGATGAAAGCTACTGCAGCACTCCTGGGGATCATAGTAGAGAGAGGGATGTATAAAAAATGTATAGTATTGTATAGTAAATGCATTTCGTTGCGTTTGGGTCTCCATACATCCTTGATGGCATCGTCCAATTTACCTGCTAGGTGTACTTTAGTCGCATGCTCGACGTTTGTGGGGAGTGCCATCATCTTATATCTTATCATCCCTCTCGGTGATAGTAGATGACAATGCATGTTTTAACTTCTGGCAGTCCACGTCCAACACCGCTTCCATCTCTCTGTTACGGTACAAGTACATTGTACCTCCACATGTACCTATATATATGGGAGGCCCACCTTTCACCTGAAGCGGCCTGCCTTCTTCCTTCTTCCTTCTTCATACATCGGTGAATCTAGCTTTATCTATCCATCAGTCCTGACCAGTTGTACTGCAGGCCTGATCGTCACACTCTCAACGTATCCCAGTCGACCCATCGCCTTACGCCCGCATATGGGAACCTAAGTTTACGAGTTAAAGTTCTAAGACAATCTCTGCGTGCACTAGCTTCATCAGCATGGAGCTGCTATTTCCTCCTGATGCACGATTCCGCTTCTGCATGCGTCCCATACGGTGTTCATTACCACGCACCACGATGACGCCCTAGTGGCTGGCCGTCACACGCCGGGTGGCTTGAATAGTTGCCTGAGAAGTCAAACAAACCAATCCTAGCATATAAGTCCAGAAAGGGGAGCGCAGAGACACAGCCCAATTCCTCAAAACTCAAAACTTTATGCTTGTGTATGTGAGAATGGCACCAAACTGAACACAGTCCAGTAGTAAGTACTTGCTTTAGCCATAAATTTATTCAAGAATCTCAATGTCTTGGCAATCGGGGCCCCGGCATCCTTTTCTGTGCACTTGGGGGGGAGTGGGTGATATCTGGCGTTATTGTTCCTCGCACACCCTTTCGTGGAATTGTTGGATTCTGGGCTACGTTAGCCCATCCATAGTCATCCTTCAGGATCACCATTCCCATCTGTGACTCTGTCACATACGTGGCCACATAAGGCCACGTATTCTTTTCCTCTAGTATCTTGGATATATAGGGCCACTCTGGCCGCTCCAGACTAGCTGGTATTCCTCTCCTTAATAGAACACTTTGAAATCTCACAGGAATATATTACTAGGTGGAAAGAAGCTGAATCATCGTGTTGCTTTGCAAGGCAATATACTTTTACTGACAGCATGCCACAGCACATTCATGCGTTTTTCAAACGTCTCTCTAGTCAATAACAGGGCAGTGGGCAGCGGCTATGGCTTAGGCTATTAGATTCCGCATTGTGTGTTAAGCGCCACCGATGACAATAGGTGTTGGATAAATTTACATTGTCCTGTGTATTATCACACTCCGCCAAGTTCAATAGCTTCCCATTGTGGATGATTGCCATTGATTGACAGTCCTAGGTACTCATATATTTCTATGGACCACCTTTTCCTCAAGTCCCCACCTTGTGCTTTCTCCTGTTGCCAACCTTCCCAGGCCGATCTGATCAACGATACCAGCCACCACTTTCACACATCAAGTTTTCGACAGCACCACACACACAATCTACAGCTACCTTGGTCATCCACCCATCACAACAAGCATGGCACATATTCCTCCTCACGACAAGGCCGGCGCCGTAAGTTATAACCACCCTCCCCATGAGTTTTCTGGTCAATGCTGACAGGCATGAAGCGGGTCAAGAAATACTCAGGGATCAGTCCAAACTACAGAAGGGACCTTGGCGTGGCGGCCAACTTACCGGAGGCTGTGAATGACAAAACCAATACTTCATTGTGGATCACGGAACTCCCTCTCATCACCACCTACTCCGGCTTTCTCGCCGAGGTCAGGAACAAAGGCCCAGTCAAATCGCTCCATATTAATGGTCCAAGCCTTGAACACCCTAACACGTCAGCTGCGAAGCTCGTGTTCTTTGAACATCAAGCAGCCGCTCAGGTTCTGGCAGAAGCCGCAAGAGGAGAGTTTTAGGTCCCGGGCTCCAACCCGAAAGTTGGTTGGAACCGGTACGGAACGAGCACACAGCCTCCGAACGGCCAAAGCCGGGTTTTTAGAATTGAGGGTCCCGTTGCACAGATCTCCCGAATGCAGCTGGGGGCTCTTTGGGCCCCCAATATGTTTTGGGAGAGCGGGCGTTTGGAGACGCGGCCTTCGTGATTTATAGAAGAGATCGCTGCTCTTAATAGACAACAGAAGACCTCTTTGAGAGAAGCTAACTAAGAATGGATTCTTAATCAGGATTCGACCCGCCAGGGATGTTAAATATTTGTTAATACTATATTTTTTAAATAATTCGTTAATATATCTTTATAATATACGAACTATAGTTTAACTTACTTTTTTATTAATCAAGGCTTTTAATTTAACATAGCTGACAAGTGAGTTGGCATTACGAGCAAGTTGGTACTCGTTATAAACTTTCTAACCAACACGATTCAAACCATGATATTTCCACCAACAATAATGGCACCGCGTTATAACAAATCAGACTTATAGCTAGCTGTCCAAGCTAAACAACGTGACCCTTGTATTTCTATATTTCAGCTTGCGAATGTCTTTAACATCCCTTGTTTCACTCAGAGCAATAGAATCAGAGGAATGCTATCATGACGCTACAGCATACCCAATACTTTGAAACTTACGGTTTCCAAAGAGAATGCCATTATTTCCTTCATTCTTGACCTGGATGCGCGAGAATTTCCACCCTGGCATAGTTATGTTGAAGATATGGAAAATCGATTGTTGGCAGTGCGTGAGGCTGGATGCGTTAAAAAGGACTGGAAGGCGAACTTTATCAAATGTATATTAGGCCTCCGGACGCGTTTTTACCGGAGAATGGACTACCATAGGGTCTTGAACAAAGATCTAGACGCGTATCCCGCATGATTTTGCTAAGTTGCGGCGGCAATCACGAAACATAGTATCCAAGACGTGGATATTTATAACTTTGATGAGACTTGTGACGGCCTGCACAGACCTTCCCACATGACAAGTGGATACTTCCTAATAAGGGAAGGATCTGACCAGAGGATCCCCTTAAAGGGGCAACCTCCCACTGTACCTATCTCTCTCTCTCTTCCTTTCCTCTCTAGTCTTGATATTCTCGTCAATAGAGTAATAGCTGCTTGCTGCCGGCCATACGCTTATTAATTTAAATAAAAAGTTTATAGACCACTATCATAAAAATTCCAAAAAATTAACTATAAACGGATTTATTAAGATATTACTTAGGGAAAACAGTAGAATTCTTTTTCAATACATTTAAATAATAAATATTATCTTTATTTTGTGACGTCCTGCACGGACCTTCCTACATGACAATCTGGTACCTCCCAATAAGGGAAGGATCTGACCAGAGGATCCCCTTAAAGGGACAACCTCCCGCTGTACGTATCTTTCTCTCTCTTCCTTTCCTTTCTAGTCTTGATATTCTCGTCAATAGAATAATAGGTGCTTGCTGCAGGCCATATCCCAGATTCCTAGTACGCTCGCCCTGACATATTTTAGGATAAATACAAATTAATTAAAAGCTTGAAAGATTATCAACTTTGTAGGAACAGGCTTGAACGATCAATCATAATACTCGAGTATGGGGTCAAGGTCATGATGTTGCTGATGGTTGGATTGGGAGGTCTAGCTGGACTTGCAGGTCTGGCTAAGTGTCCTCACAATCCGGTATCTAATCTCTTATCTAATCATACATGTGGATCCGGTACGAATGGTTTGAAGGTTGGAATCGCATGGATCCAACAAACTTAAATATTAATTTAAATATGAGATAATGATTAACGGATTTCTTACGCCACAAACCTTAGATTTTTATCTTAAAACGCCTTTATTAAATTAATGTATTAAATAATACGTAAGTTATAATAGCTTTTAAGAAGGTGATAATATATTAATAAGGCGTTTAAGCTTTCTACTATGCTATAACACTTCCAAGGTTTTTTTTTTTTTTTTACATAATAACAATCTATTAAAAATCACTAGAATATAACGTTTTGAACTATATAACCTACTTATTTAATAAGAGAATTCTAGCTGCTTGCGGTTTGAGAAAGGCGTGACGGCTAACTAAATGCAAGCGAGAGCGCATTTTGTTCGATAAAGTCATCGATTGGGCTACTTGCCGGTCCTAAAACATGAGTTAATTGTGATTGCAATCTTGAGGCGAACCGAAATGAGCATACTCGTGGGGACATTCATGATGTAGCAGACCCTTATCTTGCCTTCGGCACACGGATCATGTCTGTACACCACAGACACAACGCCGGGGTATGCGTCTTCCAGTGCCTTCTTGGCCTTTGCTGCCTGATAACTCCAACGCCCGAAGTAGTACCAGACCACACACAGCGCCCATCCACAATTTCGCCAATATCGGTAATTCGATCTATATCCCATTAGAAGGATTGCGCCCAGAAGGCTTCCAGTATCACCTGATTAACGACATGCAAAGGCCCTTCGATGCGTAAGACACGGGATCTGCCCTGCGGGGGGTCTTCTCGCGTGGCGACTCTGTTCCACTCTGCCGTAGCAGCCTGACTTCTCACGATAAACTGGCCAGCTCGCGCAATATTGAGCAGACGTTCGGCTGGCGCATCCTCAAAGAAGACTAGCTTGGCCGCACACGCCTCGGGGTGAGTGTCGTTTGGGGCGTTGACATGGTGGGCTTTGATGGCATCAATGCGTCTGATGGAGCTAAAGATGTCGGAGTGTGATGTTTGAGAGGGTAGGTTGGTGATCCATAATGATGTGTTTGGGTTATTGCCGACCTGCTGAGGAATGTTTTCCGGATTGTGTGGGTTGCCGCGGTAATTGCCGCTGATAGTAATCGTGGGCTGCGGAGGCTGCAATAAGGGAGGAGGTTAGCACCAATGATCATGATAGGGGACGGCCGACTTACGTGAGGGACGAGACGCTCCATCTTTGACCTCAAGATGAATGCGTTGGAAAGACTACAGGCAGAGTGTTGGTGTGATGATATGTGTTTGATTCTGCACATTGAAATATATACGTGGTTCGTGACAATGGAGCAGTAGCTCACAATGATTATGGCCTTTGCATTGTTCTATTGTATCATCTAACTTATTCCACTGTCAGCATCTTGCAGGACTTGCGTAGTGAGAACATGGTGCAGGCAGGGCGGTCTCTTGGCAAGACTCCACTTATCCGTCCTCTCAGTTTAACTCTAGGCGTATATTTTCTTCACTCGATAATCATGGAGGTGGAATTTGCGAAAGCAAATTACTGTACCTAGGATATCTAAGATATTGGGCAATGAGTATATTGTAGAAAATGATAAAATTCGGTCATCCTGATTTCCCCTTATTTGGCCGACTAAAAGGAGTGGACTGGAGGCCCTGGTACCCTCGCCCTTATGGAGGTATAAATTGACTTCGGAAGCCAACAACGCAAAATCCATGTACGTAGCTAGCATACGAGATTGATAGATAGTTGCTGGACCGCTTGTCATGTCACATCGCCCGAGTGGCCCGCAGGCGGGCAGCTGCTTCGCAGCAAAGTTCGCAGACATAAAAGACTGCAACCAACCAACCAACCTTATTTGGCCGACGCAAGCTATCTAGTTGGCCACGCGTGATCACAGCTGACTCCCACGCTTCGTGGGACCGACTCTGATGCTCACCTCGCATTCATTCCTCCCGGAATTCTGTTTTCTAGGTTAGGTGAGCCGCTGTCCGCCACTTGTGTCGACTAGAACTTCACAGAAGTCGCTACCTCTGTGGATGCCTTTGGGAGCTCAACCTTGCCCACGATTGGTTCATGACATGAAGATTGTGTGATGGTCTAAGAACATCAGATCGCATGGACCAGTAAATTCAGGATTCAGGAATCCACGTTCTTCTGCAGGAACCGAAATACGACCATAACGACATCATTGATGTTCTGGTACGGTATACAACTTTCTCGATTGTAGGTAATTACTGCGGGAGGGGGAAAAAGAACCATCCACTGAGTTACTATGAATAATTAAATGACGATTAGATGGGAATATAGTGAAAGAAGGATGGTTTGTTGTTGGTGAAAGTCTTGAGAACGGTGAGTATAGAATGAAAGATCATGAAGATCGACGGCCTACTTCTGATTGGCTGCGGGGCAAGTCCCATCCTCGTAATATAATCCATACGTTCGCCGTGTTTGCGTTAGTTCCTATAGCGGAAGATCGTCGAAATGAACGTCCGTGTACTCAGTTCGCCGTAAATTCGACGGTTAAGAGCTTAATTGGCTCAAGTTTGAGAGACTTTGACCGACCCGTTCGCAAGGCTGATAATCCGATGATACGGTCGCGAAATGTGCCACATGCGTCTTGCGGTTCGCGCCTATCTTCGGGGAAAGCAAGCAAGAGATGACCGCCAGTATGGCTCTTCCGTTGTGTACTTGGTGTTTTGCAGGCGGCACCTTAGCCAACCCATCCAGATACCCAGGAGATAGCGTGGGCCAAAGATGGCTTGGCAGAGTAGATACCTGAGGCACACAACTAGTGCAATTGGAGAAAGATCAGAGTTTTCTCTCCTGTGTGTACCGGTAGTATGCCGATTGTGTACTCGGATGGTTGTGGGTGAGCAAGAGGATAGATGCCTGCAGATACCCAATCAAGGCAGACGAGTACGCTCAAGCTTCCTAGCAGGAATGTCATGATCGATGTGGAGAACAAGTTCCAAGGGTAGAGTGTAATCATACGCAAGGGCCCCGGCCATAAATCAGGTCGACTTCATCCGGGAACCGACGTTCGAGCTCCTGCTTCGCCATTCTGGCCTGGTGGTCCCGTCGTGCGAAGTAATACCAGACGACAGATCAGCGATCGCGGATCTTCCCCACGTCAGTAACCCTGTCGACATTCATCAACACTATTAGATAAGAGAAGCTCCGAGGTGCTCGTTGTAATCTAGAGGTATGTATTAGGTCTATAACTTACAAAAACTACCTGATATGAAGACGACTGCGCTTGCACGTCACCTGGCCATTTACTCGGTTTTATTACCGCAGTCAGTTAGCAGCTGACTCACCAGGGCTGTAACTCAGACAATCTGGCAACAAACAACAATTCCAATACGTTTAGTCCAAGGCAAACTGACTGCCTTCCCACCGGTACTCCTGAAGGAGCCTAGGCGAAGTAGTGGCACTTCACTAACCTCAGTTGCTGATGTCTCTATTCAAGGGATACGATGTTGTGATTTAGCCACTAATCTATGTTTCGGAGGGCTTGATGATGAACTTGCGGCCAGAGATGCCCTCCTTGTTCTTTGCCAACGTGGCTTCAAGAGCACCAAGGCCACCCGGGACCACCACCGTACGGTTGGGTACGAAGCGTCCCTTCGCTATCCAACCCTCCTCCCCACCAAGATGCTTCATCAGAGGCTCACTCAGAAAAAGAAGGTTGGGATCACTACCGGCACCCCATATGGCCTTAACGGCTACCTTTGGTTCATGGGACTTTCCCAGCTCCTCCGCTTCCGAGTCCGCTGGCAGGACGGTGACGACACAGCTGTCTTTGGCGTTGGCGGCCTGCAAGATCTTGACACCCTGGGCCTGGGTTGCCTTGGCCGAGATGGCGTCGTAGACAAAAGCGAGTGGCAAGTCGCCGATGGCTGCCACGAAGTCTTCAGTCGCGTCCTTGGATCCTCTTTCGAGGACGACGTCCGCGCCCAGACCCTTCAAAAACTCGATGTGCTCCGCGCTCGAATTTGTCACGATCTTTTCGAAGCCCGACAGCTTTGCCATCTGAAATGCGTACTGGCCAACGGATGAGCTGCCACCCAGGATCACAACCGCCTTGCCGTTCCCTGCCTTGTCACCACCTTCATCCCAGGGTGCACTCATGCCATAGCCCTGAGCCCAGGTTAGTACATATCGCGGACCTTATTTCGATACGTGGCAGTCTTCTGGGATTGTGCCACGGGACTAATCGTCAAGGGATCTTGGAAGACAACTGAGGGATTTCTCTTGCAGTTGAATTCCGACAAAAGGATGCCACATGATGATTGATCACTCAAGAGTTTGACTCGCCGTCTTGTCATAGATACCGGCGACTGCCGTGACAGCACAGAGACTGACACCACTGACTTGCTCGTCGGTGACGCTGCTTGGGGTCCGGGCAAGCAAGTGGGTCGGCATCTTGCAATACTGCTGGAACGTCGAGAAATTATTCTTGTAGATTATCCCTTGGAAGAAGACGCAGTCCCCAACGGCAAAGTAGGAGACACCGGGCCCCAGCGCCGCGATCTCGCCCGCTGCGTCGGTTCCGAATATCAGTGGGAACTCCTTGAGGAAGCCTGATATTTCGCGCAGCTTCCAGTCGACGGGGTTGATCGCCGTGGCGGTGATCTTAATGCCGACCTCGCCGGTCTCCAGGGGAGGCAGGGATCGGTCGGTGATGGTGTTCTCGGCGCCTGATTTGGTCACGAGCGCCGCCTTGAAGGTTTCAGGAATCGCCATTGTCTCGTGTTATGATGTTATCGGTGTGTAGTGTGGTTGGTACGCGCTGTTGAATGGAACGTCTTCCGAGCTGCGTGACATGTATTTATATCACTCTCCTATGCCAAAGCCATCGGCCAGGTTGAGCCAAATTGATACGTCCCACCCATGACGCTACGCTATGTTGAATCCTCGTTGTGTAGCTTTTGCCCGTTGGGCTTCTAGACAGGGCCTCGCCTACAGTCTGCGTTGAGGGCACGCCTGGTTGCAACACCAATTCTGATTACAAACCTTGGAAGCTTGGTGGCGCGGTGGACGAGTTGACCCGAACTACGTACCTGGTCACGTAACCTTTACTAGAACGAACGCCCGATTCTGGGATAGGTAATATCAAACCGCCCCATAGAGCCAACGCCGGAATATCATTTAGCCAAGATTGTAAAAACAGTACCCGCTCTCCAGCTTCTAAGTAAGCCTCAATTGCGTTAATGCTCTCCAGTTAAGCAGTCAGCTTAGAGCTACTCTTGTCACTGACAATACTCTATCATGGTTCTCCCCTGACCACCAAGTTCGCTGTGTCGTTGAGAACCGATTCTGTACGCTTTTGCTGGCGTAGTTGCCCATATCCTTCCTTCCATGGTCTCTTCGTGGCTGGTCCATGACGACACTTCCCAGGACAACACGCACCGACGCTGCAGAGCTGCCAGAGTGCATGTTCCATCATTGCGAACGTCGGATTTCCATATCGCTTCGCCGGCTGAAGTCCCCGTCGGGCTTTCTACCCTCACCACAGTGGCACCTCAGCGAAATTGTCCTGAGAATATAACACTACGACCCGAAAATCCAGTCAACGCCTGATCTAAGTTTGACCATCGTGATCTCCGCACTCAAACCGATCCGGAAATGATATAGAAGCCAGATGGCTGACAACACCCCCGTGTCAAACATCTGCATGTGTAGTTCCAAAGCATAGTTCAGCATCAACTTACTCATCCGCCAACGATGTTGCTGCACAAATTTCTCGACCTGATCGCCCTTGGCTGCGTGGCTCGAGTGGTACCGGTGAGCCTCTTCCCGTGATCCTGTGTTGCAGTTCGACAGGTAAGCAAGCTACTGACGGCTACGCAGTTCTCAAGTAGAGTGTACAATCAGCGGCCCTTGATATTACAAACGTGCAAAATAACTTCATCACCGGCTCGCTAAACAACTCGTGAGCCTCGGCCATCTTACCATCAGTATTTTGAATTGCTTGATGGCCACCAATAGCTCTTCATCGTTTCCCCACCAGTGATATTCTGCTAGGCACTCTGGGAGGCACCAACCTTACTGACCCAGATTGGCATCCGCAACGCCACGTTTTCATCGCCTCAAACCATGCCCGCAAGGTGCGAGGAGGAACAGTGCACATCAAGTTCGTAGACCCGCCCAAAAAGGTCGAAAGGCAGAGTCCGAGTCCACCCCACTGTATGGCAGAAACGTGGAATGCCGAGAATGAGGTGAGGGTCCAGACATGACTTCATCTGCTCCATGGCTTCGGGACGCCCGTGAACTACAGGTAGCAAGGATGGTAATGGTTAGCGGTTCCAGGGTATGGGTCTGAATCCAATATGATGCCTGTAATTCCCATGCTCATATATACCCGTTCTTATTATAAAAAAGTTCCATAAAAAAGTTCTTAACGCATAAAAGTTCTACCTATTACCATTGTAGATACACGTGGAACCGCTAACCATTACCATCCTGGACACCTGTACACATCTTCACCGGCCAAGGTACCTGCAGGGGCCTGGTACAGTATTCCTCCCATAATCATAATCTGGTTACTTGGCCGCGAACAGGTTTTTAGTTGCGATCGGCTTCGCCGTCTTGCATTGCGGCGACGGTGGGCCTCGCTGAGTCCGTTTGGCGGAGTCTCTAGAGATAGTCACCGAATCCCAAACGTCAGTTTTTAAAAGAAGCATATAAGCATCAAGTTCCGACGGCCAGAAACGCAAACAAGCCAGATAGACAAATTCGAAGAAAGCATATAAGACAGGCGGCAGACTCTCAGACTTATCGTGCAGAACTCAAACACATCTTCAAACACTTCTCCTTTCCATTGTCACACATCATCTATGTCGTCTTCTCGCTATACACAGTAGCATACCGTCGTCGCACCGCGCCCGGCAACCATCTCCGGAACAGAGGTTGTGCCTACCGAAGCAGTGGCAATGAAGCTCCTTCCTCTTCTCAGCGCCATTGCTGGACTCTTTTAGGTTGTGCGCACACTCCCAACCGCGCCCTCTTCGTACAACTTGGTGTCGCCTATCGAAGAACGAACAGACATAGACATTGGCTCCCTTGATCAGTTCACCGAGGAGTGGCTCTCGGAATAGACGGGAATTTCTAAGAGCGACCTCCTCCCTCAGCTCAAAGCTGGATTTTCTAAGGCAGAAAAGATCGAAGCATGGCCTTTCGACTCGGTCGCAAGCATTGCTGTGCCTGGTCTCCCCGATACGCCGTGGGCGGAGGCCATCATTCAGCACCTGAAAACCGACAAAAACGCTCGATTCTGCGAGATGGGCGCCTATTGGGCCCCAGATATACACTACCTAAATTATTTGGGAGTGTCGGGGGAGAAACTGTACGCTACCAACTTGGAAGATATCTACCCTGAAGCGAGAGAGTTCTGGGAGAAAGGGGAGGACAAGGAGCCCAAGCTCGGCAGGGGCAACTACCTTGCGCCATTCAATGTCTTCGATTCTTCCATCTGGCCGAAATCTGCAGGTGACTTCACCGTTATACTTGCTTGGCGGTTCATGCAAACATTTCCTCAAGACCAGCAAGCCGAGGTAGCAAGCCTATTCCTCCAGCTACTTAACCAAAAGACTGGAAATCGTGTCCGCATCGTCATTGGCGATGGAATCGCCTCGGACGTCGATGGTATACATAGTCGGGATCGAGTGGAACGGGGTGGGAACACTCAAAGAAATCAATGTTGAATCTCTGGATGGAGGTCGCAGAGTCGGACACATGGAAAGGAAAGGTGGATATCAAGGCCACTCCCACTCCGGTTGATCGTCTCCTGTACACCCTTGTCGAGGTTAAATTCAAATAGTAATGTTGGCATAAGGGACTTGTAGACGAGGACCACGGTCCAGGATACTCGAAGACCAGGAAAAGAAATAGACAGAGGGCTATGGGGCCGCAGAACGGAAAGATTATAGGACACTCATTATACTACGCTCACTTCTCAACAAACCCTGCTACATATGTTCCAGAGCGTGCTTCCGAGCCAGAGATACGCCGTCAAAAGACATAGAAGACAAAATCTAACACTCTCCAACGTCATTCCAGAATCCGCTCTTGTTAGCCATCTGACCAAGGTTAGACTGAATTGAAACATCGAATCAAGCAGGCTAATGACCGCTGGGAGAAGTTTAGCTCTCGCCATGGCACCTGTCCACGCCAACTGACCACATATTGCAGTGAGAACGTCAAGACTCCATTAGACAAGTATAGCTTCCCCCCCGATATATATCCCGTCATTAATGAAAGTGAGATGGACAGGTAAGACTGCTCCTCCGTGTTGATAGAACGAGTCGTCTTTGGAAACAAAGCACGCGGCGTAGAATGCCCTCTACCACCGGTTGGCGACGGCTCGCTCCTGTGCGGGCTGTCCCGTCATGGTTGATAATATCGCGGATTATGGCAAGGTTGGCAAGGCTCTATCTAGTTGACTCTGCACAGTGGTAAGTGTGGAATGAAAGGGTCAATTCTTGTATCCGACGTCTTGGTTGTCCAAATTCAGGTGGCGGCGTGCAATGCTTGTAGTCATTGGGGTAATATTGACAGGCTGGATTTTGTTTTGTCCATCAATGATTTCATGGTTTATAAAGACGGCTAGTCGGTCGCTGCCTTGATTCGCGAGAGGGGTAGGCTTTTTGACAGAGGATGAACGGCGACCAACGGAAATCGACAGGCTTCATACCCAGATAGGGGAAAAGGGTGGCTAAGGAATGACATTAATGTTGGGATGGTTGTATATATATTCTTACGCATGGTTGTCGCTTTTCCATTTTTCTTTTCCTGTCTCGCTTCGTGGTGGACAAGGGGTCAGTACCGATGCGAAGTGGGAGACTCTCGTGAAGAGGAAGGATGGCTCGAAGGCTTCCCTGAACGGGTGCGTATCCACCAGATGTTCGGCCATACGGACCGTCATCTTTGAGAGACCTTCTGGTGTATGCAGGAGGCAGTATATTCCCAGGCTGCCGTGGCCGTCGACGCGATGCTCCACTGGGCGACATGCAAAGGAATGTCTTCTGGCATGCATTTCGTTTCGCGCTCATGACTGAACCTCCATCGGACTTGTCGCCCACTGAAGGTTGTGGTCCGAAGATACATGAGTAAGGTTCGCGCAAACGTGCTTCCAGTCCGAGAGCTCGTTGGCATCAGCGTCCGGTCGCTACTTGAGGTTGCACAGACGTACAGTGGAGTGAATCTCTTCTGATCTCGGAGTCCTGTCGATCGTAAGGTGGGATGCTACCATGGTAGCGAAGGAACTGAGTAGATTTGCCAACGATCGTCGCTACCAGTTGTCCGCAGCGGTTTTACTGCTTCAACGCGATTGGTTTCGACCTGAACAGGCCGTTCCAGCGATGATCGGGTCCGCGGATGGCTATCTCCAGGGGAGACATCAGACAAACAGCCTGACAGCCAGTCAACCACGAAGCAGCCGAGCCGACAGTCGTACCGAGCTCGCGGCACATGAGTATGACTTGGTATTTCCACGACGACAACAACCCAGTTCATTGTCAGTCCGACGATCGAGTCATCCACCTCCCACAACGAGGTCCCCATGGGTAATCAAATGCAGTAGGATCATCATTTCTGGCGTCTTTGGTATCCCTTCTGCCAAGGTGCCGCCCTTGCGCCCTCCGGACACCGAACAAACCAGAAGGTCTGGTAACCGCCGCGGTCGACGCATTTTCAGCACTGGGCGAGCTACAAGCGGTCGCATGGTTTGATTCTGGGGTTTCGGTGCTAGGAACTGTGGCAGTGAACGAGACGACAGGAGGAGCTGAAGATCCGTCCACATGCGCAGCATCGGGACTGACGACGTTGTCCATGGCCACTGTCTTCCGCAGCGCGGCAGTTCAGACAACATGTCCATGCGTGTTTCCATATCCGCCAGAAGCATCGAGAACTCCACCGTGCTGCAGAGCATATCATCATCAGAGCCTTGCTCTGTGCTCGTATCTTTTGGCTCGAGTATTGTTTCTTCTGGCTCGGGGATTGCCTCTTCTTTCTCCACGGTTGGCTCATTTCCCACCAATGTAGTCACATGGATGACCGTCATGATGGCTTTTGCGCAGGCTCAGTCATATTCTCGGGTTGTATTGTATCCCAAGGCTCTGTACCGCTACCGTGGATATCCGTGTTTCGCGTTCTTGGCTTCATGAAGAGGCAGCCGTACTCGTCCATGGGGCGCCACGGTTCCCTTCCTGTTCCCACGCTCCCCAAGGCAGGCCATACTTCTGGATAACTGGTCGCTGACTGCGTCATCACCCAAATCAGCGTGGTTTGGTTCATCTCCGGCAGCTCTGTCTGTCCAGTGGGTTCGGTACCGGTCTGTGTAGACATGGTCAGTACGTTGTCGGAGCGCAATCGGTTGGACATTGCCTTGATACTCACCTGGCAACGTTTCGCCCTCGACCTGCTGCTCGCTTGCAGTGCGGCGGTGGTGCCGGACGATGAAAGCCGCCACTTGTGGTCATGAACTGAACAGGTGGGCGTACGTCTGAACAGCCGGGTGGACGGACAGTCGGTGTAGCAGGGGAAGTCTTAGGTCCCAGAACACACGAGATGTATGGGGAAAATAGGTGTTTGTAAAGTTGGTGCATATATATAGGTCTCCCTGTGGGATAAGCGTAGTGATGGTACAGCAGGAAGAAGCAGTGACTCAACAGATTTTCTTCGAATACGGGCGAGAGAGCATGATATATACAACGGTTGTTGAGAGAGGAAAGCGGCAACAAGGGCGGACTGCATCAAAGCTGGTGGCCATACGCGCCTGGTGTGAAAGAACTAGGGTGAAGGCCGTCATCACCAAACGGCATCGTCAACGAAGTTCCACAATACCTGTACAACGCATCACAGCAGCTTCGCCCTGGTTATTCATCGAAAAGCCCTTGTTTGTCTATCAAGATATGGGTGGTCCATTCGAACCAGCCTCTCCGTTATAAGTATACATCTCATTTCATAAGCGTCATGTTTCATGAGGTTCATGAAGCGTCATCCATCGTAATCGTCCAAGCCCGGGCCGTACCTGGCCACATGCAAAGCCGTTTGCCCAAAGCCAGCCAATGCGATCTCCAGAGAAAGGTGGCAACCCACCCGTTTGCTTGCCTGCTTCCTTCATGCCTACCTCACCGCATGCTGAGCCAGACGTGCGGCTGCAGACAGGCTGTTTGAGACCTCTCAAGCAAGCGTATCGTACATATCGGCATCCCAGAAGCAGCAAGCTGATGCAAAAATGCAAAGAAAATGTACAGCCCATGAAGAAAAATGTACAGCCCATGAAGTGAAATGGAAGAACCCGAAAACTCGCATCGCAGAATCAAGAAGATTCATTCCTGTCGACCCGAAAACTCCCATTGCAGAATTGAGAAGATTCATTCCTGTTGAAACTCCAAACCAAATGCATTCATTATATGCAGGTCATGATGATCATCCGACTGCGGAAGTTGTCCGCCTGCATTGACTTGTCGGTGATCAGCGGCCTATGATCAAGTCTCTGAGCGCCCACCGCCGGTGGTCTAGGCTGCGACTTGGGCCAGTCCACTGCTCACACTTCTTGCGCCAGCGTGCCTCCTCCTCGTGTTGGCGTCTAATGAACTCCGGTCCGACGTCAAACTCCTCGCCGACAAGCCAATCGTTGATAATGTCACTAGCACGACCACCCTGACCGGCTTCGGTAGACTCCTTGTTGTCATCGAGGTCGGGTATGTCTTTGAATGGATCGTCTTCTTCCATGGTATTGAATCCCTCCATGGGATCATCGGCTCGTAGAGTTGTCGGAGTTGAAGTATCGACTTTGAGCCAACACATATTCTGGGGATCAAAGACCATATCACCAACTCTCTTGGTGTTCTTGCTGGCATTGATGTTTGTGATCAACACTGGCCGAGGGGTCGAGGTATCCCGTTCGCGCATCATCGACGGGTGAACAGACGCCGTAGAAGGAGACGATGCAGGAACATCGAATTTGTTCAAAGCATTCTCGTTTCCTTCCCATCGAAACGTCGTGGGATTATAGGTCATCCCATTGATTACTATCAAACGTCAGATGTGCCTCAAGTAAGGGTCCCAAGATTTACATACCTTTTGGCTCCCGGGCCGAATTCAGATTGGATATCAGGTGCGGCTTCAGCTGGGGCGGCTTCCGTGTCTTTTTGGATCGATGATGCTGACTGTGTGGTATATGAGGGGTCAGATTCGTCCTGGTCGACAGCTGGGCGACTCGCTGTGTAGTAAGGGGAACCAATGGCCCCGTAGGCTGTGCTCGTTGTGCCAGACCAGCTTCCCTGGCCATACGACTCGCAGCAGTGTCTCGAGCGAAATGGGGCTGATGATCAGCCCGGGCGGGTGAGTAGGGGGACACTGGGCTTGGTGTGTTGCGGTCGGGCAAGACATTTTGGTATAATTTGTTTCGGAGAGTCCTGTTGCCGCTCCCGATCGGCTGTTTCGTGTATCTGGATTCTGTGTGTGCAGACGTAGGGAGATCGTCGAATGCATCAAGCTCGTGGCCGTCGCCAAACTGCCGCGAACGCCGTGGTTTACTGATTTGTTGCCACACCGGCTCGGCCGTCGTCTTCTCGTTGCGAGGTCTTCTTGGACTTGGAGACCGCATTGTAGTACGCATGTTGGCGCGTGATAGTGGCCTGAATTCCGTACCTTGGTCCGAATCATGACGTCTAAACGAACGGGAGCTCTTGGCATGAACATGATGCGACTGCGTCTGGGGTACAGCCGCGGGCAGAAAAGGCGTCGACCCTTTCCTTGCTTGAGCCGCACTACTCTCGTTGGCCGGGCGAGATCGATCAACCGGGGTTTTGGGTCGCAGGCCAGACTGTGGTCTATGTGGTTCAGCGCGAGAGTCGGTACGAGACGAAGGTCGGTCGAATCGAGAAGTCGGGGGCTTTGCTGGCGATTGACCATGACGCATCACTGGCAACGATCGCTTTAATCGCAGCAGTTGCGCGCTGGTAGTCGTAGGTTCATTTCGCAAAGTCCCCGTCGATGCCTTCTGGCCCAACTCTCTCCTTCCTGGGGTAGCAGGTAAACTGGTCTGGAACGCCGAGGGAGTGGTGGGTGTATGAACGCTAGAAGTCGATGACTGAGCCGAATGACCAAGTCTCGACTGCGACCTTCGGGACGGCTTCTGAGGGATGGGACCTCCACTCTCGGAAACGGGCTCAAGCGATGTTGACTGTGATCGTTCATGGCCGACCATTGGTCGCGGAAGACGAGAAGATGTTGCGGTTACTGGCTTGTTGGTGAACGTGATAGAGACAGCGGTCTTGGGTCTAACAGGACTGGCCTGTCGTCGCTCCTTGACCTTAATATTGCTGTGCACTGTGGATTTGCCAGAGCGAAATAGGTTCCCATCACCAAAATCGAGGCCGGAAAATGGATCTTCTTCATCTTTCACAGGCAACGGTGCATGCTTTGATGACCTCTGCTTGGGCAAGCTGCGCTGAGGCGATTTGCTCTTAGGCGAACCGGCGGTGGGACTCCCCTGAAGGAGCCGACTTCTTGGCGAAATGGGTACGGACGAATCGCTTTCGGTCGATCCGCTCTTGGTCATGCCCGGCTTGGATGATATGCGCTGAGGCGACCTGTCCTTCGCCGAGCGCGTACGCTTGCCTGACTCTCCCATATCTATGTCTAATCTCTCAGGAGACCGACTTTGCTTCCGTCGAACGAGCCGCTCGCCAAGATCCAGGGGACCACTCGGGAAAATCAGGCCATCAAAATTCTCATCTTCGCTTTCGGCGGTGAGCGAGCTGGCGATGCTGGGGCTCAAGCCGGAAACAGATGAGCTGCGATTAGAGTACGCATCCCGCCTAGTGCCACCGAATCGGGTCCCGAGACTGCCTTCTCCCCAGTCAAAGTCATCGGCGAAATGCAGAGATGGAGTCTTGGGGATGTCCTTCCTGCTGGTAAGTTTCAACTTGCCGTCTGTCGGCAACTCAAGGTCCATCTCGAAATTGTCCTCGTCTCCATTTGTCGACTTCTTCTTCAAGGGTGAAGGCGTGGGTGGTGTGATCAAGGACAAAGGCTTACTACCCTGGGTACGGAGCTTGGGCGCCTTGATAGTCTCACCACCATCACCGAAGACGTCATCATCCTCGTCTGTATCCCGGAACCGATCCAGGTTGACGGGTGCCGCTAATACCTTAGGTCGGAGCTCGTGGGGAGGCGCCGCTTGGGTGATGGTAGTCATGAACTGTTTTGCCGGGCTTAGGTTCGTTGAGCCACTAACTTGGCGCAAGACATCAGGAAACAAAGTTCCATCTTGGGCCTTCAGACGAAGTGCGTTGCCCGCTGTAGGCAGTTCGAGGTCATCTCCCCAATCCTCCTGGAATATCTTCTTGATCTTGCGTCCACCCAAACGCTTGATGGTGCCGCCCATCAGTGCGGAGGGGGGAACATTGGTAGGTATCGGGATGCCGGCTTGCGTAGCTGCAGCTATGGCGTCCAGCGTCGACTGCTCGTCATCTCCGGGCAAGTGGACATGTCGCTCGTCGCCTCCGCCAAAGGACTCGCGATCGGACCTGAACGAAGAATGGCTGTCGCGGCGGCCGAGATGCAAGTTGGCATTGGAATTGGTGTGGGCGGAGTTGTGGCTTCGAAAAGTGAGGTCTTCATCATTGCCGATCATGAAATCGTCGTTATCCCAATCTTCCACCAGATCCTCGACTGCTTTACGACGTTTGAGGCGCAAAGATTCCATGGTAGCGGAGTGTCTGCAATTAAGGTTGATAGTCTCGCGTGGGTAGAAACGGTCGAACAGCAAGTGCGAAACTCAGAGTCGCGTGGCGTGGCGTATGCTGTTTCTGTTTCGGTTTGGTGATCACAAGCTGCAGATGCGCAATCCAGCATCAACAGGCCTCGTAATCAAAGTCCGGTCCACTCCCTTCAGCAACTACTGCCTCGCTCGAATCGCATCTTCTTGTCCTTGCTTTCAAACAATTGGCTGTCGATACAACGGTGGGCCGGTGTGGTAGTTGTTATCGTCGTCGCGGTCGCAAGGTTGGTTGTCGCTTGGCAGCTTCACTGCCTTGGTCGCAGGAAATATTGGTCGGGATGGATGATCAGGTTGAATGCTGCTCAGTAGCTCGCGGCACAAGAGAAATATCGGAGTTCGTGTGTTTTGCGGTTGTGCGGTTGTGCGTGCGTGACGTGGAGAGGTTCGCGGAAACACGTATGAGATGGTGTTTGGTGGTGGGTGCGGGTGTGGCGCCTCGAATGCGTAGATGAGAAACGGCAATTGCATCCAATCCTCTTAGCCTGCAGCAGGACGAGAGAGAAGATCGGGAGGAATGCGGCTATCGCAAAAAGTTGAAGTTGGTACCTAGCTTGAATTGAAAACAAGACAATGCGAATGTTCCAGATGAAGTGATGTGGTGTGGGTGGGATGTTGGATGTTGGAAGGTCGTTGGTCGATGGCCGATCGATTCGAGATTGATTTGCCAGGTCGCATCTGCAGATGGGGGGTGCCGGGAGAGAAGGCTGGGCTGGCTTATCTCCCCAAAAGGCAGACCCTTATCCGCTTGATTCGAGCGCCTTTTGTGGGGCTTGTACCTCTAGGCCAGTTTAACAGGGAAGATACATACCGCCACACGAGTGAGCAGCGGACAAGGGTTTGTATTGTGGGGCAGCTGGCAAATGATGATCTGAGCTTCGCTAAGATAAGAGCCGGCAGGCTGGAGAGGGCTGGGCCCCAAGAGAAAAAAACATGGAAAAAACAAGGGTCCTGGCCCATTTGGCGGGCGGGATGGCGGGCTGGCTAACGAGCTGGCAGCCAGCGGTGGTTGGAGCTTGGCCTGCTTGGAGCGACTCTAGCGCCCTGATCGTCTGCTCAAGTGGCCCAGCTTCCCCATCACAGCCCATTAGTCCTTTACCGGCTCACCTCAGGTTTATTGTTCAGAAATAAGGTATGCGCGTATTCTCTTCATTCATAGCAGAACATTTATATACCATCTACCCACTCCATGTCTGCTATCCTCATGGTTGCCATGAGCACTGAATTGCTCTCCAGTATCCGTAATGCAGGCTTTGCCCGAGCGGCGTCCACTGGCAGTAAAAACGCGAGGTTGACGCGACCGACGCGCAGTGGCATGGCATGGCAGGTACCTAGTAGTAAACAGCACCATCTATCTTGGCCCCTCCTCCTGGTCAGCTGGAGGTCCCACATCATTCCCAAGAACCATTGTTGCATATCCGTTTGCACGACGAACGGAATGCTGGAATTGGGGGTGGACGTATCCCCCGCCGTAAACAATCGACGCGGCACTGCTGGGCTGTCATCTGAAGTACTCGTCCGCCCGCAACGGCTGCCTGACAGCTGCCTAGACTGTTACCCTAGGTACCTTACACCTCATCGGGAGCCTCAATTGACAATCGAGCATCGAGCACATGAACCTCGTCTGTCAGCTAAGAAACTGTCCATGCTTCTGCCTGTCACTGCTGGTGTGCCTGTCACTGCTGGTGCTATTGGTCGCATCGTGACTCACTTGCAAGGGTCGTAGCAGCTCAAGCAAGCTCTTTACCAATGTTACTCATCTGTTTCCCGTCTCTTCAGCGTTCCTATCGTCCTTGGGTCCATATCAGCCTTGCTATGATATCACTGCCACGATATACCATCCGAACAGCAGCTTGAAACAGCTTTGTTAGAGTGCCTTTCACACCCTGTGCACCTTCCAATCTCGTGTCTGGTTTCAACCGACCCGACGGGCAAATCGCAAAGATTCCCAACTCAGACCTCATCCCGCCCGTCATCTCATCCCATATCACCCCTCGCCTCAACTTGCCAATATGGCAAAATCCCCCGTATTACGTTTCCCAATCTCGGGACAAGACGATGGCTCCTTCTTGGTCGAGGTCTCTTCAAACGGGTCACAACCACTGGACCTGAAACTTGTCGGATCGGAAAGCACCGCCGTGTTCATGGTCAAGTGTAAGTCCCCAAATTGCCCTGTTCCATACTTAAGTTCTACGGTCACTTCCCGCGGTCGTCCCCACGCACGCCCCGAACGATGCGGCCAGAATCAGACAGGCCGGAATCAGACCCTGGCACGCGAAGTTCATGCATTGTCTGCACATGGACCCTGGAGGGCTGACCAATCTCCCTTCTGTCGATAGTGCGTCATAGGAGGATCGCCGCGTGTAAGGCTTCAGGTGGTCACTGCACCGATCAGGAGTGGCAACAGATCTTGACTTCATCCTTGGTCGAGCAGCAACCCCTGCGCGACATTGAGATCAAGGCCAACGTCGAATCGGACGGATCGTGCGTCACTCTGTCCTTCCGGAAGAACATCCAAGGTATCACAGTACGTACGCGGACCGAGACCACCCTTCTAGTCGCACACATAGCACTAACCAACGCGTCCAGCAACGCCTGGGATCCATCAAGCTAGAGGAGAATGACAAGACCGAGATCTCGCCCTTCGATTGGTGCGTCGCCGCCCTCGCATCCAAGGACAAGGTCACGGAAGATCTAGCCACAGCTACCGCCAAGGTCGAGTCCCTGGAGAAGTCCATCAACGAACTCAAGGGGCATCTAGACGAGCTCATCAAGGCGAAAGATGATGATGAAACCCAACTTCTGGAGAAGTTCAGAGACCTCATAAACGAGAAGAAGGTCAAGATCCGGCAACAGCAGCGCTTACTTGCATCAGCCAGCGTGGACCCCGACAAGCTCGCCAAGGTCGGCGCAAGTCAAGGCTCGCTGAACCGGCCTGCAGGGAAATCTCGCGCCTCGAAGCGGAAGGCCGTCAAGGACGAGGCAGACAGTAGTGACGATGATGGCTTCGAGAAGATGGACGTCGACAACGGCGACGCTAACAATGCCGGCCAGGAATCAGAGCAAGGAGATGGGCAGCTGGCGACGACGGAGGATGACACACCAAGTGAAGCCGATAGCGAAGCAGAACCAGCGCCTCCTGCGGTCAAATCGCAGAAGATGGACGCCGCGCCCCCTAGTCGAAACACGCGTTGTTCGCAAGCCAGAAAGTCTCCTTCACTGGCAGGCTCGGATGGTAGCAGCGACGCGCCTCCGCCACGGCGGAATTTGCCATTCATGCAAGGCAAGAAGAAAGCAGCGCCGCCGCCGGCGCCTGCGGATGATGAGGAAACGGCATCGGATGATGATGAGCTATGAAACACCTGGGCCAGGTGCATTGCAAAGGTCTGGATAAGAAAGAGTACGTCTTCACTATGCAGGAGCAACCGCTCGCGTGAGTTGCAAGTTGTCGTAATGCCAGTTCATTTCCCCTTTATGTCGTGACTCTATAGCTCTAAGTGTATCAGAAGCCTCCCCAGCAGCTGACGTTCCCACTCCAACTACCATGCCCTCAGACATCTACCGCCGGTCATCATCCGGAAAATGCCTATTCCAAAACCCCCGAAAGTGCTTCTGCCGCCCCAACTCCGCCACCTCCCCGACCTCCCTAGGCGTCAGCTTGAATGCCGGCACGCTCTTCATGAACCCCTGCAGTCGCTCGTCCCGCGCACTCGTAGTGATCGCCACAATGCCCTGATCCAGACACCACCTCAACGCCACATCACCCACACCAACACCATACTTCTTCGCCAGGGCCTCATAGACCCCGTCCACAGGCCCCGGCGCCGCCTTCGCAACCGCCGTCAGCGGCGCATAGGCCGCAAGCGCGATTTGTTGGTTGCGGTGGTAGTCGACGAATCCGGGCGCGTGCTGCAGGTACGGATGGAACTCGACCTGGTTAATCGCGGGCGGGACGCGCGCCGTCTGCAGCACGGTGTCCAGGTGCTCTGGTAGGAAGTTGGACACGCCGATGGAGCGCGCGCGGCCGCTGTCTTTGATGGCTTCCATCTGCGCCCAGATGGATTGGAGCTCTTGGGGTGTGGAGGCGAGATGCGGCGCGTGGATTAGGTAGAGGTCTACGTAGTCCAGCCCCAGGCGCGCGAGCGAGGCGTCGAAGGCGGTGGCCACGCTGTCGGATTTGCCGCCGGTGCCGCGGAGCTTGGTTGTTATGTAGAGGGACTGGCGCGGGAGATGGGAGGCGGCGATGGCGGCGCCGAGTTCGCGCTCGTTTTTGTAGACTGGGTTGTTTGAGATTGGGGTGGTTTTGGGAGGGAGTTTGGCACGGGATGGAGTGATGCGAAGCGAGAGTACTTACCCTCTGCGCCGTCCAGGTGATAGTATCCGTTCTTGATCGCCATGAGCGTCAGCTTGGTGACCTCTTCGGCCTCGCCCTTGGAGCGGGCTGTGCCGAGGCCGTAGGCGAGCTTTGTAGCGCAACAATGTCAGCAACGTCTTTCATGTTACTCGTATATACAAGTCCCCGCCATTGGTTTCGAGGCCAGGCGCGGCACGTACCATGGGGATCTCGTTCCCGTCGTTCATCTTCAGCGTCGGGACGTACCCCGTCTGCTTCGGCGTAGCACCGGAGGCGTCCGGGGCGTACGTCGAGTCCATTGAATTCATCTTGGCGGCCTGGGTGTGATATCTCGCTCTGGGAGATGATACTACGTGCGATCGGCCTTCCGGTAGCAGTAGACGTGACTTGGAGCTGATGAGGTTCGTGAGCCGCGATGTGAGGAGTTGCGTTCGGAGCATTGGTGGTTGATGGAGGTTGCTATTCTGGAGCGGGTCGGGATTCGGGCTGGTATCATATCTATCTCAAATCCACGCGATTACTGTATGACCTCATGGACCTATACTTTCTTGTTTAATGTGAAGCATTTATGGGCGACTCGATCTGTTTGCAGGGCGGTTCAAGACCTGTCCAGCTCCAATCGTGGCTGTATCGTCCGGTGGTGATGGCATCATCGTCTCCGCACTCTGCTCATCGCCAGGGCTTCCCCAGATAAAGGCACGATCTAACTCGATCTGACTGGCTGCTTCAAAAGGACGAAGGCAGCATACCTATTACACTAGGTCACTATACAATTCGAAATGCGGTCACATTCACTACACGCGTCTATGACTATTTCATGGTTGCAACTCTTCACTGGTATTGATTGCCCTGAAGTCGGCGAGTCGTTCCCTGGTCATACGAAATTCACATCTCTCCTTGGACGCTATAATAAGACAGTCAGCTCTTGAACGCAACGAGTAGTTCAGTAAGAAGTCTGATAGTTCATTGTCATACAGAGGCCAGAGAGCAACCAATATAGCAAACCCAGCGCTGTGTCAACATAGATCCAAGTTCAACTCCTCTGGTTCGTGCCCCTTTCTGCTACAGTGTCGTCGTAGTCTCCAGCCAGTATGATTTGATATTGTCGCTACTGGAATCCGGAGACTTTTGCGTTGATGCTCGAGGGGCACAGGGGCAACTCGGAGTACACGGCCCGTATCTTCTGTCCCGTGGTTGCCATCTCCATTCCCTGCATTTCATGTACAACATACCTGCGTATTGAAATCATTGTCACTGTTTCATATCCAAACGGTGTTGCTATCATACCTGGACAATACCTCCGGTGTGAGAACTATCGTGTTGCATGACAACAAGTGATTATCGTCTCCTTGGCAACATTATGGAGTCGGTGTCACGGGTGGACCAAAGGGTCCGGACATTAAATAAGGTGCTGACTGATGAGGTCCCTCTCGACCTCGCCACCATAGTAGGTAACCCCTGCTGTAGGTATGCCGTCATCAAACCTCTGACGGCATTTCCACCTCAGATCTTCGACATTCCCGTCCTCATGTCTCGTCGATTTTGACTGCTTTCTTCATTTTATCGCCCTTTAGCACGCTTCTCTATTTGTATTAAATACCCTTCAGTTACGTTCCCCCTGCCTCTTACAACGAGAGGCACATTTCACGAGCTAGGTGCGCCCTTGATGCTCGTCCACCGCATCCTCTCCCGAAGCCTCCCCCACATTCGACTGGCGCAGATGGCGTCGCCATTCTCGACCAACGGCAACGGCACTCCCGCTGCGGCGAATACCACCGCAGTCTCTATCAGCGACATACCGAAGTCATGGACATTCACGTCGAAGCTGCCGCCCGACTCCGTCTTTCCCACGCCCGCCGACTCGCACAAGACCCCGCGCGACCGGATCGGACCCCGCCAGGTCCGCGATGCGCTGTACACATGGGTGCGCCCGCAGACCGTCAACTCGCCCGAGCTGCTGGCCATCAGCCCGGCGGCGATGCGCGACCTGGGGATCAGCGATGGCGATGAGCACACCGAAGACTTCATCAACACCGTCGCGGGCAACAAGCTTCAGGGGTGGGACGAGGAGAAGCAGGAGGGCGGTTACCCTTGGGCGCAATGCTACGGCGGCTTCCAGTTTGGATCGTGGGCCGGTCAGCTGGGCGACGGCCGCGCTATCTCCCTCTTCGAGACGACGAATCCGAGCACGGGCGGACGATACGAGCTACAACTGAAGGGCGCTGGCCTGACACCTTACAGTCGGTTCGCGGATGGCAAAGCCGTGCTGCGGAGTAGCATACGGGAATTCGTTGTCAGTGAGGCGCTGAATGCGCTGGGAATACCTAGCACGAGAGCGCTGAGCTTGACCCTGCTACCGGGTGTCAAGGTGCGGCGCGAGGCCATCGAGCCAGGTGCCATTGTGGCGAGATTCGCGCAGTCGTGGCTGCGCATCGGAAACTTCGATATTCTGCGAGCGCGCGGCGACAGAAAGCTGATCCGGCAGCTGGCGACGTACGTGGCAGAGGACGTCCTTGGCGGCTGGGAGAATCTACCTGGACGACTTGAAGACCCCGATAAGCCGAAGGAAAGCCCACCGCCGAAGCGTAATATCGCCTCAGAGACGATAGAGGGCCCGACGGAATCAGCTGAGAACCGCTTCACTCGCCTCTATCGAGAAATCGTGCGGCGCAATGCTCTTACGGTTGCGAAGTGGCAAGCTTATGGTTTCATGAACGGGGTGCTGAACACGGACAACACGTCTCTATTCGGGCTCAGTATCGACTTCGGCCCCTTCGCCTTCATGGATAATTTCGACCCTTCGTACACTCCCAATCACGATGACCACATGCTGCGGTACAGCTATCGCAACCAGCCGAGCATCATCTGGTGGAATCTTGTGCGGCTAGGCGAGTCGCTGGGGGAGCTCATCGGTGCTGCCGATCGAGTAGATGATGGGCAGTTCATCGAAGACGGCGTAGCAGAGGACGAGGCCGAAACCATCATTGCAAGAGCCGAAAAGGTCATCATGCAGATTGGTGAGGAATACAAGGCTGTCTTCCTAGGCGAATATAAGAAGGTGATGACAGCTAGGCTGGGCCTCAAGAACTTCAAAGAAGGTGATTTTGAGGAACTCTTCAGCGGTATCCTGGATACCATGGAGGCGCTGGAGCTAGACTTCAACCTCTTCTTCAGACGACTGAGTGCGGTTAAGATCAGCGAGCTGGAGACGGAACAGTCGAGGCAAGAAAAGGCCGGCGTCTTCTTCTACAAAGACGGGGTCACAGGCATCGGCGGCGAAGCAGAGGGCTGCAAGCGCGTCGGCGACTTGCTGAGCAAGTGGCGGACACGCATCATCGAAGACTGGGGCGACGACGGGCAGGGCGGCATGTCGGAAGAGCAAGACTCGCAGCGGATACAGGCAATGAAGAAGGTTAATCCCAGCTTCATCCCCAGAGGCTGGATTCTCGACGAGATCATACAGAAGGTACAGAAGAACAAGGAGAACGACGTCCTGGACCGGGTCATGCACATGGCGCTACATCCCTTCGAGGATAGCTGGGCTAGCCGCGAGTTCGACGGTGAGGTGTATGCAGGGGACAAGGACGAGGAGACTCGTTGGACCGGCGATGTGCCTAGGGCTGGACGGGCTATGCAGTGCAGTTGCAGCTCGTAGTCTGCGTCGTAATCGGTGGCTTGAGATCACCAGTCAGGGTGGATAGTCTTGACCAGTGGACACGATGTCGCTACGTAGGCACAACACAGTGGAAGCTCTTCTCTACCCTTCCTACATGTATTACTTGTAGCAAATAAAAGCAGCCCCTATTCCAACGAGTCTGACGATTCCTCGTCCGGAGCGGCAAGGCTCTACGATACATACACTGTGAAGCTGTGCTACGTGACACGAAGGCCAAGACACTACATGCACACGCCTCTAGCCTACCCATGAAGCTCTACTGTATGCCAAGCAGCCCTATCCCGCTGTCGCCTGCGCCGGCGCCAATGATGGCGACAGCGCGCACGTGGGATCTACACGGCATCTACAGGACAGAGTGGTGTAACTCGATGAGCGTCATGTACACGTGATCAGTTGAAGTGCATGCTTTGGCGAGTGAAAGATGGAGGGCGACGACAAGTTGTATTGTAATCGAGGGAATGGCCGTATGTGGCTGTGTCGCGGCGATGATGGTGATCTATGAATAGAATCAGCCCTGCCAGGATTTTGGCGGTTTCATAAACGGCCGCTAGCTGGCAACGGCTGGCGCACTGGCTGCCTGTTGGGTGGCGATGTTTTGTGTCAGCTGGGCGGCACAGCCAGGCAGACAGACTCCTTCGAATGATTCACCTCGGGCTGAATCAGATATCCACGCAAGTGCTCCTTCTTCCCCGCCTCTCTCTCTCCTCAAGTCATCCTACTTTCCGTTTTATTCGTTATTTCATCTGTTTATTCACCTTCGACTCTTGATCACCTCATCGCATCATCAGTCATGTTCTCTTTCTCAGGTCTGGCCCTCGCGGCCCTCGAATCCAGGAATGCGGTTGTCGACTCAGCCTCCCAGCTGCTGTCCAAGAGAGGCAGCAGCGACAGCGACCCCTCGGCGTGGTCGGGACTGTTCTTCACTGCGATCGTGCTCCTGAACGTCGCGGTGTTCTTGCCGATGATACTATTCGTACGTTATGCCCATCTATTGACTACAGTATGTATCTTTCAAGAGGTGGCTAACAGATGCGTCATAGCTCGGCTACACATTGAGCGAACTCATCCCGACCATCGCAATTGTCGAAGACGACGCACCACTCGACGCCCCTCCCGCATACGAGCGTGTCGCCCTCGACGACAAGTCGGCGCACGCTGACATCGCCAAGCATGACGTCGCCGCCGAAGCCAGCGAAGCCGGCGCCACGCCCGTCCTCCGCCCCGTAACCGCCAGTCTCCGCGACACCTGCCGGCTCCTCCGCTCGCTCGGCGGCTGGACCTCTGTCTTCCGCGGCCTGCGCATCCACGTCCTGGCCAACGCCGCCATCGCCCTCGTCACCATCGCTCTCTCGTGCATCCCGTACCTCCCGGTGTCCGTCGCCGTCCTCTTCGCCTCGCTGATCTGCGTGCCCCTCAACACGGCCTGGGTCCACGTCGCCATCTCATCGCAGGCCAGCACCTCGTTCTGGAGCCGCCTGTCTAACGCCAAGACCATGTACAGGGCGGCCGCGCTCCCGACGCTGGTCTACTACGTCGCCATGCAGGTCGTCCACATGGTGTCGTACCTGATCGCCGGGTCGCCCAAGACGCTGCAGGGCGAGGACGCCCCAAGGGGCTTACTCGCCGTCGGCGTCATGGTCCTGCTCTCCGTGGGCCTCCTCGTGCCCGCACAGGTCGTCCTCGTCCGCGTGCAGGCCTCGCTGCTGCCGGCTGACGACCAGACCATCGTCGCGGTCAACCGCGCGGTCAGTGCTGAAGGAGAACAGAGGGGCTACATGTCGACGGGAGAGGCTTGGAGCTCGTTCTCGCGCGCCTCGTGGGTCAGGCTGCTTAAGCTCTACGTCAAGACCATCTTTGTTGGCGTGGCGATCGAGCTTATGGCAACTTCCGTCATCCTGCTGGAGTTCGGTGTCATTGCTGTCATTGGTAGCATGGTCAACAAATAAGACAACGTAGTTGTGTCTGCCGCCGCTGTGGTATTGTGACCTGGAGCAGGTACATGCTATGAATGAGTTGTCATAACGATGACAAAAGGGGGTGGCGTTCTCACTCTGTGTGGCGGACGGGCACCCGAGATTGGTGTAAAGGAGGGAGGCCTCCTGTCGACTATCTAGGACTCGCAGTCGATGGATATCATGCAAACCCCAACAGACTAGAATACTCTACGAATACCCCGTGTATACGACTGATAGGTAGAAATATACAACATATCTCCCGAATTCCCCCGAAGGTCCAGTTACGCTCCTTTTTGCAACAATCAAAGCTGCAGAGCAGATGCTCATCTGACACGTAGACTCAAACCTGCGCATGTAGTTAGTTCGTCGTGCATGCTGAGCGTGGCTGGGAGAAGTCCTACATATGTACGTCGTGGTATCTCCTTACTCGCTCCCTCTATCGCTGTCGGAAGGCCAACCATAGGGGAGGAGAACGATGACTTGTTGTTCTGCAGGGAGCTGCAGTGCTAATCAGGCGTGGAAGCACTCACTGTATATGTACATGGATACCTACGTTATCTTTGCCTCTTCCATGCAGACGAGATCGTCGTCAATCGCCAAGTCGGCATGTTGCCTGTTTGGGGAGTCATACTGTATTAGGTTCGATCCCTTTCACCGGTGGCTTTTGGAGCTGCAGTATCTATCTCTGGTGCCTCCATCCCGGACCGTCCGTCCCCGTTGAGTGGTAGTAGTCCAAGGTTCTAATGTACCGCCTTTTCTAAGCAACTCTTCTACGGCTGCTCTTACCATCTGTTCGCGAAGCCAGACAATTCTCACCTGATTTTCCTCATCGTGTTCATGATGAATCTACGCACGACAGGCTTCCCCCGAGTTCTACAGCCGATAAAGATGTTCTAAGTCTTGCTTGGCGAACGAGTGGTAACAGCACGCCGTTGAAGAGTTGCTTAGAAAGAGCCGTATCTCGTCAAACACCCCGTTTGCAACGCTTTCGTTTGCCGTATCTAAGCCATGTACCACGCTCGTTGGCCAGCCCAATTCCTCCACACGTAAGGGGCGGGTATGGGCATCTGAGGTCTTGGGTTTGAGTCGCCGTGAAGCCACACTGGGACGAAGGCGCGAGGGCGCGCGTTTCGTTTGTCTTGGACAGGTTGGACTGTTGGCGGACGTACGGTAACAAGAACGTATACATCCTGCATTAGGTTCGATCCCTTTTACCGGTGCCGCTTTGGAGCTGCAGTATGTATCTGAGACCTACCTACCCAGGAAGCATGATCTGGCTGTCTGGCAACCCTCTCGTTATTGGCATCAAAAGCCTAGGTATCTTCCACCCACCTTCCCCTTCAGCCGTCTGCCAACAAACGGACCTCGCAGCCTTATACATGACAGGACAGTCAGTGCTGCATACCTACGTGGGACTCGGGAAGGCCAGACCAGGACCAGGAGCCGGACGATGACTGGGCCGGCCAGAAAAGTGACGGCCCTGCATATGTATGTCACCCACATCCTCCCGTCACTCCCGCATGCAAGAGACGCACGAGAACCGCGCGGGTGAGACACAGGCTGGCATACATGACGGGGGCGGGAGCTGATTGGTCGAGGGTCTCGGTTGCTGCATCTCTCTGCACGTCAGCACGACTGCCGCGCCCGAACCCTATTGGTCTCGGGGTCGGAGGGCCGAGGGTTCGGCGGGCGAATGGACGGTGGTAGACATGAGGGGATGTGGGGGAATGGAGGAGGGGAGACGGAGACGGGTAATGTCGTACGTGAGATTGTGCCAGTGTCTCGGGATGCTGCAGGAGGCCAATCCGCTCGTATCCAATGGGTTGTCCTCTGCGTGGCCTTTTTGGCGGTGGTGACAATTAAGCAACGTGCATGTTGGTGACAACTAAGCTTCGTGCATGTCGACGTGATGATGTAATCGAGACCGCCCGTCTTACTCAGGCGTGCCGTGTTCCGGTAGATGTCTTGGATCAACCATTGGGCTATCATGTCCGCTGCGTGCTTGCGTGACAATATATTCGATGGGCTGGAAATAACTATTATGGGCAAAGGCGGAGAGTGCTCGAGGGAAAGGGGGAGAAGATGTGTTGATGATCGGTGAGTAGTAGATGTGAAGAACATGCAGAGCACGCAGTCTGTGACTGGGAACACCCGCTCATCCTCGCCTCTGCCTGTCCTCTTTGTCTCTACGTGGCTTTTATGTCGACTTTCTCGCTTTCGAGATCTCCAACAGTGTGAGAGCCGAGCGATGTCTGAGTCTGAGCGCCGTATGCAGCGTTGTCGAGAGGGTTACAGGTGTTTTTGGTTTGGGACTCTTATAATCATACATAATCGTGGGACTTTGAATCGCTTGCTCCATACTCAATCTCATGGTGCCTATGATCTTAGAGACACCGGCGCTATGGGCTCGCTGATGGAAAGAGGATTCTACTTGCATAACTTTAGTTTTACTCCTTTGTAGCGATGCAATCTTATTGAGAGTGAAAGGTGCTTATGAAGTCCTGTTGCTGTAAGACGACTTCAATTTCTTCCCGTTTTACACCGGCGCTTACAAGTAAACTACAGATAGAAACTGCAGCTCTGAAAGCCACCGGTGAAAGGTATCGAGCCTAATGCAGTACCATCCCCCCCCCCCTACTTGTCGTACACCCCCACACATCTCGTACAGCCAAACCCCACTATCACCACCAAAACACCCCATTTTTCACTTACACGTAACTAAGGTTTTTCACATTGTATAAATTTAGCAAAATTGCTACAAGTAGAACAATGATACGGCTTCAAAGCGATATACGCTGTAAAGCCGTGGCATAAGGCAATAGAAAGTTATAATAGATTTAGCCCAAGGTCTATGACGACCTTGTTTCCCATACAAATTGTATGGAGGACTAGATCTTACGCAACCATAAATAATTCAAGAAATAAAATACTCTAAAATAAACGGGTTCAAAATATTACATGCTAACTTATATAACTATATACGTACGAAGTTTCATATATATAGACCTTATATATCAAAAGTTATGAAAAAGTGATCGTTATATATGGTAGTTTTGTATGGGAGTGTACGAGATGTGGGGGTGTACGAGATGTGGGTGGGGGATGGTATATGTACCGTTCTTGCCACGCTGTGTCGGCGCCCGCTCGTCGGCTATATTATCTCACTTGAACTCATGAATGGAAATATGACATAGGTTAGAACGCTTTGGAAGGAGGTTATGTGAATGGAGTGAACCGAGCAAGCCACCCACCTAAAGGCGCATTTGCAAATTAGTAGACGACACCGACAAACCTACAATTTACCCTTGGGAATAGCGACTGTAATTTAATCTCTCACCGAGACTTCCCATGTGGTCTTGATGTGGTTGGTTGCAAGGGGTTAAAACTTCTGGATTGTGCCACTGAGAATGCGTCACATCAAGGCGGAGGTGGCATAGAGGAGATTGTGAGGTGAGAGTGGTGGAATATTGGGGTTTGGAGGCCGTCGCCCCAGCGTCATGGTAACTGGCCCCATTGGTTAATTAGCAGGAAAGGATGTCACCGAGGTAGGATCAAAATCCCCCTCGCCGCGGAAGTATTAAGCGTAGCATAGTTGGAGGCCGTCGGTCCGCGTTACGGGAACTGGCCTCATTGGATATTAGTAGACAGGATGTCACCGAGGTAGGATCAGATTCCTCCTCACCGAGGAAGTATTAAGCGTAGCATAGCCGGAGGCAGGCTGTGATGGCCTCCTGTCTGGTGGCCGGTGCGGCAATTCAGGCTAAGCTTTCGTGCCTATAGTGTAACCCTTCGTAGGGCTGTTCGTGACACGACGAGGCTCATGGGCATCATCTTGCATGGGCGAATCTAAGGTCACAGCAATGCCCGGTGGGATTTCGTGTCAGGGACCGGCCGAGGGTACGAGGCCCCGGATCGCTTGTTCTTCGGATACAACACTGCCCTTACCAGCTACTAAGATGTTGACCTGCGTCTGAAGTGATCACATTCTAGGCTGTATTCTTGTTCTATCGGTGATTGTTTGCGATCATTTGGATTACCACACATCTGATCACAGGAGGGCGTCAAAGGCCGCAAGCACGCGCATGTCAGGCTGTAAGCCTAAAACGGCCCTCGAGACTTTGGCTTTGGGTTCCTATTCAGGAGACGGCGCCTTTCGAACAGACACAAATCCTCTAACACAGGCTCCCGTTTACCATGGCCTAGCTCCGTGGCCGCGGCCAGATATCAGATGAATTGCACCCATGTAGTTGCAACGGGATACGCACGATCTCGCAGGGCACATCCGAACAGCATGTGAGGAATTCAGAACCTTGGATGTGATGTCCTCGATCCTTGTATCTGTTCCACTCCGCCGTCCGGGGTAGTTCAGGGGGTGACCCTCGAGGCTCGAGCACGTAACCGGGGTTGACGTAACGCTCATGGCCCGTCCCGTCCACCCCATGTCTAAAAAGGGCACCGTAACGGCTTAGCCTTATTGCCATCACCTATTGGCATTGGGGGGGGGGTTCTGATATTGATACCCCAAGTCGTTTTGCTGATTAGTGATTAGAGAGTGTGATTACTGATTGCCGGTAAGGTACCGGCGCAAAGTCCTGCATAAAGACGAAGAACAAATCGTAAAGCCTTCCGAAAACAGTGTTATTCTTGGTTAGGCGGCACTATTTCTATAGTCTTACCGGTTGAGTGAGGTCTGCATGTTGGAGAATACCGCATACTTTTGCAGCTTGGCGGTCCCGGTCGTCTCCGAGCTCGCTCAGTTGAATTGGCTCCCCGCATTGATCTGCTGATGGTCAATCTGGGGAAGCCAACAGGAAGAAGAGTCTGGCGAGAAATCGGGGACCGCCAACCTGCCAAATACCTAAACGTATGCGGTATGCCTTAACCTGATCGTGATGCTTGGGTCCCTGTGGCGCCTCTCTTGCCACATACACACCCCAGTTGACTAGTATGCAATTCGATTCTTAGGTCATGGTGGAATACACGGACTCAAACTGGCAGTGACAGCTAGAATGAGAACTTGGGTTACATAGCAGAATTGCGCGGCAATCACTCTGCAGGTACATGTGTCCTCCGCTCTGGGTTCTATGTGATCTCCTTAGACATCCTGGACTGTTCCATGCCAAAAACCACCCGATAATCCCGAGTCAGGTAGCCTACTCGATGCTTTAATGACTGACAGCGGCGGCTATCTCGAAAAGCCACCCAAGTAATACGCTGACAGGGGTGGGATGCTACGAAGCGAATGTTACCACGGCCCACAGAACATTTTCATATCCAAAAGGGAAGGGGGGTGCGTGGTCATCAGGCTAGGCCGCTTGCAGACAGACCGAATCAAGGGACCAAGCAGAGCCTCTTGTGTCAAGAGCATCGCTCATGGGGAGCAGAAGCTGCCGCCTTTCGGCCACGAGGTCGCATGGACAGGGTCCGGGGTATCAGTTCTGCCCAACATGCACTCCTTCGAGACGCGATGTCACCTTAACCCCTCGAACGCCGAACGGAATCGAGGAGATGCACGAGCTGACCCTTCCCTACTCATGGCGCACTCATACCACCTTACATATACGAGTATAAAAACTTCATACTCTTGCTACCTAATTTTAGTGCGCTAAGTATGTACGGATTATACCGGCGCTTATAAGCCGCTTATAATTTAATTATAATCGGATTATAATCGGATTATAGTCGGTTGAAGTTGATAGGTAAAGTTAAAGTCTATTAATAATTAAGGTTAATATTTAAAGCTTAAAGTTAATAATTAAAGCTTCGAGTTAAAGTTAAAGCTTAAGGTTTTTTTTAAATATAATAAATAATATTGTAAGTAAGTTATAAGCGGATTATAAGCGGATTATAAGCGGATAATAAGCGATTTATAGTTTTTATATATCTAGCGTACTAAAATTAGGTGGCAAGGGCATGAAGTATTCATAAGCTAAGTGGATACGAGCAGGGGTATATTTAAAAGTTGAGAGGGCTCAGCCGGTGCATATACTCAACGGAATCAAAGACAGAGAATGGTGTTGAATGCACGGATGTTGATTGATTCTATTGATTGTTCTGCTCTGCGTGCAGAGATTGATCATCTGTCTTCTTGGTGGGTCAGATGCCCTGTGCGTCTCTGCCCCACTGGAGATCTTCCGGTATCTATTTTCCGGCTCCCATTCAACACCATTCAACACATTCGTGCTAGTATCTAACAAATGGAACTTCGTGATCCCACGCCCCCCACACGTCAAGTTATCAAGCCGCATGTAAGTGGGGAGTTATTACGCGGGCCAACCCAGACTATTCCGCCATGGCCCATCTGTATCCTTGCCCCTTGCCACTGCAGTAGGCTATCCTCCATGCGGCGAAGGGCTTGTGACTTGACAATTCCCGAGAATTCCGTCTTTTCGAAGTTATGCGAAAGGGGCAATCGGTTTTATATGGATTATGAACTGGAAAGACTCTGCGCGGAAGGGCTGACTGTAATCCTCGGCATTCGCTCGGCAGTCTCTCTTCGACCAGGTTAGAGAGATACATGGGTGCGGCGCGGGGGCTTCGGCCCGGCTTATTCCCACGCTGGTCCAGGACGTCGCCGATAGTATGTCATCTGGACCGAGGGCGCGGTCTGCGTTTGACTGCTGCGAGCCAAGCCCTACACTGCAGAAATGGGGTGCAATGAGGTGCGTCAAAATCGGGTGATTTTGGCCGAATGTGGCCAGGCTTACTCAATGGCCGTACGACGCTGCGAGTGGCTTATCATGACATGTCAACTCATCACGTACTCTACTCACGACACGAATGCGTTAAAACGATCCCAAAACAGGATGTAGGGATAAGTGCCTTCAGTTTCTCTGATCACGTAACTGGTCGCTCAGTGGAGGCAGTGGAGACGACTGGAAATCAACCCCCATCTCCAGATGCCCCAGCTAGGGTATTGCAGGTGCTATCGAAATATATCCACTGCCATACAGGCGTTCGATGCGATGCAGGGTAGCGGAGGCATGCCGGCTCCACCCGGACGACGTTTAGGAGCCGCTGTTGGTTCGTGGGAAATAACCCCTGACTATTCTTCAACGGTAATCTGTCACTTCTGCTGTCTAGCTGCATAGCCCATTACTGATACACGTAGGCTACTGCACCGTGAGTGGCATGCAGACCGCCGGGTGGCTTCTTCTGTTCTGATCTAGTCGACTGACCTCACGTTGCCCGTTGATGCAGGAGAGGCATTGAAGCTCTGGAAGCTCGGTGGACGGGGGAATCAAGCCGACGACGCTCTCGCTCTCGCATCTTGATTTGGAACGCTGAGTGAGGACCCTGGGCGCTAACCTCCCATGCGACTTCCCACTTCCCACTTCCCGCCTTCGGTGCTGCTCTTCGGCATCTGTCAAGCCAGGGGGCAGATGTGGAGAAGCATGCATGTCCCAAAGGCACGTAAGATATAAGTCACCGAGTGTCCTCTACCCACAACCTTGGAGGTGCTGGATTTGTTCTCCCTTGTGTTCTTCTTATATAGGTGGCAGGCAACACTCTGAAGTCTGGCACTGCTGTAGGATTTTTGATTTTTGATTCGGTTCAACACGAAGGCAGAGGATCTTTCAACATCCCATTCAGCAGCCACTTTTATATACGCAGCTCCTCAGTAGTGTCACGAGGAAAGCAAGTGACAATGGCACACGCACAACAAGACATCGAGGCGATCCTCGCCCAGGATGGCGCCATGCCCATCGCCATCGTGGGTGTCTCGGGCAGATTCCCAGGAGATGCGTCGACACCAGAGAAACTATGGGACATGGTCTCCCAGGGAAGAAGTGCGCTCACCGAGGTGCCGAAAGAACGCTACAACGTCGACGGATTCTACCATCCCAGCGGTGAACATCAAGGCACAACGACTACACGAATGGGCCACTTCATTGAGTCGGACGTCGGTCTTTTCGACGCCCCCTTCTTCAAGATCTCTGCCCAGGAGGCACACGCCATGGACCCCCAGCAGAGACTTGCTCTCGAACTTGCGTACGAAGCCTTGGAATCAGGTACGGCGAAGCTCCTTCAAAGCTCATCGCGACATGAATTAACAGAAACTTCGCAGCTGGCATGACCATCTCAGATATCGCGAAATCCACGATGGGTTGTTACATGGCAACCTGTGTTAGGGATTACGCCGCGATCCGCGCGATCGATCCCGATGACTACCCGTAAGTGTAATCAGCCTTTCCAGACATTGTCCCCCGAGCTCACACCATTCAAGTCGATATGAAGCGAACGGTTCCATGGGTACTGCTATGATTTCCAACAGAATATCGTGGTTCTTCGATATCAAGGGAGCCAGTTTGACTTTGGACACCGCCTGCTCGTCATCTCTCGTTGCTCTTCACTTGGCTGTGCAGGCCATTCGCACTGGAGAATCAAATTCGGTAAGCCAACATGACGATCCAGTCTTAGGGAGTATTCGTGTGCTGATAGCTTTGACCAACATAGGCGCTTGTTGGTGCTACGAACTTGATTTTGATGCCGCACACGTCCAACCACCTGAGTACATTACAATTCTTGAGCCCGACAGGAAAGTCTCAGTCGTTCGACCACAGGGCCAATGGCTAGTAAATACTCCATATTCCTTTTCGTCTTGACTAACTACCCCGTTTCCCCTTTTCCATAAGGAGGGGGGAGCCGCGCCACTTAGCGCAACGGGTCGGGCCGACGTCTTGGCTTAAGAATGACCGCTGACGGCCTAAACTTTTAGTTCCCGTGGTGAAGGTGTGTCCTTCATCGTCGTCAAGTCGTTGGCCGACGCCCTCAGAGACGGGGACGTCATTCGTGCAGTGGTCCGAGGTACATCTGTGACGCAAGACGGACGAACTCCCGGTAAGCCAGCAGGAGCTTCACAAGTTAACTCATCATCCTGGAACGTGCACTAATGATGATCACACAGGTATCAACTTGCCGTCTTCCGAATCCCAGGAAGAACTGATCAGAGCCGCATACGCCAACGCGGTCCTGGGCACTGAGGACACTACCTATTTCGAGGCTCACGGTCCCGGTAAGACTTGACACTCATGAGCGTTCTCACCTCACAGCTAACTCCATTCGTCCGCTAGGTACCCCTGCTGGAGATCCTCTCGAAACTTCTGCTATTGCGAAGGTGTTCGGAAAGCACCGATCTCCTGAAGATCCCCTACACATCGGATCAGTCAAATCAAACATTGGCCATTTAGAAGCCGGTGCTGGTCTTGCGGGTCTCACGAAAGCGTTATACGCCCTGGAGAAGGGACAGATCCCTCCCAACATTTGGTTTGAAAAGCCCCATCCTAAGATTCACCTGAAGGAATGGAACCTTGCAGTAAGTCACCCAACACCTGAATGCAGGTCCGGCTGTAGTGTCCGCTGACACTGATTATCATCAAGGTCCCTACATCACTGGTCCCATGGCCGACAGATGGCTTGCGTAGAGCCAGTATCAACTCTTTCGGCTATGGCGGAACGAACGCCCATTGCATTCTGGACGATGCGTACCACTACCTTAGCAGCCGAGGCCTCACAGGAAAACACAACACTGCCACAGTCGTTCCGCGGCTCGAAAAGCCAGCGGATGGGCTTGACTCGCCCGACACCGACTCGGCTTCAGACACTGGTGTCGTAAACTCGGAAGTAGCCAGTGCCGGTGACAGCGGGACTCCGGTCTCCGATATCTCGGAGGACCTGGGCGAAATTTCGTCTACCCCCCAGCTCCTCGTATGGTCCTCTCACGAGCAAAGCGGCATTGGCAGAACCGCTGCGAACCTGCAAGCATATCTCAAAGAAACTGATTCTCTACCCTCGGAGCAGCCGACTTTGCTGAAACGACTGGGCTACACCTTATCGGCTCGCCGTAGCAGACTGCCATGGTCGTCGTTCGTGGTGGCGTCGGATCTGGCAGAAACAGTCAAGGAGTTGGAGACACCTAGCAAGCCACTGCGGCCTGCTGTCGACCTCTGCACGATCTTCGTGTTTACTGGTCAAGGTGCTCAGTGGTTCGGCATGGGTCGCGAACTCATGGCCTACCGGACGTACAGGACCCGTATGGAAGAAGCGGCGGCGCATCTCAAAACCCTCGGATGCGAATGGGACTTAATCGAGGAACTCTCTGCCTCGCAAGCCGATTCGCGCGTGAACGAGCCCCAGATCAGCCAGCCGGCGTGTACCGCCGTCCAAGTCGGCCTTGTTGATCTCCTCAAGGAGTGGGGTGTGACGCCTTCAGTCACCCTTGGTCACTCCAGTGGTGAGATTGGTGCGGCGTACGCCAAGGGTGCTCTGTCAAGAGAGACCGCATGGACAGTCGCTTACCACCGTGGACGTCTCTCCTCCAGCCTCCAAATCACCGGAGCTATGTTGGCTGTCGCGCTAGGCGAAGATGAGGTGAAGCCGTTCATTGACCAGTGCACTACGGACCCCAAGCCAGTGGTGGCTTGCATCAACAGTCCCCAGAGCGTGACCCTATCGGGTAGCGTAGAAGGCATCGACCAAGCGGTGGAAATCATCGGCAGCCAGGCTTGGGCCAGGAAGCTTCTCGTCAAGACACCATACCACAGCCCTTTCATGAGGGCACTCGCTGAGCCATACTACGAGTCCATGCAAGGCATTACTGGCGGTACACCTACAGCGACCCGCATGTTTTCGTCCGTCACTGGCAAGGAGATCGACGATGCCGATCTCATCAACCCTCAGTACTGGGTGGACAACATGGTCTGCGCTGTCAAGTTCAGTCACGCCTTGGACGCAGCTCTGAATGACGAAGCAGTTCTCGGCAAATCCCTTGCATTCATCGAGGTCGGACCCCACGGCGCCCTCCAAGGCCCAATCAAGCAGATCTTGAAGGCGCAAAAGGAACAACCTCAAGACTTCAATATGCTAAGTCTGCTGATGCGGAAAGAGGATGCCATCCGCACAACGCTCAAGGGCGTGGGTATCATCTTCCAGAAGGGCTACCCGGTTGATGTCAGCAAAGCGAACCACGTTGACTCGAAGCAAGAGATGCCGGCGCACCTCGTGGACCTGCCTCCCTTCTCCTGGAACCACAATTCTAGATACTGGTACGAGACCGCCATGTCGACTGCGTACCGGAACCGGAAGGAGCCCAAGCACGACTTGCTCGGAGCGCGCGATGTGTTCTCCAACGATGGCGAGCCAGCCTGGCGAAACTACTTGCGCCCTTCGGAGCTTCCATGGGCCAGGCACCATGGAGTTGGTGACAAGTTCCTGTTCTCTGCTGCAGGCTTCCTGACTATGGTTGTCGAAGCCGTGCGCCAGACTGCGGAGCCCGGCAAGACGATCGAGGCCATCCAGTTCCGAGATGTCTTCCCCGGAGCAGCGATCATCCTCAACGACTCCGAGGACAGCCCTATCGAGACGAAGCTTCAGCTGCGGAACTGGCGTCTGGCCTCCCGATCTCTGACGACATACTGGAAGGAGTTCAGCATCTCAAGCCGGACGCGCGATGGCACCTGGTCTCAGCACAGCACCGGTTTGGTCTCGCTGAAATACGCATCTGACAACCACGCGTCCACCTTCGCCGACGAAAACGCCTCTTTCGCCGAGACGTACCGTCAGGAGTACTCGCGCATCAAGGATGCTGACCTCAAGCCCCACAGCGGCTCTGAGTTCTACTCCAAGTTCGAGAAGATGGGCATGCAATGGGGCGAGACGTTCCAGAACCTGGTCGAGTCGAGCGCGGCCGGCAACGCCGTCACCGCCACGCTGAAGGTGCCCGACACCAAGTCCTGGATGCCTGCCAACGTCGAGTCGCCCAACGTCATCCACCCCGCCACGCTTGACGGCATCTTCCACATGCTTCTGGCCTGCGACGGCGTCGAGAAGATCACAGTGCCCAAGTACATTGAGCGCATCTATCTCTCGACCAAGTTGCCGACCGAGCCAGGTTCTAAGCTCCAAGGTTTCGCTGAGATCAAGGAGAAGTGGGCCGATGGCACCAACGGCACCGTTGTCCTGTCTGACGAGAAGTGGGATGAGCCTCTGCTCATCTTCGAGGGCTTGAAGTCGACAGACTACAACTCCGACTCCAAGGATGAAGAGGATGCCGAGGCCAAGATCGAGGCAGTCAAGAAGCTGGGTGCCTACTCGACGTGGCACGTCGACGTTGAGAACTCCCCTGAGGCCACCAAGGCCATCTTGGAGAAGGCCGTCAGCAGCGCTCCTCAGATCCTGTACGACACTGTCCAAGACTTGGAATGGGGCGCTTACATCGTCTGCAAACGCATGACCCAGCGCTTCACCGATGAAGATTCCAAGCGCATGGCGCCGCACCACCTCGTCTTCTACAACTACATGAAGCGCCAGTGCGACCTCGGCAAGGCGGGCGAGCTGCCCTGTCAGACCCCTGAGTGGTCGACCGCCAGCAAGGCCGTCGAGGACGAGGTGCTGTCCCGTGTTGCCGCGGCCAGTCTCGAGGGAAAGATGATGTGCCGCATCAACGACAACGTCGAGAGCGTGCTACTGGGCGAGATCGAGCCGTGGGAGCTGATGAACCACGACAATGCGCTGAACGACATGTACAGATACGGTCTGTCTGATGAGCGTACGCCCGCTGTCCAGTGCGAGTACATCAGCCGCCTTTCGCACAAGCGACCGCTGCGTATCCTCGAGGTCGGAGCCGGTACTGGTAGTGCCACCAGTCGCATCCTCGCCGCTCTCGGGCCTGAGGTTGCTGGTCGCCTGACAAAGTACACCTATACCGATATCAGTGGTTCCTTTTTTGCCGAGGCCGCGGAAGAGTTCAAGGACTACCGCGCCATGATGGACTTCAAGGTCTTGAACATCGAGAACGAGCCTGCCCAGCAAGGTTTCGAGGAGGGCTCATACGACGTAGTCGTTGCCTTCCAAGTCCTCCACGCCACTTCGTCTATTAGCACCACCCTGGCCAACTGCAAGAGGCTCCTCAAGCCAGGCGGACACCTGATCGCCACAGAGTTGACCAGCAAGATCGCCAGACGTTCAGTCGTCTTCGGTGTACTGGCCGGTTGGTGGCTCGGCGAGGCCGACGACCGACTATGGGGTCCCGAGCTCTCTGAGGAGGGCTGGGATGAGCGCCTCAAGGCCGTCGGGTTCTCCGGCGTTGACCTGTGCTTCCGCGATCGCGAGGATGTCGGCTGGTCTTCTTCCCTGGTTGCGTCGACTGTTCCTCTTGAGTCGGAAGTCATCCCGGTGAAGAATGTCACCATCATTAAATCGTCCGAGGAGTCGTCCCACACCAAGGCTCTGATCGAGCAGCTTTCCAAGAAGCTCACAGCCGACGGCGCGACGGTAGAAGAGAAGACACTGTCAGAGCTCGCGAGCGCAGATCTGACTAAGTCAAGATGCATCGTCGCCACCGAACTCGACAAGCCCATCTTAGCTCACCTTGATCAGTCTGAGTTCGACGCTATCAAGAACGTGTTCGCTCGGTCGGAGGGTACTCTCTGGCTGACAAACGGAGGTTTCACCATCGACAGCCGAGATCCCGAGCTCAACATGATCACGGGTCTCGCACGAACAGTCCGCGGTGAAGACCCGCAGATCCGCCTGACCTGCCTGGATCTCGACCCTGATCTACCGCTCGAGGCCGAATCCGTAACCGACACAGTGCTGAAGGTCCTCAAGCTCAACGGAGACGCGAGCAACGCCGACCACGAGTTCGCGGAGCGCAACGGCTCCCTCCACATCCTGCGTGTCTGCACCAACGAGACGCTCACCAGACTGCTGAAGCCCAGCGAGAATGACGATAGTCACCTGTCGATGCAGCCCCTCAAGCAAGAGGGCCGCCCATTGAAGCTCGGAATCAAGGCTACCGGTGAGCTGGACAGCTTCCACTTCAGCGACGACACCGAGTACGCCACGCCCCTGGGCGACGACGAGGTCGAGATCGAGGTCAAGGCCGTCGGTCTCGACCAGTACGACATGGTCGTCGCCGTGGGTCAGATCTGGGACGTCAACCTCGGCATCGAGTGCAGTGGTGTCGTGTCTAGGCTTGGAAAGGACGTCACCAACTTCGCCGTAGGAGACCGCGTCCTGACATGTGGTAACGGCTGGTACAAGACCTACATCCGCAACAACCAGGCGATGTTCCAGAAGCTGCCCGAGTCGTTATCCTTCGAAGAGGGCGCGACGCTCATGATTGCGTACGGAACAGCCGCCTACAGTATCTTCAACGCCGCTCGCCTCGAGGCCGGCGAGACGATCCTGATCCACTCCGCGGCCGACGTCCTCGGACAAGCTGCCATCAACATGGCGCAGCACATCGGTGCCGAGGTGCTCGTGACGGTCTCATCCGAGACAGAGAAGAACCTGCTCAAGGAGACCCACGGCATCCCTGACGACCACATCTTCAGCAACAAGGACGCGGGCTTCGTGCAGGGCATCAAGCGCGTAACCAAGGGCCAGGGCGTCCAGGTCGTCATCAACTCGCTGACGGGCGAGCTGCTGCGGCAGACCTGGCACTGCATCGCGCCCTTCGGCCGCTTCATCGAGCTCGGCGTCAAGGACATCAAGAGCAACACGGGGCTGGACATGGTGCCTTTCCTCAACAACGCGAGCTTCGCCGGCGTCAACGTGCTGGCCATGTACCGCACGAACCCGCGCGTGTCCGCCCGCCTCATGGCCGACGTGCTCAAGTACTACGCGCAGGGCGTCTTCAAGCTCGTCAAGCCCCTGAACGTCAAGAAGTTCTCCGAGATCGCCGACGCGTTCCGCATGCTGCAGTCGCGGAGATACGTCGGCAAGGTCGTCCTGCAGGCCGTTGATGATGATGTCGTCCCTGTCACTCAGGGCAAGAAGCCTGAGCTGACGCTGTCGCCTGAGGCGACGTACCTCATCCCGGGTGGTACTGGTGGTCTCGGTCGCCCGCTTCTCCTCTGGATGGCTAAGAAGGGGGCCAAGTACTTGGCCGTGACTTCTCGTTCCGGCGCCAAAGACCCTGAGGTACAGAAGATTCTCGAGGAGCTGGCCAACCTCGGTGTGAAGACCAAGGTCTTTGCTGCCGACATCGGTGACGAGGCGCAGTGCCAGAATGTGTTGGACGAGCTGGCAGCGGCCGACTTCCCTGCCATCAAGGGTACCATGGTCCTAGCGATGAACGTCCAGGTAAGTCTTTTCCCGGATCCGATGACAGTATGAACTCAACTAACTGAAATAGGACTCCATGTTCGACACCATGTCCCTCGACGCCTGGCACGGCGCCATCCGGCCCAAGTACAAGGTGACGACGAACCTGCACCGCCTGCTGCCCAAGGACCTCGACTTCTTCATCTGCATGTCGTCGTCGGCGGGACAGATCGGCTCGATCGCGCAGAGCAACTACAACACGGGCAACGTGTACCAGGACGCCATCATGCACCACCGGCGCGCGCAGGGGCTCGCCGGCACGTCGATCGACCTGGGCTGGATGGGCGACATCGGGTTCGTGTCCGACGGCGGCAAGGTGCCCGAGATCGTGCGCATCGGCGCGCCGCAGATCTTCTCGCCGCAGCTGTACGCCGTCCTCGAGGGCGCCATGGCGTCGAGTGGCCAGGGTACGAGCAGCAAATTCCGCAACCAGCCGATCCTCGGGCTGGCCAGCGGCGGTCTCGTCAAGGCCAACGGCTTCGACGAGCCATACTGGTTCGCTGACGCGCGGTTCGCGCCCATGCGCGTCTACGACACGCAGAACCTGACCTCGAGCGGGGCCGCGAAGGCCAGCAGCGCGGGCAGCGTCGACCTGGCGGCCGTGCTGGGCGCGGCCAAGAGCATGCCGGACGTGGTGAGCGTCGTGTGCGCGGCGCTGATGGCCAAGCTGGCCAAGGGCCTGATGATGGAGCTCGAGGACCTCGACACGAGCCGGCCCATCAACACGTACGGCGTCGACAGTCTCGTGGCGGTCGACATCCGCGCGTGGGCGCTCAAGGACCTGCAGAGCGTCGTGCACGTGTCCGAGATCCTGAAGAACGTGCCCATGGTCGAGCTGGCGGCGCATATCGCTTCCAAGTCGAAGTTCTTGCCGGCTGCGCTGCAGGAGAAAGCGGCTGCTTGAGGGATAAGTTACAGGGGGCGAAGGGGGGCCCGGGATAGAGGTTGGCGGGTTGAGGGAGAGAGTAGAATGTATCCTAGATCTTTAGACTCGGCCATAGCGTTTCATTTGTTTCCAATTAGCGTTTCGATCTTTCAATCCAGTCCCAACTGCAATTCACACCAAGTGCCATGTGTTGTTGGCTTCCTGAACTAGGGGCCCGCCGTCTGCGCCTCTCACGATCCGTGTACTATCAATCAAATCAGGGGTAGTTAGGGTTCAGTCAGTTCAATCAAGGGGTCTTTGCGCTAACTCCAATTCAATCAAAGGGTCCTCTCAGAGGACTCCTCTCCACCTTCGCCGTCATCTCCGACGCCGAAACCCAGGCTGGCATCAGCCGCCTTGTTATAAAAGCGAAGCGTGTGAGCTGGCCCATTGGGACCAGCCCCCATTGCCCTGACGGCTACCTCGGAGTGGGCGACTTCTACTATCACGGATGGAACGCGAGCGCACAACGGTTACAATAGGGGTTCTTACGGCAACGGTCGACACCTCGCTGCGTACTACGGCTCCGCGGTCGCCTACATGTGCTCATATTCGAGCAGCGGCAACCCCAGCTCCCGCGACGAGTGGGCGGCGGCTGTCGATTGGACCGAAGGATCGTGCTCTGGAGGGTACGTACACAAACAGAATGCATGACTGGTAACGTGGTGATAAATGCAAAGGCCATAGTCTCGTCCAACGTGAGTGAATGATCCAACACAAGCTTCACACCAGACTTTTCCTCCAAGCAGTTTCATAACGTCGATCACGATGCCCTAAGTTCATACATGATCGCCCCCACGGCTCTCCTCGGTTCTTTTGGACTGCATGGTTTTCAGCTGGAGGTGGTAGCTAAGATCGGCTGAAGTTAGGTCGTCAAAGGTTCCCAAGGTCGTATCCCCACGCGCCGAGCTTCGCGCCCCAGAGCGATAGAGATTACGGATGAACTTACGCATCCCCGACAAATTTGCGTCGTTCATTATGGGCGAAATCTGCGGCGTCACATCGCCGTCTTCCGGTGCAAGATTCGGAGAGCTCTCGCCTGCACTGTGGCGGGGACTGTGGCGGGGACTGCGGCGTTCCCTAACCCAGGAGCTTACAGACTTGCTGAAGTTCGTGAAGCGGCCGACAAACAGGATGGACACGACGGGCATCGAATGGCAGATGAGACCCACGTTGAGCTCAACGATACTGGTGTGGGCCAGGTCAGTGTCAGTTGTGAATGGTTCTGACATCCCCCGCCGCAGTCCAACGTGCTGCTGAATCCGTGAGGACGAGAAAGAGGTAAGCTTACCTCGTAATATAGACGGGAACTATCGTCCAAGTAAAGTCTGATCGGTCGAAAACCTTCTTATTGGAGCGGATGATCAGGTTCGTCGAACCAGCACCAGCAGCCCTGCATAGAAACGTTAGCGCACCCCCATTTGACATTAAAGTAGCTACTCACAGCAAGCCGGTGGAGAAGATAATACTGATGCCGATCTTCCTCCTTAGAGAGAGACCTAGTTTCGGTATCTGAAGAAGCGGAATGAATAGGATGTAGAAGTCGGTAATGACGTTCATGTAAGCGGCGGCAGTGATCAGATCCACGGATATGCCATTGCAACGATCCAGAAACGAGGGGGCAAGCCAATTGCCACCTTCGCTTGGCCATGGGGAGCATGCGACGAGATTGACGATCACAAAGACAACGCCAAAGGTGACCACGATAGCCATGCCAGCCCATATCATGTATCTCGCGCGCGTGACGGGGTTGAACAGCCGAAGATTAAACACCAAGAACGCTACCTTGATTGTGGTGTTGCTGATGCGAATAAGGACCGCGTCCGCCAAAGAACCCTGCAGATAGTCGTGATTATTGAGCATCGTGGCACTGCTAGGAGTCCAGGGCATGAGTCTTACCTTCTGATATTCAACATAATGTGAAAGCGGTACATCCCAAAGATGTATACCTAGTATGCCACCACCTGGCTTCCAAAGAACTGCAGATTGTTGTGTTAGTGGAATGCATCACAGCCAGCTACGAAATCTGGGTTGGGGAGACGGGAGTACGGACGTTTGAGTATGGGGGAAGAATAGGAGAAGGTCAAAAATATAAGCGGTCGCTATGTCAGCGCCTGTCCAGAGCATCACAGCCGCTGTGAGCTACTGGGCAGCAACGAATAGAGCCTCACCGTCGCAGCTATACAGAGCCCTAGCCGAGATTGTCAGTCCGGAGGCTTCTTCATGAACAGGCAGAAGAACATACAGCCATCCGCACCGAGCGAGCGGGTGATCTTCAGTCGGGAATAGATACGCGAAGGTATCAGCAGAACTATCACAGCAGATAGTACGGCGATAAGGATGTACACCTGGCGAGACCGTGATTCGGGATTGGTGAAATTGGACACCTGCCCGGGAGGCGGCGGTCTCACGGGGGTGTTGTCCATATAGCCAGGATCCATGCTGGTGGATATCCGCGCGTTGCGATGCAGGCTTCAGTGAGGTGTAGATGACAATGGCTAGATCAGATGAATCGATTGAAAGCGTCTGTGTCTGAAGGGATGTGCAGTTGGGGACTCGTCCTTTGCGAAGCGTCTGCTGTTTTAAATACGAGGGGCCTGACCTTCCTGCCTCCTGAGCCGCAGCGCATCCCTTCCGTGCCACCCCAAAGGTGCAAGAAAACATTTGAAGTCAATGGCCGGTGCACGTGTAACACGTAGGTACCTTGGTATTGCATGCAACGGCTGCACTGGTATACCGCTGGTTGGTTCTCCCTTACAGCTCTCACGTCACCGTCCGAGAGCCTTGCTTTTATGATCTTGATTCTTCATCAGGGGGGCGTGGTACTATCGGGAGTACTTGCAACAAACCATGGGATCTCGCGTACCAGACACTCCAACCGTGTCCGATAAACCAACTGGTGTGCTAATCTCAAAGCCAGACTTCCACTCAAGATTCAGCACCTGGTAGGCCCATCACGTCTTCATGCTGCACACTTGTTGCTGCCCTGGCTGACTGCACAGGCATCACATGGATTCTGCCTCGTCTCTACAGGCAACTGCAGCCTTCATTTAGATACACACAATTACAGATATTCTGTCCTGCATTACTTCTATGTGATTCGCGTAAATTCTCAACTGGCCGTGCTTTCCCACATGCAGTTTGAGCCTTGTGTAGTGGGCTCAGGGCTGGCAAGTGGCATTTCATGACCATCTATGAAGGATTGTTGTACATCACGAAGAATGCGATGATGGTTCTATCAGCCCGTGTGCCTTGTGACATTGATTTGCCATACAGACCGACGGGACAGATCTGAGACACGAGACACCTCGGTGACGCCGAGTCGTCCTTGTTTTATCACTGCCAATCATTCAGAATCGTCTCGCCCTCCTTCACATGCGCATATCGTATGCTCTCTTTCCAGATCATCTTGCGCTTCTGTTGATCCTTGGATTCGGCGCTGGTTTCTAGCAGCTTTGTATCGAAGAAATACAAGCCCTTTGGAAACTCGCCTAGGCTTGGATCAAATGCCGCGCGAAGGACTTGCGATGCCGACTTCTGTGTGCTACGCACTTGCCCGTCCGGCCACAGATATGCGACAACCGGATAGATGATCTTGAAAACCAAGACGCGGATGACCACGACGCGCGGCGCGTCATACCCGTCATCATTCTGCCTGGGTCCACGCCCAAGATGCAGACATTCTTCAGAAGAGGATCGCGTTCCATCCGGCATTGGAGCTCGTGGACCATCATGATAGAGAAGAGTTTAGCCGCGCCGTAACGACGGGAGCCGCTGCGCCATGACGGGTCCTCCTGCGCAGAGCTCCAAGTGCCTCTGGCTATTGCTTCGAATCCGGCCTGGTCGTGCACAATAGTCTTATACCTGTCATCGGTGTAAACCTGGCCTTCTTCATTGCGTTTATCGTAAGGACTGACACGTCAATGCCTCATGTCAGCTGCCGTACGTCAGGTACGTCAAGGGAAATAAGCACTTACTCGTGGACCTCACTTCCCACCAGCACTATACGCCCAGAGTCCTTGTTCATACTCTTGAGCAAGAGAAGCGTCAGTAGGAACTGGCCGAGGTAGTTCGCACTGAAGGTGACGTCAAAGCCATCCTCTGTCCAGACTTGTTTGCCAAAGTCCTGGAACCCAGCATTGAGTATAAGCGCCTGGATAGGCGGTATGCCTCCAGAGGCAATTCGGGTATTGATCGTGCCAGCGGCTTGGCGCACGCTGTCGAGATTTGTCAATTCCATCGAGACTATCTCGTGAGAGTGCGATGTTGTTGCGAGTATTGGCCTGAGGGCGGGCGCTGCGGCGTCGCGAACCACGTAGACGCCATGGAACCCGGCCAACTCAGGTTCGGACGCGATCTGGTTTGCAATAGCGACCCCAAGGCCTCCATTGGCGCCAGTGACCAGAATCGTCCCCTTGGCAATACTCATTCTGGTCCAGAGCTGCAAGTACTTGCTGTCCGATGAGTATCTCGGAGTTGGTGTTGTTTGCTCGAGAAATCGGTCGGAGAGAGAGGAGTGTAGGTACCTAGAGTACCTAGGCTGTGGCACTTGACGGCCGGAGAATACGGAGGTGTGGACTCGTACAGATGAGAGAGACGGGATGGCGCGTGAGTGAGGATGTGAGGAATAATAAGCCCTCTACTTGACCTCCAGCAATTACTACCTTTGCTTGAATTGGTCGCAAGTTTATGCTGCGGTAGTACTCAGGCACGGAGGTTGGGTGAGAGATGTTGGGTTTTGGTTGCAAATTTATGGTGTGGTAGTACACAGGTAGGGGTGTTGAGTGAGATATGTTGGTAGTTGGTCGCTCCTCACCGGTTCAATACAGGCCGGTCATCGCCAAATAAGCGAAAACCCGCATGAGTACCAATTGTGCATGAGATTCCATCTCAGCCTGCTTCTCCAAAGACGGCGACCATGCAAGGGGTTTCTTCCCAGCCAGTAAAGGGGTCGAGAAATAGCGAAGTAGTCGATTTCCTCAGATCGCGCATCGCGACCGCAGCAACACGAGCAGTGAGGTGCTTTCTTTGGCCGTACTGAACACTCGAGTATACTGAGATATAGTGATAGGCGCTGATCCCGTCCTTTCCACCAATCTGCCTCCTCAGGTTTCTTGACCATGACCAACCTCCTGGAAGACCTCCTGGTTGCGAAGAAAAAGGTGGGGATTACATCACGTGACACTCACGTGCTTCACTTCATGAACGCGCCTCAAAATGTTTACGTGCGCGTCGCCTTTCAACCAAACAACCTTTTTCTCACGGCAAGCCAACATGACGTCCATTCCAGCCAGACAGCCCCTTGCTGCCGTCAGCAAAAATGTTGTAATTACGCCTGCAGCAACTGCGGGCAAGAATCCAGTAAGAAAACAGACGTATTTTGATCAGAAGCACTCCCTGACCTGCGAAGGCCAACAAACGCAAAGCTTCCGATGAGCCTCGAGAGGAGGTCGATATTGACGATGACCGATGCCAAGAGGTTGATATCAGCTGTGACCGTGTTCGTACCAAGATCCGCGACTTTATCGCCTCTGGAGAAATGAAGGCCGGCGAGTAAGAACCACTCATCCATGATTCTTCGGCAGGGTGAGAGCGCCACTCTCCACCGTTGCGCCTTCTCAGATATATGTATGGAAGATGCTGGCTCTCCATTTCTAGATTCCAGAAAGCAATCGGCGCGAACAGTAAGTCATACTACTCGTTCATGAATCAGAGTGGACCGTTCAAGGGCTCGGGCTCCTGCGTCTACACAAACGCATTTGCGTTCTTCAAGCAGCGCGAGTTGAATGGTATCAAGGCACCGAAAAAGCCAAAGGTCGCGAAAGAGGTCGACGAGCTGCAACATAACGTTTCGTTTATCGAGCTGGAGGGCGAGGCGGAGGGAGAGGTTGAAGTCTACGACAGCTGCGATGGAATCAGGAAGAAAATCAACCGCTACCTTGCATCTACCTCGATCACCAAGGCCGCATTCGCGCGGGAGATATCCAAGACCTACGCTGGCAAGAAGCAGGTTTCAGCCGCGGTGCTGAGCAGCTTCCTAGCTAAGAACGGAGTCCTGACGGGCAACACAAGTGCTGCCTTTTACGCTTCATATGTGTTCTTCGAGAAGATCCGTATTAGAGACGGCAAACCAAAGAGCGAATTCAGGCTGGATATGGAGGATGAATGGATTGTTCCGGAACCGTATAGCAGATGGGACAAACCCGGAGTGGATCTAAAAACCTTGTTCGACAAGGTGTCGTACATTATTCCTGTGGGACGTCCCGGGCCATACATGAACAAGTACGGCAAAGTGAGGAGTTCCGGTTGGTAGAGGTTTACAAGTGGCGGGCGTTTTAAGAGGCATCTTGATTTAGATTCCACGAAGTGTCGCAGGACGCTATATCATATTAACTGTACGGATCATCAGAACAATCACACCAAGTGTGTTTACCAGTAAGTTTCGAAACCTCGATTGATTGATTTCAGCATACCGCTGTTTATCCCCCCGCTTCTCAGGCAATGTTTACGCCTTCCGAGAAGTCCTCGCCAAGGGGGAAGCAAAATCAGCCGAAATCATAAGCGATGGAACACTTTCACTGAGGGCTTGTGATCGTCCAGGTGATTCGGCAGCTGCGAATAGCGACACCTCTTCCAGTTTCGTGACCGGGAGGCATATGTGGTGGAGTTCAGAGTGGCCCAGTGAGGCAGGAGTACTTTTGGCTACCATTGGAGAGAGAGGGCCTCACTCACGGGGGGTCATATGGAAGCCGCCGATGCACAGGGGTCGAATTTGGACCAATAATGGTGGTAGAGCACCATCCACCGTATTTTAGCAGCCCACTTACGAGTCATGGAACGCTTTCATCAAAATGATTGATCCGGCGTCTGGCCAGATGAACGCTTTGCAACCTTTCCCCCTGGAGCGTTGCTCACCCCCGCCGTGTACACCGTCAGCGCGCACCTCACACCCTTCTGTTAGGCAGCAGTCCATGTACAAGAAGCCAACTATCACAATACTGAGCGATACATCAATATTCCCACAGCATTCGTGACCTCCTTTCAATTCCTCCTGTTTTCCATGTCAACATGCCTATCTGCGAGATCTGCAATGTGCTCGACATAGAAGACCCCCGTGCAGAGTTCCAGCTAGGGGAGTACAGCGCTCTCGTCGCTCGTGCAGACGAAGGCTGCAACTCCTGCAAGTTCTTCTGCGACGTGATCCAAACCTCTAGTCGCTGGAGAGAGAGGCTGACCGAGATTCCCGGCCACATCGTATTCTTGGCGAGTCGACGTCTGGATGTTAGGAAGGCGGACCGATTGGATCGGCGTACGTATAGCTCGGATGACTTGGAATTGGATATCTGCGTTCCGGAGGACTATGTCGGTAAGTACAACAAGTTGAAATATGAACATTTTAAGAATGATTGGCTGATACTCGGATGTAGGTCCCAAAGATGATGAGGTTGATCGTATTCGCTCTATCGGTACGAGCTCCTCTGATGAGTCCTGTTTCGTACAAATCAGATCATGGCTGGCTCAATGCTCGCCACATGAGCACTGCCCGAAACTGATAGAGGTCCCGTTGCCAAATAAAGTCATCGAAATACCCGGAGATCCCCAGCTGTCGCCAAAACTTGTTCTGTCCAGGGGCAAATCTGGCCATTATGCCACCCTCAGTCACTGTTCTAACAAGAGGTTGTCTTTCGACTTGTAAGACGATACCGAGATCGATCCAGATTCTTCACCCAAGACATTTCAAGATGCACTGGCCATCGCACGTCACCTAGAGATCTCCTATCTCTGGATCCGCGATCTCTGCAGCAACGAGAGAGATCCAGCCGCCTCAGCCGAAGAGTTACACAAGCTCGGAGCCATCTACTCGAACTCTGCACTCATCATCTCAGTCAGAACCGGAGACGACCTCAACTCAGGCATCTTCAGCACGCGGCCGATCCATTGCTCGCCCGTCCTCGGACAGAAAAAGCTGCACTGTCTCCGGCCAAGAATGCTTCGGTGGACCGACGCCATCGACTACGGCTTCAGCGGACGAGCAGCGCAGGAGAGAATGCTGGCTCCAAGAACAGTCCATTATACGGAGCACCAGATGATATGGGAGTGTGCTGCCGGGTACCAGTTCGAGGCTTTAGGTATCCTGGACAAGCAGAGGGGATCGGGGCAGGTTAGGCAGCAGTAAGGAAGCAGATCGTACAGCCGTTCGTCACGAAAGCTGTTGAGGGGCAGCAGCAGAGTGGGCAAAGAGACACATCTGAAGAAGAAAGCTCGGAAGTAATGAGGCAACATCGACGGCTGGAGGCCTGGTCTAGTTGGGTGGATCACTTCTCAAAAGCGTCTCTTTCCATGCCCGAAGAACGGCTTACTAGTATGGCGCCCCTCGCCGCGCTCATGAACGACGGTACACTAGGCGACTATTTTGCCGGAATCTGGACCAAGAACCTCCGGTTTTGTCTAGCGTGGCACAGAGTGAACAGCCTCCTGACTGCTCCCAAAACCTACCGAGCACCGAGCTTCAGCTGGGCGAGTGTGGATGGCCAAATAGGGTCCAGTATCCTTCACTTGTCTGAGACGTTGATGCAGGATCAAGCGCTAGACGCTTCTTGGATAGACGAATTCGGGCCCAGGCTGCTTGAGCAACACATGGTACTCAAAGACCCGTCGCAGCCGTACGGGGAAGTCAAAGAGGGGTTACACTTGGTTCTCGAGGCTTGCCTCGTCGGTCTGGCGAAAGGCTTGACCGTAATCAGGGACCATGATATATTCCACCCCACCATCGTCCTCGACCAGTCAGACGCCTTCGACTGCCCATATTGCAATCCCACGCAATCCACGGACGAGGGCAGACGCGAAGCAACCAGGGAGTTGGACAATAGCATAGAGCACCACGTGTGCATGATCGTACAGGGTGATGGCTGGAAGGGGCGGGAGAGCGTCTGCGAATTCCTGATCTTGAGGCACATGGGTGAGGAAGGATCGTACGTGAGGGTTGGGTTCGGCATGCCAAGCTTGGGTCATGGATATCAGGCGGTGTGGGAGAATGAGGATAAGGGCTTCAATGCTGAGCCTGTGCGTAAATTGTTTGGGGGGATGGGGTGGGAACGGCGCCAGATAAAATTGCTTTAAGAGTAATTAAGTCTCACAGTTTGAAGTCATGCTAATCGTGAAGGTGACCACAGCCAACAAAGGTGCGCCCTGCTCGGGAAACCCTTTGAAGAGATATTCTGGCTTACGGTAGACACAAAAAACAAAAAAAAACAAGGCAGTAACTGTACAGTCTGTCATGTGTAGAGGCCACCAAGAAGATCAAGCACGGGGACTTCTAGCTCCGCCATGTACAGACTCAGTATCGCCGCAGACAATACCTACCTAGTCTCCAAGCACCAGACGACGACGAAATGCAGAAGAGAAGTCTCGTTCGATGAGATTGCCTCGCGTACAGTAGTGAGACTGGGAAAGACCCTTGGCGATGTGACCCAGGTAGATAAGCCCGACTAGAATAAGAATTGAATGTTACGACCGGCGGTAAGAGGCAGCGATCCTCGAAGCTCAGTAGAGCTCTCACATGCTTCCATAACGGCGTAATATATTTGCTCTTGAGCACAAGATAGAGGAAGACTCGACTGTAGCAGAACCTGGAAATCCAGGACCCTGCTCAAGCTCACCTACAATAAAATGTGCTCTGTACAATTTAAGTTGAAGAGAAGAAGAAGAAGATTGAAAAAATTGCGGCGAGCTGCGAACTTGGGTAGCTTACGCCGCCTGGTCCGAGCGCTGAAAGTGGGATTGGCCAGTGAGCGAACGTGGCCCAAGCTCCCTGCCCTTGTCTGCATCAGAAACAAGTGGGTAGAGAGATATTCGGGCCAATCAGCGCAGATATGAAATAATCGCGAATCAAGCGCACTAGCGCCACTCGTCAACCGCCAATTGCCAATTGTCAAGCAACCTCTGCGAAAGACCGAGGACGTCAACATCTGGAAAAGGTCCTCCAACCGACCGCCACCGCATCCCGTCCTGCTGCTCTCCCTCCCTCCTACGTCCTCCAACTCCGTCGGGACGACACGATGCTGCGACAGACTCTAGCACGTTCGGCTTGGCGGACGGGCAGGCGTGCCGCCAACGCCTCGAGAGCCTTTTCCGCCACAGCTCCACGCCCGGCCGAGGTCGAGCTCACCGTCGGTCAGTATTCGGCCCGGGAGGGGAGATATCGCTTGTGGATGCGCTGCTAACAGCTTGGTAGATGGCAAGAAGGTGTCTATTGAAGGTACGAGACGACATGTGCTCACTGTGGGCGCACTCTTTCGCTGACAGTCGACAGCCGGGTCGGCATTAATTCAAGCATGCGAGAAGGCAGGAGTCACGATTCCTAGGTCAGTCAGGTCACCTCGACAAGCTTCTACGACCAAACCCTTGCTGACTACGTTTTATCAGATATTGCTACCATGAGTACAATTGCTCCCTCGCCGGCCTGCCCTCGAAGCATCCTCGTGCTGACAATATCACTCAGAAAACTAATGATTGCCGGTAACTGCCGCATGTGCCTGGTCGAAGTCGAACGAGCACCGAAACCCGTCGCCTCCTGCGCCTGGCCCGTACAAGCCGGTATGGTCGTCAAGACGAACTCCCCCCTCACACACAAGGCCCGCGAAGGAGTCATGGAGTTTCTGCTGGCAAACCACCCCCTTGACTGCCCTATCTGTGATCAGGGTGGCGAGTGTGATCTCCAGGATCAGTCTATGCGGTACGGCGCCGACAGGGGTCGCTTCCACGAGATTGGTGGCAAGCGAGCGGTGGAGGACAAGAATATTGGTCCTTTGATCAAGACTTCGATGAACCGGTGTATTCACTGCACACGATGTATCCGATTCGCGAACGATATAGCCGGTGCTCCTGAGATGGGATCGTACGGACGAGGAAACGACATACAGATTGGTACCTACCTAGAAAAGAACCTGGACTCGGAAATGTCGGGCAACGTCATCGACCTCTGCCCCGTCGGCGCCCTTACCTCGAAGCCATACGCCTTCCGAGCTCGCCCGTGGGAACTGAAGAAGACCGAGACATTCGATGTACATGACGCGTTAGGATCTGCGATCCGCGTCGACTCACGAGGCCTCGAAGTCATGCGCGTTCTTCCCCGCCTCAACGACGACGTCAATGAGGAGTGGATCAACGACAAGACTCGATTTGCTTGCGACGGCCTGAAGAACCAGCGACTGACGATGCCGCTGGTTCGGAGAGAAGGCAAGTTCGAGCCGGCCCCTTGGGAGCAGGCCTTGACCGAGATTGCGGCAGCATACCGACAGGTGGCACCAACCGGAAACGAATTCAAGGTCATTGCTGGCGCACTGACCGAAGTCGAGTCCCTTGTTGCCATGAAGGATTTGGCAAACAAGCTTGGCTCCGACAATCTGGCCCTTGACATGCCTTCTGGAGACCAACCCCTTGCCCACGGTGTCGACGTCCGCTCCAACTACCTCTTCAACTCCACCATCTATGGCGTTGAGGATGTCGACTGCATGCTTATTGTCGGTACCAACCCGAGACATGAAGCCGCTGTCCTCAATGCTCGTATTCGAAAGCAATGGTTGAGATCCGACTTGGAGATTGGTGTTGTTGGTGAAACGTGGGATTCTACTTTCGAATTCGAGCACCTTGGTGCCGATTTTGCCGCACTCAAGAAGGCTCTCGCAGGTCCCTTCGGCAAGAAGCTGCAGTCAGCGCAGAAGCCCATGATTGTCGTCGGATCCGGTGTCACAGATCACCCTGATGCCAAGGCCTTCTACGAGCTCATCGGCAGTTTCGTTGAGAAGAACGCTGCCAACTTCCTGACCGAAGAGCATAATGGATTCAACATTCTCCAGAGAGCCGCGTCGAGAGCCGGGGCTTTCGAGGTTGGATTCACAACGCCATCCCCCGCTGTAGCGGAGACCAAGCCCAAGTTCATCTGGCTTCTCGGTGCTGATGAGTTCGCCGATGCCGATATCCCCAAGGATGCCTTTGTCGTCTACCAAGGGCATCACGGTGACCGCGGTGCTCAAATTGCTGATGTCGTACTCCCTGCCGCTACCTATACCGAGAAGTCCGCTACCTATGTCAACACTGAGGGTCGTGTGCAGATGACCCGGGCCGCAACCTCATTACCAGGTGCCGCCCGAACAGACTGGAAGATCATCCGGGCAATCAGCGAATTCCTTGGTGCGCCTCTACCTTATGACGACGTCGCCATGCTGCGAGACAGGATGTTCGAGATCAGCCCAGCACTAGCTGCCTACGATGTTGTCGAACCCACGTCCCTCAAGCAATTAAGCAAGGTACAGCTGGTAGATCAGAACAAGGGTTCCAAGGCGAGTGGCGAACCCCTGAAGAAGGTTATCGAAGATTTCTACTTTACAGATGTTATTTCAAGAAGGTAAGTCAAGCCGTAGATCGCCCCCTTTCGCCATCATGCTACGTCACTAATACACGCCACAGCTCGCCAACAATGGCACGATGCTCAGCCGCAAAGGCAACAGGCAACCCGGACAACAACTTCATGGCCCCGGGAATGACCGAGGACAAGCCAATGGGACAGGTTGCCTACGGGTCATGAGATGTTCGCCGGTGGGACTGCTCAGAAATAGGGGAGACGCCAATGACTAACCTTGCTGCTTGGTTGAGATTTTCTTTGTTATCGCTGGTTGCGCTACGCATTGTACATGTACATATAGCACAGGTTGACGGAGTAGAGAAGAAGAGAAAGTACATAAACTGCCCGTATCCTCGTTGCACTCCAAGTGAGACGAGCCCTCATACAGCACATCATGTACATGCTACCCTAGGCGGAAGTCAGACAAGGTTGCTTCATGTGCTGTAAGTTGGCGGAGGACTCACACTGATGGGTACATCCCAACATGCCAGGATTAGATTCTCATTTAGCTCGTCGACGTCCATCTCGTTCATGTTCTCGTGTATGGACATGCAGACGAGGACTAAATCTCGTCAAAGGCACATGAGTTGGCCAAAGGCTCACACCAACAACCTCTGCATTGTCCATTGCGTGTACACAACTCTGAGCTACAGACAACTATAGACAGCCAGCAAGCCGCCGCATAACCCACTGACTGACCTCGCAGGGGCCGAAAACGAGGGAGGCTATCCGAGGCCATTATCCAGTATACTGCCAAGTCCATTAGCTAGGTAGGCATCGCTCATCGAGTGTGGCACGAACGAGAAACAAGTAGGCGAGAACACGTCACCAATCCAAGTGAGTGTCTCTACTGCACTATCGAAACAAAATCGCCAAGGGTTAGACAGTATGAGTCTCACGTCTATTAACGAGTGACTATGTAGAGACTCTACCTTAAGTAAACTGATCATAGTACAAGTTGAAGCATATGTAAGACTTCCTCCACACCCCGAGAAGGGACCATAAAATACTCACTTCTCTGGTCGGGGTCTCATTATCCTCTTGCTCACCATAATTTTGTTGTTTATCCCTCTCCCGAAAACTCGTGCAACCTGATCTCCAACTCCCAACACAAGGTCTCTATCCTCTGCAGAATGTCCACATGGTTGAGATTGGAAACCATTCATGCGACTATATCAAAGGGTAGCGTGTGGGCATGCTATGTGATGTTTCGATTGGCCGCATTGTCATTCACCACCCAATCCAACAATGGGAGAACACCCACGTCGGCATTGGACGACAGTGGGGAACGACTCCGGACCATCGATCTCATATCGCAAAATCCATAACCATGATGTGTCCAAGGCGTCCGAACAAGGCAGTAGCCTGTCGGGCGTAGGATGTGGTAGACGTATGATTCGTAAATCCTCTGCTCAAGATGATGCTTCAGTGAGACTTGTCATATGTCCATCGGTTCAGACGGGAACCGCATTGAAATTTGTCGCGTCTGCGTTGTCTTCGGAAGGAAAGAGTACAAAAGAAACTCGAATGCAAAACAGAACGCAACAATAGTACAAAGCCACGTCATGCTGAGGCTGGAGCCCATCTGATGGTGAATGTGGCAAAACAGTCGATGATGGGCTTGACATCGGAAGGCGTGTGCCATCATTGGTAAGCACGGCCATAGCGAGGTCCAGCAGGCATGCGGCCGAGGCCACCGCCAATACCAGGTCCGGGTCGAGTAGCAACAGCCGGGTTGGTGCACAACATGCCAACACGAGATCCAAACTTGGATCCACGGAGGGAAACCATGTGCTTGCGGATGTGGGCGGCAACGACCTCTCGGTGCTGCGGACTAGCATGCGTCAGAATCCACTGGATCAGGTAATTGCCGTACTGGTCGCTGGCAATGTCAATGAGTGGGATCCGGGGACGCTCCAGTCGACCTTCGCAGACTCGGTCAAGGTATCGGGACAAGAAATCAGGTCCTCCGATCTTCAGGCACTTCTCAACTACCTTGGAGGCATACTGATCCATGCTGTACTCGGCCGCGTAGCGAATGACATGGTCAATGGCTCGGCTTCGGTCGGCTGGTGCACCGTGTTCGCAGATATGCTGTATGCACCAATTTCCGAACTGGCCATGAGCAACGATGTCAATATTGTTGAGGACTTCTTCGATGCAAGGTCGCTTGAAAAGCTATTAGTATCATGCATCAAAAAAATGTAGAAGCAGGCGACGTACCTTGTCCTCCTCGAGACAGTTCTCAAAGATATTCTGGACGACAAGGCTTCCAGTCTCTCCAAGAGCGACCTCATGCCACATACCTTGCAGGGCATCATTGACATACATCATGATCTGGGGAGGCGTCTCCGTCCATCGCAGCTCGAAAAGCTTCTGCCAAACATGACAAGCATATCGATGAATGACAGTCTCTGGGATACGACGAAGAAGCTCGTTGACCATGATCGCCTTGTAATCTTCGGGAACCGAGTCGAAGGCTTTCTGCACGACGTGACATCCGAAGGGATCCATGGACAGATTGAGCGTGCTGCCTCTGATGGCCTCAGCAATCTTGATCACTTGCTCGGGGGTTCCGTGCTCAAAGCATCTCTGGACCAAGAAGTTGCCGAATCGATTGACCATCAAAGGATAAGCCTGGGCAACGATGGCCTCGACAATGTCGTACTTCTGATCCGGGGTTCCAAGCTTGAGCTTCTGTTGAAGGAAGATGGAAGCTTGTTGATCATTGTTGCAGACAATCTTGTCGACGATGTACTTCCAATCGCAGTGGACATTACGATCAAGCAGACGGCGGTAGTTCATAGGCTCGATGTTCGGCATGTAGGTCTGTCCTTCCGACGCAATTGGCTATCGGGGGATTGACGTTAGCTGTGGATTGCATGGGGACGTTGACTTTTGAGACTTACCTCGTTCTTCCACGGGGCACCCTCAGAAGTTGACGTGAACTCACTAGCCAGAGGAGACAGAGGAGTGCCAATGGGGGACGGCTGGTAGTTTGAGTACATCCCGGGACCCATGTGACCTTGCGGTCCAGTATGCATTGAGGGTCCAGTATGCATCGATGGACCAGCTTCATATTGGCTGGAACCGTAGCTAGGTCCACCTCCATAACCGGGTTGACCACCGAAGCTCGGAGCACCAAAACGATGGTCGAAGCGGTTGCTTCGCCGGTTGGCCGCGGGTTTGACGGTCAAGTCGTAGTCAGGGGTCAGGCGCTCGGTGCGGTAGTTACCAGCACCGGCGGTATCAAATGAAGCGTTCGGGTCCATGTACCCCTGATTGGCGCCACGTGCATGCCACGGTGCATTCTGAGGAACCTCGGGTGCACTTACACCACTCTGCATGAAAGAGTTCTGGTGCTGCTTATTTCCTCCCCAGATGTTACGGGAGCGGTTGAAGCCGGTAGCCGACAAGGCATCGCTAGTATCAGATCGAGAATCGTCATACGCCGACCAAGAGTTTGCACCCTCTCGCTTCACTGGCATTTGGGCGCCGGTGTCGAGCGAGTGAAGACCTGGAATGCGACAGGAATTGAGTCCTTGCTGGCTGCCCGGCTGGAATCCTGGCTGGATACCTGGCTGGACGCCAGTACCGAACTCAGTGTTGACCGGAGAGATGCTGATAGGTTGATCCAACACAGGTCGCGTGTGGCGTGTCTGCGCGAGTTCCTGATCAAGTCGAGAGATACGACTCTGAGCCTGGGCCAACTCCATCTTGAGGCGAAGAACTTCACCGCTGCTAAGTCCGCCTTCATTCATCGCAGCACTGGCCGGTCGAGTGGTTGGTGCAGTACTGTCGAGCGCCTCGGTAGCAGGGGTGATCGGGACAGAGTTGCTGGAGGAATTGTGCTCCAAGTTGGAACGGTACATGGTGTCCTCCACGTATGGCTGGTTGAAAGCATCGCATTGTTGAGCAGGAGCTGGCTGCTGGGACAGCTTTGCCAGCAGCTTGTCGACAGGGTTGGATTCGGTAGTGTCAGAAGGTCCGTACGACTCGTGAGTAAGCTTGATACTCTACGATCACAGTTAGCCTGCAGCACAGAATAGGGAGGTCGTGGTCAATGGTTACCTTAGAAATGGTGCCGGACGACTCATGAGTGAGCTTCTTCCTCTGTGACTACAATCAGTCTGCATCCCGTAATGACATATGGTAGATAAGTACCAACCTTAGGATTGCTCTGATTGACCAGAGAAGACGTCGACAGGGGTATGACGGACTTTTTCAGAGACGGCGGTCCATCCGAGTCCTGTAGCAAACAATTAGTCGGAGGCCAGGCCGAGTGAGTGAGTGAGTGACTGAGGCGTCAAGGTGTCACCCGACAGCATCGAATCGTCAAGCTAGAGGTCGAGTGGCGGGGTAGTGGACAAACACGACGAAGTGCGGCACAAACACCAGATCATGCACAAGATGATTTCGATGGAACTTACAAGTCGGAGACAGGACGCGAAGAGATCACTTACATTGGCACCAGAGGGATCCTCCTTGCCAACCTTGATGTTCTCGTCCATCGGCGCGTTCTTGGGGACCGGAGTGCGACGCAAAGTCGGAGAGCCGGTCGAAGGGGCACCAGACATACTTGCTCCAGTAGTGTTCTCTCGCCCGTGTGGGGGGTGTGGAAGCGGACAGGGCAACGAGTCGTAGATGGTGGAATACCACTAATTCCTCAGACAAAAATGACAGATTGCAGAGATGCCTGGATAGCAACAGATTAGATGGTATGGGTTGAGAGACAGTGGCTTGTTGGTGGAAAGTGGAAAACAGGTGGCAGATGATGAAATGCAAAGGGTGGTGCCTGGGGGAGATGTGAGAAAGATCGGACTAGGTAGGTAGGTAGATGTTCTGCAGGTCGACTGACGAGGGAGATCAGATTGCCAGGGAATGACAGTCGCGGAGCTGGTCAGGTCAGTGCCAGGTCGATATGAGATCATGAGAGAGAAGGTGTCAGTACGAACGACTGGGTGCGGAAGAGGCTTGCTGCAGCTGGAAACACGTCGCGGCGGTCGGCGGGTAGGCCAGTTGCTGGGGAAGCAACACCTCGTCAGAGAGATCGGATGCAGGTGACGATAAGAAAGAGAAGGGATTTGCCCTCTGATCCTAATCGAAATTGGGAGGCTGAGATCAGATGAAGGAAGTGGCAAAAGTCCAGGTGGGGAGTAGTTGTTCCTGGAGGTGGGGAGTGAGGGTGGAGAGAGACAGTGGAAGAGCTTGAGCACCTGAGGACAACTGGAGGTAAAACTCGAAACGGGGAAGGGAGTATGTACCAAGGTATATGGTCCAACTCGAGAGTCCAAGAGGGAATGGGCGACGGGGCACTGCCTTTTCTGTCGATTCGATGAGATGGGGGGAAGGGACTCGGCGACAAGAAAGAGTAAACAAGGCAAGAGATACCCCGTGAGGTTTGGTGCGAAGTGTGTTGGGGCTGAACAGGAAAGCGCCATACCGATGAAACAAGTCGTAGTTGCCAGACATATGGCTTTGTGATACTTACTAACTACGATCAAAGCACTTACAATTCGGGAGAGGAACTCGTTGTTCTGTCAGCAGATATCAACATCGTACACGCACCGCCGTGTTACCAACGACACGGAGCCCAGTCAGACAGAACAACAACTCACATGCAGCCGCATCCGGTCATCTGGTCTGGGCCTCGCCAACAAGTATGACAATGCATTGCTGCTGCTTTATAGACACGCCTGGTATACCTCATCGAATACATAGACAGTCGCTCAATATTACTAGCACGTGAAGCGCCCTTTGACACTTGTATAGATGGGATTCATTACCTACCGGTAACGTCAAATGGAATTCGCCTTGTTCTCTTGTAGTTTCCACTCATATATCTACGTGATGTTGTATTAGGTCAGCTTCCTCGTAAGGGGTACGTAAGGGAGGAGTCTGCCTTTCCAACATTGGCGGCTTGCTGGATCCGGCTGGATGCAATAGGGGTAAATGCATACCACTGGACCTAGCAGACCATTGCACACGAGGGCCAGAGTTGCCTAAGGTTCCCAGAGGCTGCAGAGATCCGGGCCGGATAGTCGATAAGCGCAGGCGGGTCTGTCTCTCGGTGTATTCAGCTGTTGGTCTGTTCTGACTGCGTGACGGGGCGTAGACGGCTTGCGTATAGTCAAAGCACCGAGGTGGCAACTATGTCCCAGTTCAAGTTGGCACATGCGGGCGGTTGTACTCGAAAACCGTGGAATTCCTGTACTCTGGTGATACACGGAGACGGTCTATATCACCCAACTTTTACTGTTGTACATATGGCTTCATACATCCCTTCCCAGTCCTCGTCTATCTCTTCTTGTCTGCATCACGAGTTAGTACCTATCACTCAGCAACGCTTGTATGGTGAACTTTACCCGTCGCTGCTGGCGCCGTCCTCTTCTTCTTCGGTGCTCCCTTGCCGCGTGACCGTACTCTGTAACTGGTTAGCAAACGTGTATGGACGGTCATGCGCCCATTGACAACTTGCCCTGCCAAATGTTCTTGTCGATCCTCTTCCTGTTCGTTGATGGTCTCCAGGTTCCAAGGCTTGAACTCCTTCTCTAATGTGTTTATCGTGGGACCTCTGGGAGGATAGTATTTCGCTAGGGTCGGTCCTCGCAGCCGCTGTCGCAGGATCTTGTTGCCCGTTCGTATTCCGTCTGGGTTGTAGGTTGTCGAGAAGATTTGGCATTGGACCTGCATTGCACGTCAGCCTCAATCGAATCTCGGCGCTTTGAGGGTGTATTTCGCACCTTCATAAGGTCTAGCAACCGCGCACGTGGGACAGCCGCCATGTTGGCTTCGAGGGGAGCTCAATGGGGGTGTCGCGTGTGATGTTGGGAGTCTCGTCGCGAATTGAAGCCGCCGTAAATGCGCAGGGAAATGCGGCTGTCTCAACGTAGGGCAGATCCACTCCGATGGAAATCAACTGCAAGTGCCAAGTGCCCAGCTGGAGGTGGGCGCCGGGGTGTCGGACAGTGTGAATTAAACCCCTCTATAAACTCTCACTGTGCTACAGTTCACCTGCGTGCAGGTTCAGCTTCTTTTTCATTTCTTGCAGCCTTTCTATCTGCAATCTTTAGCCACATCCCACACGCACCGCTTACTCGAGTATGAGATAATCAGAATGTCTAAACGATCCTTTGCGGATTTCTCTGCTGGAGGTCCAGAGTCGCTCTCGCAGATCATCGAGCATGCTGATGCGCTGCTGAAGGCCGCAAACGCTCTGAAGCAAGACCTCGAAGGACTTCGCGGTGATCGTGAGCCGGACGACAAGGTTCTCGCAGTCCTTTCACGCCACAACAAGGGAATCCTGAATGGCACCCAAGCACTTGTCGAAGACGAGGTGAGATCTCCACCGAGATCCTGGCAATTGAGAGGATCAGCTCGTTAAACGCATTCACAGACAAAGGCCTACAGCCAAGAAACCTCTGGATCCCATAAGAGCCAGAAGCTGGAGGATGCCCACTCGTCTGCAAACAAGCTACCTGCGGCGCTGCCTGTGCCTCCTCCAGCAGCTCTCACGGCATGGACACTTGAGGACATAACGAAAACCAACCTGCCACCGCTACCACCAGTTCTGAACCCGACCCTGGAGAAGGCAGCCCTTACTCACTCAGGAATGGTCGCACAGCGTGGTGATATGCACTATGAACGCCTCGAATGGATTGGAGATGCCTACCTGTACCTCATGTCCTCGGCATACATCAGCCAAACCTTTCCCAATCTGACCCCAGGTCGGTCTTCTCAGCTCCGAGAGAGGCTCGTCAAGAATGAGACGCTGTCCGAGTTTACAGTGCAGTACGGCATAAACCAGCGAACGAGCTTTCCTGCCGAGTTTGACCTCAAAGGCCGAATCGGCGGATCCCAAGCGTCCGAGAAGCAAAAGAGAAAGGTCCTAGGTGATGTCTTTGAGGCATATGTTGCAGCCGCGATTCTAGGCGATGCGGCTGGTCTGGCACGCGTTGCGGCTTGGCTAAAAGCTCTTTGGAGCAAAACACTCGAGGATGAGATCCGACGCGAGCATAGACCTCGGCCAACGTTCAGTCATGTGCCAGGGCTTGAGGACAACGGCGATACCCTGAACAACGGTCAAGGAGTGCCCCCTAAGGTTCTTCTGACCCGGGCTATTGGCACTAAAGGAGTCAAGATCTCGTATAGGGACATAGGAGAGCCGAAGAAGGAGAAGAACTCGGGGCTCCCTTGGTACACGGTCGGCGCGTATTACGATGGGCTGGGCGAGACCGATGTTTTGCTGGGCTTCGGAAGCGCTTTGTCGAAGAAGGAAGCGGGTGCAAACGCAGCGGAAAACGCACTGGGGAACAAGAAGACGATGAAGAGGCTGGTGAAGAAGAAGGAGGACTTCGTTGGCATGTCGGTGTAACCGGTTCGGAGCAGGTATTGACGCAAGCAGTATGCTCCACGATATGGTCATAGCATCATCCGCTATCTGCCAGCAATACTGAGCACAACTAGACTGTATGAAACGAATACCATGATTCGTCACTGGAATATCTTTCCTTGTCCTGGCAACTTGTCAAGCGACGACAGCTAGCGATGCCGCTGTCCCAGCGGCAGGCATCCGCCTTGATCAAGATGTCCGTATTATATGAGTTATATGATATGACTCCTCGGGTCAACGAGCATTTCCAGCCATGATACACATGGCATAACCACGGTTCCAAATGGACGAGTCATTGGCATAGTAAGTGAAGCATTATGTACAGTAGTCTAGGTTTCAATCCCCTTCATGGCCCGTTGAGCGGGCTTCAACGTTGGGTTGAAGCGGTTTATGTTATTGCTGTCTGTGTGACTCCGATAGTGCTCTCAAGGGGCAAAGCTGGTTATTGTATCATAAAACGCAGTATATTAAAAACTATTAACCGGCACTCAAAGTCTCCCCTTGTGTTCCATGTACATTGACGTCAAGTCTAGAAGGAAAAGTCGACGACTATGACACGACTTAGCACCGCCACGGCACCCCAAGAGCCCCCAGGAGCCCCCAGGAGCCCCCAGGAGCTCAGAAGAGCTCACAAGCTACCAACGTCAGATAGCTCGCGTCTGGAAGCCGAGCGACCACAACCGTCACCAGCACTACTGGTCTATAGTCCACACATATGATTCTACATACAGTAATCTTACAGTTGGCCGCCGTGTATTCAACCCGTTGACAGTGTGCCAGTAGGCTAGTGTGGACACCGAATGGTGTCCTTGCCGCGATATCCGATATCCTTAACGCATCACTCGGCCAGCCATCATCGTACAAGAACTAGCCCATTCCCTCGCTACCGCAGCGCCAGACCACCCCATTCTAATCCATCGTATTCATAGAAAGCATCCTGGGTGACCTTGCCAATACCCATTCTTGTCCCCACCATCGTGGACGTGTCCAATTTGACTGGCATCACGTTGAAGAGGTAGAAGGCGTCCTCCCTCACGTTAAGAAAGTCCCAATCAATATTGAGCTGCACGTCGTCGAAGAGCTGTGCCTCTGATAGAACCACGAGCGCGATCCCCTCGTAGTTCTTGGAGTCTCGATCGAGCCACATAGAGGAGTCGAGCGTCAGATGTCCCGCAACGCGGTCCTTGCCCATGATCTGGAAGGACGGATAACCTTTTTTCATCTCTTCGTTCTCTTTGTTCTTTTCGTCCTCTTCGTCCTCCCAACTTACGATCTTCTTTTTCTTCTTCGTTTCCAGTCTGAGAAGCATTTTATCCCCCAACCTGAACTGCGTGGTGCGAAGCGTGAAGAGTTAAGCGTCAAGGAATCCGCAGGGCGCGGGGCCCATTTGCCGAATCCCGCTTTCGGAAAGTCTCGCGCGCGTTCTCTTCTCGTCCAGTCGTCGGGTCTCAGCTCGTTCTCTCCCCTGATCCCCACGCCTTCGCCGTTCACCTTGCGTGGACGTACCTCTTCGCCCACTACAGTCGTGAGCGAGGAAGAGCACGACGTATCCCACTGCGCCCAAGGGCGGAGGCGTTCAAAATGCTCCGTCGTCGTCAAGTCGTCCTTAATAGCACGTGTCTTGATCATCTTTCGAACAGGATCCTCAAACGTCCACCGCCCCGGGATGGTCTGGATCTCGACAGTATCCTGATACGCCACCTCACCCTTCCACCCAGCCCAGCTCCAACTGGGTAGCGTATCCTCGCACCTCCTCTCCAACCCCTCTTTCTCCCTCCATAGAAGCGCGGCGTCTAGGTGGCTTTCGGGCAGCCCGTGCAGTAGTTCGGATTGAAACCCGTTCTCCAGAACAGTCAAGACGCCGGAGATGGCGCGTAGAGCGTCGACGTCGTGCGTAAGAACACGCTGGCTGTAGCGGCTCACGATGACGGTGTACTCTTCGAAAACAGCCGGACGCACAACGAGCGTTGAGCCGTTGGCGCGGATGACCGTGTTGCGGTCCATGAGGCCTGCGTGCGCATGTGGGTTCAAGATGTTTGAGATCAGGGGCAGCTGGGAAACGCGGCAGGCATCCAGCTCTTCCTCTGTGGATTCGGTGCGTGATTCCCACCTATCAAGATACTCTATGTATGCCGACGACACGTATGGCGACGGGTGTAGATGTTCGTATTCTGCGAACGATTTACACGTGATACTTTTCGTGGCCAGGGATATGTCTTCAAAGTGCATGGATCCGGGGCATTGCCAGTAGACCTGGTTGTCCCAGAACACGAGGAAGGCTTTCGATAGTAACTGCTCTTGGAGACACCAGCCGCGCGTCGTCCACGTACTTCTTTGAATTGGAGCGGGTAGCGCCAGCTCTTTTACGAGGCTAATCTGCTCGTTAATAGAGCTGGACACTTGCTCGTCAAAATCTGGTCGTGTGTTCGGCCTGAAGCCGTACAAGCCCTCATTCGCATTGGTCCCTTGCGCAGCAATGATGGTAAACTGGGCGTTCCCGTAGATCCTGTGCATATCGCCGAACTGCGCAACTTTCGATACTGCTCGGGTCTCGAGGATGCAAATATCATCGACCCAGAGGTAGCGGATCCCCATCGCCCTGCAGACCCCCACAGAGTCTTGTATCGTTTGTGGGAAGCGTGAGATGTAGTCTCTCAGTCGATTACTGGAAGGTCAGGGTTGGGAAGTGGTGTACTATTCACGCTGCCCCAAACGTAGCTCAGCGTAACATAGTTGCATTTCTGCGGCGCCATGACCAATTCGAGCGATCCAACGTCAATCAGTCGCATATAGTCGGGATTGGTGAGAAGCGACTCGTATCGAGCCTGACAGACGTCGTGGCCCCTCCGACATTCCTCGTACGCTTTTCTGGCGAAGTCGAGGTCGATGAGAGGTTTCACGATACCTGCAAAGGGCCGTTCGACCGCTCGACGCTCAACCAGGGCAGGCAGCCCTCTTTCGACCTCGTTGATGTCTCCTTGCAGACTGTAGAACGTGCGGAAGGAGAAACGATATGGAGACGGATCCTCGAGGCTATCGATGGAGCATTTGAGGCGTGCTTCCACCCGAGCGCCATACGCTGTTCGATGGATGTCAATATCCCTCCAGTATTTTTTATTGCCATCAGTTTGAAGACCCTGCCGTGGCAAATACGAATCCAGTGCCCTGCCAACAAGCTCACAGCACGCGCACGCCTCCGCCCTCTTCTTGATTGTATTGTAGCCACCGAAGCTGCCAGGGGGGTCATAGAGCCACTTCTCAGCGCTTGATGGTTCGTTCTTGCGCCCACCTGCAGTAAAATAAGTAGAGCCTGAATCGAACTCTTCGGTGAATCCTAGGAGCTGAGCGCAACGCAGGCATAGCCTGCTGATTGATGGGTCGTAGCGTGCAGTCCATTCCCTATTGAACGCGATGCGTTGTGTCACGAGTCTCATGAGCTTGACCAGGATACAAGGTGCGCAAACGGTCATCATCCAGCGACCGCAGCATTCTGCATCAGGAGAGCCACGCGGTCGCGGTGGCATGGCTTCAAGAGAAACACCGAGATCGACAAAGACCAAAAGACTAAGTACGAGGGAGGATTATCGAGCAGGCGAGTGTGGGATGGCGTGACGGAGAACGAAGAGTTAGCCCCTTGTACAGGGGATATAGGGCACCTATATACTTGCTCTGTTACCACCTCAATGAAGCCTACCGATTGTGCCACTCCGCCTCGTAGGCCTCCCTCCTCGCAATTTCAAGGGGTAACAATCCCAGTCCACAGATCTGCAGGACTTTTCAGCTTCTCGAGGAAGCCTAATGATTAATTTAGTGCAATTGGCTACCATTGGAGAGAGAGGGCACACACGGGGATCACACTGAAGCCACCGACGCACTGCAAAAGATCCAATACGACGTTTTGAAACGGACCTAGATTTTTCTCTATAAAAAACAAAGCCTCGTACCTTACTTTTATCAGTTAAGCGTTAAGATATAATAAATATAGTAGGACCTATGAGGCCTGTTTTCCATAAAGGGGGGTGGGCAGGCAGGTGCCCACATCCAATGCAGCCGGATTGGGAAGCACTTTAGACTTGGAGACCCCCGGGGCCCCCACCCATCGGCGCCAACGCCGAGGCAAAATATCACCCGAGCTGGCTGGCCGCGTTTGCATCATGTTTACGGCCGAAGAGAACGATAACTGCTGCTGATGATTCACACGACATCTTTCGAGACTCTGTTATCCTTGGGTACCGTGATTCCATGACATTCACTCCAGTAATTCTTCAATGACTTGCTCTCCATGACCCTGTACCACGGTCCGCTCCCGAGACAATCGCTGGCGACAACTGCTTCGGCTTTGCTGCGAGTTTCCCGCGATAACACCGGGCCCTACCTATCTATTCGACCGCATCGCCGCCGTCTTGCTGCCCCATCGACTGGCCAGTCTTCGAAACACTCAATAGGGACTTACGGCATAGAGTATCTTACACTTACGACACAGATGCGAGCGCGCAATGGCCGATTCCGTTGGTGAGTCCAACATTCTTCCACTATCCCACAAGCAAGGGGCGGGTACAGCCTCGCGGCGGTGATACCGATACACCACCAACGACCTACCCAGCATTCCCAAGCCCCTGAGAGCCGCATTCCTCTGAGATCCCACAGACCAAAGCAGATCCTTGAACTAACAGCTCGCTTCCGACCACAGACCGCGTATTCGTGCATGCGCTCAACACAGTCAAAAAGATCCCCAAGACGGGCGCATCGCGGCCGCCGCCCAGCGACCGCCTCCGGCTCTATGGGCTCTACAAGCAGGCGATGGAGGGGGACGTCGACGGGGTCATGGAGCGGCCGCGGTCGGGCCCCGGCGTCGACGCCGACGAGCTGCAGAGGGAGAAGGACAAGTGGGATGCGTGGAATACACAGAGCGGGCTCAGCCGAACCGAGGCTAAGAGGCGGTACATCGAGGCGCTCATCGAGACTATGCATCGCTATGCTACTACGCCGTGAGTCTACCTGCTATCCTATCGCCCTGTGTTCGACGAGGGGTTAAGGAATGGGTTCGAGGTCGCGCTATTGTGCCAGACTGGCTAACGCGATAATAGAGACGCGAATGAGTTAGTCGCTGAGCTCGAGTTCGTGTGGAATCAGATCAAGAACAACAGCCCCTCGTCTTCGAACTCGTCCCCGAAAGATCGCGCATCCTTCCCCGAAACCCGGCGCTTCCAACAGCCCACGAGCGGCACCGAAGGGCCCCTGAAGGTCCTGAGCCCGATGAGCGAGGACGACACGGCAGCGCAAAACTACCGCGAGAGACGAGAAGAAGACGACGACGACGACGACGAGGGCGCGTACGTGAAGAAGGGCGACAAGTGGTCGCGCAAGGTGGAGCGCGGAGTCATCAGACTGTCGGCCGAGATCGCGGCGCTGCGCGAACAGATCACGACGGGCCGCGAGTGGAAGGTCAAGAAGGAGAGGAGCTACCCGGCGTGGATCGGGTGGCTCGCTTGGCTCATCACGAAGCACCTGGCTGTCGACTTGGTCATCGTTGGTATAGTCCTGCTCTGGATGCGGAGGCGCAAAGATCGGCGGCTTGGGGATCAGGTCAGGGCGATGCTCAGGCTGGGCCGGGAATATGCGCGAAAGATCCTCCCGTCGAGATGATGAGCACCCATCCGACTTCGAACTTTGACGATACCGGAAATCGTTTGTCGATTTTCAATCGATGATTTCGAATCAAACCATGCGCCTCTAGAACCGGCGGCCAGGAAACCACTTCCTCGGTTCATGACTATCATTGTTACCGAGATGGATCGACGGCTACCTACCCGAGAACATTGAAATCCGCCTAAGTTGCTGTCTCAAATGTCCCGAACAACGGGGGCCGCCATCGGCCCCAATGAAGCTTAGCAGCCACCAATACTTTCTATCTGTAGCTCATCACCTATCCCGGTATGGCTCACTGGTATCTGCACACTCCCAGCACCGATGCCCACAAAGTCCATCAAGGCACATATTACGTCGAACAACTGGTCTATAAGCGTCACGCCAAGGAAGGCGTGGAACATCCTATTGCTGACGCGAAGCACACCCTGAGCCGCCAGAGAATGGTTTGGGCCGGCTGTATCGCTTACAACTATACTTTGTTGCTTGGCCTCTGGAGATGACAGGCTATAGGGATTTGCTACGCTGCTTGGACACCTCGTTTGAATAGTGACGCCAGAGGGAGTGTCGAAGGGGCAGCGGAATGCCGGATGACCTGTGGATTCAGCATCTCCGATCGTCTTGATAATCCAAGTGGGGTCTACTCGATATTTGTACGACAATGCATACTACATTAGCCCGGAGAGACCCATCAGGGCCAATACTAAACTCGACGAAGCCACCGTCTTGTCTTCGCGGTCGACTTCTCATATCAGCGGTTTGTGTGATGCAGGTCAGTCCTGGCACTTCGACGGGTGTATTCCAAGCTCTTGTCACGTAGCAGCAGCCCAGGTGTCAGCCTATGACGTGTGTTAGATTGTTTCTACCTGGTTGACGACGCTACGTACCCTGCTATTCATTAATACGTAGACATCTTTTGACTATATAAACATTATTGTAATAGTATATGTTTGCTACTTACGATAGATTCTATCACCTACTGAGACAATCTTGGACTCGGACTGAGTGATGGAGGACATGGATCTGAGGTGGAGGTGAATGTGATGGCGCTGAGTGGGTGGCTGGCATATGGGGAACTCAGGCTAACGCGAAAGGGTTAGGTGAATTGAATAGTGGTTGCAGTTCATGCAGGTATCCAATCGTACCTGCATCCTCCTCACATTTGATGGATGATTGAATGCTTCCCTTCGTCTGCAATACCTTACATTGGCAATTCTCTCTCTTGTCGACGCCGTAAAACGGCAATGTTGGACCCTGATACGTGAATAGCGAATCCTAGTGTATGCGGCTGACTGAGCTGCAAGGTCGCGACCCAATAGATGCACGTGAGCATGGCTACCCAGACACCCAAACCCCATCCCTGACCAGAAGCAGACGCGGAGCTCGTTGGTGAGGGCACTCGGGACGCCTGAAAGACATATTCCTCGGCCGTTTTCTGGAGAAAGTTGAAACTTTCCTCCAAAGCACAGCAGATTGAGTTCCAACCAGAAAAGGAATACCATTCCGGTAAACCTGCCCAGGCTGAAGGTACCTCGAACCCTCTGGGCGCCAGTAGCAATGGCACACCCATCTTCACCAACATCGAGGATGGCTGTGCCGAATGGATCAAGCGACGTCATCATGTCAGAGAACGAGGAAGAAGACATCCCATTGCTCTCTAATATTGCGCCATCCATCTTCGTTCCCGCAACCTTCGACTACACCACCGCACCGCCCCCCCTTCCCACAGACCCCAGAAAACGCCTAGAGCAGCGCCTCGTGCAAATCGAGGAGCACGAAGCCAAGGTACAGAGAAACATCCGCGCCATGACGAAGCGTGAGGTACGGCGCATCCACCTCATAGGGGAGACCGATCGCCCGTACTTCGACAATCTCGGCCGGCGCGTGACCAAGAAGCGCAAGCCGGGCCTCACGACCTACGAGCAGGACCTTCTGCCCAACAATCGGGAGGAACTGGCGCGCCTCTGGGAGAGCAAGGCTTGGGGCCGGCTGCCGCCGCCGCCGCCGCCGCCGCCGCCGCCGGTGCGCGGGGGCCCCTGGGAGGTGCCGCTCGGCCTGTCGAAGAACGACCTCCTCAACGGGCCTGTGCACGCGGATAATCTGTCGCCGCGCGCTGCTTCTGTCAAATTCTTCCTGAATATTATTCAGTTCAGCGCGCAGAACCTCGAGGGCCACGCCGACGCCATCCGAGCGGAGATGGAGAAGACAATTGCGCAGTACGGGTTCCCCGCGTCGGACTTCTTGCCGGATAAGCATGTTCCTGGGGTGCCAGCTCCCATCCCGATACCCACGGGGCCAGCTAGCAGCGTTGGGAGCCAGCGCGGGAGCATCAGTGACCGTCATGGTGGCGGACATGCCGGTGGCCCTGGCAGAGGCACATACGACACCGGTGGACGAGGGGATAGTTACAGACGATTCTCTGGCGGAAGCGGATACGACAGCATCCGACGTGGAAATGATTACGGAAGGGGTCCAAGCCGAGGCGGATATGACGACGGCGGACGAGGTCGTGGATACGGAAGCGGACCCGCATACGGAAGCGGACCCGGCAGGGCCGGATACAACGACGGGGAGCGAACAGACAGCTATGGTAGCCGAAATCCTAGCGGTCCAGGTGGACAGCGGAGTGCACACAGCAATGGAGACGACGGCCGATGGACTGTTAGGTACAGACCAGACGGCTCCGTTGTCCCACACGTCCAGTGTGGATATTGCAAGAAAGTCGGCCACTTTGAGGAGGAGGTACGTGCATCCCTGAATCGTTCATTCCCATTCTGGTCATGTCTCGGGAGTATGACCTCTCTCTTTGGGCCCTGTATCATGGGTTTAGGGTCAGAGAGGGTCACTTCCGAGCCATGCATCCGGGCTCCTTGCCACCCTCCCGCATACTGACTGACTGTCTTACTAACTCCTGACTTTTTGCAGTGCTGGCACAAGAAGGATCAACAGAACGGTAAACCGCGCCCCTTTGTGCCGCGCGGTCGCGGTTCATCTCACCACTATGGCGACCGCCGGTCGTCCTACGGCGATCGGATGGACCTCGACTGAACGATTGATTGTCTGGAACTTGAGGGGACTCAGGGCCAGATTTCGTTGTGCCCTTCCTACAACCGTGGCATGTCTAATCAGTCGATCCTCGCGCCTGGCATCGTCTTCACCAACGGCCTCAATGGCACCCGAGCCCAGCTGTCGTACCCCAACACGGCGACCCTGACTGTCCAGGGAACCCCGAACCCTCCTCCACAACCCCCACGAATGGAAACCCCGCGAATGGGCTGCCCCATCTACCCTAATGTTAGTGGTCCCAACTCGGGAAGCGGTGAAGGTTCCTGGTTCTAGGCCGTCGTGACGCTTGTAATGGACGATACACGAACTCGGACGATACATACCTTGATGACCTCTTGTGGATGAAAATGTACGAAATGGATGATTGCATGGAGGCATGGACGGACGGAGATATGGGATGAGTTTCGAGAGAGACGGATGAACTTATAGCACGACAATTGTAGATACTGACTGATGAGAACCCACGTAGCTAGCCTTGCACTCGATGAACGAAGACTATTATTTCCACAGCTGTCCAATATGCTATAAAGAGTGATTGCGCTCGTCCCATCCCGCGAATAACGCGACCTAACACACAAAGCAGCAGCAACCCAAGGCGTTCAAAGCGAGGTTCGAAAAATATACAAAAGAGTTCAGCTGAAGCCTGGCTTCAGCCTACATCTCTATTTCGAGTTTTGGTCTTTGAACTTGCTTTGATGTTACTTCTACTGATCTTTTAACTGGTATTTTCGAACGTTCAATATGGCGGTTCGAGTCTTCAAACCGTTGTACCATTCGAACATCCCCTTGGATACCAGCCTCGAATTTTATTGCGCCTTATATGCGTTGTTCGGCGGGGTGTGATGGGTGTTGCCTATGGTTTGGGGGTGTTTTTCCGGTTGGTGGGAGGAAGGTTGTTGGGAGGAGGGGGCTGTTGTCGTGGAGGTGAGGAAGGGGGTGGCGAAGATGTTGCTATAGCACAGGTTGCAACCACGAATAGGGGCACTCTCCTGGTCAAAAGGGGTAACGGCAGACTACCCCATGCCGCCGGCAGTAACCCTAGGCATTGCCACTACCACTCTCAGCAGTCAACACGGAAGAACCGCCCCCCATCCCCATCCCCATCCGCGCCCGCCTCTCCCACGGCTTCAGCGGCGCCGCAAGCCGGCCCTGCGTCGAAATGGATGGGTCCTCAACCACTGTATCGGGGATCTTGCGGATGCCCGGAATCTCCTTGCCCGTCTGCAGGAACTCGATGATCTCCTCAAATTTCTTGGGATAAGGCTCCTTGCCGGGATCCGAGGGGTTGGTGCTGTCCTTCTGGACGTAGAGGTCTGATTTTGGGGCAGCGCTCTGCCAGCTGGGGACTGAGGGGTCTGGGGGTGATGTTGAGGGAGGGGAAGCGGCTGTGTTGGGGATGTTTTGTTGCAGGGCGAGTTGGCCTAGGGGGTTGCCGAGTTCTACCAGGAGATGGGCGAGTTTCCTGTCTGCTGGTGGCTTTTGTTGGGTTAGTACTGCCTAAGGAGGATGCTCGAGCTACTCATATTGATATTACTAGGAAACGGAAGAGGATTTAGGGATTCCCGAGACACTTACCACTGCCATCGCCTCAGCTACAATCGCCTGTTCCGCGACAATGTTCAGCGGCTGCTGGCTGTTCTGTCCAAGCCATTGCTTGTATTGCTCCCCGTCGATCGTGATTTTGGTCTTCTGTTCAAACCAAAAGATTCGAACTTCTAGAGCCACATCTGACAGATTTGACCCATTGGGTGTGATGTTTTCCAGCGCAGTTGCAAGTTGTGTCTACAGTCATTTGTATCAGCCTAGGGACCTGTCTCTTCTTTGCTCGTTGTTAGGTGTATGGTGTGTTGGCTTACCATGAACCCCCAGTCTTTCTGCCAGGGGTACGAGTCGAAGGCGCGGTAGCCGGCCACTGGGTCTTCGGCTGCACGACGTTGGATGTCGGCCATGCCACCAGAGGCTGCCATATTTTTTGTAAGAAGCAATATAGCTTCTCTGGTATGTGATTGCAAGTCGCTGTCAGGATACTATTGCTCGACCTGTCCCACCGACGGCAGGTGGTATGGGTAGCGGCTGGATATGGACTATCGGAGTGAGTTATGTCTTGACCGTAGTAAGAGAAGATATTTTGTTCAGTACGTCTCATATAATAAAATCATATGATCTGCTGGAGTAGCCAGTGCCAGATTTGAGTCTTGGATTGCTCATATCATGTCGTTAAGTGTGGTGATGTTTGAGTTGAAGCAGAGACAGTGAAATGAACCGAGGTATCCCTCCCTCAAGGTGCCAGCACAGTGTCAGTCCCGGTGCCCCTCCACTGCCCCACGTTGAAGCTAACCCCAGTCCGCCAGGTACGTACCCAGTCACTAGACTAGCGCCCCGAAAATAGGAAGAGGGCATTCGACAATCCACCCTGACATTCCTCCCAATTCCTCGACAAATCGACGGTCCACTGCCAGACCACCATTTCCTCATCTACAAGCGAGGAGGCAGCAGTTCGTCCTTCGTCGATCGTCCCAAATGCGTCGCGCAGCTTCCAGAGCCCTTCGGACGACTTGTCAATGTACAGTCCGGGGCCTTAGTCGTACCACCGGCCGACCGCGACGCATCGTCTTCCCTCAGCACTCCAGCGTTGCCCTGGGCGCCCGCTCCTCTTCGTCTTCGTCGAGACCGAACCACGCCCTCAGTGAGCCCCTGCGATCATCCATGTATATTCGTCGCCTCTCCGTCGCCTTTGTCTCAGGCCTCGTCGGATACGGCGCTTGGTACACGTACAAGGGTAACAACGCCTTGGAGCAGGCAACGGGACGGGCGTACACGACCACCGCGACCCAGCTTGCGCCTGATGCTGGACCGACTCGCACCGTGCTGGTGGTAGGTGCTGACGAATTGCACACGGGGACGTTCGTGGGCGAGGGCCCGATATCTAAGAACGCCGACGGAAGTGGACGGAATGTGCTCGAGATGCTTACACCGGAGCAAGCTACCGAGAAGATGCGCCAGAATGAGGTTTCTTTCATGGTAAACAGGGGACAAGGCGTCCTGAGGTATGACATAGTGCAAGTCGCCAGCAACAATCCAATTGAAGATGATCACGCCGAGAAGATTGTCGAGGTTGCGCCGCCCTCGTCGAGCGAGGACAAGTCCAACAGCGACTGGATGTTCTGGGGTGTCTTTGATGGCCATGCGTAAGTGCTGAACGGCTGGATTTGCTGGATTCATATGCAAAGTGTGCTAATAACAAAACAGAGGATGGACTACGTCGGCAAAGCTGAGGGAGACCCTGATCAACTACGTCGCTCGAGAAATCAACACCACCTACAAAGCTGCTAGCACCATGAACACGATGCCGTCGCCCGAGGCTATCGATGCTGCTATGAAGGCCGGGTTCACCCGTCTAGACGACGAGATTGTCCACGAGAGTGTCGACAATGTACTAAAGTCTAAATCAAAGCGAGTTGCAGCTGAGCTGCTTGGTCCAGCCTTGTCTGGCTCATGTGCTCTACTCTCGTACTACGATAGTAGCTCCAAAACCTTGCGCGTTGCCTGCACCGGCGACTCGCGCGCTGTACTTGGCCGACGCGGTGCCAATGGCAAGTGGACGGCAACTGCTCTATCCGAAGACCAGACCGGCAGCAACCCCAACGAGGCAGCTCGGATGCGCAAGGCTCACCCAGGCGAGGCGCGCGTCATCCACAACGGACGGGTTCTAGGCGGTCTCGAGCCCACCAGAGCTTTTGGAGATGCTAGCTACAAGTGGAGTAGAGCCGTCTCTGAACAACTCAGAGCATCCTTCTTCGGCCGCAGCTCTTCACCGTACCTCAAGACTCCCCCCTACGTCACGGCCGAGCCCGTTGTCACTACTACCAAGGTTCAACCTGAGAAGGGTGACTTCATGGTCATGGCTACCGATGGCCTTTGGGAGATGTTGACCAACGAGGAGGTCGTCGGATTGGTGGGAAAGTGGATCGAGACGCAGACCGAGCAGTCCAACTCGCAGCTCAGTTCCGCATGGTCCAAGATGTTCGGTTCCAGCAAAGGTCTCCCCGTGGAGACTGCCAAGGACGGAGGAGCCGGTGGCCAGAAGACCCCAATCCGCCTACAACAATGGGGCATCTCGCCAGATGAGCCGGAACGCTTCGTCGTGAAGGACAATAATGTCGCCACGCATCTCGTCCGCAATGCTCTTGGCGGTAAGAATGAGGATCAGGTTTCCGCCTTGCTCACTCTGGTATCGCCTTTCTCCAGACGTTACCGGTAAGTTGATCCAGCTTGTCACCCTAGTATTTTCATGCCTAACGATCACCAGGGATGATCTTACTGTCCAAGTCATCTTCTTCGGCAATGGTCAAAAGACGGGCGAAGTACTCGTCAACGAGGAGGCATCGAGCCCTCCTAAATCAGCTTTCAAGGCGAAGCTGTAGGTCGATAAAACCCAGGATTAGATATTCCAGGTACCAGGCGCACGGCACAACTTTGCCTCTCCCACTTGCACTTTAAAAGGGAGTGTATTAAATGTATGGTATAGAATCAAGGGAATCATATGAGAGCGAGGCGTTCCTAGGAGAGCAACAACCCATAGAGCATCAGGCTAGTACAGTTGCAGCTCAAGGTGGGCAAGTTGAGACTTGGTTTCTTCACAGGTTACGAACGATCACACATTTTTGTTTCTCATCGAGCACTCCACTGAGAATATCATCGATCTTCATCTTTGCCTCGACGGATACATCCACTACCGCAGCGTTGACCCATGCCCTTGTCTCCAGTGATATAACCCAGGCACTTGATATTTCAGTCTCATCACTGCAAATATCATCCGCCGAAGTTCGCGATGATAGGACCCGAATCGACGGGAGAAGTCACCATTTGGCTATACCTCCGCGTAACCCGGCCGAACCTGTGGAGCCGCCATTCCCCAAGATCCCTCATTGCCAACGCCATCCCCAGCTTTTCCCTGGAGATGATTATTGCGACGCTGCGCGGAGTTGTCCACTCACCACTCTGCATAGTGCCCAGTACCAAGTTCGAACCGCTCGAACCAGGGCTCATGTAGCTCCTTCGAGGAGAGCAGCGATTCGGTTACTGGACAGGACGATACTATGGCTGTGGGATACTTTGGAGCTGTTATGTCGTATCCAAGTGGAGGTGAAGGACTCTTCTGGCCCAGGGACGTACCAGACCGTATGAGCTTGGCGGTGACTTTGGTCCTCAGTCCAGCCGTCGATCGTGTGTATTCAAATGGCAGTCCGGCCAACCCTTCCTCAGTCTGTAAGCTCCATCACTTACACAGGGACGTATTTTTCAAACATCTGGTTCTGGACATCGTGCTATCGTACACTCTGTCTGTCACGACGAAGTCCTCCGTAGCAGTCTGCTCGGCCCTCGCCACCATAGCCTGCGCCTTGGCTCCTCATGACAAGCCACCCTTGCCGAGGAATATTGGCCCTTAGTTGCAGGTGCATGCTGGGAGACGCGCGGATAACACATCGGATGTGGGATGTGTGGCCGTACGTCCCTTTCAGAACTAAGGGGAGGGATGCTGTGAAATAGCCGGGATGATATTGTTACATTGGAATGCCTGGACGATTTTTGGATGGAGAGTGACACGGGCTGACCAGGTGCCAAAGGTGAAATAACCATGATCCCGGAGGGTCTGGTGTGGAAGTCCACTTAGGAAATCCTTGACGATATTAGTGCCGGATACAACTTCATCGCATGTGAGTTCATCCCCCTCCTCCCACCTCCATCCACCGGCGCCCCCAAGCAGCAGCCCCTTCAAGTTGAGGTTCAATGTCCAGCCGCCCCAGCAAGCAGCCTACCGGCAACAAGGGTAAAGCCAAGGGCACCGAGAACGAGAATGGCGTACTTGGACACTCGAGGCAGCATCTTGTCTTGGTAAACAAGAGCAGACCAAGACTGTTCGCGGGGGAAGTTGTAGACGGGGATGCGGTAATGCTCGATATCCTCCATGACAAGTTTCTTCGACTCAGCCGACTTGTCGACCCTTATCCCCTTGCCTGCTCGTCAGCACCAGCTCACCAAAAGTTAGGTACTATACCTGTGAGTTCATGATATACACACATTCATCCTTACAGCTCCCACTGCCCCAGCAATGGCCAAAAACAGGAGCTTTCGGTCATGAGCCCATGGATTGCCAGGAAGCTGACGCATTTTCTCTTCATCGCTTCAGGATCTTGACCTCGTAACCCTTGGCGGCGCGACTCCATTGGGCGGCAGCGATGTCGCCGCGATCGAGGGTGAAGGTATTGCCGCCGGCGGAGGGCTTCCATCCGACCGAATGTACTAGCCCTGAAAATGGATGGCGCTCAAGCGTCTCACCCATACCTCGCCCTCAGGGTATCCTAACACACAAAACCACGGGCTACGCCATCCAAATGGTCGACGAGATCTACGCCCGCACCGGCGCCGACGTCCCCCTAGCCTCAGCCCTGACCGCCGCCCTCCCTTTGGCAGCATGAGCGTGACCGCTGCAGCGCCATCATCGCGCATCGCCCAGAACCCGGGCTGGACGGCGCTTCGAGCTCTGGTCGGACATCGAGCGGCGGACCGGGGCGTGTTCATCCACCCGGATGTATGTGCACGTCGGCAAGGCGCAGTGGTGCTGCAGCCATGCGGATGGCAATGCTGGTTTGATGATGTCAATTTTGATGCTGGGGACTGGCGGCGTGGATTGGCGCATGTGGCGACTGGCGAGCTGGGCGAGGGGCGGCCGAATGTTGTTTTTGAGGGAGTCGTGGAATGAGTTGATGAGTTGCGGGACTCGCTTCGTGGAATCGGACGGGATTTGGTTTATCGTTGGCAGACGCTTGGTGAGTTGCAACTGGTGTTTTTCAGGTTACCCCTTTTCTCCTGTCTCGGGAGTTTATATTCCATACTCCTCCACTATGGAGCTGTCGGCCTAAGACCACGAATCCAAGTCCCCGGAACATTGCACACGATCTATCCAGAGTATTTGCTGACACAAACCGTGGCAGTGGGCAACATGACCCCCAGCGCAGACACAATCCAGGCAGCGAACCCCGACATACTAATCAGCTGGTCCGGCATGCAATACGACCAGGACCTCATCGCTTTAACTATAACTACCAACAACAACCTCCTGACGGCGCCATGCTACAAGTGCACGGCGATCCGGGACGCGGCCCGAGTACTTCGACCTGGGCAGCGAGCACGCCTGGGCGGGCACGTGCAAGATCGTCTGGGAGCTGCATTTGTATGGTAGTAGCGACTGGCGAGGACATGGACACGGGGACCTGCGCGGTTATCGCTACGAGGCGGCGCTGTACCGGCATGGCTAGACGCCGGCTGAGGGGTGTGCTGTTATATATGATTTCTTCTTAAGACTTATCTGTTTGCCCTCCTGGTTGTGTGTTGGGAGGGAAATTTTTTTTTTTTTGGGAGAGCATATGGGCCTGTTTCATGATATGTTTGTTCCCGAGACACGCATCCAGATGCCTCCCTCCCCTCCATCCCCCCCTTTCCCCTTTCCTCCCTTCTCCTTTCTCCCTCGTTCTCTTCAGAGAGTACTTTAGTCACAACCCGCTCACTCACTCACACCCGACCAAACCACTAACCCCCAACAACCAACCTCCCCCAAATAACCCAATGCCCCCACAACGCGCCTAACCCCCGTGATCCTCGGAGCTCCGAGTTCGGCAACGCGCAGAACGCCAGTCGCCAGCCTATACAACAGCATCCTACAGAATTGCATCCGCGGCTCCACGCAGCGTTATGGTATTAGCTGGACGATGTGGAGCCTGGCGGGCAGCTACCGGGGTAGGGGGAGGCGTGACTGGAGTGAGGTTGGGATGGGATGGGATGGGATGGGATGGGATGGGGTGGTGATCGTTATGTGAGGGCTCGGGGGTCGTGTAGATATTGCGAATGTAACTGTTTGATATATATCTTTTTATATTGACTGGGTGCCATAGCCTCGGAACCCGCCCCCTGAAGTTTTCCGCCTTGATGGGTGACGTTGTGAAGCAAAGAAAGGTAAACGTATGAAGTCCTCATATAACATTGACTCGGGGACACGAACACGTGAGCCAGGTCGGTGCGTGAGAATCTGGTAACCAAGAGCAGTGACACATGCAGATGGTAAGTACCTACTCAGCAGTCCAACCTGCCCGTATCATACAGGTACGAATCTCGCTTCTTACCACTCGATCACCTCCATCGAGGCTCGGTTTCTATCATCGGGAAATCGTCCCTAGAGTTATCGACCGCCAGGTCTGCTTGACATTGAGGCAGGCGGCCTTGCCAAAACAGTGCACCAAACCAGGTAAAGATTACGCTCCTCAATTTTGTATCTCATGTACTAGCTATATATGTGCAAGCTTCTATCATCTTCCGAGTCTCTCTCGGACAGTGACTAGACATACATGTCAGGGATGGTGTCATATCCCAATATCATTACCGGACCAGGGGTATGGGTATAAGTACTGGCTGGCTAGTAGATGGTCACGCCTGCCTTTCTACTGTCAACGCTGGCTAGTAGATGGTCACGCCTGCCTTTCTACTGTCAACGCTGTATTGGTGTCAACTACTGCTCAGAAAGTGCATGAATGCCTCGAAAGAGAGGAGAGAGCGGGGGTGGTGATGGTGTCATATCGTAGTCTTCAAGCTCGATCTATTCGGATCATCGTAGCACCAATGCCGGTCTCGTGTAGCAGTGGCCGGCAGTCAAGAGGATATGTACATGGCTGAAGCAGACTCGGCCGAAGTCCTCTCCATACACTGCTTCCAGTATTTTTTCATGGCACATAAGGATCGTGACTCGAACACATTCAGGTCGGGGTACTGGTATTAGTATTGACTTTTGCGTCGCTGCCGGAGTAGGTGTCTTTTCTCACTTGATCGAACTCGACATGCCAAATGGTATACACACAAAAAACCGACAGAATGCGTCCCAATCTTGTACATCCAGTTAACGCCGATGCCATGCGGGTGATTTGCCTGTTCATGTCCCTGCGCTTGGTTTTCCTCATATATCCTATATCCAGCCGTATGCCTGTGTACAGTCGGCGCACCGAAAAGGGAATAGTAGTAGTAGCTTGTGATCATAGCCTGATGTTCAAGTCCATACACTCGATCGTCCATTCCCTCTTCCCAAGCAGGTTTCTCAGCCACTCGATGCCGAGGCCCGTCCACTCCGCCTTTTTTCTCGCGATCTCCTCTACGGCGGCGCCGGCTAGGGCGCTCGCTGTAGTATTCAGCATCTCCACGGCGGTGGCGTTGAACCCGTAGTCATCGTATACAGTATCTGATATTATCGTGGCCGTCGAATTTGGTAATGACGACGAAGGGCAAGAGGACGGCGGTATTGAGGAGGAGAAGGGCCACGGCGCAAACCAGTTGCTGCTGAAGTCGAAGAAGCACCGGTCGGACCAGTAGCAGGAGGTGGCGAAGAGGATCAGGAGCAGCACGGAGCAGTAGACGCACGGGCGGTTGAGGAAGTAGGTGCAGACGAAGAAGAGGAAGATGAAGGCCGGCGAGGCGTTGGTCGGGATGAAGAGCAGGGGAAGCCAGCTGTGTGCTACGTCAGTGCTGGGCGGAGATGAAAGCGGGCTGGAGGACAGGCTGGTTGGTGCCGCGAACTCACCTCCGGAGGCAGAACATGGCGCCGGTGTACTTCTTGATGACCGCGTGGTGTGCTACAAGTTGAGGTATCGTGGGAGCGCCTGGCCACAGTCTACAGACAAAAAGAATGACAGCACGCTATGACAGGATAGCGCTCGGGTCACTGCCACAGCTAGGGGTCTTCTGGGCACGGAGCAGGACAGTAAATATGATTCGATACGAGATAACGAGGGTGACGATCTTCGAAGCCGCGCCGGCTAGCTAGGTGATCACTGTCGGCAGCCAGATCGGGGGTATCACAGGAAATCTGCAATAACTCGGGGTTGGCTTCAACAAGTGTGTCGTCAGCGCGAGCAAGTGAGCAACTGCAAGAGGCTGCGTTTCAATTGAGGGAGAACCAACCTGGAAGTTTAGCAGGATTATGTAACATCCCAACTCCGGCTCCCTCTAGGCTCTGAAAGCTAAAAACAGCACGCTAAATAAAACAGAACACCCGGACACCAGTGGAAGCTGCAGATCGCGGCAGCTGCAGCATCCTCGGCCCCTCTCTCGCCTCTCTTTTTATTAGCCAAACCTCTCTCTGCCTGGAGCTACCCGTCAGTTGGAACCTTGGGTTTAGTAGTTTACAACGTTTCCATTGCTCACTCTCTGCGGTGAGCTCGGTATCCACATTAAAGTCGTTGTCCAATCACTTCTTCGGGCTCTGGAGGATCTCTGCATCTGGCCGCAGTCGCATCACCGCCGTCTGGCCACGCCAGCTCACACCTGCATCGGCGCCCAATCTGACGCCAGTGAGGAAATCATCAGGGCATTGATCTTCGGCTTCCTGCCACTTCTTTCCCCGTTGGTTGGAGACCAGAAAAGATATCCTTCTCTCATCACCGACCCGAGATCAATCGATCAATTCACTCTTGTCGCTTTGTTGCTGCGAACGAAGGTGCGCTTCCGCCTGTGCACATATCATCACTCTCTACGGGTACCTAGGTACATACCTACTCACGCAGACGTTACCCGAGTCACAAAGCCGTGTCCTGCCCGGTATCTGGCCTCTGAGACAAGACGCCCGAGACATCGTGCAAACCCCAGATCCTGCAAGAGCTTGCACTAGCAGAACTAGCAGACGCATCACAACGCATCACCAACCCGAAAAGACACGCCAATTCACAACTGGGTAATTGGCGAGGCTGGCTGGCTGGCCCACCTTCTGGAAGCACAGGTCACCGCTTAACGTCCCGGTACGTACCTGTCCGATTGGCATTGGAGAAACATCATCGACTTTTGGAGCACTGCCCAAAAAAAAAACCCATTGCGCCGTCTCTCCCGGTGCGACCTCACCTTTACCTCATCTCCCTCCTCCCGCCCCGTCGACTGTCAACTGCCCGTTCTTCGTTCTTCGAGGATAACATAGTCATCATCCATCTTTGCATGCACCAATTGACCGAGTAATACCATTTGCATTAGAACTGCGAGGCGTTCAACGGTCAGACGGTCTGTCACTGTCCGTCTCCCAGTAACCAGTAACAGCTCCACGTTACTTGCAAGTGGGACAGCTGGAGCTCGCCTCAGGACATCTCCAGCTCAGACATTTCATGATGGCGAGCTACAACACTCCGCCCGGTGGCAACGACCCAAACACGCCAAACAGCCACGGCCACCTGCAGTCCATGTACGGCCGTTTGCACGCTGCCCGCAACGCCCAGAGCGAAGATTCAGCTGCTGCCCATGACCTGTTGTCTCGTTTCTACAACAATAACAACAGCAATCAACCTCAGGGAAACAGACACCAGTCGTACTACGGCCAGCTTGCCACTGGTGCTGATTCGCCTCTGACTGGGCTGGACGACTTCCCACCTCCTGCCCCGACTCCGCCCAGCAACTTTGGTCACTCCCACCACCCTCCTTCCATGATGTCTGGTTTGGCTCCCATCGGTACCATGCCTTCCGACGCCGCGAGCAAGGCCGATCAGAGCGCCAATCTCCTGAATCTTCTCAAGTTCAAGGGCGCTCAGAGTCACCAGAGTCAGAACCTGCAGGCCAACTCACAGGGTTCACCCTCCAGTCATGCCAGTTATGGTCACAGTCAGGGCCACGGTCATGCACACGCCCCGTCATTCGACTCGTCCTCCAATGGACCGCCTGCCAACCACCCTCTGCCTTCGATCCATGCCCCGATTCCTATGCCTGCCGATCCTCAAGGCCTGCTCGCTACTCTTATGAAGGGAAACATGCACAACGAGGCTTCGGCCGCGCGGGCGGAACCGCAGGTACAGTCGACTGAACGAGACAACTGGAACGCTGGTCCCCCGATGGACACCCAGCAATACCTTCTCAATCTACTGCATCGCCCGAAGCCTGCGCAGAGTGACCAGCCGACCACCCACGAGCAGTCACAGCCTACAACCCTGACTCCGCAATCAACCAACGGCTCCATGGCAGACTACCCTAGAGAGTATGCTCTCAAGCAGACTCGAGGCGAGAGTGATTCGCATGAATCGACACCTCTACCCTACAAGTTCGGAGCGAAAGAGTACACTGAGTCTCCCCCGGCCAAGTTCGAGTACGAATCACCATCGTCTCAGCATACCCAGCGTGACACTAGCCGGAAGCCCACCCGATTTGACTACACCAACCCTTTCGACGAATTTGCTACGTTGTCACCGCAACTCAAGGCGTCCAAGTCTTCGACACCCGGTACATCTGCTCCTGTGCCTACCATGCCTACCGAGCTGCCTGCGGCTACCGCTTTCAAGGTCGTCCAGAAGACTCCCAGTGCGAATTCTCCAGAACCCCCGCCCGACAACAAACGACGACGAATCAATGGCACGCGTTCTGAAACCGAGCCGCTACAAGACTCGCCCACCGCTGCTAGCACACCCACCGATGGCGTGCATGATAGAAACAAGGAGACTGTGTCGGAGGCCATGACGGATCTCGCCGAGAAAGCAGATATGGAGGCCCAAGAAGCGCTCGCACGGGCAGAGCAAGAAGAGGTACGAGCCATCATTGCCGAAGAACTGCAAGATATGATGGGGGCCAAGACTGACGCCGAATTCCAGGATTTGGCCGAAGCTGCGGCGAGAGACATCAAGAAAGAGCTCGACAAGGAAGAGAATGCTCTAGTGCTCGAAGAGCAATATTCTCCCGAGGTTGCTCAAGCTATTCGCGATATTGTCGACGATACCGCTGCTCATGGTCCGGTCGCTGACAGTTGGGAGAGCGCCGAAGCCGACGAGATCGTTGTTATCGAGGATGCCCCCGACCCCATCATCAAAGTCTACAACTTCCCCATGAAGCCGTGGATCTCGATCACCATGCAAGACGCGGATGAGCCCCGTCCTCAATTCCGCGATGACGTCATTACCGACATCGCCAGGCTGAAGAAGGACTTCGACCAGATCGATAGGAATCTTGTTTCTGCAACCGAGCTTTACATAGCCTACGGCATGTCGAAGGCAGGTGGACTCCGTGTCATCCGCCAGGAAGATGGGAAGGACGCGAAACTTTTCACGGATACGAAGGATAGAGTCTTCAATGTCGCCGTGTCCAATACCCCTGCTGATGCCAACTCCACCCCGATGGAATGCATCATCGGTACCGGCATTAGTGGCACCGTATACTATGTCCAGATCAAGAGTGGCGACAAGGACCACTTGGATGATCCGCATTCTGAGCAATACGGATTTGCTCTGCCCCCGATCAGTACGCAGGAAGGCGATGCACCTGGAGGTGTTTTGAAGACCCGAGCCAGAACTTCGGCTACCCACCCTGAGTATTTTGCGGTTGGTCGTGGAAAAACGATTAGCATCATCTGGCCCGCATTCGTCATGCAGAAGAACATCTTCAAGCCTGGCCATGACCGAGTAGTCGACACGGAAAAGCTTTCCCGGGAGTGCGCACTCCGCATTAACACTGGGAAGGCTGGGAAGGATTTCACGTTCAGTCAAGATGACACCACTATTGTTTCTCTGGACAAGTCTGGTCGCGTCAAGTTCTGGGATGTGCGCGACCTGACTGCGGCTGACGAAAACTCCGACTTCCGCTTCCCCATGCCTGCCCACACGTCCCTGGAGGTCAAGGAACCCCTGATGACCCTCAATACCACCCCCGAGGGCGAGAAGGCGTGGCCAACCTCTGTGTTACTGCTGGATAAGCAACGGCCTTACCAGAAGCGATGTGCCCTACGCTACATGATCGTGGGCATGAAGCAGAACCACACTCTCCAATTGTGGGATCTGGCATTGGGCAAGCCTGTGCAGGAGTTCAACCTGCCCCACTCGAAGGAGTCGGATGCTGTTTGCAGCGTCATGTATCATCCTCAAACGGGCATCATCGTCGTCGGCCACCCTACGCGCAACTCGATCTACTTTCTTCATCTGTCGGCCCCGAAGTACACAGTTAAGGGTTTGTCTCAGGTCGATTTCATCCAGAAATTGGTTGCCAAAGACTCGTCCATTCCTGAGCCAGATTCCACCGCGGTCATTAGTGGTGTACGGGAGTATTCTTTCGCCAACAAAGGCGCTCTCAGGAGTCTGGACCTCTTGGTCACCCCAACCTCGTCGAACATCGATGAGCCATCACTCTTCGATCTGTACGCGATGCATTCGAAGGGTGTCACGTCGTTTGCCGTGAAGCAAAGCGAGCTGGGGTGGTCCAAGGATAATAAGGTTATCAATGGGGTCGACGCCATCGAGATCGGCTTGGTGAAGATGACAAAGCTAAAGGAGTTGCCCAGTACTGTGGTCTCCGAGCCTCCTGCCACTGAAGAGACAGCACTGCCTATTCGGATCGCTGCCAGACCCTCTTTGAAGGAGAACACACCTCCGCAATCTACCTCTACATTTGGCTTCGAGTCATCCAAGAAAGGTGCCGAAACTATTCAGCCAAGCGCACATAATGAGCGCAAGGAAGTTGATGCTCCCGTCACTCCGATCAACCAGCTCGATAAGTCCGAGAAGAAAGCAAGGAAGAAGCGCGAGAAGGCCGCCGCTGCCGCCGCCGCCGCGGAGAAGCTCGCTGTGGAGAACACTCTGTCCAACGTTGGCGCTCACTCTCCACGGGTCGGTCCAGTGTCTTCGAAAGGCGTTGACTCGAAGACCTCCTCGATGCCCCCTGCAGCACCGACAGTGTCGGTCGAGTCTATCCAATCTGCTGTCCAACAAATATCATCCGGTCTCGGGGAGAAGTTGACGGGGATTCTCTCCGAGTTCACGGATTATCGGGGCAAGGTCGAGACTGAATTCCGCAGTCGTGAAAACACCTTCGCTACAAGTCAGAAAGAGCTGCTTGAACTGGTATCGACCGTTCTGAACGAGAACGTGCAAACCGTGCTCGCCAGAACCATCAGCGATCAGTTCGACGATGTTGTCTTGCCACACATGAGCAACCTTATTACCAAGACGATTGAAACTCAGATTGATGGCAAGATCGGTGGAAAGGTTTCTCATTCCATTCAGAATCAGATGCAGAAGTCACTGCCCAACGCTGTGTCTCAGGCACTGCAGAAATCGGACCTTCCCAAGGCTATTTGTGACAAGCTCGTGGACAGTGTTGCTATCGACATGGAAGAGACTTTCCGTGAGACGCTCATGACCGCCATTACTCCCATCTTCAGCGATATGGCTGTCGCCGCGTCTCGAGATATCGTAAAGGACGTCCAGCATCGAAACACCGAGCAGATCGGGCAGCTTGAACAGCGACACATCGCAGATGCTCACAAGATAGATCAGCTTACGATCCTCGTTGCGAACTTGTCTGACACGGTCAACACTATGGCCTCGAACCAGGCGCTGTTACAGGATAGCCTTCTCAGAATCCAGCAGCAGATTTCGCAGCAGGATCGTGTCTCTACAAGACAACCCCAGCCCAGTCACGCACATTCCCTACAAACTCAGCAGAGTCGCGCTACTCAGGCGGTCTCATATGGAAGCCCTGCAGCAAGTTCGACCAACCAGCTGGTCCCCTTCCCGGGCAGCTATCAGGGTAGTCATCAGGGCAGTCATTCGGGCAGTAAGGATGCCGAACTTGAGCATATGATTGCCAGCGTTGCATCCTTCATGGAGCGCGGCGAATTCGAGACTGGTCTGGTCCGTTGGATCCAGCTCCCCCGCAAGCACGATGTATTTGACCAGTACATGGTCAAGTACAACCCGGAGTTCATGCAGGAGATGCCCGCTTTGGTGTCACTTTCGGTGGCGTCTGTTATAGCCGAACAGCTGGACGGGCCTCTTCTGCGCGAGAAAGTCGGCTGGGTCGAGGTTGTATTGAGCAGTCTACATGCCGCACTACCGCGTATCAATGTCGGTGCTCCTCCCGTTTCTATAGACGATGCCAGACTAAACTCCCTGCAGGATGCGCAGGTTCGTGATGTTGTCCCTAACATCATGGGCACATTCCTCGAGCGAATCGAAAAGCTCTTCATGCGGATCAGCAGCCGCTCACCTACGGATCCCGTCCTGCCGCATCTGTCTGCGATGACTCACATGGCAACCCGAATCCGGGATTTCTCTCGTAACGCAGGCTACTAAGGCAGCATAGTTCGAGTGCGGCCATCACATCGGGCGTTGATCATGTACATGAGACAGTCACATAGGCCTACCCTCGGGTGTGATCCACATGGTTCTCTCGCAGGTATGCCCCGCAACCTCCTTCGTAGCAGCTATCCTCGCCTAACTTTGCCCTGTAGAGAAATTCTTACTGCTTCTCGGAGGGATAACAGATCCACTCGATCTCAGATAGAGTTCATCATTATCAGTACCGCACCACCTGGCATCACTCACCGGGAATTCGCAACACCATACGATGTGGTCTAATACGGACCTTATTGGGGAGCAAACTCTACAGAGGATGAGCACCAGTGCAAGATGTTCGGGTCATGATGGGAGCAGCGGCCCAGGTAGTGGATGACATGGTATTGCAATTCAGGGGCCAAACATTAGTGGGCACGGAACATATTGCACATAGCTGGCTGCCCGCATTTTGTAGACGCAATGATCGAAGAGAATTCATCTTTGCATGTAGGAAATACAGCCTGGTCGGTCGAAGGGCTTTGTAGAATAGCTGAATAGCAAGCACATGTTTCATCGACTCTCACTCGTTACGATAGGGGCGACGGCGAACCAGCAGATGTTCGTCATCTCAACCTCGCACCTTCCATTTGACGTGGGCTGTCCGCTCTGTTCATCGTAATCCTGCCGGCGGTTAAGGCAGTGTATGCGAACCACGCGTCTTCTCCGGAAAACCTGTGTATCACCCCGCGTCATACCGTGAGTTCTCAGGGATGCGAATCCTCCTTTGAACACTCTGTGCACTCGGCTCCCCACATATTCTGGATAATCCGAGCCATGACTCGCTGAGGCCGTGTCAACTCCTGATGATAGCATTTGCTGCGCCTCCACGTGTCGTATGGCATGTTTGGGGCTGTACGAACCCTTGCAACAAACAACATGAAGGACTCGACGCACTCCAGCCCGCACAGGCTCACAGCCGATAAATTCCCGGACAGCCAATTGTATCCTCCCTGCCGCGCAATGGGATGTCGATGTCAAACCCTTCCCTTTGGCACGGTGCCGAAACCCCCTTGGGCTGGCCAATGAGACGCGAGATAATGTTGCTGCCTGTGGAGGTCGACGACGGGATGGAGGATCTGGGTCTGGATCGACCTATATGGCTGTGTATACTTATGCTGGATCCCCCGCACACTTCTTAGATTTGGCCAGTGCAGTTCCTGAGTGACAGTGACAGTGACAGTGACAGTGACAGTGACAGTGACAGTGACAGTGACAGTGACAGTGACAGTAGTAGCGAACGTCTTCTCTACCCTCACCTGGGATCAAACGAAGCCTCTCCCCTGCGCATACCTACCTCCCGAACCATCGCAACTTCGTCTACCGCCAGCCAGCCAGCTACGAACATCATGACATTCAGGGAGAACTCCGCAACCGCCGGTGAGCAGCTCGACGGCAACAACAGGGACTACGACAAGAAATTCGGCCCGTACTGTGACGTACCAGCATCACCGTTGTCGTCATCGTCATCATCCCTCGCCGGCGACGATGATGACGGCACCGATCTGCTCGCGCCATCCGAGACGATGAGTCCACCGCCGTACCACGGAATGCCGGACTGGAACACGTCCAACGGAGATGACACAGCAGAACCCTGCCACCCCTTCTGGACCGCCTGGCACGACATAGCCCGCGGCGCAGGCCTGATTACCGCGGCTGGTTTTAAGGTGCCGCTTGTGGTCGTCGATGGCGTGGCAAAGGGGCTGTGGTCTATACCCCTGTTGTGCGGAGACGAGACGGCGCGGGACTGGCCGGATGTGACGGGGGTTCGGACGGGGTGTGTTGCTGCTGCGGAGGTATGCTTCTTTTTAACCTATTACCTATGTCCCTCCTCTCTCTCCTCTCACTCCTCTTAAGACCAGTGGTTTCGATGTTTAAGCTTTAGGGTATGAGAGGTATAAGAGCTTACTGCCATGAGTTTACTGACATGAGTTGATTCCAGGGCCTATACCACGGTCTCTACGACGGCCTGACGGGCTGGGTTATCCTGCCTTACAAAGGCGCGAGGAAGGGAGGCGTCAAGGGTTTCGTCAAAGGGTGTGCGAAGGGGTTGGTTGGGTTGGTTGTGAAGCCGGCTTCTGGTAAGATTCATCATTCGGTTGTTGTTGGTGGTGGTGGTGGTGGTATTTGTTGGATTTAGCTAATGATGTGTGTGTGTGTGTAATGTAGGCGCCTTGGGCTTGGTTGGACATCCCCTTTTTGGGGTGTACAAGGAGGCGCTGGCGGCTAAGGTCAAGGTCAAGGTGGTCGTGAGGCGCGAGCGGAGGCCGAGGAGGGGGGTTGTGTCGTTGGTCTGAGGTCCGAATGACTGACTCTGAGCGGGAATGGGAGGAACCTGTCGCCCGGGGAGGCTGGCTGGCTGGCTGGCCTTTGTATAGTGGCGGTGGGGAGGACTTGTTTGATGTACGGTACGACCGCGATGAGTAGTCGGGGAAGGTTCGATGGAATATATAACACAGTGTCTATGGTCATCGATCGGGATGGCTGATTATTGTCTTGGCCCGAGGCACTCAAGGAGGGATAGACATTGCACGCTGCATAGGGACAAGAAGACGTCACTGACGAGACCAACAACAGCTCCCAGTGCTTGACGTTCCCCTACGCACAGACAAACTGGACTGGGTACTTCCCTTATTATAGAGGCAAACTGTGACAGCAGCGATGACTTGGCAGACTCGATCGTCGTAGGTGGATGAAGTGAAGCACAACCCTCACACAGGCGCAATTCTAAATCCTTTCAGGGGTCTGGAAGTTTATACTAATGACTACCCAAGTCGTGTCCCAGCCTATCCAAAATCCTCTATCTACCTACGCACCTCACAGCCCGCCGACATCCACTGCCTGCCTGCCCGTCTCACAGGTCCGCAAACGTGAGCTCGTAAGCAAAGCCGACAACCATCTTGGCATGCTCCAGCATATGCTCATAGCTCACCGTCTCCAGGGTATCGTCAGCGGTGTGGATATACGGGCTGATCAAGTCGAAATCAGCCTCAATGACGAACGCAGACGGGTACCCAGCCGCGGCCGCCGACGCGTGGTCCGAGCAGCTGTAGCCGCACGCCGAGTCGACGTAGCCGATGGCCGTGTAGGCGTCGATGACCTTCCTCACATAATTCGTCAGCGGCGCGTCGACGTAGTCGCCGATGACGCCCATCGGGCCCGCCTGGTTGTAGCCCGTCATGTCCTGCTGCAGCATGGCTTTCACCACGGCGCCGGCCGAGGCGTAGGCGTCGTAGACATCCGAGCTGCCCAGCAGGCCGCCCTCCTCGCCCTGCGTGTACACGTTAACATCCTGTCTTGAAACCCGTACGGCCATTTTCTAGATGAAGAAGGAAAGGGAAACAACGAAGCTTCTTCCCGAATACAAGGCCCAGGGTCTTGGGATGGGATGTTTTTATACGTACCGCGTACCAGTGGAACTCGAGCGTGTGCGTGCCCTCGCCCGCGGCGATTTGGGGTTCCGAGAGGAGCGCTTTGAAGGCCTCCAGGGTGGTGATGGAGCCTGAGCCGTCGTCGTCTGGCGACTGTGTCAGATGATCCCTAGAAAAAACACTAGGAATGATATGCGTCCTTCTGCTATTGTTCCTGTTTGCAATGAATGGTATTGAATGCCAACTTACCAGCACCAGGAGACCGTCCAGACTTGTTCCGTCCGTTGACCGAGTCCAGATGCGCGCCGACGACGATCTTGGACTCGGACTGCCCGGGGATCGTGGCCAAGATGCTCTGCTGGGCGAACGTGTGGCTGAAGGCCGAGACAGAGGCATTGGCGGCGCCGCTCTCCGCGATGATCGACTGTACCTGCGAGAAGATCCAGTCCGACGCTTGTTTGCCCGTGTCGGACTTGTAGTAGCGGTTGTAGATCTCCGAGAACGTGGTCAGTCGGCTCTCCATGTCGGTCGTGCTGAGCTTGGTGATCAGGTCGTTGATCGTATCGGTGTGCGCCATCTCGGTCGGGTAGGAGACCGCGGCGAATTTGGCGGCATTCTTGGCGGCTGCTGACGAGGCGAGGTTGGGGTGGTTCGTGATGTCGATGAAGTTCTTGCCGCCCTGCAAGCATGTTAACAGGCTTCAGGGGCTGGACTCCGAGGTAGATCGTCGAGTATCGCAGTGGAGAGGAGAGTGTTGGGTTGACCACCATAGAGGCATCCAACTGACCATCTTCAGCGCAAACTTTTCGTCCTCGTTTACGACCTGGGTAACTCCTGGGGCAACCTCGATCGTGAACAGATCTTCCTGGTTTGCTTCCAGCCTCTTGACTGAGAGCGCAGTGGAAGTGGCGGCCAGGGCCGCGACAAGCATGGAGCGAACCATGTTGGAGCTGGCGATAATATTATTGTCTAGGGATGGAGGCTATGAATACAATCAGAATCTAGAAAAGGGCTCAACAAAGTCGACGAGCCAGGGAGATCGTGGTGGAAGCTTCTTTACAAGGTAGCTGGCGCAGAGCTTTCGACCGGAAAGCTATCTCGGTATCTCGATTTCCGCTATCATCAAAGCTTGAAGGCGCAAATGATTATATACTATTCACGTAGCCGTCGTTCTGGGATGACTAGGGACCTGCGGGAAGGCATGCCTCGGGTCTCCATGGACGTCCTCGATGCCGCCGCAATCTGGATGCATGATAAGAACGACGCCTTACTGCTGATCCGGCAGGAGGTAGTGACACCAGGATGGAGACATCGGCTCAAGACCCCGCGAGTTGGAGGTATTATATGTCCAACAGCGGTAACCAGCTGTATATCTCGATGGCCAGATCATATGCCCAGATTCTCCGCAATGCGATATTGGATGCCGAGTGGACCCGGAGAAAGAAAGGTTCCCCGTGTAGCATCGCTACGAACGGGCGGGACGGCACAGCGAAGAAAGCCGTGTAGAGCTATACGACATCGACCAATGACGATCCGTTGAGGAGCAACTTGACGCCGAAATAGGAAGAAAGTAGGAGGCGAAGTCCGGGGTGTCGCACGGCGAAAAAGTACACGATGTGCGACCTTCCCCTATCTGTTATGTTCAATCACGCAGCAGACTCATCCATCTTCCACAGGCAAGAACAACACCCATTCATTGCCTTGGACCGCCTGACTGTCATGGTCGCCAAGCAGCACGCAGACTGCTGTCATTGGGGCTCTCCGGCCAGACGGCGCGATTCGTGCTCGGCATCGAACTGTATTCTCAGATAGGAAGGTTTAGCACCCGCCAAGGCAAGATAGGGTGGCATCTACCAACTTCGTGAGATATACAGCAATGCTAACGCGAGCTTCGATATGCGCTGGGGTGGCAATTCGTGACTGCGTGGGAATCCGAGATCCGTGAGATGGATGTGTTGTGTGTTGATAGATAACGACTTGAGCTTGAGTCCCGTCGCTATGCGAATGCAACGGAAGAGATTCTAGGTAGAGGCTTTATCGACCAGCAGCTGGCAGAGAGTGCCGCCACCTGGGCACGACACCCGTCAGGTGCAACCTCCTTCATCATCGACAGTGATCTGCACCTTCCTGTCCTACCTTAATGCCACGACTAGCACACTCCAGTCTACAGCCCTGTTCATCAGGGTCAACCAGTCTTCCCTTCTCCATGGGACCGCGACTACTACAGCACGAGGTCATGACACCCGTAATCGTAGATCTCTCTTTCAAAGGGCTTCCCCGAGATCAAACATCGGGGTAATGTCATCGGTCACAATTTGACAGTGTCCAAGTGTGTCTGATGATGTTGCCAAATCAGTTGAAGACCTACGATTGTGCTGTTTAGATATCGAGAGCTTCTACTCCGCACTTGGACTACCACGCGGCGAAACAATCCCGAAAATGGTACGCGTACCCGTTAAACTGGGTGGACAAAAGTCTCCGCCCGACCCACCACAATCTCCTTCAGATCAAAACAAAGCGTCAATCACCCTTCGACTTCACCACTCTCTCAACACCGCAATTGATAATGGATTTACGATCTTTTGGGGACGAATTAAGCGGTAATCGCGTCGCTAACGGCGAATTCACTTCAGAAACTCGCTCGGCAATCGTGGCGGCATGAATCGACGACAGAACGCGTAGGGATGTTATAACCGCGTTTAAAACGAAACGCCTGAAAACCATCTCCGATATTATCACCAACTTTGAGGCCACTTCTACACCGAAATCTGCCCCAAGGAGCGGTCGCCCATCCGTTTTGAATACTCGCGAACGCGCTCATGTGATCGAAAAGGCGAGAGAGCTCCCCAGGGCGACGTGGCAGAAGATTCGAAACGAAGCCTGCGTTTCGTGCTCTCCCAAGACTATCAAGAGGATATGTCACGCACACGGCCTCCAGAAGTGGCGCGCAGCGAAGCGAATCAAGCTCACAGATAAGGACGCTCAGAAGAGGCTCGCTTTTGCCAATTATTATAGCACATCAGAGCGCCTGGAGGAGTTGTTGCGAGCTATGTTCTCAGACGAATGTACGGTCCAAAACTCATCTGATAATCCAGGCGATTGGGCCATCCGATTCTCTTCAGAGCGGTACTGTTATGATCTCGTGAACGAGACGGATCACGGCAAATCTCGTATTTCGATAATGGTGTGGTCTATGATCTGGCTACACAGCGGAGAAGGAGGACTAGGCAAGTTGGTCTTCTGCCCACTCGATCCGGATGCTCCGCGCAGAGGAGTATCCGCAGAGTCATACAAATGGGTTCTTGAGGAAGGGCTGCTTCTGTTCTACGAGGCTGGAGATCCTTTTGTTCAAGATAACGCAAAAATTCACCTCACTGGCGGTGTTCCGGAGTGGATGGAAGAGCACGGCATCCACTGTATTGACTGGCCTCCTCACAGCCCCGATATGAACCCAATCGAGCACGTTTGGCGACTTCTGAAGAAGAACATACGTGAAATCGAGCCTGAATTTTCTGAATTGAAGGATAATATCCCCCATTATCGCTACGCACACGAGTTAATTGAGCAGGCGTGGTCAGAGATCGATCCGGAGCAGGTTCGGGCCTTGATGGAGTCACTGGAGGACCGAATAGCTGCAGTAAGGCGCGCCGGTGGTTGGTATACACACTATTGACTTAGTTATTAAATACAATTTATTTGAGAATTCTATCACCAGAATTGGATGCGTTATGGTTCAATTGAGTTGGAGGGTATAGTAGATGGAAGGGGTAAAATTGGGGATCGGGCGGAGACTTTTGTCCACGCATTGTACCTGTCTGAACCATCGAAGCTTCAAGCTCTGCCCTTGTAAGCGACCCACTCCAATCTTCCGTTCGCAGACGAGATCACCGAGTTCGAGTTGAGGTTGTCCAGCCAGACCTCGTTCGGGCTACACTTCGACATACCCCAGGCCCGGGCCGCCTGATTAGCACCGTCGCCCACGATTCTGGCCAGAGCCTGCGTGCCGGTGGCCTTGGTAGCCAGCGCTTCAGCTGGCGCGCCAGCCAGCATGTCCTGCAGGCAGACTCGACTTACGCCGCTGCCATCGGTAGCCTTCACGCTGCCGCCGCCATCGCAGCCCTGCAGAAAGCTGACGTCGCCCCACATGATGCCGTTCTCGTCGACGTTGGACACGAACCAGGTCCCGAGATTGTGCACCTCGCGTTTGAAGTTGACGGCCTCGGTGCCGCGGACGACATGGCCCTGCCAGGTGTCGCAGACCTTCACGAAGGCCCGGCCACCTTGGGGAATCTGCGTTGTTGCTGTCAGCCTATATAACCCCAGGATTGTTCGCGGGTCTACTCACCATGAGGTACTTCCATGCGTGGTCGTCACGGCTGTTCTCGTACAGGAAGTATCTGACTTTCGGGTCGTCGTCGTTGTTGGTGATCCAGAAACCGGGACCTTCCTCGGGGTCCCCCCCTGCGAAGACAAGTCAGTGGGGGCAAGACAGGAATGGGGACAGGTAATATCTCATACCGGTCAATATGGTGGCTGCGCCTGCGTCGCCGCAGTACGTGATGTTCGCGGTATCTGAAAGGCCTTTGGTACCCGTGATGCCGCCGTTAGGGCCGAGGGCATCAGGGCCAACCCCAGCTGGGGCACACCAGCCGGTGGCGAGGATGCAGGCTCCGAGGAGGGCGAAGTTGAGGGTCTTGACCATAATGTTGGACTGTTGTTGGAATTGCTGAGTGGATTGAGTGCAAGGGGGAGTCGGAGAGTTGATGTGAAGAGGGAGGGAACTTGGGGGGCTTTGCTGCTTTTATAGGCCCTGCGTGTTGGTGAATACTGGCAGTGTCAGACCGTCGTTTGTGGGCCGATCTCGCTTGTGACCTCGACCTCGCGGACGAATGCGGTACAGGGAAGAAGCGGTGTTCATGGGCTAAGCCTTCACCGTCGTCACACGGTGGGCATCGTAGCCCAGGCGCGGAGACATATCTCCCAAATCATACCTGATTATGACGAGGGGTCCCCAGTCATACCCGACGTGTCTTCTTAATGGAGCACACGATGGCTCTTGTAGACGTGCAGACGTGTAGGACATCTATGAGTCGAGAAGGAAGGAAGATGGGGCCGGTGTGCGGCCATAGGAACCAATACCTATGGTCAATCTCAACTCAATGCGCAGCGATAAGGAAAAAGAGGCATGCGCGTCCACGTGTGTTGCGACATGTACAGGGCGAATGGGTGTGTGTTTGTTCTGTGGGAGGAAGTGACGATGGATGTGTTGTGTGGTTAAAGGGGGAAGGACCGTGTGGGGCTCTCGCGCTTCAATTGGAAACGCAAAACTCACTAATGTTGTGTCCCCTGATCTAGATGAATATTCCGATTGCCTCGATTTCAGCACCAATGTGGACTTCTTGTGCAATCAAGCAGCTGCAGTGCAAGGGTTTGTCGGACGAGCCGGCATGGTCTGGCCCTGTCATCAATGCCATTTGGCTTGACCGCCAATCTAGAACCGAGCAGAGAACCTACATATCCTGTCTGTCATAATCGATGATTAGGCTGAATCATCAGCTTCAGAAGGATACCAGTCAAATGTACGCTGTCTCGAACCTCTCGGGTCGATCTGGTAGAGAGCATCCTCATGATCAGGATCTCACTACACTTCCGCCTTTCTGGTCCAGTAGCGGACAGACGTTCAAGGAATCAGCTCAAGCACAAACACTTGATTGTTTGCTTATCAAATGAAGAGGTAAGTTCTGCTCAGTTCAATGTTCCCCCGTCCTGCTCTCCCGGGACACGTGTGTCGAGTCGACAAGATTCGAGTGTTGGTCACTTCCACTAGGACTCGTGTACTCTGTGGATGACTTTGGAGGGAGTGGCAAAGGACCCGTATGTGTACTCCCTCATACTGACACGATTATCTGGCTCCCACAAGCCGTTGTTCGGACGGTACCACGAAACACCTGAACAGCACACCTGGATTTCTTTGGCTTGCCCGCTATATCCCAAGCTTCAGGTTGCTTGGGCCAGAACTCTGAACTTGCAAACACACGCAGAGCCGCTTCGGGCTTTGCCACCCACCCTTGGGCCTTGGGTACCAGGGCAGCCTCGTGATTGTCGATGCGAGGATGTTGGTACAGGCATAAGCGACGGGCAGGCTATGCGCCGCGTTCCCTTTTGTGGCTGCGAACGCCCTTTCGTGCGGAGTGTATGAGTCTTTGCATATCCTATCGGCCACGATACCCGATTTATACCAGGCCACATTGACGGTCCTAGGCTGCGGAATGTTGCTTCTTCGATAAGGCGGACAGTGATGCAATACATTGATGGTGTACAAGATTGGGGTCGGACTCGCACATTATAGGTATAGGTATATGCGGCAACGTGCAGCTTCCACGTCATGCCGCCACGTGAAGGGGGGTACCGATGGAAAGTCTATGCCCCTCTCCAGCTATCCCATCTTCGACCCTTCTGTCGTTCGAGTTTCTGGCACTCGACAGCATTTGAACCTAGACCTCGCCACGAATTGAACTCGACGTCGTCTGCTCGAGCAGTTAAGCAGAAATCGAATTGGTCGCACGCCAGGGACAGTCCTTCAAAGCCCGATCAAGGCAGCGCCGTCTCCACCATGTTCAGGCTCACCATCATCTTCCCCATTGTTCGTTGACCCTCGCTGGCGTAGTCTCTCGTCTGCCCAGCTAACCCTCAGATGTCTAGCTCGTTGCTGCTTTGATAGCACTCGCGATGTAACAACCCTTTCTCTGCCTGGACTTTACTTGATTTCGGGAGACTAACGTGGCCCAGCTACGTGCAGGTCACATCAAGCTCTCTGTCCCTCCCGCTCTCGACCGGCACAACCGTCATCACGATCCTGCTCCCGCTCATCGCAGCCGCGAACGTCTTCTACACCCCCATCCTCGACCGAATCCTACCGCGCGGCAAATACCCGGCCCTGCAGCAGCTGCTCCCGCCCGCGCTGCAGATCATCCAGGCCGTGCTGACGACCATCGTCGCGACCCTTGCCTTCGAGGGTTTCCTGCCTAGCCAGAACCTCAACTGCAATCTCGAGGGCAACTGGCAGCAGCTGTGGCACGAACACGATGGCCGGGGGATTGAGCGCATCCAAGACTCATTCAATTGCTGCGGATTGAACTCGGTGCGGGACCGCGCGTGGCCGCGGGACCATTGCCAGGACTTCTACAATCGACATTCGTCGTGCGCGGCTCCGTGGCGGGCTACTATGCAGCGCAATGCGGGTCTCGAGTTCGGCGTCGCGGTCGCGGTTGGGCTGATACAGGTAAGTAGCTCACCTGTATGCCGCCACAGCATGGGGAGCGAACTGACGTCTATAGTTGGTGCATCTCGCGCTCTCTCGCCTGCGAAACGCCCAGAACCGCAGAGCCCGAGACTTCAAGCGCATCACCCATAATCCTGAAGCCGACTCGAGCGACCGCCTGATAGAGGATGGACAGCCGGTTGAAGAGGCCGACGGAGCAGAGGGGAATGGGGGACAAGACGGCTCGCGTCGTGGCTATGGAGCCATTAGTGACGGTGGATCGGCTCCTCGAATCGAGCCTTCGGGCCTTGGGGAGGAGCGAAACCAATGGCAGTCGTAAACTAGTCGTAAACTAATCGTCAGCCCGAGGACTCATATTCTCTCTGAAGGGGCGAAGGGGAGACTAGAAGTTGCTGCTGTTGAATAGGTGCGCCGGTCAATGCGAGAGATAAGGTTGCCAGGGAAAAGGAGACAGCAAAGGAGACAGGAAAAGGGGAAGACAGATAGGTAAATCTGCCATGAGTAGTCAGCGGTTCAATCACATGCCGATTTCCAAGTATCTGCCTATATTATCCAGGATAACATTGAAGCAACTGTAGCGTACATATATTTCGGAATTGCCATAATTTCAGGTAGATGTGACCGTGCGGTGGGTGGTGGATTCTAGTCTGTCTACATGTACATACCGGATTGGGATGGTGCCGAAGGTTTTGATTCGTCGCTTGCCCTCGATAGCCTACATGTTGCCATCGCGCCAAGCCGGTCATCAAGTTCGGCAAACAAAAGGGGCGCCGACTTGGTTGGACGAAATGGGATGGCGGCTGACGACGTTGGACCGAAGTGCCGGGAGTAGAAGCCAGATGGGCGACGAAACCGCAATATTCATCCGATCCACAGGCTCAAACAGACAGACAGACATGACGACCATTGGAACGCGAATTTGGGTACCAAACAACCGAACCTGAAGCGATGATGGAGCTTCTGCTGTGCAAAGTCCGGGCCACGTAATCAAGGGCCGAAGTCTGCTTATAGTAGGTCCACTACCGACTGTACGACGTCCGTCCCGAGTTGCTGGGTTCATCCTGTCAGGTCGGGCAACCCCCACAGGAATTGGCATCGCCTAGAATCCCCGCGAGATGGAGATCTCGGCCCGAAAGTCTATCTGCGATGTGCTGCTGTGTCCATTCTAGGTGTTCGGGCCTTGGGGTCCCTGGCCAGGAGCGCTGCGACACCAAGGCGACGGTATCGAGCGGTGTCGTTTTCACCGGGAATATCCATGTTGCTGAGGACGTCTCGTTGCAACGGGCCTCGGGTATGAAGTATGGGCTGGTCAAGTTCATAAGCCGGTCTGTGTATATAACAACTCCCTTCGTCTGTTAATTTCAGTTTGCTTCAGAAGCTCTATCACTAGTTCATCACTCGCTCGCCACGCTCGTTAGACCACGTATTTCGCAGTCATCACCGTCCACCGATTCGACTAAACTCTTCAAGTACATCACTGATTCACTCCAAAACCCCCCATATACGACAGCCATGCAGCTCATCAAGCTCATCTCAGTCGCCTTTGCGCTGTCGTCGCCCGCCACAGCCATGGTATTCAAGCGCTCCTGCGGGTCTGGCAAATCCCAGTGGTGCGGCAGGTGAGCTTCACAGTCGACTCCTCCGTCGCAGCGTCGCTGAGACCCAAGCAGCAGCACATATAATGGAACTGTTGCGCTGTCGTCGCATGCCACGGCCATGTCCTACAAGCGCTCATGCGAGTCCGGCAAGTACCAGTGCGGCAGGTGAGTAAGAATTGGCGGCCCTCTCCTCCACCGCGTCGCGGCGTTGCTGACCCCGGGCAGCACTACTAATGGGACTGCCACTGTCCAGGTCTGCAGCGGTGGGCTTTGGCTTCATGCTGCGACTTGTGCCGATGGCTGGAAGTGCGTCAGCAACGAGGCTGGTGGATGCACTTGTCAGACGTAGCCGGTCCATATGGAAAGCTCCTTTTAATGGCGTCAGTGGTTGAAGATCATGGGGGTTGACTTGGCTTGATAGACAAACGTAACATAGTGGATGGTGTCGCATTATTAGAAGCAAGAAGACTTTAGTCGTCATTAATCAGGGGAAATAGTAATTATACACACACGTACGAATTGATACATATTGGATATATCCGAAGGATCACTTTCTGATTTCATCTAATGTTATTGAGCATTGCCATGCGATGCTTGTGCGTTTGGGTTATTGTAATAAGTTAGCCGTCACATTGTCTTCTTCCAGATTGTCGATGACCTGCCTCCGAGTGCGAGGTGCATACCTCTTGGAAGGTGCTGTGTGTAGTCGGTTCCAGAGGTGGGCAATCCTTGTCCGAGATTGATTGATTGATTGCAACGGCTGGAGACCTTCTGCGAAGAAGCAGGACCCAGCTCTCCCTAGGGTGCATAGGGCCGTAATAAGCTGTCCGTCTCATCCAGCAAGCTAAGATACAGTGGGTGATACCAGTATCATACCTCATGGGCGGTCAATCTCTTGACTCCGTATCCACTCCTTTTAGGACTTCTGGGCCTTGTGCTCTCAGGTTCCATCTGGGAATGTAATTCGGGAGCCCCCTTTCTAGAAGGGGGCTGCGGGTATTGGTTCAGCAGACGTGCTGATCTCTGAGCTAGGGGTGACGACCTTGTCCGAGATCGACTGTGGTTGGTCTCAAGCCGGGGGATAAAAGCAACGCGCAAGTCAAGACCTCAGTCCTAGTCGACCCTTGCATAGCCCGCCAACAAGCGTGAGACACAGGGAAACGTGCTACGTGTTAATTTGTGAAGCCGACCTTTGCAATAATTCTCGAAATTCCCAGAGGTCACATGTCAGAGCGCAACAGTCCAGCAGTCCAACAATCCGCCATGGGTTACAACCGCTGGATCTTCATGGGAGTAGGAGGCGTTACTTATGCAGCTTATAGGTACTTTGCGCCGGGGCTTTATCGACAAGCTGTTCTGAATGGCACAGCCTAGTGTTGTATAATCTATCATCCGCAGGTTCCCGACAACGACCCTTTATGGTCCTCCGAGCAGCAAGATCGCTGTTTCGGAGAGTATTGCTGGAGGACGCGCGGAGCGCAGCACCACCCTATATCGTTCAGTTGTACGAGGCGACTCTCGCTAGCTACGATCAAGCCGGAACTTAGGGAGAACGAGGAACAGCTGGCTGTCGCCTTCTACAAGGCCCTCTGGAACACCTGTATGTGCACCCGCCTTGATAAATTGTCTTACATCTCTCCGGACCGGCAAGCTCACGACATGCTGTTCTCCTGAAAATATAGTCCTCATAGACGAGAAAGGCAAGATATCCGGCCAACGCGAGCCAGCCTTTGCGTCTCCCGAGCACACGAACGCCCGACACTTCGTCGACGAACCCCGTTGGGTTATCACGAAAATGAATCTAGAGACTGTTCATCGAGGGGAGAAAGAGCTCGTACAGCGCAAGGAATGGTGGCTCAAGGGGGGCGGACAATACCAGGAGCTTTGGTTCGTGGAAGCTCGCATTGACCGCGCCCGAGGGCTCGCGGACGTCGGCATCAGGATGTGTGGGAGCAATACTGGACTTGACACTGGAAACCCTATTTTCCGTAAATCGATACAATTGAGCGTTTTTGCCTCGGCTCAGAAGCTTCTGGAGGAGTAGAGAGCCTTCCGGAATGGGTAATGGCTGGGCGGGAGTGGGATGATGGTACGAACGCTCTGCTTTTTGTTGTCTTTTAGGAAATTTGGGGTGAGCCTTCACCTTACGGTCGAAGAGCGTAATAATAAAATAAATCGATTGTACGAACGAGGGATACTGATGGTGGCAGAAGAGGTCACGGGTTTGGTAGTGTACCCGCTTCACTACAATAGCACCCTACAGGCACCATTGAGCGGCCTAGAGAAATCAATGACAGCGTCGTATTCCCGAACGCTGGTAAGATCTGGTGGCCAGTTATATGGGATAATCTTACAGGCTCATCTGGGGAGGAACCAACAGCATACGGACAACCCGGAATCTACAGACCCAGTAGCTGAGACCCGACGTGCACTATCATCAGAAACAGTACACTGTCAGCGCCTCAAGTAGTAGAGACGGCATGGTCAGGCAAGAATCTGGGGATCTGATGATTTCACCTAAACTGCATGATGGAAAACATAGCGCAATCGATGAGTCAGCTCTAAGTTCCATCTAAGGATGAGGCGTAAGTACAGAAGACGAGGTGTTGCGGAGGGGTTCGCCCGGACGTTTAGCGGCGAGGTCTCGGTGTCAAGAGGAGGACCAGTGTTGGTCCTTGGTGGCGGATACAAGGTGGTGAGCTACGCATCCATTTACACTTGATGCTTGTGGACATAACAAGGAGTGAGCATATTATCACCCTAAGAACAGAGCACAGTGGGTCAAGTACAGCTGGAAATCAGCTTGCCAGAGCCTCTTGACATCAGCAGTGAAATGAGAAGGTGTCTGTGGCAAACCCCCGGGTGTCATCTGGAGACAACCAGGTGGTGTTGGTGCACTGGGCGTGGCCCTAATCCGCAGGTGGGAGGGAATCCTGTCTCCGTGGACCAACGCCGGCTCAACAAATCTCCTGGATTCAAGAGCATTATCCACGTACCTGTATGTACCTACGTAGGCAGCTAGGTATGCTCTGTTGCCTCTCAGGGGGGACTGCTTCACTATAAATCCGCTGGCTCAGCCCTACGAGTGGGTCTGACCGAGGCGCTAGAATCGTAGATCGCAGCGCTGGTACCTAGATAGTACTAAAAATAGACTTCGCGTTCCCAGCCCAGCAGATTGAGAGATTAAAGATAGGAACATCGCCGCCACGGCTAACGGGCTAACGGGCTAACGCGCTAGTCGGCTCCAATTGCAACTACATACGCACTGCATAGGGATAGGGGGCATCGGGTAGATATTAGAAACGAAGACATCCAGGATATCTGGGATTGAAGACTCGAGAGTATCTGGCAGTCTGGCCCATAGCTTCAATTGATGCACCCCAGCAATCCCCCGCAAGAGCTGAAGCTTGGGGGAGCTGGAGACAAGATCAACCACAGACCCGGTCATCGACTATTTGCCAGGTGCAGTGGTATGACTATGATTATACCTGCCAAAGTTATCATAAAGCCGCCCAGAACAAATTCTGCCAACCTTGACACACAGTGAAGTGCTGAAGAGCTTAAGCTTGGGGAGCTGGAACCAGAATCAGCCACAGACCCGGTCATCGTACCTCAAAGTCATCATAACGCCGACCAGAACAGAACCTTGTAAACGCCGAAACGCAGTAAAGTGTGCAGCATGTGAAGCATTCTCACGCCTCTGATCCAGTTGCCGGCGTATTGTACCCACTGCCCTCCTAGTTGGATTGTAGGTACACAGGAATAGTGAAGACTGCGGCCTCATACAGTCCTGCTGCCCGGGTCCCGTACCAGTAGTAGCAACTGAAGGCCTTGAACACATCTCGCATCGTGTATGAGCCCTTCAGAAGATCATACCACACCCGGGTTTCCCACAGTATTCGTGCGTAACTCCCAACTCGAAGGTAGCTCCCAATTCGAGCGTATATCCCAATTCGAGCGCAACTCCCAGCTCGAGTGTGACTTCTGACTCGAGCGTAACCCGTAACTCGTGCAACTCGCTCCGAGGTACCCTGCTGGACCACGAGCCCCCGTACGTAATAGAAGCATACTGCTGTCCTTAGGCGGCCGGCCTGCTCTCCGTAGCTCTTGTATGATGACTCAACTCTCCCTGCTCATGAAGGCCCGGCGAAGTCAAATTGAGGTTACCAAGATCCCCCGTACCCTATAGAAACATGCTGCTGTCCTTATGTGGCGGCCACACTCTCCGTAGCTCTCTTTTGATGAACCAACTCAACCTCAAACAAGCATTTTGCCACACAACTCTCTGCCTTCTCCCAACAACCCGTGCCAATGAAGGCCCGACAGCCAATGAACGCTCTGCAAAGTTGAAGCCTAGAGACCCGAATCACAAGCGTAGACCAATGAGGCGTCGAAGTAAAGACAAAATCCTCTATACCTTTACTCTGCTAAAGTTCACACCTGGCGTTCACTAAGGTTGCTGGACCCGGAGAAGGCTATAGACACGTCTACATATGCTCCTGTGGCACCGCTGCTTTAAATACTGGCCTCCCTCCAGTAAACCTGTCAGTCACTCAACTATCATCCTTCTGAGCTCCCCTCTGTAAACCTGTCAGTCACCCAACGACCATCCTTCTGAGCCCGCCAACCCAGACCACAGCTTCGGAAACCACACCATCGTTCAGTTATACTGACAACGAGACATCCTCTCAAGCTTCAAAGACCACACGATTGGTTAATTATACTGACAACGAGACATCCTCTCCATTGAATCACGACCACACATTCAAGACCATACATACCGACGCTATCGACGTAAGTTCCACCTCGCCCTTCTTCGTTTCCTTCGGCGGGACAGTGTCCCCTGCAACAGCAGCCGACAACTCTGGTCCCTTTCGACCCAAGAGCTAACATATGCGTTGAAGCCAAGCAACGTCGGCATTAATGCCTACGCAAGCCAGGGTAGCGTTCCCAGCATGAACATGCCTGGCAACTATGTTAACGTAAGTCCTACCTTGCCCTTCGCTGCCTTTGGCAAGACAGTGTCCCCTGCAACAGTAGCCAACAACCCTTTGGCCCCTTTCGACCCAAGAGCTAATAGCGCGTTCTAGCAACCCGGCCTTAACGGAGGCTTTAACAATTACGCCAATATTCACTCAATCCACAACACCAACCATGCGATGAGCGGCATGGGTGCTAGTGCTCCGACTGTTCAGCAGTTGTCGGGGTTCTCCCATGCCGCGCCGTCGCAGTGGAGTGCGTACATTGACCCTGCTCTGAAGGACTACAACACCATGCCCCAGGATCTTCCGTCAAACTGGAACAATCTGGCCCAGGCCCCGGGTCAGCAGCAGTTCCCTCCATTCTCCAACCCTGGTCTGGGCGACGGGTACACCACCAACTCCCAGGTTCTTCAGCCAACCTGGAACAATCTGGCCCAGTCCCAGAGTGAGCAGCAAGTTCCCAACGCTGTCAACGGCAATGGGACCATGCCTGCCGCTGATTACCAGATGTACCAGGCCTCTCCGGCGGTGCAGAACAACGTTGACGCGCCGGTGCCAGCGGCAGCACCGGCGCCAACGGTAGCACCCGCTAAAAAAAGAGGACGACCATCGAAGAAGCGCCCGGCGTCGTCCGGTGCAGATGAGCCGCCTTCCCCCAAGAAGCGAGGACCCATCCGAAAGTTCTCGTGCAAGACATGCCGCGACCATCACGTGAAATGCGATGGCCAGGAAGGCAGCATCTGCACATATTGCACAGATCATAACGAGCCTTGCGGCTTCGATATGAAAGACAGACGATTCAACGAGGCGGTAACCGAGACCATCATGACCGTGGTGAAGAACTGGCAGGGTGCCATCGAGGATCTCTGTACCGTTCTGTCCGCCCTGATCGGGGAGGGTGTCGACAAGGACGACCAGATATACGCTGCGAAATTAGTCAAGAAAGGAGAGAGCCCATCTCTCATCGCCCGTGTCGTCGACCCAGCCCCAGGGATACCCGCGGTAGCTGACAACCAAAGACTGGCAAGATTGGCTGTTCTTGACCAAGGTGCCAAGCTGGTGGAAAGGAAACGAACGATTAAGGAAGTGAATCGCGCCGGGATTAACACTATTGCTTACCTTGCTTGGGTTTGCGAGGGTTACCGGACCGGCGAACTGACAGAGTCTGACGTGCAACGCATCTTGCATAACGTCAGATTGGGCAGATGCCCCGAATTGACCGAGCAGGTCGAGCTTTGGGAAGGGTGGGTGAAGCATTGGTACCCGAACGGAGCGGCGCCAAAGGCCGGCGTCAGGGGCAACTTAACACAGCAAACCCCTACATTAGCCGTCGCCTCATCGTCGGCCGGGTCAACTCCACCGACCCATACTCAGGCCGGCTTGACGATTCCAGCCGCGGCGATGGGCCACGACGACACTCCCCACGAGATCAACTCGGCTGTGCTGGACCCGATTGTGAATGCCTACGGCGGTCAAGAGTCAGGAGTTGGGGGGTTTGCAGACTGGTGGGCAGACCAATCTGCAGACCCGTTTGCAGACCCGTTTGCAGACCCATTTGCAGACCCGTTTGCAGAGCCGAAGGAGACCGCGGCGGAGGAGCCCGCGGTCGCGGAGGAGGTCGCGGCAGAGGAGGAGCCCGCGGCTTGGGGAGAGGCATCGGATCTTTTCGACGACCCAGATGCTCTCGCCTTATACGAGTCAAAGATTGCGGAAGAGGACGCAGCAAAGGAGAAGGCTGCGGCTGAGAAGGAAAGAACGGACTTCATGAAGATATTGAATGCCGGGGCTAGAGAAGAGCAGGCGGCGAAGAAGGCCGCGGCTGACAAGAAGGCTGCTGCTGAGAAGAAGGCGGCTGCTGAGAAGAAGGCGGCTGATGAGAAGAGGGCGGCTGATGAGAAGAAGGCGGCGGCTCAGGAGAAGGCCACCATCATGGAAGCTGAGTTAGGCGCTGACTCTGAATCCGAGGTTTCGGAGGAAGAGTAAAGGGTGTCGCATCTGTCCCAATTTGACATTCAGCATGGGTGTCTGGTGTCTGGCGTTTGCAACGATCGAATATGCCCTGGAGGCTTTGCGAGTTTTGAGATTCGAAGATACCGTTTGACATTTTGTAGCATCCGGCCCCTTAGCTACTTCCTGCATGCACGGTTTGACTGCCATGTCTTTCCGCTCGCAGCAGGGGAGTGGTTAGGGCATAGCGTATCATAAAATGATTTCGTCCCACATTGATGACTTGATTGAAACGTGATCGTGATGCATCTCGCCGTGACTTGTTTACTTGTAGCTGATGACTTCACTGCTTGGGAGAATGCCGTCGCCCTGGAGGGGACCGTCGCACTTGCGACAGTGGCATTCCGATGAAGCACTTGCTTGTGTGTGTTTGGTGTCTTCGGTCCGCGTGGTGATGTTTCGTACGTTGTTCTGTGCCTCGCTTCCGATGCTGTGGACATACTACAGTCGCGGGCCTCCATGCCGGATGTTGAGCAAAGCTGACGCCCTCGTGAGCAGCAGGGTGCCTTTGCTCTCCCTCCCGACTGAAGGTGAACGAGTAGAGGAAAGTAGAGTCAGGAGGTAGGGATCGACGTCGCACCTTAACATCATTACTGCTAGCGAAATATTACATGTTGGCAGAGCAGCAAGGCCTCAAAGACGATGTTGCCGACATGAGGGAACTACCTCGCTTTGCCAGATGCGCCCAGATACAGCTGTGCGAAACCAAATACGCATCACTTGAGGGACTGGTAGAACAGTCAGCTTACAGCTCGAAACTCGGAATGGTGGGATTGATGATCTACTTATACGCACTGGATAGATATCTCCGAAGGGTGCACATCGACACCACACCACGGCATCTCCGATGTTGCCAGCGCAGCATCTACGCACGCACCACCAACCCTAATGCTTCGCACTCTCCCTTCTCCGCCTCTCCTCCGCAACCATGCTGTCGAATCTCATCATGGCCGGATATCCCTCCAGGAACGTATCAGCAACCCAGGTCCACCACAGCTTGCTCCCCGTCTCGACCCCATGCTTCGCAAGCCGCGTCCGCGCCAGCCACCACGCCTCCGTGAGGTGTATCGCCAGCACCGGCACGAAGATAGCCTTGACCAACCACACGAAGCCGTCACCGCCGTACGGGAACCCCGCATCGAGCAGCTCCCACACAGCCGTTCCGGGACGCACGAGCCCAAACCCCAGCGTCGCCGCCGCGCACACGAAGTAGAAGCTCACGCCGACGAACGACACGACGCCGAGCCCGCGCGGGCGCGTGAACGACTCGATGCCGATGTCGCTGAGGCCGAGCTGGGCGTGCGCGCGCTGCGCCATGTCGACGAAGCGGACGCGGGCGTCGGCGAGGGAGGACATCGGCGGGGCGATGGGGACGGTGTGCGTGCCGGAGGCAGAGGCGATGGTCAGGAAGTCGAGGGTCAGGCCCGTGAGCTGCGGGCGCGCCGAGGCCGAGGTCGAGAGGCCGTTGAAGGCGCGGAGGTACTGCTGCAGCTCGGGCGCGTGCTCTTTGTTCATGTGTGCCTTCAGCCGGTCCTTGTGTGCTTCGTCGAGGGCCATCCTTCCCGATCGGTTGCCTTCAGGGTGTAGGGTAGCTTTAGAACCTCCGTGTGTTGCGTCTGAAGGAGTGCCAATTGCGTAACACGAGCTCGCTGTGGTGGTTCCAATAAGTTCAGAAGCTGTCATCGATTGTTGCAGTCGCCCGAGACGGAGATATGCAACTAAACAGTACCCACAGAAGACATGGGTATAAGCATAAGTATGCTTGCAACAAGGGCCATTAGCAACAGAATCGAACATTCTGTCCTGGCCAAACTCGACAGACTTCAAGCTGTATTTCATCTTACGAGTCTCAAATCAGTAAATACCATCGCAGAATGGAATACGTCCCTCATTCTAGTTAGCCCTGTTGACCTCATCTTCCAGGGGCTACATTATCAGTGAAAGACCATGGACCAAACAGCATTCTTATCGCCACAAACACGCGCGAAATTGGAAACCACCACCCATCTCTACAGTCAGCGGTCAAGACTACGATTATTATGAAGGTCCTTAAATCTAGTGAATCCACTTATGACGCATACTCTTTGTGCAGCCCTCTAGCTTTCTCGCCTCGAACGAACGAGCCGTTGGTATCCGCATTGGATGAGATGGTCGTCAGGGCTGGATGTGCGCCCTCTCTCCGCCGAACCTGTCCGAGGCCCTTCGAACCTCTCCTCGGCCAGGCCAGGCTCCGCGACCATCTCCGTACGTATGCTGCTCCTAGGCACGTCGCCGAGCCCGGCATGGCCGCCGGTATCGTCGTTGAGGCACGCCGTCCATGACGTGAAGACGTTGGACAGCAGCGAGTTGTGCGACTTCGGGCGGACCGGGCGTCGTGTCAGCATCTCCGTGGACATGCATCGCGACGAGACGCGTCGGGCCGTGCGCGTTGTGATGGTTCCGAAGGCCTTGATCAGCGTCTGGCTCAGGAGCTGGCGGATGGCCGGCAGCGAGCCCACGATGATGGAGCCGTTGAGTTCGAGGCCAATTCAGAGCACCACGTCCGTGTACACCCAGTTTGGATTGGAGGAGCGCGCGAAGGACTGGAGGTAGCGCAGCCGGATACAGCTGATAATAACGACGAAGACGCCAAGCAGAACATAAGTATGATGCCCACTCTCTTGTTCAGAGTAGTGGTGGCGGCAGCATCAATGCTCGAACCCGCCGTCCCAGCCGTCCCAACAGTGTCTCATACGACATTCACTGGAAGACCGCGAACAAGTCGAAAGTACCTATCCGCTGAGAACGCTACTCATGTCTGGTAACCCACGACGCAATTCGATTGGAACCATCTGGTCGGGAACATGCGTACGTAGAAGCACAGCATTGCTATCTTGGTAAGCGCTAGAAGTGCTAGGTAGAAGAGCTGGGCACCACTCAGCTAAGTCGACACCAGACGAGGTCAGTTTCCTCTCGAACCTCCAGTGCCAAAGCAATCGTTAGTGCGTCGAGCGTCCATATGTCGACATCCAAAGCCGTGGGGCAGCTGTCGATGGTAAGCTGATTTGTCCTGTCAGACAGGGAAGAAAAGCATGCTTGAGCGTGCCGTATTGACCGAAAATAGTGAAACCGACGACCATTACCTGCTCACCCTCAGCTTTGGATTCAATATCACATCGTGATCAGGAAGCCCTATCCAGTTCGACATCACGGTATGGCCTTCCGGGTCGAACTGGCGTGCTAACCGCCATCGCCCGTACACACGGAGGCAGAGGCATATGAAGATGAACTCTTCGGCCGCAGTGAAGTCCCAGAAGTCAATTCTTCAGGACCGCGCTGGGACGTCACATGCCTCATCCGTTACCTTCATCGTAGCTTGAATCCAGTCAGCTGCGGGTTCTCCTCTATTCCATCAGAGGTCATTCACGCACCAAGCGCTTCTTTGGTGGTGCAAGTCGACGCAATGCATGCCTGGGCGCTGTTGTATAGTGCTTTGACGGTCCAGACACACGTGGTGGTCAAGAGAGATCTGCACGCAGAGATGGGCACTGCTTCTGCCATACACGTCCACGGTTCGTGATCAGCACGCACCCCAGGTCTCCAAGCGCGAGATACGACCTACACCCCATAGAGGAACTTCGCTAGCGTACTGAAGCACATCAGCTCGACACAGACATATCAGTAACGCCGGCATGACCAGAAATAAAACCTGGCAGCTGCATCATGAACTGAAGGCGATTCGTGGGCTCGCACGCCCGGTGCAGTCAACATCGCCCGTGGACGAGGAGGCACAAGAACGCAACGATTTGGACTCCAGATCAAGTTGTCCACAAGGGGGAACCGGTGCAAGGCACTCGGGTCTGGCAGACCGACGGCGGTGCTGTGGCATCTGGAAGGAGGACGCTACGTCGAGGACTCGGCGGCCAGTTGGGACTCTGTGGCAGTTCGTTGACTTTCCCCGAGAGCCATAGACGGCGGCTCAGTCTACTGCCATCGTTACTCGCACCCGCGTTCGCAAGCAGTCCAGCGCCGCATATACACTCTCATGGAATGTTATATCTAGCTGTGTCAGATCGATATTCGGACGATCCATGGGATCTGACATCTCGACTTAGCTTTCGCGCGGTCGGTCGAGGGCCGGTCCCGCAACTCAGATTTGAGACTACCCTACACATTGCGACTCACTCTGGGATCCAACCCTCCATGATGCAAACCACCTAGAACTCCAGCAGCTGTTGCTGGTACACAAATATATCTTCTATGTCGTATAATATGATGGTGTCGGCAATCAGGGGACATCTGGATGCTCACCCCGGTGACTCCGGGTGACTTGGACGGTATATAGCTTAGCCTCATAATACAAGTCAACCACGAAGCCTAACCCCAGAAGACCACGGCCCGAGAGACTACTCTCATTGCCAATGCTAGCATGTGAGGCGCTTACTAGCGCCAGGGTTGCCAGGCTCGAGGCTATAGCAGATAAGAGCAACAGCAGGCGGCATCGGCAACCTCGCACATAACGAGCTCCCGCGCAGAGACCAAATAGAACATGGGGAACAGACCATGCAGAACCGCAGAGCCATGTGAGATGCGAATAGGCCCGTGCGTTGGAAGTACTTCGTCTCAACTCTTTCACTCGCACCATTCTCATGGGTGAGTGAGCTCAGGGCAGGGGCATTGGCCGAGTTCACCTTCAGCTGGAAGTGACTTGAATAACATGGTCACCGTTGATATCGGTCTGCGCCTTGCACTTGTCCGGTGATGGAAACTGAATATGTGCTATAGAAACATCGCCACCTTGAAGCTCGGCGCTGAGGCTGGCCTACCGAACCCCTTTCAAGAGATCCTGGCTCCGACACCACATACACGGTATACTGTAACCCGATATTCGACGCATGCCATCGCTCGGATCTCCATCTTCCACCTCCTCGAACGAGATCTCTACACGCACTGCGGGTAGTATGGCGCGGAGATATCTTTGCAGCTCAGGCGGTCAGCAAACATTGTACACCCACTGTACCCCTGGCCGCTACGTTGTTGAGATTGTGCCTGAGCGCAAGCCGCCGAGCCTCCGGATGCACCTCCGCTTCCTGCGGTCGACTCCGGAGCCGGAGCAGTAACGATGGTTATCACGACCGGACTGGATCCGACAGTGCCTGCACAGGAGAGCCGTCAGTAAGGGAATCTTGGTGTGGACTCGCAGCAGAGTTTTGAAGGTCGCCAATGGTGTCAGGAAATATAGAACAATGTGGTGAGTATATTTAATCATGCCCATGAAGCATGAGTAATAAACAGCCTCGTGAAAAATTCATCATAGAAAGGGTAGTAGAATGGTTATGTTTTGGAGTGAGTTACCAATTGTCAACGCCCAGCTCCATCCACTCAAGGCCCATCACAGCTGGACGAAGGGCTTATCGTTTTATCGTTGGGAACACGTCTTGGCACGGCCATCGCATCCGGAGCCGGCCTGTTTCATAGTGCCGCCAGGAACCATGTCTGGGCCGGGGTCGACGCGTTTCTCGGTCTTTGCGTGGATGTTAATCAGGATCCCTGGGTCGCTGGCCTTCAGGGCTCCAGGGAATTGCACGCCTGCGGGCGTAGCGGCAACTGATGCGATACCTCCAGCGACGGTGATCTGGTAGCACGAGATGTAAGATTGTGCGCCACCAGCAGAGCTAACTGTGCGTAGAGCAATAACCTCAGCACGCATTAGATACACACCAGCAGCGGTATCGGCAGGTCTGGGGATGTCCATTTTGTCGCAGCAGGTGCTGTGGTCGTTGGTGTCCTAGTTGTCCGAGTCACCGACGGATCCCTTCGCCGACCAGGAGTCGGCAAAGATCTTATAAAAGAAGCGTGATCCGTCGGCCTTGGAGGCGTCGACAACTGAGCTAAGATACACATTGACGGGTTGGTGATGTGCGCCTCCAAGCGCTTCACTGCCGCACGTGCGATCACCGGGTTGCTAAACTGCTCGTCGGTAACTTGCTACAACCAGGCCATATGATGAAGCGGACTGACTTGGTGCATCTCGATAGTGACTGAACATCCGGCTTTCACAGCGCATTGGCCGGCAACACCTTTGCTACCTCCGCCATTGCACCGAATATCGTTACTGGCGACACTCGTAACTGGTGAATTTGAAGAAGGCATCCATACGCATTGTGTACCGTAGCAGAAGATCAGTACGTCGCGGCACTGTATTCCAGATATACGTATCATGTCAGCGCCATCGACACACAGAGCCTGGAGGATAGCATGGCCAGCCACTTGGTGAAAAGGGGCCCTGCCAGCAGGCGTGAAGTGGAGACTTCATGTTGCCCAGCAGCTGATGTGCCAAGAGTATGACTATCTCGGTTTGCTGTGTAGAAATGGTCCGAAGGGGGGAGATCAACGGCGGATGCGACGATGCTGATATGTGTCGCCAGCGTCTGCACCTTCTAGCTGCCACCGCAAGGACCATTGGACTCCGTTGGTTGGATTCGGGCCATATTCCAGTTATACGATATTGAACTCAATATGCTGCATGGATAGCACTGGCTGCGCGGTTCGTAATGTGAGGAAGGATAAAGCCGGGGTGGATGATACCCCAGGTTATCCCCACGGAACCACTTCAAACATCGCGTTGAAGGAAGTCCATCCGACAAGCTGACAACCCAGGGTATCTCGATGAAGGGCCGTGTAATACGCTGCCCCTTATCTGAGCTTGCTTTATGGCACGTGAGCTAGCAAAGCGGGAAACGTGAGCCTGCGTCCCGTGCATCTGGCATTAGGGAAGACAGGTCGAGGTTGGTCCCTCGCCCTGTCGTTGGCTGGAACGCGACCTGCGCCAGAGGCCCGGGTCTAGTCCTGTAGCGCAATGGTGAGATATTGTCGTCTCACATATAACACCGTCTTTGTCGCGAGCTCCCGGATAGAAGACAGCGGTCTGATCCGAAGGAGTGATGGAGTATCGTGAAGCAACCGGGGCTCTTCGATAAGCATTAGATGACGGGCAGAACAATATCAATCCAGGAAAAGATGTCTATGCCTATGCACCACTCCGATTGAGTTTGATGGCGTACACTGGCCGGTGGAAGCGTTGATGCAGTAGCGGTAGTCTCCGAGTACGCTTGGAATCACCCGCATGCGCGATACTAGGAATGTCTCAGGCAATGCGATCCGAGGTCACTGTGTCTGGCAAGGCCTTGACCCAATAATTGCTGATTCGACAACACGAAGAGAGATATCAGGGAGAGTGCGTCCTCAGCAGCCTACTCCCCTTGGCGGATTCGCTTCACGCGTCGAAATTGGCTTCAATCCGAACTTTCGTAACCCATTCCAGATTTCCACCAGGAACCCAAGCCCCTCTGCTGCATCCTCTCGCCAAACTCGGCAACGGAAGTGACTTCTACGAAGCCGCTATCGCTCGCCTGGGGAGGGACGTTGACGTCGCTCGCAGCCGGCTTCTGGGCGCATTGGAAGTCCTTGTACCGGAGGCCTTGAACGGCGGCCACCCAGCCGCTGACGCCAGCTTCATCGGCGCTTTCGGCATACATGATGCCTGGCGAGCCGCCGCTCCGTATGAGCACGAAGGGTAGTGCATGGTGCGACGCTGCTTTCTTGACTCGCTGGATCTTCTTGCGGCTGGTGATGTGGTGCGTGCGGATCAGCGCGGTGAAGAGATTTGCTGGACGGCTCATGGCGGCTCACCCATGTCCGCAAAAGTTCATACTACTCTCCTGGTAGATATCTTGAGTGGATGTCTCGATAACATCGATGAGGTGATGAGCATCAAAGCAGATGAAGCGGGTAGACGAGTTACAAGAGACACCCGACCGATCTTGCAAGTTGAGTCCAGTTCAATGTTTCGTCATGGGCAATTCTGCAGGTGCGGCTGCTCCTCGGCTCAAGCCCCGTTGTGACGATCCTTGTTGGTGCATCTGGGTAGTACGTCACACACTCTTAGCTGCATGCCATTCTAGCGAGGACATTATGTATCGCTTAGAGTGATTCTCAGGCAAGTTGCATAAAGCGATATTATGCAAATCCACAGAATCACCCTGCTCGTCGGTGCATAGGGATGTATCCAACAACTCAACGTGCAAGCTGCCGAGTACCTATCATTTCCCCTCCCGGTATACGTCACGTTGATGGATTGTCATAGAGTTGCCCGAAAATGCTGATATACTCCTCAACAGGCTGTATTGACGCGTGCACTTCACCCCGTAGGGGCACTCTCCGCCGGAACCCCTGCTCAACTTGCACACGACGAGGCAGTACAAACTACACTTGCAAGTGCGACCAGCTGTGTGTATTGGTTTGTGTCCGATATATTTAAGAGTTCCGTATACTCCTTCGTTGCACCATGTAAGCCCTATAGCTAGGCAATATGCCAACGATGCCACACACAACGGAATTCGTCCCACTGGTTCGAGCTTTGGACCGCAGGTTGTATCGGGCATTGCGCTCGCAACCGTACCCGTTGAGTTTTCTGAAGATTGAACTCTTGTAGTGACAGTGCAATGCTCATGCGACTCCCAAGTGATCAATCAGCGTTCGGTCGCCCAACCGAGCATCGGCGCCACTCTGATGTTTCTAACACCCACACCCACTAGATAACCACGATGCGGAGAATTCGTTTTTGACGTGACCTCAACGGGAGACTCTCGAAGCCCCGATTCTTGGTCTCTTGGGAGACGTACAGCGTTGGGAAGCTGGTGTCGAGGAGTACCGGTAGTCGCCGCCGAAGGGACTCTGATGTGCTGGTATTAGGTCGCAGGCTTGCGACAAGAAAATGGAGCTCGTGCAAAGGCTGTCGCTGGCATTCTGCACTTCCATCGCTCCTGAAAAGTGCGATATCAGGCGCAAACCACTTTTGTACCCACGCAATTCCGTCATCTCAGCAGTCGGCGCGCGAGTACGGTAAGGTGGGAGCGACTAGTTGTCCGCCCAAAATCCGTGTGCGCGAGCATCAGATTCGACAAAATTAACCTGGATGGAAGAAGAGGTCAGAAAACTGGTGGTATAATTTATACTACTGCATAACGAAGCCACGGAGTCATGTGGTGAATGCACTCCATCGCAACCTGGTTGGTGAAGATGGAGATGCGTGCTGACGGGGAGATATCCAGGCTAGAGAGGCAGTTAGCACGTAGATAGGAGACAACAATGTATTATGTCATCGACTTGGGAGCCCAAGTGTTGCCAGGCATTATGAACTCTGTGTAAGGCCCACTGTCGCCAAGGGACAGTGATCACTTCTGCCAGCGAAGAATTCACGTCGTCGGTTGATGCCAGCACAGCCGAGGGTTGAGTTGTCTGCTGGAACGTCCGTCGTCGAGGTAATCACGACTTCGGCTGTCTGTAGCAGCCTGTAGGCAGTTTGTCGGTACATGGCGTGGGGCTATTTCGCAGTTAAGATAATAACTTCGTTAATAAAATAACCTCAGCCCCTACCCGCGAGCCCACGCCGTCGCCTACCGGTTGCATGGATCCTGGACCATGACCTCAGTGAGGTCGCGGGCCCCCACCGTCTAACCGTCTCATTAAATCTACTCCCCTCTCCGAGATAGTTCTTCGATTGTTCCCCAGACTCGACCTATCATATCTTGGGATGGCCTCTTCGCTCATAATTGTCGATGCGAATTCGCTCTTCTGACTTGAATGTCATACCGTTCAAATTAGGGACAACAGTATCGCAGAGCTGCGCGTGTCTTTGCACAAGCTTTTGACTGTCCAGGGGCGCATGATTCAGCCAGCTACGAACCACTCTGCTTCCGGGAGTGAGGTGCAGAGAAGCCCATAGACCGAACACACAGTACCTTAAATCTGATTCCATCGAGGAGATCTTTTTGAATTCACTAGCAGGAGAAGCGCTACTCGAGCAGCTTGTGTAAAGATTTCCTGCCATTTTCGTTGATGAAACCAGCATCTCTTCCTCCGAGGGCGTAATGCATATTACCCGTTATGGATTAGTCCCCGTCATCGAGGCGAATTACTTGAAAACCGCCAGTGAAGGCAAGGTGACCAACAGTCGCCAAAAAGGCTTGGTATCGCGCAGGTGACAGGGAAATAGTTGAAGGTGTCGTCCTGTGTGTTCTGACAAGTACACTCACACTCCCCCAAGATTCAAAGTAACTACTTGCCGAGCTCCCAGCATGGGAAGCTAACCGGATGCTAGAATATCTCAGCATCGGGTACGTAGCCAGGAGCGGACAGGATACCATAGTGATTCAAGCGGAAGATCTCCCCGAGAATTGCATCAAATTTGAGCGTGATCTCGATGTGGTGCGTGATGGATCGGAGACAAGCCAAAGAAGGCCGAAGATTTCAGGATCGACCAGACTCGTCCTTTTTATCTCTGATGCTTGCTGGCTTGATCACTGCGCACGGCTCAACTGTCGGATGCAAGCTGCCTGTGTGATGGGTTAGCGACCGAAGTCGTGGCAAGCCGACCCACGATCGGTATCGCTTGTATGCTTCCGTTTGCATGCTTCCGGTGGCACCTAATTGTATCACACGATACGTACTTTTCCGCCTTCGGCTGTGAAGCCTCGCGTTCCTACCAAAGGTCAAGTTCAGCATCTACAAAGAGAGTTCCGAACAACAAATGTAATATTCTCCCCAAATCAGTAGACCACTCTGTCACGCCACGCAGACCACACAGCGTCTATCTGTCTAAGAGACGCGAAGGTCTGACCGCAAATTACCGGTTCCCTCTCTCTCTCTCTCTCTGTCTCTGCGGTACGGTCAGTCTACTCTCTCGGCTCGTACTGTGGTGTCGATCGGGGTTGTGGGAGACTGGCCAACAAGTTTCCGCAGCGGAACAAAGCCATATCCTCCAGGCCTTCGGGAGACTACATCGTTTGTAAGAGATGTGTTCTCGCCACGGCTGACACGCAATTCCGTTCGCAATCTGGAAAGGGAATCATCACCGGGATTCATTTGGTGAGGCAACCCCATATTGTCTGCGGCCCCGGCTCTGTTACTTGAATACTGTGCCCACTATGATCTATCCACCAATCGTCTTATTACTTGCAAGCCAGTATTCAATTTTCGGGGCAGTGCCTGCTCGCCGCTTGCGCCCTTCCTACCTGATATGGATCTTTGTCTACCTTACCACATCCCCGTCTTGATTCCGAGAGAGCGTCGATCGATAACCGCTCCATAATGTCTTACACAGATGGTTGTGTTCTTCCACCTCACGCCACCGCACCATATTCCCCGACTTTGTGGAACTGCTGAGGCTCACGATGGGACACCATCTAAGTAGACAGTTACTAATCCAAGTATTTCCATAGATTCGGAAGCCTCCCTCCACTGCCCTCCCACCATAGCCAACACTACCGTCACCAGTCATAGCAGCACCAACCACAACAGCCATCAATACCAGGCAAGGCCATGGCGCTGACTTCGTTCTGCAGTGCAGCCGAAAGACACCTGTTAGGGTGACTTGGGTCCTGAATGCCGCACCCTTTGAGGGCGCTCCTTCCCAGCGCCCCCCGTACACCACCGGTGCCCGAGTCTTCTCTGCCAGCCCAACATCGAGCCAAGAGGGCGGCTACTGCTGCCGCTTGCGAGGCTTGTAGAAAACGCAAGTCAAAGGTACGACAGCTTCCTGTCCCCAGAAACTCGAAGATGGTTCGAGGTGGTGGCTGACCATACGCAGTGTAATGCCGCCCGACCTCGATGTTCTGGCTGTGTCGAGAAACAGACGGCTTGCGAATACAGAACCCGACCTACGGAGACCCATCCCCAGGCGCAGAAGAGGAAGCTATCGGACCTCGAGCTCAGGTGCCAGGCCTACGAAGATTTGTTCAACATTGTCCGATCCCGACCCGACCACGACTCGCTACAGATTCTAGAACGGATACGATCAGGTATCGACATACACCACGTGCTCAACTCGATCCATGATGGCGACCTCCTGTTAGAACTCGGCGTGCAACGGGAGCACCACCTGCGATACGAATTCCCATACCGCCGTGAGATGCCCCTCTATCTGGAACAATGGCAAAATCCGTATCTCAAGTCCCATCTCTACGGAAAGATGTCGAATCCCTCGCCAAACAATATGATGTCTACTGAGTCGTTGGAAGCGATCGAAGATGACTACCAGAAATCCTACCTCATCCCTTACCACGCCGCCGATCTAGTTGATCCTCTTCTAGCCGAAGCCGATGTAGCGAGCTGGACCAACGTCTCTTCGAACAACACTATGCTACGGCGGCTGCTGGAAATATATTTCGTCTCCGAGTACCCATTCCACCCATACTTCCTGAAGGAGGCTTTCGTTGAAGACTTGGTGGCCGGGAACAGACAGTTCTGCTCTCCTCTTCTCGTTAATGCAGTACTTGCGGCTGCTTGGGTGCGTACTGTCATGTCACCTGTTAGTTACTACAAGACCAATCTGATTCCCAAAAAGCACGGATACCGTCAAGTGAGGCACCGCGCCGAGTATTGGAAGTCGGACAATCTAGGCTGTCGATTTCTTTCCGAAGCCCGGAGACTCCTAGAAGTCAACGAAGATACCCCCGCGCTCACGACCGTCCAGGCCACCGCAATCATCGGCCTAACGTGCAACACCAATGGTATCGATGTGATTGGCTGGTCTTACCTACGGAAGGCTATAGCTATGGCGCACGACTTGAAGATATTCGCGCCCAGTCCGACTCAAAGCGCATCATGGCAGTCTGTGGCGGCGGTCACGGCATGGTGCCTATATAATTGGCAGGCGTGGGTTCCTGAATTTGCAATGCTTCGCTTGAACTTGGGTTGCTGACTTACCTTGAAGGTTGGCGGCTTATCACACATTCCAACAGCCGCTTCTTCAAGAGCCGCCGCAATACCCGCTACCGGACCAACATAGCGCAACTGATCACTTTGGAGAGTTGTTCCTGAGATACCCCAACAGCAAGGAGCCCATACCCATGGCTCATGGCCTGGTCTTTAGGGCTGTATCCGAACTCCGCATAATCATCAACGATATTGCGAGACAGGCGTTCAAGTCTGCGAGGAACCTCTACGGTGTCGCATACTACGAAGCCCTTATGTTCCGCTCGAAGCTCACTAGCTGGTACACCAACTTGGCGGAGCCTTTGAGGTGCCAGAACATTTCCTTGCCTTGCCACTTGAAGCTACAGTGAGTTGACAATCCGACACTCTACCACGGTTACCCCGAATAGGGAGGAGTGGGATCCGTGGGGCCTCGTTGCTAATTGATCAAAGTATACACTATCACGTCATGCTCATCTCGCTCTTTGAGCCGTTCGAGGCGATGCGCCCAATCGATGGCGAAGTGAGTGCCGGCACAACAGTTAAACAGTCCAGGGCGTGCTTCGAGACACTCATACGGCTATACTACCAGCGGCACGGCTTCGAATCATACGACCCCACGCTGCTGAAATACCTTCATATGCTGGGATTCAGCACTCTCAGGGACCTGGGCCTGTCAGGCGGCGACTCTCCGGCCGACGAGGACAAACGCGCAACTCTCGTTCTCTGCGCCAAAGGAATGTGGGAACAGGGGCGGAACTCTTTCGCGTCCGAGGCGGTATTCCACATGCTGCGACACTCGATGGGACCAGACGAGATCCAGCTCATCAACGAATTCACGGGCTCGGACAGGTTGGACGACAGAATGGAGCTGATGGCTCAGGAGATCCGGTCACAGTGGCCGATTGGGGCGTTCAACGGGGCGACCCATACCGACGAGCAGACTTTAGAACACTTCCTCAAGAGTTGGGAGAAAAGGAGGAAAGAACGGTCTCAAGAGGATGGTTTGGCAGATGGCGCAATGGATGTAGATGGATATTCATCCGGAACGCCTTCACCAACACAGGCCAGAGAGGTTTACCCCTTACGAAGTTGAAGCAAGCGCTAGTATGAGACATGGCACAACACAAACATTAGCACCTTTCGAACTTTGGCGTCGTCCCAAAAAGCAGACGTGCTTGGGTCACATGTAAGCCTCGAGACCCACTGCGGCTCAGTCGAGGATACCGGTATGCCACGAGACAGGAGCACTGACACAGCAGATTTGCACAGTCTAGATGGCCTCAAGGGATCTGGAAGGTGGAAGCAGACATCCGAACGATTTCCCGGCGGCCCACATATGCAAGCTAGGACAGCCTAGGAGTCTAGTCCGAAACTAGGTCGAATCTCGATGACAAAGTGGAGTAGACTCCGCTCGGCTCTGCCCAATCATATCGTCGCGGATAACTGCAAGCTGAGGTCTAACCTTGCTAGACCGCGGAGCCTACTCCGCTCAAACCACCGCCGACAGACAGGCAACATGTTTCCGATCGTACGACCGTTGACAGTTTCCGACGCGCAGCGGTAGCATGTATCCATCAACATTGCTATCCGGAGCTGGAGCTGACGTGGGACCTGGAGGATCAATTGTCTATTTGTGGGGATCCTCTCTGCATTGAAACTGCCCAGAGACCGCATTAACAAATTGGCACATGTTACCGAGGATATGCGGTATGCAGGTTGGGCCACAGATAGGTATGGTAGATCCCCCTAATCCCAGCTTCACATAGGATATTTCGAATGCCGCCAGCCGCTCAAAGCACTCAGGTAAGCAAGGACCGTCGTACTTGTACCTTCGAATTGCCTATGAGTGAACACTAGAGAGTGACCACTAGATATCTGCCCCCTCCTCGAAGCTTGAAAAGGAGGATGTTGGTTGAACAGGACTCATTGCTTTGTCACATGACTTCCAGATGCGCTGTCATCAGCCCACGTTTTGCCCCTGTGGTCTATATACAGGCATATTATCACCATCGTAAACATTACCAGTCCCATCATACGGAGTATCCGCCTCTGCCTGGGTTGCCCACTCCTGGCGGATAGCCTCCAGAACGGGCAGGCCACCAGCACCTGTCAACTGCAGATTTGGCGGAGCAATCGTCGCCAGCTTCGTAGTATGGTTGCGGTTATATGGACCCGCGTAGGACACCGAATTGTTCGCGGTGGCGGCGTTCGGCGGGTCGCTGTTGACGTAGCCTGTCACGTCTGTCACGAGCTTGAAGACGTTGGCGCCGACATCGAATCTGCCCAAGTTGGGCAGCTCCCAGTTGTGTTCCATGGTGGCCAATATGGAGTAGTGCGTGTAGAACGTGTCATCTGTCGAGCCCCTGAGGCTGTCCGGGACCGCATTGCCAAGCAACAACGAGACGATCCTGTTGGGCTCCGCGTAGTCCTCGGTCTCATCATACGTAAGTTGGATCAACGTCTTCTCGCTGAAGACCCCATCGGCGAGCAAGGGCATCACAAACTGGCGAGCCCATTTTGTGGCGTAGTCCAGTGTCGTGTTGTGCCCATCGTTGAGCACGTCCGGAGACATCATCACGAACTGGGGTACCGCCCCAGCAGCGAGGTCAATCTCGAAGTCCTTGAATGATAACAGGTTGAGGAGCCTGGTCCCATTCTTGTTGACCGAGTCATACGAGACGAACGGGCTATTGATCTCGTCAGTATTGGCCTGCTCTCAGCACAACCGTGCTTGCAAGGACGAGAAAAAAACGAACTTGTGCTTGCGAACGTAGTCCCAGTTCCCATCGGGGGTAGACTGAGACGAGCTGATGCTGCCTACGGCCATGTATCCCGGGCCGGGATTACCCTCAAAATAGCCCCTCCAACCGATCTGCCGGGTATCGAGCAGGTCGACGATAGTGGAGACGTTCTCGGGAATGCGAAGAAACTCGTCATGATCCAGCCCGAAGTAGTCCCCGCCTACCGCGGCCAGGTAATTGGGCTGCGACGGATGGGTTTGCGCATAGTAGCGAGTCTGGAGGATGCCATGCTTCCTTATGTCAGTAAAGTCGGGATCCGCGGCTACCTTGGCGAAGTCCTGTCGCCCGCCAGAAAGATGTCAGCACCGTCACTGTCCCCTCACGACAGCTGCGTGGCCCGGCCCCCGTGCCATACGAAAGACACATAGACGGGGGCCAGCCGCCAAGGTGCTTATGAATGAACCTGCACTAACCTGGTTCTCGAGCCAGATGCTTATGAACCTATCGAAAGCCCTTCCGGACACTACGGCAGCCGCATCGACACGCCACAGGAGGCCTATGAGACCAATTAGCGACGCAAACATGGTCGCCTTATCATTGTGAGAATTGAGTGACAACTAGGTAGCGATTGTCAAAGATACGATTTGTGACGCGAGGAACATGGTGAGCATCCACAAGTCAAGGGATTGATGTTGATGCCACTTTGCTGGTATGGATCAGCCCAGTGACGAGTCCAATCCCTTTCCAAAGAGACTGGGTTTGACTTTCAGCCTCAGTGGCTGGTACTTTGCCGGGTCAAGTCCAGCCACACCACCATTCGTATTGATGCAATGGCAACAACGAAGCTCAGCATCCGTCTGTCACTTTACATACCTGCCTACATATATGGGAAGTAGTGGGAGGTTTTCCACCTGGCAAGATGAACGTCACAAATTTCAAGCGAGACGACATGCTATCACAAGGATCATTTTTTAGATCACTAGCCTTTATCATGCTGCGACTTGCGTGCCGGCTCTCGGCGACTTAAACCCGAGCTCCGAGGCTAATTATCCGAGCTGAAAATGTCAGCACCATCCCATCCCCTGGTCCACGAGCGTCGAGGACGACGTGGACAAAAGGATCGGTGTGAGTCACGTCACCGACTCGCTCGGCCTGTCTCTGTAATCTTATCAATCTGATCAATCACCTCCGACCCGAAGCTCTCTCTTTCCATTTCCTCGGATCGCGTGCGGCGTCGGAGCTATGGCCGAGTCTGAATCCACCACCAATATGCCTGCGGCTTCCGATGATGGCCACGATGGAAACGACGACAACGACAGCGAACCAGCTCGGAAACGACAACGCATACGGCTGTCGTGCTTGGAGTGTCGTCGGAGGAAGCTCTCTTGCTCGAGGGAGCTGCCCTGTGATCGCTGTCTGAAGTCTGGTACTCCTGATCGGTGTTCATACGAGTCTAAACCTGGTGGCCCAACGACGACAGCCGCCTCCTTGGCAGGTGAAAAGACCTCTTTCTCACCCGTCGCACCGTTGGTGTCTTTCGGGGCTGGGTCAGACAATGCACGTCGTCCGTCTGGGAACCATCCTCCGGCACGGCGGGAGGCTGATAACTCACTTCTGAAGGATGCAGCGCGAGATCACGAAAGGATCCGGAAGCTTGAGCTGGAAGTTGCTCAGCTTCGAACCACCCTGTCTAAACAGTCTTCAGTCGATGGCAGCACCATAGCCGCCTCTCCATCCACTATCAAGGACGTGGCCAAAGAAACACATGTTGTCACTTCCTGTGCAAGCTTCATTCCCGAAACTGCACATGGTTACAGGGGAAACAGCTTCAGGTCCAGATATTATGGACCGTACAACGCCTGGTCGGCGCTCCAGGAACTCACTGGCATACATCCTTTCATGAGAGAGACAGCTGACGAATGGCTGCGACCTCTCAACATCCAGAAAAAGGACCGCGCAAAGAGGCAAGAGGACCGCGATAAGAAGTTCGCAGAGCCCGATCCCTTTCTCGAGTCAATTCTGCCTTCGAAAGATGAAACGGATTCTCTGATCGCGGTTTACCTCGACCAGTTTGAGCAGCTTCACCGCATCGTTCATATACCAACCTTCAAGAAGGAGTACGCAGCTTTCTGGGACCCCTCCCACGAGAGGTGTGCTTCATTTACAGCGCTCGTCTTGTCGATGATAGCTGTGTCCTGCTGCATGGACATGCAAGCGTCCAACAAGTTCGTGGGCATCAAGTCGAGCTCGTTCCAGACCGCTGAGAAATGGACCACAGCTTGCGTTGAATGGCACGGGCGGCAAAGCCAGAAACATCGCAGGCTTGTACACTACCAGATAGCGTGTCTACTGTACCTTGCCAAGAAAGTCAACATCATCAAGAAGAAGAGATTCTGGACAACGGCTGGGTCGATGATTCGCGAAGCAATCACCATAGGGTTGCATCAAGATCCCGACCATGCCGGGAAGAGGATTAGCCCTTACAATGCGGAGATGAGAAGGAGGCTGTGGGCAACGATGGTTGAATTTGACGTTCAAGCATCACACAACCAAGGAGTGCCGACTCTGTTGAGCCAGGTGTACAACGATACAGACGCTCCGGGGAACCTTGACGACGAAAGCTTCGACGAGAGCTCCACAGAACTTCCAATCTCGAGGCCGCGTCTTGAATATACGTTTTCATCGTATGCTCACCTCAGTCGCCAGAGCCTCCCACTCAGACTGGAGCTGAATAAGCTATTGACGGGCCCGCCGGTGGACCTTGAGTGGGAGCAGGTCCTTCAATACAGCGACATGATCACTCAAGAAATCGACGCACTTCCAGAATGGGATCTCGAGATGGAAGAAAACTCGGAGATGTCTCATAAACCAATCTTAGCTCACACGCTTCTCCACGTTCAGCTCCGGCAGTATCTCATCCCGCTACACCAGCCTTATCTCAAGCTTCGAAAGTACCATTCAAAATACCAAACGGCCGAATTTGTATACTACAGTGCCGCTCGTGACCTGGTTATGATGCATGATCGACTCTTCCAGAAGGGCATTCGGGCACTGTATTTCCTCCGCGAGGACTCGCTGCGCGCAGCGATGAACCTTTGCAACGTGTCTCTTCATCAGCCCAAAGGTACGATTGTTCCCGTAAGCTCACAATACGCTGCTAACAGGCCGGCAGCGTCAACAGGTCTGATCATGTCGAATGCGCAAGAAACGCTTGGGCTGATCGAGAAATGCATCATGATCATGGAAGACCGTATACTGAGATGTGGCAACAATGACCCCTGGGGCTATTCGTCCATGTGCGCCGCATATGGACTTTTGGAGACTCATCTAGGCATCAAAATTTTGGATAATGCGAAGGCGAAGGCGGCAGAAAGATTCATCAGCCTTCACTACAAGCTGCTTGCATACCAGATCCCACCGTTCCCCACGCAGCAGACGCAGTCAGATTTGGCTACGTCTCAGCCTAATCCAGATGCCATCAGCGGCCCTAGTGTGAGTACCGAGATGCTTCTGCCTGTCTGCAGAGGTCTATCCCGTTTAGAGGCTAACGAACGCATCTAGTCCGTGAGTCCCTTTGCGATGCAGCTAGGGGCCACGCCGCTTCACCGCGAGGGGCCGCCGCTCTCGATGCCTTGGCTTCTGCCGACAGATACCACCCAGCTGTTGGTTCCGAACCCCGACGTGAACTTCGGCATGCTTGACTCGGACCTCACTGATCTGTGGGGTGATTGGGGAGGCGACTTCACGTAGTCCACTCACCGACGCGACGGCGACGGCGGCAGTGGCGTAGGACCCGGGTCGGTCGACTGCTGGCGGTCTCTGTACAACCAAAAACACACATCTCATCCCTTGGCACATGTATTGTAGACGAGAAACCTACTCGCGATACCCCTCAATACTACTGATTAGACTTGACCTGCGCTGCACGAGCACAGCTCAGGTTACCTACCACCTGGCTGCCTGGATGTCGGGTCTGGGACCCCGAAGGAAGCAGTCAAAGGATTTTGGCTGGAAATCAGCCGCCAAGCTTTAGTGAGCCATCGACAGGGGAATCCATGTCGTATCGACCAAAAAGTTCCAGCCACCGACCGGGGATCGTTTCCCCCAAAATTCCAGGCATTGGAACACGATAGACGAGATAGAACACGCAGCGTGACGCGTCGCCAGATGGCAGAAACCTGAATTATTCCACTCCTACATGTAGCCATCGGATAGGCCCAACTAAAGCCCGTCGTGATATTAGCACGGTCCCGAGGTCGCCAAGGACGGTGTCCGAGTGGCGGACTGACCCCAGCCCGGCGGCACTCGGTTTCGCACTCGGGTCAATTGCAAGGTTACTGCAGCCTTCAAGGATAGGGGCCAGGACAGGCCTCGGCAACATAATTTGTAAGCTCACGATGGACGCGATGTGTCGTTCACCAATTCTCGCTCAGGGTTTGGAGACATTGAAGTCGGTTCTGTAGAAGCATCATCACCGCGCTGGCATCAGATAAAAGCTTTGGGTTGCGCCGTTCGAGTCAAAGGCCACCTACCATCCTCTCTCACGTTCTCTACGAGTCTACCTACTCTACTCCTGTCTAGCGAGAAGTTCCGACCACGCTCTTTCGACATTCGCGACCATGGCTTCACTATTTAGCGCCGAGCAGAACCTCTCCTACTTCACCGTCAGTCACCCTTCTGTCACACAGGCGCACGTCCAGTTGTTGAGGGCCTTGAACTGACTTTCATTCCAGGTCCCGGTGGCGCTCATCCTGGTACGTTGGTCCGTCCACGAGGAAAAGGCGCGATATGGTTCGCAGAGGTCTTCTAGAGTGAGGCGATGCGATGAGCCACAAGAACAACCGTGAAGAGTGAGGAACCGCTTGCTGACCGACCTCGACTGTGACAGGCCTTGCTACCCCGGGTCTACTCGGGGCTCTCGGGGCCTGGGTCGAAGATCTTCGACGGCACGAACCCGCGGAAGTTCTCGGAGCAGCTGGAGAAGTCCGAACTCGACAAGCAGGTAGGTTCAAATTCCACGACGGCGGGTCGCTCCTTACGGTCTGCTAGCTTTACTGACAAAGACACCACCGTGCCGTAGCTCGTCCAACGCCTCCAGCGCGCCGAGGCGGCCGGCGCAAACGCGTTCGAGGGACTGCCGCTGTTCGCGGCCGCCGTGGTCGCCGGCAACTCGGCCGGGCTGCCGACCGCGACCCTGAACGCGCTCTCGGTGGGCTACATCGCCAACCGCGTTGTGTACACCTGGTACTACATCTGGATCTCGAGCAACCGAAGGATGGCGAGCTACAGGCCGCTTGTCTGGAGCGTTGGGGTCGCGTGCATCATGACTCTGTTCGTGAAGGCTGGACTGCAGCAGTAGTCTAGGTTAGGCGCCCCTGGCCACGATACACCCGGCTTCATAAGTCTGCCTACGTACCATAATCGAAAAATTACAGATCACATGTAAACAATTGGAAAATATTGGAGTAAGCATACTGTAATAAGCAGCTCATAGTTATAAAGTCGTTTTCGACGCTTGTTCCAGCGTTCTTATTCCATTTATGATAGACGCACCTTTTGCTTGTTGGATGAGGGGTGGTACGGAGACTTGTGAGGGTTTAGTGTAACGCATATATCGACTGATCACAGCAGATATCGACGTCTTGATGTCCTCGTCGGGTGCACAATAATTGATTTCGCGTTATGCCAAGGATGAAGTCTTCGGAGACTGGTTGATGAAGCGTAACGTTAAATCGCGAAGCGTTTGTCAAGGTTGGGCGCGAAATGACTCACCCCGTAGGAACTCTCGGAGAAAGGGCAAGTCTGCCTACCTATCTTATACGTAGGTATCATTGCCTCCCTCTACACATTGTTTCGAGTCATCTATCCACTGTTTCGAGTCATCTATCCATACGCACTTCCACCACTAAAGCCAATCAATTACTTCTACCCACAATCCAGCTTCCAGGCCTCCCACGATGGATCAAATACCACCCGAGATGATCGAGGCGATCGCGCGACGCCTACCAAACCACGACGACATTGCCACCTTCGAGGCCACCTGCCGCGGCATCTATCATGAGGCCGAGCGCGTGCTCCGGCGTCGCGCTACAGCATCGCAGGATCCCAGTGTCCTGTTCTGGGCCATCAAGCGTCGCAGGATGCGCCCCATCGCCGACTTCCTGGACGCCGGCGCCGACGTGAACGCCGCATACCCGCCCTACGATGGCGAACCCCGAAAGCCTCGACCAATGTGTTTCGTGCGAGGCGTGTCTCTGCTGAACAAGACGCGAAACTGGGACCAGACAGCCCTCATGGAGGCCTGCGAGGAAGGGTGTTTCGACGTCGCGGAGATGCTCATCAGCCGCGCCGCGGACGTCAGTTTTTGCAACTTCAACAAGGGTGGTCCGGGCGAAGGCGAGGGGCCCATCTCGCTCGCGTGCAAATACATCCAGGACCCGGCATACGACAGTCACGAGCGCTGGGACATACTCCGGCTGCTGCTGCGCCAGGTCAACGACCTGCACGCCGCGTGTCCGCGGCTCGTGCCCGTGCTCGGCGCGCAGCTGAACTGCCTCAACGCGGCCGCGGTCGAGATCCTGGCCGCACGCTGCAGGCCAGACTCGTTCACGAGGTACAACTTCGTGTACCTCGCCGAGCTCGCGCAGCTGGGCTGGACGTACAGAGAACTAGACGTCCGTCCAGACTGCCGCGGCCGCATGAGGCGCTGCATGGCGGTACTGGTCGAAACGGACCGGGAACGGCATCTTGTGCATGATGGCTGGTCGCTCCTCTCGTGGGTCCAGATGGAGGGGAGCCCGGTGGAAAACATCGAGCTGATCCTCAGGCTGGGGGCTTCGCCCCACGCTATGTATTACTCGGGCCGGAGTACGCGGAGCGGTTGGGGAGATGGGACGTCGCTCAGTTGCTCGTTGAATACGGCGCATGCTACATTGAACCCTCATAAGTCTCCGTACACCACCCATCCAGCAAAACAACGGTATTCGTCAAATCGGAATAACCATGATAGAATAAGCATTTAAAGTGGCGTATTAAACCAAAGCTGCTTATTCCTGTACGGTTATTCCAGTTCTTTTTAAAGTTTCACATGTCATCTAGAATCTTGCTAACATGCGCGTACGGAGACTTGTAAGGGCTGTGTGTAAATGATTCTCGGACCAAGTGGACCAAGTAGACCTTTTATTAATAAGAAGCCTAATACTGTTAAAGATTGGCGTTTTTTTTATAAATAAACTTAGGTTTCGAGTTAAAAAGACATGGAAATAAAGGGAGTTTAAGCCTGACTTATTAAGCAGTTTAAATTCGAGAAAAAAGGCTTAAAATAGTTTGAATTATATGTTATATTAAACCTTTATAAGTCTTTATATACTACCCGCTTTAATAAACGACAGTAAATTTATCGAATTAAAATAAGTAAATAAAAATAAGCATTAAGAGTATAATGTAGATGACAAGCGAGCTGCGAGGTGGGGCTTTTATATTAAAAAAGTCGGTGCGCTAATTTTTAACTTGGCGAAAAAAAATCGAAAAGATCTCGGACCTTTTTTTTAAAGGTTTATAATTTGAAAAATATGTCAATGTCACTTTTTCTAGGTTTATAGCTATTTTATTGTAAGATTTACTTCCAAATAGGCTAAAACTGTCACGAAGCATAAATATGGAGTGGACGTAACAGTCCTGCTTTCACTACGTACGTGTAAGAATCTCTCGGTGAAGAGGGAAAGAAGGGATCTGGCCCACCAGCTAATCTAGTAGCAGTTAAGGCAACACGTCCTGTGCGCCAGGTCACCTGATGCAGCGCACTGATCACTGCAGATGGGGTGTCAGACCTGATGGGAGGTCAGACCATCACAAAAACTACCTTTATAAAAAAGCTTTTTCAAGATGCACAGGCTATTAAATCAGCGGAAAACAATTGTTATTTATTATTATTATTTATGGAAAAGGCTACATTAAATGCAGTAGGTCCGATATTTTTCTGATTTTTTTTAAAAGGTAGACGCACGGTTACGCACCGACTTTTTATATATAAAAGCTGTTGAATACACGGATGTTGATTGATTCTATTGATTGTTCTGCTCTGCGTGCAGAGATTGATCATCTGTCTTCTTGGTGGGTCAGATGCCCTGTGCGTCTCTGCCCCACTGGAGATCTTCCGGTGTCTATCTCCGGCTCCCATTCAACAAAAGCATCACCTCGCAGCTCGCTTATATTCGCAGCTCGCTTGTCATCTACGTTATATTAAATTAAAACTACTTCTTTTTATATGCTTATTTTAATATATTTAACCATTTTACTAGTAATTTAAAATCATACTAATATATGCGTACGAAGACTTATAAGGGCTTGATATAGTAAAGGTTTATATTAAGTAGTAAACGCCTATACTTGCATAAAGGGGCGATTTTTTTGTGATGACTAATTATCTCAGAAATAGAGACATCTACTCCATTCCTATCTATACCACATTGTTACGAGAATACAAATGACGCGTTAATACCTTAGCAGGTACGAGCACATAAATAGTTGCTTATGGCTGTATAACCAGTGCTAACATGGCCACTCCGTCCTCTACACACGATCCAGATATTTCATCCCGAAAGGCGCGACTGCCGCCTGAGTGTAAAAGACGAACAGCCTACCTATACACTGAGAGCTGCATATCGAGTCTCAAACCGTACCACTTACAAGCCCGAAAATCATCGAGATCATGTTTCTGCGAGAAGCGAGGCGCACCCGCATATCACGATACATGACCACCTTCAAGCTCAGCAGCTCCGTCCCGTACACTATCGAGTGAAGATTCGCCCAGTCGGTCGGGTTATCCGACCAGGGGTGTGTGTCAGTCGTGGGCTAACGGGTTCAGACCAGACACACCATCGCTGTATGCTGCGTCATCCCGCTTCATGGCAATCGCACTGGCATATTGTGATCAATGCTGAAGCCAGTCCTCCGACAGCGTCCTAGGGTCCAAGACTTGTGATTTATCAGCAGGACCCATGACCACGGGAGGTTTCGTGACTTATCGTGTTTCATTGAGACCGGACATTCAGACACAGACCCGGCGTGTTGGTAGCTTCGCGCTCTTCTTCTTCTTCTAGTGGCCGTTACGCCAGTCTAAACTAGTGCAGTGCGCCGGACTGGCCGGTCGGTTGGTTCGTCAGGGACTGCCGGGAGTTCGGTATGTTTCTGGAGTAATATTTGGCCTGTGGCTACAGTAGTCGAAGACTCGTATCGACTGCGAAACCATAGGAAGCGTCCAGCGCAGAGCGAGGGGATGATCCTGGGTAGAGTTCAACGATCGAGATGAGTTCTTCCTTTACTGGGTCCGAGCAGGACCACATGTTGAGGGTCAAGTGGCTTCCCGCCATCAGCAATGATGCTTCATCACAGTCTCAGCCAACTCACTAGGTAACCTGGAATCATGAAGGGTTGGGTGTGAAATGGAGCCAAATTGTGAACTTCCAAGGTCGAAAGTACTGATATGTTCAAGGCAATTATTATTGAATTAACACTGTCCATCAAGATCCCGCTGTCTGGATAACCATGCCGCGTATGTCAAGCACCGCCTGCGCCTGTAACTCCTGAGTCTATCATTAACACCCTCGCCAATTAAGAAGCCAGCCGCGAGCAACTATGGCTTAAACAACGCTACCGTCCGCCGACTGGTAGTTCTGAAGTGATGGCATATCCTTCGGCATATCCTTCTTATTCTTGAGCTCGGCCATCTTCTCAGGGTTCTGGGTCGGATCGTTGAGCGGATCGCCGTCTGCACCCGGGTTGGCCATCTACGTTTCATTAGCAGGGAAGGCCTCCATATAGCAGAGGATAATAAGCACTCACTTCATACTCAAGCATCTTGATGAACCGATAGAAGGCGACAGCGATCAGAGCACCAACTAAGGGACCGACCCCTGGATCAGATCAGCATGTGAGCGAGCAGTCGGAACACGGTCTGAGGTACTAACAGTAAATCCAGTGTTCCTCGTCAAAAGTCAGAGTGATCACACACGGCCCAAAACTTCGAGCAGGATTGAGTGAGCCGCCTGTGAATTGCACGCCGACCAACTCGCCAATGAACAAGGCCAGGCCGATTCCCACGGGTGCGATGAAAGTGGCGCGATGCTTCTCCTTGGCCAACATGAAGATCGTAAACACCAATTCTGCAGTGAGTATTGCCTCTAATATGACACCTTGTGCAACCGTCGCGCCGCCAGTCAGTGTCGTTCGGACATTGAAGTTTTCCGGCAGTAAGAAGCGGACAACAACGGACGCCAGCAGCGAGCCCGCTATCTGTGCCACGAATAGGCATAGAGCCCTAGTAAGGGAGACGGCCCCGACTAGCAGCATACCAAAGGTAACAGCAGGGTTGAACAGGCCGCCGCTGATACGGAAGAATATCCTGGTAGCAAATCAGAGTCAGTAATTACTCCTTCGGGGTTTTGCCAAGAAAAGAGGAGTCGTAATGCGTATCTCGGGAGCAAGGCTCTTAAGACAGGCTTGAAGAGGAAGTTCGCGCCCAAGACATGGCCATATGGGGTAATACGAGACTCGAAAATGTACATACCACACGTTTACCATAAGCGAGAAGCCGAAGATGAGCGAGATGTACAGAAGAACCGCGACATTGAAACCTGTCGCGGCCCCCGTGGTCGAGTTCGAGTCGGCGCTACTCGAGCCGGCGTCCGACTGGATGTTGGCGACCTCGGTGCCGGCGAAGGCAAAAAGCAGGAACATCGTGGTGCCGATGAACTCGCCTATCGTCGCGACGAAGTGGTTCTTGAAGTTGGAGTTCATCCACTGCGTCAATGGTATTCGCAGGATTTCGCCCTTCTCCTCCTTGCTGAGGTTCTTCCAGTCCACCTTCGGGCCGGAGTCGGCGGTGCCGGCGTGGCCGAAGCCCATCTCGATGTCCCGCGAGCGCTGGGAGCGGGGAGAGTGGTCGAAGTAGGGCTGGGAAGGGGAAAACGGGCCGGGCCCTCCGTCGAGGTCTTCCTGGTGATATGGCCTATTCATATACGAGCGCGGAGGACGTCGACCGCGGACACTGGGGTGACGTCGAGTGTATGCATCTGGATGCCGCCATTCCTCGCGGTAGTAATCGCGGTCTGATTCTGACTCACGGTAGGCGTAGTCATCGTCCCACTCCTCTCGCATTGGCCTGGTGGAGCGAAATGAGGCAGACGACACTGGCACGTCAAAGTCTGGGGATATACCAGGGGCATCGTGAGACCTTCTGCTGGGTCGATACGGGATCCGAGCAGGAGGAGCCCGCGAGGTCGATCGCCCGCTTGGGGGTGAAGTGGGTGGTAGAGCCCCTCCGGATTCCGACTTCCGGAGTGGAAGCTTGGGCGTAGCGGCGACCGATGGAGGCAGTGCTTCTGGCACAGGAGTATTGCTAATAGACATGGTGCCTGACTTGTGACGTGACAGAGTTGACTTTTACGGAATATCGGACAGCTACAAACTCGGGATTATGCTCAACAGCTGGGGGACGGCGCACAGCTTCTATATGATTTTGAAAGGTCGGTGTGTCCGCCAGGGGCGTCCGCACCATCCCGATGGCTGCCGACTTCAAGTCCGGGCATTCTGTCATCCACGGCGTATCGGAGGCTATGGGAGCCAGCTGTGCAGAGCCTTCCATGAAACCTATTCCGGCCTTGCTTTTGTTCCAAGGAATGAACAGGGCCAGGCTGCATTGGATGTGATCCACGGAGCCTCATGGTTGATGAAGACGCGTGTCTCAGAAAACTCACGAGACCCGGGGTATGCCCTGAAGAGTGATCGATGCTCCTCGGCCTATCGCGACATCGTATGGCTTACAGTCTCCGACACGGGGCGCTGGAGTGCCAAATGACGTTCAGTGGCAGTGTAAAAAAAGAAATCCATCGGAGTGAGGATCCGATAGAACATCCCTGAAAATAGGGTCCAGCTGGCTGAGCACTATGTTAAATCTCCGTGATTGGTTGCCCTACCGGGATCAACGTGGTAACTAGAAGCCAGCCTCAATGCGCCTCAGCTGAGCTACTCGCCGGCACCACGTCACACTGGCCTGACTGCGACCTACGATCGCGCTTATTCCTCCACTCTCCGCTCAGATCGATCTGCTTAAGTGAGATGAAGGAACACTAAAAAGCGCGTTGGCGTCCGAGCTCTCGTTTATCGTTCGCGACGTTTGACTTGATCAGACCCCGAAAGTGTCCACTTAGCGATATTTCAACTTGATTGCGGGCTAGTCGTATACTAGAGGATCCTCGAGAAGGGGTGGACCCCCTGAGCGCCGCCGGTGCCGAACCTTTCTCGAGGATCCTCTAGAACTTTGAATTAGTCCTTCTTCTGGTTCTAGAGCACCACTCTTTCGAAAGTGGCAGGAAGAGACGAAATCCGTTGTGGACATACTCGGGATTACGTCAAGTTTACTGCCCCTTATTCCATCCATTATGAATGTTGCTTGGTAGTCGGCGCCACCCGATGGCCCCGTCCTCAATGCAGTGATAGATGTGGTGAAACCGTCCTGTCGGAGATTAGGGCCATATACCCCTTTAGGAATACTCCGCTTGCTCATGAGTTCACCTCAACCCGAGCAGTTCGAGATAGCCCACTTGGACACAGTAAACAGAACCGTCCCACATCATATCGAGAAGGACTAAGTGTCCTTAATTCTGCTATCCGGCGCGACTGAAGCGAGTAAAACCACCCACAACAATACGTACAAGTATTTATATTAATCGAAATAGCTTCAGGAGTCCTGCTGTTGCTCTGAATGCCATCAACACGAAAGCGACGTTCGTATCTTGATGTACACTTGACAGATGTGGTAAGCTTTGAAGGCGTTAACAATGATTCACGTATAATGAAGAGGATTGCACCTCCGCAACCCAACAAAACGGTACCCATGTTAGAAGCGCGGGGTTGACGTCAAACGACTCTTCTTCTGCCGGGGGCTGCGATCACTCGAGACAGGTTCTGTTGGCTCTACACGTCTTTCCCCGAGCTTTGAATGCAAGCAATTCGATGAAGCCAGGAATCCACAAAGGAATGTAAGGATAATGATGGTAGCTAAACCGTTTTATTGACTCATCGCCGTTCGAGCCATAACTACACGAAGGAGTACGGCCGAATCCTAGACTAATATTCTCGTTGACTCAAGAAGCCCGGTCATGAACTCGTGATAGTTAATCAGGAACGTTGTGTGACAACAGCTAAGTAGGTAGAATTTCTCACTTCGTAGTGTTAGCCGAAGGTGAACACTGAACAGCTTGGTATCATTATCAGAAGGTCTCTCCACCTAAAGGGCGTAGGAGAATATATACACTACATCTCCCCGATGGATTCTAAACATGAGTGAACAGGCAAATGATTCTCATAAGCGATTGCCAATCTACTTCTGGTCTAAAGACTCGCCTTGAGGGTGGTCAACAGGAAGATCCCAAATCTTTCGATGGCTGGGGAGCTTGTACATAAGCTTCTGTTCGAGACCTGCTAGAGTCACCCGCCGCTCAAAGCCTGACAGTAGAAACTGCGCGTAGGGTGAGATCTCGTACACAGCGCCTGCCGACCTTGGTATAAATATCCTCAAGTTGACCAGTGCAGCGCTTTGGTATTTTATTGGCGGTTTCGGTGTAATGGAGGGTTTGTCTGGAGGAGTCTTGTGCTTGGCTTGCTGACCAGCTTAGCAGCCAATCGAGTCAGGTTAGCGAGTTTGCTCATAGCACCTAGATGACTGTTACTCTCGTTTTCTTGAATGAATATGTTATCACAATGGGAAGGTCAAATGTTGGCCACTGGCTAAGTGTTGCATGTATCGTGAAGGCCGAGTCTTTTGGAAAGCCTGATACAGCAGCTGATGATCTGCCGGTTCAATTGCGAATCAAGATATATTCTATACTGACAACGCTTAGCTCACGTGGGTCTGGGGCCACGTCTGCAGCAAGGGAAAGAGTTTTGCCTGGGCGAATGGTTTTCAACGCGTGAACTTATTTTTTTGCCGTAGCAGCAACACATCGCCACTTCACCTGGCCCTCACCCGGGCTTTTCACCTTTTGCTGAACCAAAGGATCTTCTGTTCTTCTCTCATACATCTTCACCCCCACCGCTTCCCTGATGCCATAAGTAAGATACGCAGTCCCTTGCACATCGAGCCCCGTTTCGAGCCCATCAACGCTTGCTGACACCAGATAGCCACGACATCTACAATTGGCTCAGCCGGCCAGATCCGACATGGCGCGCAATGTACGAATTCCATCCGCATAATGACTCGCACCAAGCCTACCTGAGCTCGCTCGGGTATGGTAGCGAGGGGCGATACCCATCACCCGAGATACCGATCTCGCCACAGGCTCTGCAGCAGCAGATAGACGAGCATGCAAGCGTGATTCTCGAGGCGTTCGAGAAGCTCAGATCATACGACAACTGCAAGGAGATCGGAAGATTCTGGGAGTTCGCCTCAAAAGGCGTCCAACGGGGGGAGATTCTGAGCAGCAGCTGTGGCGGGGGCCTTCCAGTCCACCACCGACCAGATCTGCGCGCGCTGCTTCGAGTGTTGGGGGGCTATACTCCCGAAGGTGTGAAACTGGACGATGCCGCTTATGCCGAGTTGCAAGCTCGGCTTAGCTCTTTCACGGCACAATTTATCAACTCACAAGACCTAGCAGGCGTGCCCGCCTGCATGCCGCTTCTGTTTCGGTCGCGCCTCGCCCACCACCCGGCTGACTTCTGGCGGCGTGACTTAGACTCCGCGTACCTTGGTTGCCATTTGCGCCTGGTTCAAGGACTCTTTCTGGCCCGGCACGTCGTGGTTTCCCGCGCCTCGCCGTCAGACCGATACGCAGAGCTGTTGTTGCTTACGAGTGATGCGATGGATGTCAACTTCGCGCTGTTACTCCGACACCAAGCCACCACACCTAGCTAAGCCGTGGTAGTACTAACACAACAACGTCGACTATATCAATTCTTGGTGAATGGGCGGCGGCCGTAGATGATCTGATGAAGGCACCGTCATCGTCGACGACATCGTACGAATACTACCGCGCGCTCAACACAGGTAGCCCCCACACCATTGAACATGAAGACCTCCGCGTACATCTCTTTAGAGACCGCGTATGGTGTTCCCAAAGACTTGGACTGTCACAATCCGACTGCTGGAAATTCCAGAAATGACTTTGTTGATGTACGTGAAGAGGAAAGGAAACTATGAAGCTAGCTAGAAGACAAGAACAGGTATATATAGGGGTTGACCCGTGGGGCCGTGGGGTTGTCATCTAGTGCCGTGACATGGACCTTGGCGCCATGCTCGACATCATCAGCACCATGAGCTTCCTTGCGGTAGAACAGCTGAAGGGGATGCGGCAAGACCCTGCTTCGTTCAAGGACGAGCTCGTCGATGAGTTAGAAACCCATTAGGGATGGATCTGTTGCACAGCAAGAAGGCCAAAAGGTTGCATATCTGCTGTATTGGTGTTGGTGTTGTTGTTGTTGTTGTTGTTGTTGTTGTTGTTGTTGTCTGGAGGTGGTGCGCAGCTGCAGTGGATGTGGGCAATATGCCAACCCAAGTGGGTCACGTGACCACGCAACAGGGTCTCGGACGAACGCGGTAAGACAGCCCCCGAGTTGCTGGCCAACCCAGGGAGCCAGGCACACGAGAAGATGTGGGGAGCTGTCATGGGGGAATCCGTGGCCTCAAAGCTCGAGGCTATTCGATATGGAGATGGACGACATCAACGCTCGAGGACTTGCGCCTCGAGTTCGCCAAACATGCACCAGCCCTACAGACCGAAGATGACCTCCCCGAGGCGTTGGAGGATGCGTTTCTCTACTCGATATTCTTCCTGAAGACAACTCTAAAGTCCATGGTGGAAAACCTGAACAAGCGGGAGAAAATCTTTTCGGCTCCGAAACCTCGCGAGTCCTTCAGGAGGCATACTCAACCGGACACACCGGTGACGCAGTCACGACGATCGACCTTCTCTGTGAAACCGAGTAAGAAGAAAGACGACTCGAGACGAAGTAACCACGATACTCCACCTTTTGTTCAGCCCCGGCTGTGTCTCCCAGGTGGGACTGAAAGCTCTTCTCGACGCATTGAACGTGATCACGACCAACAGCAATGAAGGCTTGGACGCTTTCGCGGCCGTTTCGGGACCCACCACTAAGGATAGAGGGAAAGTAGGGCGCAATGACGACGAAGCGCAGGGTATACTTGATGTGCTCGTCATTCAGAGACTGACGCCAATTGCCACACTGGCAGACATCCTCGACAGACTGGAAAACTTCCAGCCATGGGCTGGTAAGTTCTCCGTCGATCTACAATATGTGGACAATATTATGTGTACACCGCCGATCCCCCACCAATCCACCCATCACCACCCTCATCTTCAACAATTCCTAATAAATCGAGTATGAGGCCATACCGAACTTGAATTAGATCAAAATAATCGTTGATTTTTGCTCTTTAATACTTGGTGTACTGACCCCTTGCGCAACACACTGCTGCGAGTCTGCGCGGGATCGATTTTATCAGCCTCTCAATCAAGCGCTTAGCGATCTCTGTCCATGCGCGCTCAATTATCTCTTTCGCGTATGCCTTGTTGCTCAAATTGTCCATCAGATCGTGAAATTGAGGCTCTACTTCGTATATCTTGCACTTTAAAGCGTTCTAAACGTGCTCGATCGGGTTCCAATCGGGCGAGTGAGGCGGCTACTCAATGGTCCAGATATCGTGCTTCTCTAGTCATTTCTTGCACGCGTTCGAAGTGTGAATGGGGGCATTATCTTGCATATAAGGGTCCCTAGGCTCATAAAAAGGCAGTAATTATTTCTCTAGAGCTTTCAAATATAACTTGGTAGTCATTTTGCCGCAAAGAGAGTCTAGATCACCTTCCATCATTACCAGCTTGCCCTTATTATCTTTGTCACTACGTAGCCAGATCATACCCCAAATCATGATAGAGATTCTGGCCTTAATATGTTCTTACGGGTTCATAAGGTCATTTTGGTATCTTTTGGATAAGAGGCAGATGACTCAGGAGCCTAGAGAATCAGGTAAAGTCTTTATTATATATTTATTTGAATAAAAAGCATTTAAAAAGACCTATAATCTTTCATTATTGCCGAATTAGTGCATAAATATGAGTCACTTGTGAGCGTCTTTAGCAGTGAGTTTGATTCGCTTTGCAGCGCGTTATTTCCTCAAGTTATTGCGGTCTAAGAAGCGCCGGAGGGTGGCAGAGCTCGCCGGTGTGCCTCCTTGGATACAGAGGTCCCCGTACGAGATTATGGGCTTCCGACGAGCCAGTTGAATGATGTGAGTGGCTCGCCGGCCTTGAATAACCTGAGGACGTCGTTTATGAGGCCTCCGTATGAAGATTCATTGTTCTTTGAAGCGTTCGATCTGGGTAGCTACCGTGGCGCGACGGCAGCGAAACGCGCTGACCACGGCCGTCTTGGTCACGCCGCCCACCACGGCTCTGCACATGAACGCGCGAGCTTCTGAAGTGAATTCATTGTTTTTGCCGCGATTTCCGCTCAAGGCGAGCCCGAATCTGTGTAATTCATCCATTGTTTGACTGCGTTGTGGTTGTTTGAAAGAATAGGGTGATGGTGAATTGATTTTTGACGCGTCTGTGGGGCGTTGGGTGTACGCATAATATTGGTGGGTCAGTGTAAACGACGACAACCGAAGAAAGCCATTCGAGGAACGGTGTAAGCGAGAGCTAAAGAGTTCTCTCCGACCGATCAGAAGACTAAACCGAGGCAATTCAAGATGTAGCGAGCTACTGTTCTAGCCGGTCCGCCTACTGGCCAGCAATTCTCATACGCGATTAACGCCAAACAAACAGTCAAGAACAATAAAACGATCCGTCAAGCAGAGGCGAACCTTGACCGCTTCTGGGATCTGATGCTCACAGAGCTAAAAGCTTTCAAGTGCATTAACCAGTATACCGAAGACCTCATCAACAAACAAGTCCTCCAGAGAACAGAAGAGCCGCAGGTACTTATTAAGTCCTCGCTGCAACCCAGCGCCACCCAAGAGGATGCAGAGCACCACATGAGTTGGTCCTTCCGTTCACAGGACTGTCCATTAGCGACATGGAAAACCAGAAAAAGCAACTCAAGAAAGAAGACGAGAAAGACCCGAAAGAGAAAACCCGCGGCGTACCAGACCCCGATCGATCCGAAAACCCAGATGGCGAAGACGATACGGAGGAAGAGGACGTCCAGACGAAAGAGTTCCACTTAACCCGCCGCGCTTTCGACACGGCCGACTTCGTATTCTCTCCGCAGAACGCTTCCGGTCGCACGGGCGAGATCCATTGGAATGACCCCCTGAACCTGGTCTCCGAGATGGGCTGTACAGGAGAGAGTCTGATGGGCGCGGCCTGGCGTTTTACACCAGGTCCTAGATCGCCCCTAGACGGAGAAGGCTCAATCAACCTACACGCACCCCATGGTAGGAAGTCGGGGAGTAAACTCACCATACAATACGCGAGGGTCCATGGTCGCATGATGAAGGAGCGTTGGAACCTGGAAGGTGCCAGATTCGTATTGAGGCCCTAGCCGCGAGGCTGCTTCTCGACTCGCAGAGTGACTATTGCCGTCAGCGAATGCACGGCCAGACCAGGTTCCATTGGATGATTGGGTATGGAAACCCCTCTCGCGGAGGCTGAAGAAGTATATTGAACCGTACATTCTGCGGTTGGGGTCCCTGCTACGCGCCGGCCTGTCGTAAGGTTAGGTAGCTGACTGCGAACAACGGCGACCAGGGCGCGACGGTGACTCTTGTATGCTTGCACAAGCGGATCATTTCGCGCTTTTCCTGATACCCTTTCCAATGCAATGCCTCGTCTTGGACTCTGTGCCATCGACGCGGAATACCAGCTCATTTCAGTTACTCTGATGAGGGGTTTCCAGGTCAACGATCCAAAATATATAGGGCTAAATATGCGTTATAAAGGGTTAAAAACGGTTCGTGCAACTATGGTTTCCGAGAAAAACGCATGCGTTATGCGTATGTGCGATATCTAGGGATATTACCTATTAAAAATCGAGAGCGAGGAAAATATGCGGTAACCTTGCGATATGGGACATGCGGGATCAGGGGCTCCCACTGTAGATTGGATTGTGCCTTGTGGTAGCGGTATCCAGAATAAGGACCAGGGTCACGAATTGTGGCTATTGGTCTGTATTCTGGAAGTTGCTTGATTGAAAGAAGGGATGGGTGGTGTCCCCATCCCAGAAGTAGCTATCATCCCAGTTGGGTACGAATCTGGTACAAACGGGTACCAGTTGGGCTCCAAGGTACCTTGTACCCTGGTCCGTGACCCATCCGTCATTGTGGCTGGAAAATGGGTTGAGGAGCCACAGGATTGTGTGAAACGCTGACGAGGATACATGTACTGAAAAGGGGAGTTTTATGGTGGGCCCACAGGGACCGACAGCGTGTCTCTGTCAGTGGCTGTCAGTGGCTGTCAATCCGTCAGGGTCAATGTGCCCCTCCTCCGCTCATAATATCCAGTTAGCGCGGGGCAGAATCAATTCTAGATGGGCCGAACTCGGGACGACTTTGCTTCTGACTCGATCACTTGCAATTGGAGAGCCAACTCTTCCTCTTCGTGACACTTCATCCTCTGTCAACCCGTGGAGGGACGCGCACATCGCAGGGTAACGATCCTCAGTCATGTCGGACGGAGTCAATGGGGCGGCGCCCGTCAATGGGTCCCAAGAGGCTCGCAATGCCTCCCAGCGCTATCTGAGCACCCGGGGAGACGACTATGATGTATGCTACTCCCCTTTGTGCTTTGCCTAGTCCCAAGCGCCTAACTGAGTGTTTTTGTAGTTCTCCTTCGAGCAAGTCGTATTGAAGGGACTGGCAACGGACGGTGGCCTCTACATTCCCGAGCAGATCCCTGAAGTTACCAATTGGCAAAGCTGGAAGGACCTCTCGTTCCCTGATCTCGCCCTCGAACTCCTCTCGCTGTACATATCGACTTCGGAGATCCCCCGCGACGACCTGAAAGGGATCATCGACCGAAGCTTCTCGACCTTCCGAGCCCCTGAAACGACGCCCCTGAGACATCTTCACGATAACCTATACCTGCTCGAACTTTTCCACGGCCCGACTTTCGCTTTCAAGGATGTCGCGTTACAATTCCTAGGGAACATGTTCGAATACTTCCTGGTACGGAAAAACACAGGCAAACTGGGTACAGACCGACATCACCTTACCGTTGTGGGTGCCACAAGTGGCGACACTGGGTCTGCGGCTATCTACGGTTTACGAGGGAAGAAGGACGTGTCCGTCTTCATACTGCACCCCAAGGGCAGAGTGTCTCCGATCCAAGAAGCACAGATGACGACAGTCTTGGATCCTAATGTTCACAATCTGTCGGTGACGGGCAGCTTCGATGACTGCCAGGATATCGTGAAGGCCCTGTTCGCCGATGCTGACATCAACTCTACTCTGAACCTCGGCGCCGTCAACAGCATCAACTGGTGCCGGATTCTAGCCCAGATCGTCTACTACTTCCACTCATATTTCAGCTTCGTGAAGCAGTCGTCGGACTTCACTATAGGCGATAAAGTTCGTTTCGTGGTACCCACCGGCAACTTCGGTGACATATTAGCTGGATACTTCGCACTGCGGATGGGACTTCCAATCGAGAAGCTGGTAGTAGCCACCAACGAAAACGATATCCTGGACAGATTCTGGAAGACCGGAAAGTACGAGAAGAAGCCTGCGCGGGGTCCCGAGGCGGAAGGCGGCTTGGAAAGCGATGGTGTCAAGGCGCATGAAGATGGTGTCAAAGAGACCCTCAGCCCGGCGATGGACATCTTGGTGTCCAGCAATTTTGAGAGGCTGCTTTGGTTCCTCGCCTACGAGTTTGCTGCTCCCGCGGGGATGGACGACGAGTGGAACAAGAAGCAGGCAGGTCAAGAGGTCGCCTCCTGGCTGAAGCAGCTGAAATCGAGCGGGGGCTTCGGGCCTGTGTATCAGGATGTGCACGCAAGCGCCAAGCGCGACTTCGAGAGCGAGCGGGTGAGCGATAAGCAGACGGTCGATACCATCAAGAGCTACTTCAGCAAGATCGACTACGTCCTTGACCCGCACTCGGCCATAGGCGTGGCCGCATCGGTACGGTCCATGACACGGTCCAATATACCGCATATATCACTCTCCACCGCTCACCCAGCCAAGTTTGCCGGAGCCGTCGAGCTCGCGTTGAAGGGGGAGGCAGGTTTCAACTTCGAGGAGAAGGTCCTCCCGCAAGAGTTCGTGGGCTTGGAGAGCAAGGAGAAGAGACTGACGGATGTTGACAACGACTGGAAGAAAGTCAGAGAGCTGGTCAAAAAGCAAGTAGAGGAGGAGCTGAAGTCGCAAAAGTAATCCTGCGGTCTACATTCGTAGGCTCAAAGTAGAAAACCCAACAAGATAAGTCTTATGCCTACCATCAGCGCCATGAAATGACATGTGCGACACGACCATCGACTGAAGAAGCAATTCTCTATACTTTCGACACTACGCGAGGCAGGTAGTGCAGTTGTCGGTGCAATCGTTAGTGCAGTTGTCCGCGCAGCTCTTGGTGCAGCTGTGTTGAGATAGGGGGCTGGATTGCAGCTGGCTGGCAGTTGGGGTGGGGAGACGAGGTGCAAATAAGGAATTCTAACAAGGTGCAAAATAGCAGGACTCTTTACAGAAGACCTCTGTGGACAGTGGCGCACATGTGGCTGTCAGCTGTCAGCTGTCAGCTGTCAGCTGCCCCCGGACTGGAGTCAATGCAATTCCAATCATTTCAACCTGATGTGGTTGGCAGTTGCTTCCATCTCGTTGACAGCAGGTGCGAACCAGAGGCAGGGGCTACCCAGAGAACCTTGGAAGCTCGTCAACTCCCGGTCCTTCTTCAAGAATCAAAGCGCACACCTTTCTCCATCGGCACAGCCATCACTTCCATCACGTCCTTCACTTCCATCACTTCACGCCTGGACACCACCGACTCAGGCACTCATCTGAACCTACCTACTCAGTGCAACCACGCCTATACGGGGTTTCGATGGACTTGGCCATCTTCACACACCAGTCCAACGAATAGTCGCCATGGAAAGACTCCCGCTAGAGTTGTTGGTGCTCGTCTGCTCATTCCTGCCTAGGGAGCTTGTACCGCAATTCCGCCTCGTCGCCCGCAAATTCGCAGCTGCAGGTACTCAGTATCTCGTCGCTGGATTTCGAGTGTACCTAACCGAGAGGCACTTGCGAAGGTTGACTCAATTCGCAAAAACAAGCTTTGCGCAAGACGTGTGTACACTGGAGTATGTTGCCACGACCTTCAAATCGGTACCTGACCACACGGTGGCCCGACATCGCACCCATCTACGAATCATCGATGAGCAGGCAGCCATACAGAACCGACGCGCCGAGTCCAGCTGTTTCCTTCATGCCCTCGACTGTTTCCCCAGGCTGAAGAACATCGTGCTGTTCTGTAGCAGCAAGTCATTCGACTATTACCATTGGAAAGATGATGATGCTTTCGAGGGCCTCGCACGGCCTCCCACATGCAAGGAATATCCACTCTCATGCCTCCATATCGACGAGTTAATCGAGGCCTACAAGGAGCGGGCTAGTAGCCGCCGCTTGGAAATCCTACTGCGAGTCCTCAGTCACACGGCAAATGAAATACAGGGTCTAGCGGTTTTCTCCTTGGACTGGCACTTCTTTCAACGCGACGATCGAGAACTGACCAGGCTGCTCGCTCCTCTGCAAAAGCTGCAGCACCTATACCTCGAGATCGATAACGACTGGCCCTCGTGGAGGGATGATCCAGACGACAGCGACTTGGGCGATTCGGACTTTATGGCTTGTCGCTCGTTCATGCAACAAGGCGTCTTGGCAAGATGCCTGTCGTCTCTGAAAGAACTTCGGACCCTCAAGGTATCCTTCACTCGCTGTGACAAGTACGAATACACAGACACCATGCGAAGTGCGCGTCTTACCAAAGTCATGCCCGCAGACCTCACGTGGAGTCATCTAACACTTTTGTGGCTCGCGCACATGGAAACGTCCCGGCAGGAACTGACTGGAACTTTACTTCGACACAAGGATACCCTCCGAGAAACTTGGATCGAAGGTATCTGTTTGCGAGCCAGCTGTTGGACGCGACTTCTCCCCGAACTACGAGACTCGCTGAATCTCACAAAGGCGACATTCGACGGTGTTATCACAGGGCATTACGAGGACGAGGAAGATGGCATGTATCAAGCAATGCAGTTGTGGAACTTCTGGCAACAACGAGGACTACGACTAGAAGTTGAGCAATATGTCATCAGAGGGGGCGTAGATTCACCAAGTACTTGCCCTCTCACTTTCGAAAATGATCTCTTTACTTGATTTGTTTCGCTATCAACGATCACTCAGGCCCCATCGGCGGCGAATCTGTGTAAGAGAGTTCTGAAGCCGTCTCTCAGCGCTCTGTAGCCAAACGGGGTCCGCAGATAGATCATCAGCACAAATATATTGCAAAGCCGCACGAAACATGTATCCACGATTAAGGGGCAGCACCTCCATCTGCGGCACACTCTCATGGTAGTCCGCGATGTCAACACTCATCCTGCTGGCGGTTTGCAGCGACGCATGCGAGCTACTGAACCACTTTTCGGGCGACCTGTAGTTTGCATTGACGATCTCCTCTCCAGGCAGGTCGAGAATATGCCAGTGAAGAGCAAATATCGTCCTGCCCAGTTTTCGGTCAGATACAGACGGCCATATGTATGAAGCACTCATTGCCGGTGGACTCACCTGATCGCGAGGGCTATTGCTGCACAATATATGCCCCATTGGCCGTGACACTGGCTCAGCACCGTCGTCAGAAAGGATTGCAGCGCAGAGTCCAGAGCGTCGAGGTGGACCAGCCGTGATCTCAAGTCTGCAATGCTGAATGCTTGGATGACCCGGTCCGCAAGGCTCGCCGCTTGGGCGGCACGACCGAACCCACCAACTTCGATTGTAAATAAAGAAGAGACGACGACGTTGCATATTGAGCTTCGATCTAGCACGTCGCTTCGGTCTAAAACCTCGGGTTCGGTGGGAAGTCTTGCATCTTCACTGGGAGCAAGAGTGACCAATGGCTGCTCAGGAACTGTTACTTCGAAGGCAATCATACTGTCACAGAGGTCGGAGTCAGCTTCAAGAGCTCGCAATGGTCTGAAACGAGGCCGCGGCGCGAGGGATATGCATACCGCTCGCAGATGACAAGCGCCCACCAAGTATTGGCTGCTTCTTCCTTCTCCAGCTCCGTGGTGTATGCAGGTCCCTGAGCCACCTTCGCGGAACTATGGCTGTGGATGCGAGCGGCGTATGCCATCCGAGCACAACCCGCTATGGTCGTGAACGCCGTATCAGCTTCGCCACAGGCGTATTCATACTCTGCCAAGAGAAGGCCCGCCTGGATAAGATGGACCGAAGGTGGGAGGACAGCCTGGAGTTGGGCGAAGAGCGACCTCGCCGAGACGTAGATTTCACGTTCGTCAGCCGCTTCCGGCCAAGTGGTCCTTGTAACAGAGTTGTGCGTGATCAGGCAGATAGAAAGCAGAATGATGCTGAAATCAGCGGCCGGCGCTGCGCCCAAGGTGATGAGGTTGTCGTGGAAGCGAGCGCGCGAGATGAAGGGCAGAAAGCGGTGGACGCTCTGAAAGTAGCGGGCACTAACATCGTCGACGAACTGGCCGGTGGAACGGACTGCAATAGACCGAAGTCAGTCATCACTGTGTCAATCAAGACTCCACGGCCATATTGCCCTGTGGCTGTAGAGGAGCACGAGGCGCAGGGTGAAGCACTTGAGGCCAAGCCCGGCCGGAGCAGGGAAAGGGCCTCAGTGGATGCCGTGGACTCACTCATGCGATTGACCTGGAGGTACAGATTGGTCTTCATCGCTGTCGGCTCAGCGGGGATCCTGTCCGACGCCGACGGGACCCCTACCACGTGGGAGATCATGGCTTCATCAGACGTCGGCCGCGTCGTCACCCGTCGGGTGCCCTCAGGGTCCGCGACAGCAGTGGCTCGCCCATGTGGGTCTGCGACATCTTGATAGGAGCACGATAGTCCTTTCCTGGATGTCCTGTATCAGCTACGTGGCCGCCAGCCCCCAAGTTCCTCAGCGATACTCACAGGGTGCAATACCCGCAAGTGGGAGACACCTTGTCACACTTCTTCTTGCGGCTCTTGCAAGTGACACAGACCTGGGGCTGTCGGGCGTCGTTGGCCGCCATGTCGGAAATTATATATGGGCGTGGGCTCTTCGCGCGTGAGGCGGCGTTGGTGACGATCTGTGGGATTTATATCCTGGCTTTTCTTTCTCTCAATAATTTCTGGGACGTTCTCTACCTACTATGCGCTCTATCGATCATGGGTCGAGGGTGTACGCTTGGCTGCTGTGTCAGCACGCATGTGTGTTGTCGGGTTGCTGTCGGCCGACGGCGGGTGCTAAGTAACCCCTTTGCGGAGCCCATGTTCATCCAATCAACATGCCTGGTATGCTTACATGAACTGCATGGAGCACTTACACCACACTTTGTATGACAGAGGTGTGGGTTTGGCAGGCTTCTTGTGTTGAGAAATTGCTTGTAAGTGTTTTTATACAGGTCATCCTTCACCAGGGCCCATAACGACGAACCGGATTTGTAAACGCAGCACGAGTGGACTCAACTCAATATCCTCCTCGACTATTACCAACGCCGATCATCGCCCTCAGCTATCTGGACTTTCATTACCGATGATTCTGCACTATATATTTCCATCTTGATGGCTATTCCTGCTGACGAAAATGTCGGTTTACGAGCTCATCGACCTCCGAAACTCTTCCAGATCAGCAGAAGACCAGACCGATACAACATGAGCGACCTCGAGCCATCGGCGACAGGAAAGGGGGCGATGACCGGGAACGAGCCTATGCTACCACCGGAGGAGGGTGTTCGCGGCTGGCTATGCGTCTTGGGCGCCTTCATGTGTCTCTTTTGCTCCTTTGGATTCCTGGCTGCGTAAGGTCCATCCTACTGTCACAGTCCCCAAGAGGCGAGATGTGCTGACTGCAGGCGCAGCATCGGCGTCTTTCAAACAACATACCAGGCAACGATATTGAAGGATTACTCGGCCTCGGACATCGCCTGGATCTTCGCTGTCCAGCTTGCCCTTAGTAAGTAAAATTGGCAGTTCTTTTTTATTTGTCAGCGCGGATTGATTCTCCCGAGATAGGACTGAGGACTCCCAGATGCTAGATAAAGTACTTGGAAAGGGCAGTGACTGACTCAACGGTTTGCAGTGTGGGCTCCGGGCCCCCTGTTCGGCCGCCTGATCGACACGTACGGCCCGGGCCCCGTGCTCTACCCCAGCGCCATCCTGTGCGTCTTTGCACTTTGCATGACGAGCCTGGCGGACCAGTACTACCAGATCTTCCTCGCCCAAGGGCTGGCCTTTGGCATCGGCTCGGGGGGCGTGTTCACGGCGTCCTTCGTCTGCGTGGGGCAGTGGTTCGTCCGGCGCCGCGGCCTCGCCATCGGCGTTTCCAGCACGGGCAGCAGCCTGGGCGGCGTGGTGTTCCCTGTTTTCCTCGATCGCCTCATGGCGAGCGTGGGGTTTGCGGGCGCCTTGCGCTACACGGCCTTGCTTATTGGCGTATGTCTGGCACTGTCGTGCTTCATGGTGCGGGCGCGACAGCCGCGCAGGAAGTGGGATCCCGAGGCGAAGTGGTTCGACATGACGCTGTTCGGGCAGAAACAGTTTGCCTTTTACGCGGTTGGGTCGTTCTTCGTCATGTAAGGACGTCGGTTCCTCTTGAGCCCTGGCTCCTACTAACTGACACCTCGTGACTCAGGTTTGGCTTGTGGGCTCCCTTCGACTTCATCTCAAGCATGGCGGCGAACGCGGGTTTCTCACCTAACCTGGCTTTCTACCTGATCTCCATCATCAAGTATGACCGCCTATTCATCATCTCCCAGCTTCATGTTAGAGAGAGCTAACAATTGCCAGTGCAACGTCGGTACCCGGTCGGATCCTGCCCCCTCACATGGGAGACCGCATCGGCCATTTCAACGTCCTCACCGTATGCGCTTTTCTAACGGGGGCGTCCATCCTTGCGCTGTGGCTGCCGTTCAACTACCACCCATCGCATGCTGGCATCATAGTCTTCGCACTGGTCTACGGGTTCGTGAGCGGCGCGGTCGTCTCCCTCTTGATGCCCTGCGTGGCCAAGGCCGGCACCCTCGAAACGCTGGGACAGCGCTTCGGAACCTTCCAGATGGTGATTGCCGTGAGGTGAGTGCTTCTTATTTGGCCTCATCTAATACGAGTCGTGAGCGACTGGGATAGCGGCGCTGACGTTCGTGTGCCGCAGCTGCCTGACGGGTTTGCCCATCATGGGCGCGATCCTGAACCGCCAGCACGACGCCGACTACTCGGGACTACAGATCTTTGCTGGCTGTAGCTGTCTTTTGGGGTCGGGGTTCCTTGCTGCGTCTACCTACCTTTTGGCGAAGCTGCGTGGGACGTGGAAGGTCTGAAGGTGTTTCTGGGCTACTTGGCGGTTAGGGGAAGTGAAGGACTGGATATGCCAAGCCTAACAAGAGGTTGTCAGCATAGATGTTAAGCAGACATAAGACTTGTATATACATTACACAGGTGGCACTCTCACATCTGCAGGGTCGTCATGTTGCACGATAGGCTGAGCGTTGTAAGAGCACCAACAGTTTGGTTATATACTCAATAGATTGTCCCATTATACACTTTGATTGCTTCATTGACACATTACAGTTTCATCTCGGGCTTCCCCTCCCACCCTTTTCCCTCTGCCTGCCCTCACAGTTCCATCCATTGTTCGTGTGTTGTCCATTCATGCACAGAGCAATGTGCCACGTCCTCATTGCCACGTCCTCATTACTGGCCAGGCAGGGTCTGCACGGGGAAGCTCAGATCGGGTGTGACGACGGTGCCGTTGACGAGCTGCGTGTCGGTGTAGGCCGGGTACGCGATGAGCTTGCTGTCGGTGTCGACGACGCTCAGCGTGGTGAAGCCCTGGCCGGCGCCGAATTGGCCGCTCCACCCGCTGGTCACGGTGTAGGCGCCACAGGTCACCGGGCCACCCGAGGCCTCGGTGGCGTTCGCCGTCGCCGACGACTTGACCTCGTAGGTGCACGCCGTGGCCGCGGCGCCCTCGGCGCCCGTGGAGATGCCGAAGGTCCACGTGCAGCTGCTGTCGTCGGTGGCGCACGTGCGCTTGAGCGACTCGATCGTCCACTCCGTGGCGGCAAAGGTGGACAGGGGGGATGCGACGGCGCTGCCGGCCAGGAGGGTCGAGAGGATGGCGGTTGTGAACTGCATGGTGGAGGTTTGGTGTGTGTGTGTGTGTGGTGGTTTGTGAGGTGAGTTTGAGCGAGTGTGCTTTGTTGGACAGCTGTGATGTTGATGAGAGATGATTGGCAAAGGGAGGAGGCAGACTACGACACTGAACCTCTTCTTATATGCTCGATTTCGAGCACGGTCGGCCGACTTATGATGGTCGTAGTGCAGCTGTGCCAAGAAGCGAAGATCGCTTCTCCCGTTTCTCCTCATCCGTCCCTCGCATGCATGCATTCTCACCATGGTTGATCACAATGATCGATCGGTCTGGCATTCTGCCACCGAACCCGCCTCGTATCCGGCAAGACAGTCTCCACCTCGTGAAGCGACCGTAAGCACCGGGCTGACCGGGAGACGGGGATCTATAAGCATCCAAAGGGCTTAGGTAGCCGAGTTTGGAAGACATGGTTCGGCATCCGTCTCGCTTTCGACTTTTCACTTCCCACTCGCATCGTGAATTATCCGGAGTCAACGTTCCACCGCGATCAGGGACGTGGACCGCTGGCCAGGGGCTGTGAGGGCCTGGGGGAAGATCGCCCGACCGAGTGTTCGGAAAGCGGCTGATAGGGCGGGATCGACACTGCCAAGCTCGTATCCCAGATGCCCTGGCATGGTGCGGGTGCCGCTTGTGCTCCGCTCCGCTACCACGTCAGATGTATATTGGTAGTATTAACAGCGCCGGTGACCTTGTTCTTGGTTGATGTGGGGAAAAACGTGACCCAAGCACGGTCAGGTTACAAGAGGAAAGGGCCCGTTGTTCACATACATTATCATGATGGATGGGCCGGCAGCCGCTCGTCTAGGTATCAGCGCACCAGGATTAATATGTCGTGTGCGGGGACTATTCCTGGTTGGTGGATTGGGAGGCCTGATGGCCCAATATGGAAGGTTCAACACGATTTATTGGCAGCTTACAGAACGGAAGGTTGCGTGACGGCACACGAGGTTGGCTCGCGAATGTCATGGGACAAAGCATGCTCAAGAGCTTGTGACCATCGAGCAGTAAGCATCATGTCGGGCAGTCCTGACGTATGGTCGGTTGCAAGTTGAGACCCTGTCTTGGGTGACGTCGAAGGGACAGACACCTCACACAGCGAGGAATGGGCGACTTCAATCGATGATGATAGATACCCTTCAATCGGGTTTAGTGGATACTCTTTGAGAAAGTTAAAGACTTTCCTATCGGAGCTTCGATACGTGGATCGGTAAAGGGGACCAATATTGCCAAAAAAAAACTTCTGGAAGCTTTTGTTTACCGATGGTGGATGAAGACGAATCCTTTAGGATGTGAGCGTTCGTGGCGAATTTGAGATTCGAGCAGCACGCCACACGGATGTCTCCGCTTGAAAGTCGAGAAGGAGACATCCAACTTTGACGTTTCTCGTTGGGTTTGCGCAGTCGGAGAATACGAGACGAAGGTCTGATGAGGGCAAGTGTGAGTGCCCAGGAGGAGTCGTTTCCAAGGCTGTAAAGTGCCCATTATCTTTCAGCTCTGCCTACGAAGGCGCTGCCCATGCAGACAATATTGCATCGACGTCGAGCTTTCTGTCAAAGGCTTGTCCCGAGCATGGAAGAACGCCACGTACCCTCTCCTAAGGATAGCACTGCAGCGGCTTGAGCCAGAGAGGGACCCCGATAAGCTGGATGGGAACTGAGAGAAGCGCCGGTTCTCAAGCAAAACTGATAGTAGAAGTCGAAGATGATGCTCGAATCCCTTCCATAGCGCGGTATAACGCCTGGAGGATCACGTATTTCTTCTACCTTTGTAAGAATGGAGTAGGGCCTCCCGTACCTATGAATTGGACCTGTTCATGCAAGATTCTATTATGTAAAGTAGTCCAACGCATGTGTATGCAATTCTAAATTACGATACCTCTCTTCGACCAGCCATTCCGGCCTTTCCAGGCCCAGAGAATCATAAGTATTCCGAGCCAGATGGTAACAGTCATGGCCCAGAATGTTGAAGAGTAGCACTGCTTGCCATAGCAGAAGACGTCGTCATCCTCGATCCCATCTGTCAGAGACGGCGAGTTATTGGCACCCGCTTGGTAGACAGCCGAGTAGATGAGACCCCACATCACAGACCCGATGGCTGGTGTGAGAGCAAGTATGCCGAAATTCGTGCCGAAGTTCTCGACTCCCCAGATCATGGTAACAATGATGGGAGTGAGGCTGAACACTGCACCATAGCCAGCTCCGATAGAGCCGGACACGATCCAGAATTGCCCTCCGTGCGCCTGTAACGCTCCCGTTGCCAACACCAGTGTTCCGATTGAGAGTATGAGCGCGGCAGCGATAAACAGGGCAACGCGTGAAACCGAGAGTTTCTGTCGCAGGAGCGGAATGGGGGACGGAGCACCAATCTGGATGTACTGACTTTGCGGACTCGGCGACAAGAAGTCGCTTAGCGACGCTGCCACTAAGCGAGCAACAGTGCTGACAGTTGCCATAATAGAGACGTGAGTTGCCGCCGATGTGGCACTCGACTTGGTGTCCGGCGAGTACAAGGTGCCAATAACAGTCCCGAGGTTATTGATGAATGCCTCGCCTGGTCCGATGATGAGCCAGAAGCCGATGGCGAAATACCACATCGTAGGATCACTCAAGAATCTTCGCGTCTCGGCGTTCAGTAGCCAGGCCTTCTTTAGCCTGGCATACACATCATCCGTCTCATCGTCTCTTTCCGGGTCAAGAATACCCGCGTGCTCGTCGTCCTCAGCAGCCGGGCCGACAGTACCGTAGTTGCGCTCGGATCTGCGGCGAAAGATCTCGCTACCTTCTAGCAGCCCACTACGTTCGAGCTCTTCCACGGCTCCATCAATGAGGTCCTGCTCATCCACAATGCGTAAAGTGAAAGTGCCGAGGAGTCCGACAACGGCCAGCAGAATAGAAAGAAACAAGAAAAAATGGAACACATCCACGTCACCCTTGCGCCCGTCCGGTTGTCGCTCGTAAAGGATACGGCTTCCGACTTGACTCAGAACCATACCGCTCAACCCGAAAGAAGCGATCGGTGCCACAAGCATCAGACCGCGATATCTGCCCTTACCAAAATTCTTGGCGCAGGTTGTGATTGCGCTCAGATACAGACACGACGTACCAACCCCAATGGCCACAAAGGCGAAGACCATAGGTGGAAACGTCGTGTATCCCTTCCCACCGGCGCTGAAATGTTCTACACCCTTCTGGTATAGGCCCGCAGCCAAGCCATAACCACCTCCGAGTAGTAGCGCGGAAACGAATGACAGCGGCCCTGGCCCGACGCGATCGCACATGTATCCGACGACCGGGACTGGTAGGTACATGGATATCGACATGGCACTGGCGATCCCGTTGATTTGGAATTGGGTGTAGTGCAGCCGTGACTGGAAGAGGTGGCCATATAGGGAGAAGACGGTGATGGAGCCGGCGCCGAGGGCAGCTAAGATGGCGGATACGAAGGCAACGGAGCGGAGGGCGAGAGTCTTGCGCCGCAGCTTCGGATTCGGGAACGCATCGCTGATAGAGCTTCGCGAGCTAAGAGGGCCCAAGGTCGAGGAAGAGGGTGAGCGCAGAAGGGGCGCCAGGGCTCGGTCGGATGAATGATTCGTCATGGCTGAGGTGCGCGAGGACGGATGGCAACTGTGGTTGCGCCTTCGATGGTCAGGGTGTATGGATATCTATATATTGAACAGAAACAGCAATATTACGACCATCAGACAGAGAAGGGAAAGTCTCGGCAAAGGGAGGAGGTATAATAGGTATAATACACAGCAGGAGGATGTAAATACTTTAGGTAGAAGGGTGCAGGTGACGATTTCAAGTTCAGCTCCTGCTCGGGGCCGGGCCGAGGGACACAGCTCAAAGCTCCAGTGGGGTGACAGGCTGCAGCATGCAGGTGGCCTGTGCACGCCCCACCCACTGGCCGGGGGTGGGGCGCATTAGGTAAGCATGAAAGCGCTCTCCGGTCGTTACCTCCCGGACTGGTCAGTAACTTACACTGAACCCTCATGAGTCTCCGTACGCCACCACTGGTCATCCGGAATCTTACTAACATGTGCGTACGGAGACCCGTACCTGTTCTGGGAGCCAGCCCTGGCCGCATTCATCGTCAACAACACTAGAACCATGGAACGCGACTGGGTCGAGTGTCTGGCAGAACTGCGCCAATTCGCCTCTTCCCTTACACCTGCGGAAGCCCGTTACCTGAAGATGATTCTGCGAACATCCGGCAAACCCGACATCATCTACGAACTACCCGTGGAAATCGTCGCGCATATCACAACATACCTGAAAGCCAAGGACCTTGCATTTTGTCTGGCTGTGTCGACTGGTTGGCGCGATAAACTGCTATCCGATGTCATCATCGATCGTTTCACGCGCCGCTGGCCTTGCTTGAGGCAGAGCCACGCAACAAAGGCCGACTTTCTTGCCATGCTTAGCAGTATATTATGGGGATCACATGGGCACAAAACGGCTCACCGTCGTGCTGGAGCCACGCGGCTTTTCCCCTGGGATAATGACACCTTCTACGAGCCTGCTACTGAAGTACGCCACATCGGTCAAAGTAAAAGTGACGGGATGTGCAATACCCCTGAGGGGAGGAGTCCATCTACCTTCTACCATGAGGGCAAGCTAGCGGTATGTACAAACAAGCATGGTATTGGATTATAGACTCACTCACAGCAATGTTCACTAACCCGGTGCAGTGGCTCGCAAGTGATGACACTCTTGTTGTGCTTGACGATTTCAAGCTGAGGACGCGAAGGTTATTCACTGTGCCAACAGGTCTTCTTTCTGGACCGCGTGTATGGCCCATGGGGCTTGGGTCGGAACTGCTCGTTGGCAGTGTAGGGAACCTTCTGTATGGGGCCTTCAAGTCTGCCTTGGACGTCGAGCAATCAACTAATGACATAGGGTTGCTTGGGACCATGTGACCAACCAGTATCAGGAGAAGAAACTTCCTGCACAAGCAAAGCGATGCGCCATCCAGGGACGCAACGTCGCTATCGTCCTCTTCGGGGGAGGTGTTATGCTCTGGACCTTTGGAGGAAAGCTCTTGGAGCTCACAACATCGCCTGTGCTCTCCCATCTAGCTCTGATCTTCGACGAGGAGGCGACTAAAGCCTGGAAAACCAACCTTCATGTCTTTATCCATCCTCGCGATGATAGCACGCTGTTTTTGGCGTCTGGCTACCCAATCACTGGCGATCAACATCCTCATCCTGCCGTCCGACGAACGCTTCACGAATTCAAGAACGCGGACTATATCCAGACAACCTCGTTCGAAGGCCGCCGCTGGCCGCACGTGGCTGAAGCCCCACTCGATATCCGTCTCGTGACGAACGAAACTCATATGATCGACTTCGGACTACTCGAGGACGACGAAGGACATGGACGCCTGCGTGGCGTCATCTTTGACCTCTATCGCCGGAGATTCTCCACCATCTCCGATGGCACCTCTGAGAATGAAGAGGACTGGCGTCACATAACCTGGAACTGCTCCTTTAAAGAGGGGGAGGAATTGCGCTCTGACCTGGACTATAGAGTGACATTGCACGATCACGGATACCAGGTAATAAGCTTGCAACCCGGGGTCACGCTCTAGCGTCATAAGCAGGAGGATCGAGTGGTTACACTTATAGGATGTAAGGATTGTTCCGGGCAAGTGGGTGGTTAAACTACTGGCAGTGGCATAACCAGTGATTTGCTGGTAATTTCAGTCAATTGTAGCTGACATAATTGCTTGTGCCAGATGCAGCATGCGATTACAATCTCAACCACTCGCCACCGCGGGGCCCGATCACTTCGTCATCCCCTTGTACACATAGGCATCATGGAGCTTCAATCATCCACACAATCCCGCAACCCTACAGTGGTTGCCAGCGCTTCAAGCGGCAGGAATGCCCGTCACAAGCGAGGCCATGGCAGTAGGTCCCAGAACCTCTTCCAAGCCGAACCAATAACCAAAACTCTCATCCGCATCCCGGTCGCGCAGGTCGTCTCCGCTGCCCATCAGCACCTTCACCTGCGCCTTGTTCTTGCAGAAAGTCCGCAGCTCACGGCACGCCGCATCGCCATTCTTCTTGAGGTAGGCGCTCATCACGTCCCGGCAGCTCACCACGATACGGCTTACTACCTGGCTACCGCGGCCGCTCGCCAATCCCAGTTGCTGGCCGCTCATTGCTGAACCTCGGGCGACGTGGTGGACGAGGATGACAATGTTGGAGATCATGGACTCGTCCGGCATGTAGCCCGCGGTGAAGTACTGAGAGAATTTGTGGTGCTCCTTGTCCCTGATGAGGCGGAGTAACTCGACCGCGCGCTTGTGCATGCCGAAGTAGTTGAAGAGGATGACCGGTTCCTCCTCGGACAGCTTGCTCTTGATGAGGGCCAGCAATTGCAGCGGCCCGATGTTATGCGTGTTGGACCATTTGCGCCCAAGAAGCTGTTGCGGCTTGGCCGACAGTACCAACTCCTTCGCTGCCTTCTTCCCTTTTTTTGGCTTGCCTGTCTTCGCCGTGGCCTCGGCGGACAGTTCATCGAGCAGCTTCTCCACGCTGGCATGGGAGATGACCCTAGAGCTGTCGCCCGACATGTAGAGCGGCCGAAAAAGGTTGGCGACCTTGGTGGTAGGCTGCAGGGCTCGCGCGTTCTGGCTGCCATCCGTGTCTGGACGGTGGAATGCGCCACCTCTGTGTCGGGAGTTGCAGGCGAACCGCGCGGCCGAGGATATTCCCGTCGCGATCTCGAGCCTATTGAGGGACTGAGAAGCATCCTTCGGCCTGTCGCCGACGAAGATGCGGCTTTCGCTGTGTATCTTGATGAACACTTCGATGTCAGGCCAGACCAGTTTCGGACCACCCGGTACCTGTTGTGCCAAGTTGTACAAGAAAGCCAGCTGCTGTACATCGTACCATTGGGTAACCAATCCCTGGCCCACAGTCTGCATGCGTAGGTTGAGGTGCATCATCAGAGTACCGGAGAGAACAGGGTTACGCGAGAACAAGAGATGGTCCGGGTGTTCAGACAAATCGTGAGAAATTTCTTGCGCGGCCGCTCGACGGATCGGTTGCAAAGAGTCTTGCTCGATGAATGTACTAACGCAATCACGAATACGTTTGATTTCTTCATCGCCCTCCTTAGGCCAGAACCGGGGCTGCGGGTGTGTCTTGGAAAGCTTCCAAAAGTCTTCGATGACCCTGGCAATTCGTAGGCCGGACATTCGCAGATCGTCAAAAGCACTTAGTCGACTTCTTCTCATGATGTGGTATGTATCGAGAAGGATCTGGGCAGCGAAACACAGCCACAAGCTGACCTGTTTATCGCGTGCAAACTCGACGAACCCACGTGTGATCTCGTCTTTGACGGGTATAGGCACATTGAACATCTCAACAACACAGAATCCGGGGAGCAGCTCCAGGAGAATGAGCTTGTCTTCGTTGAACTTCTCCGGGGCGTTCATGTTCGCACGGTCGGCCTGGGGGTCGTAGGTGCCGAAGCATCCAGGCAGAGTGTCCTTCTGCATGACGGGCACAAAGCTGTTCAATAAAGTTGCCGTAGGAACGTAAGCCCAATCGGCAACATCCGCCATCTTCTCGTTGAAAGTCATGCCCAGCTCTGTGGAAGGTGGTTCGATGACTCCGCGAGCCAGGCACGCATTCTCATACAGGAGCTCTTGCAGCGACATTTGGCCGCCGGGCAGTTCGTGGGGCCATCTGTCGACAACTTCGTTTATCAAATCTCGAGCCAGTTGTAGGGCATTGTCGGTGACGACCGAAGCAGTCATGAGGTCGATCTTCAGATCTCGATACTCGGTCCAGGTCTGCGAGATGAATGCCCTCCAGTTCTCCAAATCGTGGAACAAACAAAGCAGGCGGAAATAAGCTTCCGAGAGGTGGGCATCGCGTCCTTCCTCTGTGTTTTCTTCTTCCACGACCTCCACCTTGACGATATCCTTGGAAGTCGCAGCTGCGATAGACTCGGGAATATCTTCAGCCTCCTCGACAGTAAGCGCGGCGAATCTGTTCAGCCATGCCTGTGCATCGGTTGGAGGTGGTTGCTTCCCGTCCTTCTTCTCCTTGGAGGTTTTCCACTCGAGAAGCTCGCAGATCTCTTCCAGTACTAGAACAAAGTGTGCATGTCTTCTGTTGGAAGCTACATCTCCCTTTCCAAGGTAATGAGAGGTGACATCATTCCTCAACTTGATGGCGCGCCTGGCTCGGGCCAAGACAGAGGCAGGGACGTCGATGGCAGATTTGGCGACGGCCTTCCCATGGGCCAGAAGCTGGCTGACGGTAGTGGCGTACTTGTTGTCCGCAGCTGCTGAGAGCTCGACATTGGAACCGGGGTCCTGTGGGCTTCTCTTGGCAACATTGACCAACCACGTGGCAAACCAATCTGTATCGTCCTTGTATTGCTTGTAGCTGTCTCTTAGGAAGCCCGGAAGCATGATGAAAAGCCCAACTGGGCGTCGCTCAAACAGATGGTTCTCAAGCTCAATGAGGGCAGGGAAGGCGGCACCGCAATGGTGACCGGGGATTGCTTGACTCCTTGAATACTTTAGGCACTTTGGACCGCCGGACGCTTTGAGACAATCTGTACACCGCGGCTTTGGTCTGGCTAGAGGGTCATGACTCACCGCGGGCACAGGTCGTGTTCAAGGTTGTTTTGGTTGAAGAACGGCTCGCAAACGACTTGAAAAGGCCGGCCTGTTTGTCTGTTTGGTGGAGTGATGGTAGGTGCACACATTTGCGCTGCCACCTGCCAAGCAGCTAGAGGCAAGTGCCAAAAGTACTGGCACCTGTTACGACATCGACTTCATGAGCATCATCGTCTCTTGACGAGACAGTGGAATGCATCCGCATCTATGGACTGTTGTTGCGCCTGGTCCGGACTCCGAATTAGGCCTACTCGAATATGTCGGGTTTTCAGCTGAGGAACTTGGCACGCACACAACCAGAACAAAACTCAAATACAACCTTTTTCAGCTTCCTTTTGGTCCTCCAACAGTGCAACAGCTCGTCGACAAGTGTCCCAAGCGTGTGATATCGCGAGTACTTCTCTACTTCTCAATTGACCGTGGATAGGTAAACAAAATGCATCTACGCAGGAATTGGGCGACGTTATGTTGCGTGCTGGCGCTTGAGCCGGTGCTGGTCCCAGCCACCACGCTGTACATGTCGCCCAGCGGCAGCGACAGCAATACCGGTGGCAGCGCGACGAAAGCCCTGATGACGCTCCAAGGGGTGCTTGACAGGGTCAAGGCCGCCCAGCCCGTCGACGCGGTGAACATCGTCGTGGCCGAAGGCACTTTTCTCAGCCAGTCGGTCACCTGGACTTACTTCAACGGCGAGCCCATCACCTTCGCGCCGCCCGCAGGTGCCAAAACCAAGCCGGTGTTCGATGGCGAGGGCGCCGGACTGACTTGGTTCACGGTGGGCGACAGCGCCGACGCCGCCGTGCCCACCAATCTGCATTTCGTCGGGCTCGCCGTGACCAACTACTGGCTGGGCCTGGACCTGGGGCGCGACAAGGCGGCAGGCAACAGCCACAACGAGGTTCGCGGCATGCTGTTCGAGCGCGTCGGCGCCTTCTACACCCACGGGCTCCCGAGCCCCAAGGGCTACGCCGCGCTGCGACTGCGCCAGTCCAGCAACAACACCATCACCGGCAACCGCTTCCACGGCGTCAAGAACTCCGACGCCGCCGACAGCGACAGCGACGGCAAGGACGAGGACCTGACAAGTTACATCCACGCCGTTTACGCGGCGCATCAGTCGAGCGGCAACGTCATCGCGGACAACGAGTTCAACCAGGTCACCGGCGACGCGGTGCGCACGCGCGACGGCTCCGACGACAACCTGATCGAGGGGAACCGCTTCGTCGCGGCGGGCAAGTACTCGGCCTACTCGGACTGGATCGACGACACCGGTGATGAGTGCCCCTCGCACGGCAATCGCTTCCTGGACAACGTGGTGGGTGACGGCTACCTCGGTCCTTTCAAGGCTGGTTTTGTCACGCATGTGTATGGCCCAGACGACCGCTGCTCGGATGGGAATGGGGGTGCATTGCCGCCGCGCATCATCGAAAGTGGTACGGTGCTGCAGTGACTCCAGTCTTTCGCGCGGGATCCCGGATCTGTCTGGGCATCCACCTCGCGCGTATGGAGCTGCGGATAGCAGCCGTCATGTTCTTCAGGGAGTGTCGCGGCGCGAGGCTCGCGGAGACCATGGACGACTGGGTGATGGCGATGGAGAACCGGTTTCTGGTTGCCTCTAGGGGCCATCGTTGCGAGGTTACGCTCTGCGCTGAGTAGCTAGCCGCCTCTGCATCGCGAGGTCGTAAGGGGCGGAAGCTTTTGCATGTGAGAATGTCAGAAAGAAAGGAGGTGCTCTACAAATGGTGGTCGCAGGGTGCGGAGGTGTGCACTGCGGTAAGGGGTATGCTGACGCCTCGTCGAGGCTCCGTGATCACCGGCCGTGTACATCTAGACCTGGGCTCGGCAGTTGATGCAGACTGCAAATGCATGCAGGAACTATAGTTGCTGGTTGGTATGCGATCCCCCTTGCTGCTCTTCCTCGGTTCGACTGACCTTAGCCTTGCCTTACAGCCGTCGGACTAAACGTCGTATTTTGCACTGGCTGTGCTGCCTGGACTCCACGTATACTAGACGATTTGATATGGGAATTACCTCCCCTTCCTGGAGCTTGTTCTCGTAATCGTCACCAGAGGAATTCACATATACATGTGTACGTAAGTTGCGGCGGGCTCGCCGAGAACTCATCTGGGCTTGGATACCAGTCTTTTCTCCCTACTCAGATCATGTCCAGCACGCTCGAGGGAAATGGTATCAAACTGAAACTGACCGATCGGCGATCCATCCTCACGAGTTAGACCAAATACAGGTCACAGATGCGAATAAAAATCTCTCAACGAGGGGTTGCACGCCCCAAACCCTTTCACGGCTAGCGAGGTTGAGCCTATATTCTTCGGAGCTTTTAGAATACCGGAGAGTATTACAGGTCTTCGCAGAGAGACAGGAGATCTCACGCCCAGCCCAGACACGACAGCATGCGAACTCGATGCCTAGTTGAGCAAGTTAAGAGCGGAAGCCGCTCCGTCACATCAAAAGTAGGTGTAAGAATTCTTGGAGAGCTCCCATCGGGGTATAACGACCGCGATATCGATGACTGTTCAACCTCGATGAAGAGTCCGATCGAAGGCTCGGGTTCGCAGCCTCTACAGGCTGACTCCACGAAAGGCCCGACGAATACCACCTGCAGAAGGAGATATCTGTGCCTGCCGGACCCCTTGTCCACTGACAGGTTGGCACGGTTGGGGAAACCCGGGAGACCCCCTGTTTACCCCGCCAGACGATGGCCGACATCCTGACATCCCGCCAGAACAAGCAGGTACTATTCCTGGAGGTCATCGTGGACCCATCCAACTGTCGATTTCTGTGCGGTACCGGATGGTTTTCCGGGGCAATGTGATAGTGCCATCGACTGCATCTGCTCTCAGATATCAGCCTTCAACGGTTGTGTAGACGTTCCGCGAGCTGTTCTCGCGAATAAGATGCCACCAGACTAAGTCGCTGTGAGCTTTGATCGATCGACATCCCCTTCTTCCAGGTGCGTGCCTGACGACGAGTCGCCCAGTGAAGGAGCCGAGGCAGTATTGCCGCCGACCCCAACCCCGCTCAGCCTAGCAGCCACGCAGCCAGGCCTCCAGGCCTCCAGGCATAGAGATGGAGATTTCTTCACACCCTCAGAGCCAGCAATCTGGCATTAGTTCGCCGTTGGAGCATCCGACCGGTCAGTCATTTCGCGAATGCGTATATTTCTGGTCGCGGAGAAAAGTCTCCCAGAGTTGTCATTGCATAAACTTATGTGTGGGGAGCCTCGGCTCGTGCCAGCGCCGCCGCCAATATGCCAGGCTAGCCCAGGCACAGGACGCGGCAGCAAATGGGAAAGGCAGATATTTATCGTTGGCGCCCATTGCTGCCCACCGTGCCACCCATATGCATATGTAGCGGGTTGGGGGTTGCATCACTCCACATTCCGATGATGACTTCCCCGTGGGGAAACCTGGGGGAGGTCGCTTCTCGCAAGACTGTCTTTCGGAGACAGGCTTCGCTTTGGGCAAGTGGTACGCTGCTTGGAATGGTCATCTGGTGTCCCCAAATCCACCCTTGTGCTTCCCTCGCTCCGACAGTCAGCTGGGCGGTTCGATCTTGGAGGGCAAAAAGCTCGAAAGCAAAGACGCAACGGACAAGATGGACACGGGAAAGACTGACTCGCATAGTGTCTCGGGCGTGAGGAAATTCATTGGGTGGAGGAGACAGCTCCGCGCGAGGACTAGCTGGTCGGATTATATAGCCCGACATGCCACCCTCCTCATCTAAGTCTGGAAGGAGGTAGGTTACTCCCAGCTCACCCTCTCGACACTGTCTCAGTCAACGAAGACGGTAATAGTCTTCGAGGCTCCCCTCTCGTTTTCTACTCTGCTTCGGCTTCAGTCTCCTGTTCCCTCAGCTCCATCATGAAGGGTCTTTTTCTTCCCCTGGCCTTCGCCACCTCCGTGTTCTCCGGCCTGACCGCCGCGCGGCCGGCGCCAGCTCAACCGCTGGAGGAGCGGGTGACAACTTCAGTAGTCACGCCCCAGGGCACGCTCATCGGCTCTGTGAACCTCCTGGTGGAGAACTACGGCGGCATTCCCTTCGCCGAGCCGCCGACGGGAAACCTGCGTCTGAGGCCGCCGCAGAGGCTCAACACCTCCCTCGGCACCTTCGACGCCACGGGGGACGGCCCGTCGTGCCCGCAGATGTATTTCTCTACGGACGGAGAGCTCCTGACCTCCGTCCTCGGCACCTTAATCGATACGCCGCTGTTTCAGACCGTGACGGACACGACCGAGGACTGCCTGACCATGCGGGTGCAGCGTCCCGTCGGCACCGCCGCGGACGCGAAGCTGCCCGTCCTCTTCTGGATCTTCGGCGGCGGTTTCGAGCTTGGCAGCCCGCAGATGTACGACGCCTCTGGCCTCATCTCGAACGGTATTCTCCAGGGCAAGCCGTTCATTTTCGTCTCCGTCAACTACCGCGTCGGCGGGTTCGGCTTCATGGCCGGCAAGGAGATCCTGGCGGATGGAGCTTCCAATCTGGGCCTTTTGGACCAGCGCATGGGACTAGAGTGGGTTCAGGACAACATCGCTGCCTTTGGAGGCGACCCGGACAAGGTGACCATCTGGGGAGAGTCGGCCGGTGCCATCTCTGTCTTTGACCAGATGGCGCTCTATGGGGGCGACAACACGTACAATGGCAAGCCCCTATTCCGTGGGGCCATTATGGACAGTGGCAGCATGGTGCCGGCAGATCCTGTCGACTGTGCTCGCTCCCAGGGCGTCTACGATCAAGTCGTCAGCGAAGCTGGGTGCACCGGCTCTGATGACACTCTACAGTGTCTCCGCGATGTCGACTACGACACCTTCCTCAATGCTGCGAATAGCGTGCCTGGTATTATCAGTTACAGCTCTGTCGCTTTGTCGTATGTGCCACGACCGGACGGCGTTGTTCTGCCCGACAGCCCCGACGTCCTAGCTGCTACAGGTCAATACGCAGCGGTGCCGATGATCATCGGCGACCAAGAAGACGAAGGGACGCTCTTCAGCCTGTTCCAGTCAAACATTACCACCATAGACGAGGTCGTCGACTACCTGTACGAATACTTCCTCTCGTCAGACGCCACGCGGGACCAGGTCGCAGCCCTTGTCGCCACATACGACCCGGCCCTGAGCGCCGGCAGTCCCTTTAGGACCGGTATCCTTAACAGCCCGTACCCGCAATTCAAGCTGCTCGCGACCATCCTCGGCGACGTCGTGTTCACTCTCATGCGGCGGGCCTTCCTCACAACGACGCTGGCAGCGAACCCGGACGTGCCGGCGTGGTCGTATCTCTCGTCATACGATTACGGCACGCCGATCCTCGGCACGTTCCACGCCTCGGACATCCTGCAGGTTTTCTACGGGCTGCTGCCCAACTACGCGAGCAAGGCCACGCAGAGCTACTACATCTCGTTCCTGTACACGCTGGACCCGAACCAGGGGACCAGCGACGACATCGCGGATTGGCCGCAGTGGAGCGAGAACCATGACCTCGTGCAGCTCCAGATCGCCGGGAGCAATTTGCTCGCTGATGACTTTAGGCAGGAGAGCTACGAGTACATCGCGGCAAATACGGCGATCTTGCGCATTTGAGGAGGCGTTGGGACGGACGCTGGGCTTGGGGGGTGTTCACTGTTTGAGGTGTGGGGGCGTTTGAGATTGCTTCTGGTCATCTTGCATGGGGACATATCACTTGTGTTGCTTGTATGTAGCGTCAATGGCCTCCGCTGGGTGATTCGGCCGCTACTGTGCTACGCTGGTCAGGGACACGATGTCTGATGGCTCATGCTGCCTCTTTGGGGTTACGAGGACATGTATCTCGAAGTCCAGAACTATGAAAACGATATATAAATTACGGGGACTAATAACCAAATGGGATGATTGTGGCAAATGTACACCTTGATCCGCAACCGTTGGGCCATAGTATACATGTTGTGATCCTTAATCTCAATACAGATCACCCAACCCAAATTCAGCACGTCGCCACATCACTGCTCGGTCAATCATGGATCCATCTGTTCTCAATTCCTAGCCAGCCAGCACTCCTTGCCCATGAGTGGGATCTGAAGGACTGAGGTATTGACCCTTCTCATTCCATTGTACCCGCACAGAACTTATTTCCTCCACCCCGTCTCGACGATCCTCTAGCACGTGGCTAACATGGGTTTAGCCCAGGTCTCTGGTTCGCAAACTGGCCAATGGATCTGGCAGTTCTGTAACGTTATATGCTTCGTTTCTAGCAGCCTTCTCGCCCATGCAAAGGTATATTTAGAATTCCCATGTCTTACTGGTAAAGTTCGCTATCCGCACCGGAGTGTCCTCTCGTTGCGAGCGTACTGTATTGCTGGGGTTGCCGTATCCATGAAGCCTCTGGGATAAAACGCTGCCATCGTACATGGGGGCCATTGAGTGGTGCTTATGAAGTAACCTATGCCTACGGTTGATGTGGTACACTATCGACCGCAGCGGGGGACACGGGGGGTCACAGGGCTTGTGAACTTCCATAAAGCTTATGTCCTTTTTGAGACTTGTGATGCGGACAAGCGGGCAATTTGCCTGGATAAGCCTTGTACAAGCCTAACAAGCCTTGTGGCTTCCCTAGATTGCCCGTTACAATACTTCTTATGAGCATTTACCTTAGAGTGGTCCAAAACGGTGCAGTCTCCTACTGTATTTTGCATCGGCCTAAGGTTGGTTGGTAGGTTGGTTACACTGTTTATTGTTTATGCCAGTGGTGTTAAGGACGACGAGCAGCAGTCCTTTAATATATGAGTGGCTTTTGAAGCCCATTCAAGCCTCCATAAGGGCACGCCGTATCGTGACCACGTATTTGTTCCATTTAGAACACCATGTCTGGTGTTTCGGGGCCCCAAAGAGCAGTTCCTAGCCAATATGCTCCGAAGAGTGAATAAGACGCTCACAGCCTCCCATCTCGTGTGCTCAGCATCGGAGCTTTTTCGTATTGCGGTTTGGGGCCTTCGGTATCACGTCGCTCATAGCGAGCGCGCCGTGATCCTAGTCGTCAGGTCTTACGGCGACAAGTGGCACGTCTCCTTCGCCTAAGGACCTAGTAGCCATAGGATAGCTTTGGCACGTATGTAGTCGGGCTCCTGGCTGTATGCGACAACGCCGAATCATTTATGAAGGTCAGTCGCAAGGGACCAGCCTGAAACGGGTTGGTATCGTAGGATGCTGGAGAGATGCATCTCCAGGGCTAGCGGTGGAGTTGATGTTACAGTGAATTCCGACGATGCACAGCACCTGCCTAACAAGTCCTAGGCGCTGACATGGTCATGTAACTCATAATACCCCTATACACTATGTAGGTTGCAAGCTCACTCAGGATCATGTGGGAGGTGCACTGAAATCATAGTGTGCCGAGTTCCATCCACTTACCCAGATTTTCTCAACAGCTGTGGCAGACGATGAACCGGTGCAAAGTTGAAATTATGCTACCGATAGGAGAAAGACAACTAAAGACACGCGGGATAGATGCGTGTACACGCAACATTCTAAAATGAAACTGGGTTATTAATGGTTCAAACATGGAGTTATTGGCGTAAGTTTCTGTGTGCGGTTTCTGTGTGTGGTTCGACTGGTTCCAGAACCACCGGCTATCCGTCGGCGTGGAGATGGGAGGTAAGCTACTCTCTCCTGACGGCCAACAATGCAGTAGCTGGTAAGCCATGTGGCTGTGCCCGTTCAGGAGCCTCGTCTGTGGGAGCTCTAACTCCACAGCCTCAAGGTTGAACACCAAAAATAGCAAAGCAAACCGTTGAGAATGGATCTCGTTCTCCCCGAGGAAGCATGGTTCGCCGTCGGGCATCATTTAATCTCGTTAAGGTTCTTGTTGATCATCCATCCCTTGGGCTGTAATGTTAGATGATCAGCACAGGTGAACCCTGAAATAATGAACCCCTGAAATAATGAACCGTGGGGTTCCGCTACGCTACACGACAGGCATATGGGGCGTCGCAGCTACTAGGTAGAACCTCACATTTACACCCTCTGGCTCAGGGAGGTATCCCCTGTTCATACAGACCGCCAGCACTGAAAGTAATAGCGTGAAGGCTAGGCCGGGGACCCAGAAGGGAAGGTGTGTCCTCTGCCAGATCCTGTGTGAGTATCGTTGATCATAGGAGACTCTGATCATAGGGTTGATCACGGCTCCGCTTTAACTTCGCATGTATCTTCATGAGTAATTACAAGGCGATATACACAGCCAAGCCCCCTAGCCTAGTGCTCGCTCCATTGCTTTCAATGCTGGCGATCTGTAGGGGAATAACCTCCTATTAATCAGGTTATCGAGACCCCTAAAGCGTGTTTTTAACCGTAGGCTTGCAGGTATCTTTGCGGTGATGCACGGTTCATGATTCTAGGGGGACACCGCGGATCCCGCAGAATCCACTCTGTAGCTTTCGCAACTGGCATTACGCCGTGAAATTTACTTTGGGACCTCGGCCGATACTTCTCCTTCCCTGGAGGAGGGAGGACACCGTGTAAACCATTGCTTTAGTGCGATGGCCATTTTTGGACTTGGCTACGCGGAATCCCTCCCGGCGTGAACTACTGCTATACAACAACAATTATTCCACGGGGTCATGTGTATGCGGAGTGCGGGAAGATCGGCCGCCAGCACTGCCACTGATGGCGGACGCGACGAGGAGCGCATATCGAACGTTTTTGGGGTTCGGGTAAAGGGCACTGTAAAGGCCACACCTGGCGTGACTGCCAGGTTCGACAGCGGTTCATCCTAGGCTCTCATCAGGGGGTGGAGAAGAGTCAAATGACAGCACGTGTGAGGTGTAAGCGAGATCTGTTTCTATATTGGTCTACAAAAGTGCCAGTAGGATGCGGCAGTGCGGCAGCGCGGCAGTGCGGCTAGGACTCCCACTGACGGACGCTCAGGCCAGGTACCACATGTAGATCTCCGCGGAGAACGGTCCAACTTCCCATGCCCTTGATTCTAGAAGCCGGCACTGTAATCCTTCGGCCCCGTGGGATCTCATTGGTTCGGAGAGGATGAAAGTCGAGAGGCAAGCCCTTGCTGGGTACTCCTGGACGATCAGGGAATAGGCGTCGTGTGTAGTGACTAACAATGTCGCAACGTCTGGAACCAAGGAGTCGGGACAGGACTCATGAGGATTTGTGTATACATCCTAAGTCGGCACTTTACTGTCCTGACAGTCAACGTACAGGACCACTGACCTTGTTACCGGGACGGAGACAGCGATCCTCGGTGAGAGCATGCGAAACGCTCACTTCCGCTGGTCTCGTCGCGACCTAAAGCCAGAGGTGTGTTAACACATCGACGTAATGGGCGTTGAATGCTTGCACTCGCAATTGCACTCGTACCGATAACGAAGATGAATGAACGATAATTATACTTAAAGATCTGACCAACACGCCGTAGGCCTGCAGCGGGTTTTCAGCCGCATTTAGGATGGACGACCTATTATTTTTAGTATAATACTGGGGGAGAGAGCACGATGTCTGTGATTGGTAATTGAAGAGACATAGCCTTAAGCTTCCAGATCGTCGGCATTTAGCACACCTGCAGCGGCGATGCGGCGATGCCGGTACTGATCTGGAGTAGGAGTACTACCCCGTCCTGCGGGACTGGCGCGTGGCTGAGTTTTGGTACAAAAGTGCTGCGCATCCTTAGACCTGTAGTCCCCGGGGCAAGGCTGACTTACAAATTGCAAGCGTCCAGCTCCTTCACCGTATTGGACCGGTAGGATTCCTCACATTTGCTGGCACTGACGTCAGGTACTACTGCGGATAGCAAACAAATCGTTGGATATTCTGTAGTAGATGAAGGAGAAATCTAGACTGACGACGAGGCGGTGGGATTAGTATCTACGTAAACACGCGGCTCGTTTATATTTCGTTGAACATAATAGCATTTTTTGGCCGGCCAAGCAACACATTGGATATCTTGTAGTAGATAAATGACAGACCTAGCCTGAAGAGGAGGGTCTAGTGGGCATTACTTGCCCTCGATTAGCTAGTTGTCGGCAGATATTGTGGAATTGTGCTGTAGGTTATCTCCTTTGTTGAAGGTATGGTCCATGGCCCCAACACTGCCGAGAAGCCTGGTAGCCCACGGAAATAACCTGCCATAGCCCAGCACATTACATCTAGGCTCAACGGCAACCACGCAACGATAGTAACATCACTTTACAGCCAGGAGTCTTATTATTAGTGATTAACACATGAAAAGAATAATCTCCTCGGGACATTTGTTTGCCGTGCGGATTAATTCCGTCGTAATAACGCTGTGGCATGTTTTCTGGCACGGCGTGAATGCGCTTATCAACCAGTGGTAGGTTTCATATGATCCGTGGGCTGCCAGGAAGCTCGGCCGAGAAGCCGGGGGACGGAGGTGCGAGAACGACCCTGCCCTAAGTCATCATTGTACTAGACAAGGGTAGGAAGCTTAGCAATCTATGTTGTCGACAGCGTCGTTATGCGTCCCCTTCCAGAGCCACTAGAAAGGTTGGGCCCCTTATCTCCCAGAGGCTATCTTTGTATCATGGAGTCCGGGGTGTACTGTCGGACGCTTGGCAGCTAATAAGTGGTTATTATGTATGCCGTTCAAGTGCGTTGGTAAGTGGTTGTAAGACATGTGTCCCCGACACTATAGTGGCCGATCCATTATAGCTGCCGGGCTAAAATAAGTAGCGACGCCATGTGGGCTGGCTAACGAACCCATGCAAATGATCCTCACCTGACTCATGATGATGGGGTCTGGAGTAGCAACAACGACACGAATTCTCCCGACAAACAATGTAAACGATACCGGGTTCCCATCTGATGGTGAGATCTGTAGTAGAGAATGCTTGAGAAGGGGTGAATCCTCTAGAACAGTATGCAATTATCAATCGACCTTCTGACCACCAAACATTGGTAGCGACCGCAGCGTTGTCGATGACACAGATTTACAAAGACACGTATGTCTTATGGTAATTCATGTGAGTTGCTATGATACCTATCTAGATAACTGGGGGCATGGGGCGCGCTACCTGGTTACCATCACGGACAACTGCAGGCAAGGTAGTTAACTCCGGACCCATCTCGGATATATGTACATGTAGAGGTCAACCCCTGAAATAAAGTTCCTTGCAGACCATCAAGGTACTGACAAGCACGCTATTAGGAACACACTCCAAAGGTCTAACTGCATTGCATAAGCCACGGCAAATGGGCTCTTGCTTCTTAGGAAGAATAACCATTTTGCACATAGCGATGTTCGAACATATTTATATATAAGAAGGTATAAATACGCAAAGGTTAGTGTACAGTTTCCCCCTTGTTGTTTTGAACAGTAGAACTGGTACTGGACACAGACCTTGGAAGGTATCGATTTCTGAAGGAAATGGCATAAACCGACCCTTGAAGTAGCCTCTGGGGCTTGTTTCGAGGCCTGTCATTGACCAGCTCCACTGTTCAAAGAAACAGGGGGGAAACTGTATATCAGGAAAAACCTCTGCCTGGCTGCGAGGTTTAGACGCCTGTCATGTATTCGCTCGGACGTGGATTTAACATTATTTCAGGGGTCGACCTATAGGTCCTGTGTGACAATAGGACAAGTAAGTTGCGCAGTCGCGATTCCCGCGACGACCTGCGTGCGCCCTTCCGGAGACATGGCGAGATTGTAAGGGTTAAAGCATGGTAATGAGGGAAAAGTTCCGTGCGGGGCAGTGCTGCGGAGCGACAGAAGAGAAGACCGTACGTTTGACGTTGTCGGCGGTCGCGCGACACCTCAACTCGAATCGGAATGGGAATACCGAAGTGCCAGTTACTAGGTACAGTTACTAGCAGGGGGCCCCTGACCCGCCCAAGATAGGGCTGGTAAGGCACTCTGCGTAATTCTCCCAATCAGGATCAAGGGTTTGCGCCTGTTCGGGAACTCTTAAGCGAGCAAGACATGGGGTAGGGCTGGCTATAGTGATTCTGGAACTGACCCTGGGCCGCTGATCAGTATCGTCCTCGGGATAGAAGAACTTCTATATGTCCGTCGCTCGCTTATTATATGTTGTCCGTCGGGCCGCCGGTGTCTGGGTACTGGACGAGTACGGTAGTACTAAAGGAAAGGGGGCGCGGCACTATCGGCCGACCCTCCTCTAACCCTGGAAAGCTTGTATACTAGTCTGGACAGTGGATAGGGCTGGATAGGGCGGCTTCGCAGAACTTCCAAGTCCTGCAAAGTGACCCCTGCAGCCCTCTCTCCATCAATGTTCAGACCCCCCTCAGCCCTGTGTCAGTTAAGCTCATTGGCTACCTCGTACTCTTCATCAGCACTATAGTGCTAGTATGTCCAGAGCGATGTGGAATCACCCCTACCGGCTCCCGGCAAGGCAGATTCCGGCATTTCGGCCGCTCCACTCCTGTTTATCGGTCATGTACCCAGAACATGCCATCAACTCCACGGAGCCAGTGGCTCAGGTCTAACTGGGAGGTACTCAGTACTGTCGTGCAACCTCCCCATCATCATCCACAATAACCCCCACGATCCATCAGGGTCGTCAGCCTCTAGACCGTTATTGATCTGGCGGTCTAGCTGTCGTACCATCCTACTGACTGTCAGCTGACATCACCAGCAATTGGGAGGAGGAATGGCCCGAATGGTTCTCGAACCACAAGTCTGCTCGCACTCGTTCAGTCTATTATTAACTACATTTGGAGCTTAATTTGACAGCGTGGATGATTTGAGTCACTTGTGACTTGGTCCCTTGAGTGGATAATGTTTGGCGCATGGATGGGAGTATTCGTTGGGTTCCGGGCCTTGACCGCTGGCGTGTCCGACCAAACCCTTTTAGTGCCGGCTAGGAAAGTCGAAGGGTGTGCATTGAGGTGGGGATCTGTCTCCGGGGTACTATGGTAGCTCTACGGAAGAGTATATTGCTGGCACGCCTTCGGATCGTTCTCAGAAGACATATCCCCATTCCCGAGTTCCTCGAGCAGAAGGCGGCACATCATTATATGGCCGTCTTCTCTCAGATGAGTAATAACTTAATCGATCGACCAAACGGCGTAGCACGCAGTAGCAATGTCTTGGCCGCTGCAGCACAGGTTGTGCCGCAACAGATCTGAGATAATGTAGGGAACAGGGTGTTGCCGAAGTATTGGGCCCACAGGAGTGCGGATCACCAGGTAAGGCGCACCACTCCCGCAAGGCAGATCCACGAGGAAAATAGACCCATCCATACGTAGCCAACCCATCCCTCACCTTTGACAAGCACTAGGAGTTCGGCATGGACATAGGATGCGGCTTTGGCCATCCTTGTGGGTAAACATACCTAGACGACCCTTGCTCGATGTCGTCGGCGAGGAACTGCCGACTAGTCTGCGTCTTGTGCGGCGGGTGTCATAAGGCATATATCTCCCCATGTTTCGAAATGAGCTTACGTGAGAAGTAATACAAGTAACAAAGCCACCACAAGTCTCGAGGTTTCTATACGTTCTTCAAGGCTGATTCACCGTCTACTATATGTTTTGCGATACACCAATGGAAATCATCACTGCGCATGCGGCTTACGGACTGCCGAGCCCGACTTACCAACACTGCCCCATCATCCCATGGCCCCAGCCCGAAATGTCTGGTGACATTGATGCGCCTAGGTCACCGTATGGCGAGTATGAGGATCTTTATTTGGGCGGACACCAAGGTATGTTATCACTCGATTTGGTGTAAATGCTCGATTCGGTGTAACTACTCGATTGGGTTGTCGTCAACTTTTGAAGAGCAACTTGCTGATGCCAAGCAAAGACTCTATGTACATCGACAATCCATTGGGCGAACCGATACACGCCGCATCCAGTGAAGGGTACCTCTCGAGGCAGCTTTCACCAGCCATATTCTACCATCCGAGTCCGGGTTCGCTGGCCAGAGTATCTTCTTTAGGGACCGACGATGGCATGAGCCAGAGCAGCTACCAAGATTCACAACAACAATCAGAGCCATCCCCTCCACCAGGCCAAAGCCATCCCCATGATCATGTGGCATCTGCGAGCACCACCGCTCGGAGTTCGCCATGCGAGCCTGGCGTCACACATAGCAGCAAGCAGTTGGCAAAGAGCGACTGGGACGCTGCAAAGCCCACGATCTACGCTCTATACGTTACCCAGAGTCTCAAGCTGAACGAAGTGAGGAGGCGAATGGATGCACAAGGATTTTCTGCGAGGTTTGTCGCCAATACTACACTTCCGCTCGGGATACCACGGGCTAACGTATTCCACAGCGAGTCGATGTACAAGAAGCATCTAATAGCATGGGCCAAGGAGGACCCTACGTGGAGGAAACAGAAGTACACAAAGTCAGGAGACAAGAAGCGCGTCAGAAGAGCAAGGCCACAACCGTTACTACCAAATCCCACCTCCGCGGCGACCATTCCCAGTCCCGCCCCTTCGCCATTTGCATCACTGCCCGATCAGCTCCAGCAGGCGCTGCTCCTCAACACCAGTGCGCTATACCGCCGCGGCATGATGATGGGACAGTGGAGAATCCAAGACGCCCTGTTGATACAGGAGGACGAGTACTACGACTTGTTCGTCGCGGCTTTCGACACGCTATACGACATCGACCCCTCAGATGCACCTGGTAGAGAGGCCGGCATAAGCAAGACATTCTCCTACCTGCGACGCTCAATACAAGAGTGCGGGTTCTACACGGTGCCCACGATGTTCTCGACGCTCCTCATGATCTTCCGGAAGGGCGACATGCAATTCGCCTCGGCGTACGCAGCAGAAGCCTTCAGGCTGGCCGAGGCATTGCACCCGAACACGTACCTGCACTACCTGCTCCGTGACCTGTTCAATCTGGTCCGGGCGGACGATTCGCGCGTCGAGAAGGCCCTGTTGTCGGCCTGGAAGCAGTGCATCGACGACGCCACGGCCGGGCTCGCGGGACTTCCTTTCTGCCACCTGAGCGTGCTCATGCTGCGGATCTACTACATAAACCAGACCGCGGGCTCCAAGTACGAAGACGACCTGGCAAACGAGGCGCAACGGATCGTCGCGGCGCTGGAAGATCTGACGGAGCTCGCCGAGCAGATCTACGAGCGTGACGACGAGGTGGTGCTGGAGATCCTGGGGCAGAAAGCGCTCGCGCGGGGACTCGGCTCGCAGCCCACAAACGACCTGGAGGACCTGCAGGAGCGGATCGCGAGTCGGCAGGAGAAGAACGGCGGCCAGCTGCAGGCAGGTCTCGTGCAGAAGTGGCAAAACCACAGGCACGTCCTGAAGCTGTACGCCGTCTCTGAAGACGACGACGAGGTCGCTTGGATTATGAAGGCTGTGTCGTGTCTGGGAGCCGGTAGTTCCCCGGAGGGAAGTGCAGATGGCCCATGTGTTGCATATTCCCGAGAGAATGTACTATACAAAGCGATGTGATCATTAGCAGCGAGATACCAAAGCATCCTCTAGACGAGGGCAATTACTTGACCAAGTTTTGATCAAGATTCCCTTCTCGAAAACAGCTCGCTTCTTGAATGCGCAATCTTGGTACCAATACCACCAATCCACGTAAAGGTAAGCAGGGCTTAACCTACGCGGCGGACGCAGCGTCGCGAGCGCCCTGTCGAGGTTCTCTCCCGAACGAAGACGGGACCTCCCTCTCCTTGCCAAAGCTCGCAGCCTGACGAAGCATAAGCCCCCCCCCCCCTTCCCCTCGGCAAGCCCGGGGTCTGCGCTTCATTGGGGTCCAAGTTCAGTCGGGTTGCCGAAGACGGCACTGTTGGCCGTGATCTTGAACCCGCTGCGGCTGAACAAGCTGAAGAAAGTCCTGAACAAAGGTCGTCTCGAGGTCGCGCGGCCTTTCGCCCATCGTCCGGTAGCGATCCTAGTTCGCTCGGGGCGCGGCAAGCACGTCAGCGAGTCCGCCGATATGGCGGCGTCGCCCCTCGTGCCCTGCTCCCAATTGAACATCGACACGCCGAAGAGCGTGCCGATGTAGTCGCCCAGCAGAAATACGGCCGTGATGACCGCCAAAGCTTTCACCGACAAGCTGTCGCGCGTCGAGGTCCTTGTCCTCCTATGCCACCTTGGAGTAGATGATGTCGATCTGCGCTGGCTGTGAATCGCAGCGCAGCTCCGACATGCGTCGGTCGGTCGTGTGTCGAGCGACGTGCACAGTCAGGTACCACCAGATCTCGGGTGCGAGTGGTACTGTTGTCACGGTTCGACTGCTGGTGACTGCAGAACGACTTATGGTGTTGTATATTCGTGAAGAAGAAAAGATACTATGAGCTAGGTAGAAGACATGGCCCGGTATATATAGGTGTCAGTCCTGGGGGTTACCTGCCTGTGCCGTGATAACTGTTGTGCGATTCTTCGTCTTCTACGCCCCATTCCGCGCCGCATCCCGAAACATCCACAGCCCGTCCGCGCCGCACCCTCGCTCATGAAGGATCGTGGCGTGGGGGGTCTTGGTCTTAGGCCGCCGTGTTCGCCCTGATCCTCCGCGGCGTGTACAAGGCGTACTCGTGGTATGCGGCGCGACTCTCGCGGCACAGTCCGCAGTTGAACAGGCTCAGCTCGTCCAGGCAGCAGCCAAGTGGTACTGCCTGCGCGGGACGATACAAGGGGTCGACCAAGGTCCGACGTGAGCTGTGCCGCTTCACGAAGATCCATGCGTGGTTACTCATGGTCAGCTGAGGGCTTCAGTCACTGATGATCATATTCGTCACAAAGGTAGTTCAGGTATCGTTCGACTCATCCAAGTATATTCGAGGTCTCACAGGCGAATTAGTCTGCCTGGAAAATTGTATGTCCAGCACAACCGCAAGCGGGCCTGATCTTCGGACCTTGGGCATCAAATCAGTTCACAGCCGAGATAGCACCATTAACCCGGTGGCCCTTGAAGTCCCTCGCCGGAACCTGCTTATCGAACAGCAGATCGAGCTCCTCGTAGGTCCTTCCCTTTGTCTCAGGAATCCTGAAGAACGCCCACACAAGGCAGACCAAGCCCAGCCCCCCGAAGAAGTAACCCAGCTTTCCCTGCATGTTGGCTTCGTCCGGGTTGATCATATAGGGGATCGCCACCGTCATGGCGATGCCCACCACCGCCTGTGCCGCCGTCGCCACGGCGATAGTTTTCGAACGCACGCGGGTCGCGGAGCACTCTCCCAGAATGACGAACGTGACAGGCCCCACGGACAGGTCGTAGGCTCCGTTCCAGATCAGCATCAGCGAACACTCGGCCCACGCGACTCCTGACGGTCGACCCGGGATGCTGTCCAGGATGCCGATGATGAACATCAAAACGACCAGGACCGACAGGCCGATGTTGAATATCCGACGTCTACCAAATCGCGAGATGAACCACCACGAGCACACGGTGGAGACCCATCCGACGGCTGGAGTAGTCTCTGTTAGCTCAAGCTGAAGTCGTGTCGTTGGGAAGGGATCTGGATAAATACTCACCAAGGAAGCCGATGCCCATGTAGAAAGCATCCTGGTCAGCCAGTCCAGCCAACTGGAAGAAGTAGGTTCCGTAGTTGATCAGGTAAATACCCGAGAGAACCTGGGTAGTATAAACTCCCGTAGAAATCTCAGTTCGCCTGAGGTTCACGCCTTTTACGGTATCGAAGTAAGTACTACCAGCTTCCATCTCCAACTCAAGCCTGTCCGTTTCCGTGATGACAGCCAGCGTCGCCTCGACATTGACCTTCTTGGACGACAACCGCCGCAGCGCGTCCCTAGCTTCTTCCACCCTGCCCTTGCGCACGAGCCACCAAGGACTCTCGGGAATGAAGAACATGCCGGGCAGGATGACGAGGACCCAGAACCACTGTATGGCGAAGGGGATGCTGTACGCCCAATGGGTATCGAGGGTCTGGGTCCCGGCCGTGACTCCGTTGCCTAGCAGCTGTCCCGTGACGAAGCACAGGTTGGTGTAGCTTGTGAGATAGCCGCGGAGGGCCATGGGACAGACCTCCGAGGCGTAGGTCGGTCCGATGACGACGTAGCAGCCGAGGACCAGGCCGCCGAGCAACTCCCCCACGAGCAAAGCCTCAAGGGACCGCGCGAAGAATTGGATGAAGACAAGACATGCCGTCAGAGCGACGCAGCCGAAGAACGTCCACTTGCGACCGAAGAGCTCCATCGGAAAGGCCGAGAATAGCGCACCGACAACCTGGCCAATGGGGTTACCCAACGAAAGTCCCGACTGCCAGGCGGCCGGGATGACGAACTAGAAACCGGCATTAGTCTCGGGCGCGCATTCGCGGACATACACGCAACAGCGAAAAGAGCCTACCTCTCCATCATCGTGCCCAATCCCAAAGTCCTTCTTGAACTGCGGCATGGCAAACATGTTGCCGATGATCTGGGGGTCGAAGGCGAGCATGATGACGCCGATGGACACGAACGCCGACCAGCCCACGGCCGTCGGGTACAGCTTCAGCGCCTCCCAGAAGGTCAGGGCATGCTCGTGCTGGATGGCTTCGGCGAGCGCCACGTTGCTAGACGCGGCCTTCGCGTCTCGTGAGGCCTCGTGATCAATCGCCATGGTTGTCGTCGATGTGCTGGAGCTGGCGCTACTATGATGGCCCTCGGCATTGGAGACGTGTCCCTGGTCTGGGAAGGTGCCGTAGTGTCGGGATCGCAAGCTCATTTTATCTCCTCACAAGGACCCTTGATCGTTACCTACCCAACGGCCAACCTGCGGCACAATGCGAAAGAGGCAATTGGAGGGTCCTGTTATCTGCACGGACGACATACCGGCATGCAGGTTGGCAGGTTGGCTCATTTCACAGGCCCTGATTCGGGCGGAAAGGAGGGGAAGCCGGGGTTTTGGGGAAGATGGCCGGGCTGGCCCGGCTCCCCAGCGGGGGGCCAAGCACGCGTTTCCCACATGGTGACCCCGTTGCAACCTGGTAAAATCACCCCCTATTGAAGTCTCCGTCCGGCATGTCCCTACCTATCCATTCCTGGATATCAATGCTATATTCATATTAAAAGGTTACCTCTCACTGATTTTTGGAGGGACAGTGTACAGTACCGCAGTCAACCGCCTCACATCCGCCTTGATCTGCAGTGGAATAGTATCATAAGCGAAGTTCCGAGGGCTCAGTCATCAATCACAGCAACAACAAAAAAAACAGACACTCGATTCAGGTGCTTATGCAGATCTTATTTCATCCGCCTGGCCGTCTCGTTATGCTCGCTGGGAACCTATCTGAAGACAACCCAACCCATGGCTCACTAGATAAGCCGACAGACCCTGTCCCCGACCAGAGCAACCATCTCCTCCATGGTGGGAATGGAGCCGTGCAGGAATTCTTCCAGACGCGCGCGGTCCCAGCATATGCCCTGGAGATCGTAAATCCACCATGCACAGTTCTCGCGATCGCCGGGAACTTCGTCTTCTTCGAGGACCGAACCCGCCAGAATGAGGTACCAGCAGTCACGGAGACCAGTATCCTCGGTTTCGGGGTACGCTTCCAAAAGGTGCTGTGCGGACAGGGATCGCTTGTTCCGGTCGCCTAAAACAGGCTTCAACCACTCGTAACACATACCGTCGACAACGTAGTCACTGAGATTATGATGAGCAGTAATACGTCGAAGGTCCGCGAAAAAAGACTCGAGGCCTCCGTCTTCCTTCATGATGATGAGCTGCGTTCGTCGAATCCCGATCTCATAGAACCAACCATCAGAAACATAGTAAACTTCGTCAGGGTGTTCATGGAGTTCCGGATGGCGTCCCCAGACTTGGAGAATTCGTAAGCAACCTAAATGTTTCGTGCGTGGTAAACCGAGCACAACTTACTGCTTTCGATGTGCCCGTCCAGACAAAACTCGATTCGGTAGACCAATGCGCCGTACCAAGGCGGGAATGATAGCCAGAAGGCCCGCTATGCACCCCAATCTCGGGGTCCAGGAGATAGACTGACAACAGAGAAGATGTCTCCCGCCAGTGCCATGATGTAGACGGCTTTATGTAGAGTCGTCATTTCCGACTTGGTGGAAGGTCGGTGCTCCGTATCGGGGAAACAAGACTGTCGGGAAGTGGCGTATACGTTGCACAATGAAAGTGACGCTATTGTGGCAGCTCACCATGTCTTTGGCCATGTCGAAAGTGAATGCGGCGGCGCCGAACGGGATGGACTTGTTACCCCAGCGAAGATAAACACTTGCGAAAGCTTGGATTACCCTCACAGCTTTTTCATCCCCTGATGTGGACAGCAAGGTTCGCCAGTTGGCCTTGCTAGCGACGTATCTTGCCACGGCCAGAGGGAGGAGGGTAGTTCCAACGACCTTAGTAGCGATGCTGTGGTGAATCAAACCCTTGGCGTTGACGTACGCGCGGTAGAAGGCGCGGCAAGTCGTTGCGAGGGCCGGAACGCTGTCGATATCGAGGTGCTGGAAGATCTCCTGCTTCACCTCGGGAGGTAGCGCGACGGCTGAGGAGGACGAGATGTGGTTGTGGTCCTGCATCTTGGGCGAGAATCTGTCTTGCAAGTCAGCTATCTGGTCTCGGGCACCGAAATGAATATCTGCAAGACTTCTTACCCCAGTGGTATTGACGTGCGGGTGTGTTGCAAATGAGGATGCGCAAGAGAGACGCAGGCTGTCGAGTGCAGGCTGCGTGAAAATATCGAAAGGAACTTCTCGAGTGCGTGGAAGTTGAGAGCCGATTGTGGGAGGGTACTCGAAAATGAGGTTGTGGTGGGCAACCGTGAAGCTGAATATGGTACACACCTCCTATACGCATCAAAATTGGAATGGATGTGTGGGGATATATATTGCGTACCTGCCTGACGGATCTCATTCACAGCCCGCGTTCGTGAGGACATACGTCCCAATCAATGAGCACTGTTCGCTTGGTAACGTGGGATCGAGGCCGAAACTGTGCTCGAGGGAAGGAAGGAGCCAGGAAGGATGAGAGGGAAGAGAATGCGAATATTGAAGTGACACGAGCGGATCAAGCACGCGTCACCTGCCACACAGAGACCATCGTGAGGGCTCTCCGCCGCCATGGCCTCAAGAAATGGCGCGCGGTGAAGCGAATCTCTCTCACAGAGGATGACGCCACGAAATGGCTTACTTGGGCGTGAAAATACCGCACGCAGCGCGCTCAAAGGGAGCTAATAATGGCCCTCTTCTCTGATAAATGTACCATCTAAAATGATCCCAATAGACCTGGCGAATAGGTCATCCGCCTCTCCAAAAAACGGTACTGTAAGGATCTTATGAACCCACAGAGCCACAGGAGAGCCCGTATCTCGATAATAGTCTGGGGTTTGATGCGGTTACACAATGACAAAGGTGGCCTAGGCAAATTGGTCTTCTGTGAAGGAGATCCGGATGCACCATGTGGAAGAGTATCTGCCAGGCGCTATTAACAGGTCTTGGAGGAAGGTCTGCTTCCTTTTTATAAGGCAGGGGACCCTTTTTAGCAAGATAATGCTCCTATGCACATCAAAGGAGGCTTGCCGGAGTGGTTAGAGGACCACGGGATCTGGACTATCGACTGGCCTTCTCACAGCCCCGATTTGAACCCTATTAAGCACGTTTGGGCAACTCTAAAGAGAAAGATAAAGGAAATAGAGCCTTGTTTTCAAGACCTAAAGGACAATATCGTTCACCAGGCGTGGGCTAGAGAGATAATCCAAGCTGCATAGTCGGAGTTAGATCCCGACCTCCCAAAGAAGCTCATCAAATCTCTCCCCGATCGGATCACGGCAGTGATTCGGGCGCGCGGCTGGTACAACCACTATTAAACCGCTATCGAATGCATATTTTGTTATAATTTTCGGCCTTATGATGTCTTTGCAGTTGAGCAGTGAATGTGGTGGTAATGGTGTGTAGAGGGCGCCGTACGGAGACTTGTGTGGGGTTAGTGTACCAGATCATGTCTCCTAGCTAGCTTCGTAGTTTCCTTTCCTCTTCACGTACAACAACAACACAGTCATTTCTGGAATTACCAGCAGTCTAACTGTGTGTGACAATCAGGCCTGCAGCTGCGCTGGTCAGGGCTGATGGGATGAAATATCAAGATTCAACGATATCTAAGGAAGAAGAGGCAAAGTCGGAAGAGAACGGGGAAGCTAGGGGTATATATGTACATAATATGTGGAGGTATTATGTAATACCGTAACACTGTGACACGTTCATAGCTTTCTGTATAAAATAGTTCGGCGTGCCGTGCTCGATCTACTCGAGGTAGAGCCAGGCTCTCGGGTTCATGTAAGGCGACGTCACGCCTTCGTACTTCCGAACGAGTGGGTCGTCAGGAGGCCATTCGAGCTTGACGATTTGTTTCGAAGAACAAGACGCTGCACACTCGTTAGCCCACACATGTAACGATGAAAGAGGGGGCTGGGCCGATGACCCCTTTTCATACCTGCCCTAGGTGCCACCATAGCCCAATAAATGTAAATACGTGGCTTAAACAACACACTTTCTATGTAAACCTCCATAATACCAAAGGGTGGTGATCCTCATGCGTGACTCAGCCTATGATCCAACAGCCAGGCCAGTACCGCATGATCGTGTGCCGAATCCAAGACTGAATTGTATTAGAATGCGAATTCGTTCTGGACGCTTTGTGGGTTTGTCATGTTCTAGAATATAATTTCTCTCTATTACTTCCTCGATCTTCTGATCTCATCAGGTAGATGCACCAAAATCGGTTGGAGCGCTGACACTGGTGCTTTTCAGCTGAGAACACCTGCCAGTGGCCGTTTGGACCCGAGCGGCAGGTGCCACCCAGGCCCCCATCCTCACCTGCACCGTCAGACTAAATGGAACCTCCCGCATCCAACAACACCACCATCGAGGAGTCCTCAAACACTCGCATATCATCGACTGACCTCATTCCTTACAATTTATGATAAAGACGTGCGTCATCTTCACCCTCCAGCACACCTACCAAGGGAATGGCTGCCCCAGAGCCTCTGGCCAAAGAGCTACAAGAAGCCACTCGCTTCACGCGTTTCAGCGCGCTGCCGCCCGAGCTACGGCACATGATCTGGGCCTTCGCACTCCCGCCCGACACCCAAGAACTGCACATCCTCCAAACGCCCAACCCCGCCGTCGCGAGCGCCTGGGTGCAATCAGCGACAGCTACAAGTACCCCAGCTTCAATCCCAAGCGCCCTAGGACCAGCGCCGGCCTTCCTGACTGTGCAAACCGGGTATCCGGTCCTAATGCATGCATCCCGCGAAGCGCGGCGCACAGCGCAGTCTCGCACCACTCTCACCTGGTCCGAAGAAGCGCGCTGCGCGATCCCCACGCGTGCCTTCCGCCCCGACATGGACATCCTGTACATGCCCTGGTTCAGCTTCCGAGGGTTCTTCCGCCAAGCCGAGACTTTTCCCTCCTACCGGGCGCTCACGCCGCAGCTGCGCCACGTTGCCATCGACGCCGTGGTGACGGACTTCCCGGACAGGCTGGTCGACTCGTTCCGGTACCTGCGTAGCCTGCGGACGCTGCACGTCCTATTTGGGAGTGCGACGGGGCCGTTCCGGGTGGAGGAGGCGCTGAGATTCAGGAGGAGGGAGGTTTGGGCTCAGGCCGTTTACGCGGACGGAGATGCAGGGGTTGGTAGTGGGGGTGCCGATGACTAGGCCGCGGAGCTTGAAGTGGTGGTTACAGTATGTGTTTGAGGAGGCGAGGCAAGAGACGGAGTCGATGCTTCTGGTGGCGGGTGAGAATGGTGGTAACGGTCCTGGAGATGGCGACGGCGATGATGATGACCATGGACTTCCTGGTGGTATAGGCGTCTGGGATCCTGACAGGCGAACTCTGAAATTGGACATCGTGGCCGATGTTTTCACGGAGTACTGCGCTTCGGCCGAAGGCTCACCCTGGGTCGAGAAGGGTAAAGAAAGCATGACGGATCTTGCGACGAGCATGGAATGGAACACCGGGCGGGGATGAAGTCATGTGTTCAACGAGTCTATTTCTCTACAAGATCATTGTTCATTAAACACTGATTTCGAAAGGGAACCGCCGCTTCACGGAGACGTGCAATCGAAGACTCTGCCTCTGATGACGGGGCCGCTTTGAGTATCTGCAAGCTGACCGGTCTGAATCCATATCTCCTGGATGCTCTGTTTCTAAACACGCACCCGTGGTGATTAGGATGTCTGGTCAGGACACCAGAGCATTCGTCGATGATGACTACCACGACAACCTGACTGCCGGATGACAGCGGGAATGCGTGAAAGTGGAAATGCGGGGAGCATAATAAGGGTCGATGATCTCGTTTGGGGTTCCCCAGGCGTGGTGGGTGTGAGTGGTCGACGACCACTGTATTAACGTCCCCGCTAGCTCTGGAGATTCCTCTCTCCAGCATCCTTACAACCACTAATTGATTCATGACCGGATCCAAATGTGATAACAAACTTTTTCCACCTTTTCGCCGTTCGGGTCATCTTGTCTCCCCTTGAAATTACGTCACGAGGCCGTTGGGCGTTGGCATCCTTGGCTTTTCTCATCATGGCCTCGCCCTTCCAGTGCATTGCTGCGGAAGCAACTGAAACCCCTGCACGAGGCTGCTTCATCACTGGGCTGTTCTCAATCGATACTACATCAGCACCGCCCTGCACCGCCCCGCACCGCCCTCGCTGCGGCAACAGGGCTGCGAGGCATACCGTCGGCTGACTGATAGCGTTAGATATTCTTGATGGAAACATCATGATTGTGAGGCATTCACTGTGCAGAGAACCTGCTCATTCACAGGTAGCTAACGAAACGCCAAAGTTAACAATATGGAGACGACAGCAGTCATAGGACTTATTGCGAACATTGCGCAATTCATACAGATCGGCTACCAACTTGCATTATATGCTCGGGAGGTCCACGACTCCATCTCTGGCTTTAGTCGAGAGACTGCGCAGTTGAAGCTGCTAGTCGCATGTCAAGGAGAACACCGCAAAGGTGGCTAGCGCTGGCTTCTCCAACGAGCAAGCCAACCACGCCAAGTCTCTGCAGCAAATGGCAGACGAATGCAGTCGGATTGCCGGCGAGTTGGTTCTCAAACTGGGACGCCTGCAGACGAAGAAGAAAGGCTGGACACGCAGACTCGAGTCGGTGAAGGTTGCGAGCCAAGCCTGGTGGACCAAGAAGGAGGCTAATGAGCTGCTGACTCGGCTTATGGCGTTGGAAGGAAGGCTGGTGAGATGGTGGGAACAGTCCGAACGTCAGTAAGTAGCACCTCTTTCACCAACTCAGGTTGACAATCCAGCGGCTGCGGCTGACATCAGGTAGGAAGTAGCAAACTTTAATACTGCAAGGTCTCTCTCGACTTGAGGAAGTAGCAAACTTTAATACTGCAAGGTCTCTCTCGACTTGAGGAATCAGCAAAGAGGATGGAAGAGACGGCGACGATGTCCCATCTTCTCAGCATAGAGACCAAGTTGGACAATTGCCTTGCGCGTCTCGGGGCAGAAGCTGCGAAACAGCGGAATGAACTGATGCTCGAAGGCATAGACGCCAAAGCAGGAGTCCGGCGTGCTCAGGGTGCGCGTGAAACGCAAATCCAACGACATGCTGGTATTCTCAGAAAAGCCGTTCGGATGGCGGAAACCTACTCGGAACGAGTAGTCGACGCGAAGAGACGTTACCGTATTCTGGAAAGCCTCGTATTCCAACAAATGAAGACGCGACGTGATAACATTGACGATGCCCATGACGAGACTCTACGCTGGATATATGATGAATCAAGGACGACATTTCTGAAATGGCTGGAGGAAGGTACCGGTATCTACTGGGTCAATGGGCTGGTAAGCAAATGAGACCCTGTGCGCCCCCTTGATGTAGCTCACCAATGACAGCCCGGTAGTGGGAAGTCCACAATGATGAAGTTTGCCTCGAGCCAGCCGCAGACCAGGGCAGCCTTGGGCAAATGGTCCTGTCATCGTCAACTCCTGACAGCAAGCTACTTCTTCTGGACCGCAGGAACAGATATGCAGAAGTCCCAGCTGGGCCTCTTTCAGACACTGCTCTTCAACATTCTACGTTCGGATCCAGCTATTTCAGATGCCCTTTTCCCCCACGAACGGCCCAAGGAGCCGTGGGACGTCCCGGAACTCCTGACCATATTCGCCAGCCTCAAAGAAGTCACCAGCTCGACCACAAAGTTCTGCTTCTTCGTCGACGGTCTTGACGAATACGAAGGAGACGAGGAGGCAATCATCGAAGTCGTTAAAAGCTTGACCGCATCCCCAAATATCAAGATTTGCACGTCAAGTCGGCCATGGCCTGCTTTTTTCGCCGAGTGGAATGCGTCTATTCAGACATTAGCAATGCAGGATTTTACGAGGAACGACATGGCGAAGTTTGTGGCTGAAAAGTTGACATTGGACAACAGGTTCCGAACTCTAGCTGCTCGCGACGCCAGATATCGCAACCTGGTGCCATCCATTGCAGGAAGAGCGCAAGGGGTGTGGCTTTGGGTACGACTCGTTGTTCGTGACCTACTTAGAGATATGAGGGATAACGAGCCTTATGAGCGCTTGAAAGTCCGGCTAGAAGCCTACCCGATCGAGCTGAACAAATTCTTCGAGCGCATGCTGCTCCGCATCGACTCAGCCTTCAGAGTGGAAACGGCCCAAATATTCCTCCTTGCAATCAAGTCGAAAAGACCGATGTCTATCCTGGCGCTACCGCTACTCGAGTGGGAGAATGGATACCAGCCTTCCACGGATATGGACTTGAGTCGTGCTGATGAATCTCGACTAGACGCCATGTATCGGTTTTGGCACCCTCGGCTCCAAAACCGGTGCCGAGACCTCATGAAACTGACGAAGGAAAGCAGCAACCCGGTATGGCTTAGGTACCAGGTTGATTTCCTTCACAGAACGGTTCGAGATTTCTTGCGAGATCACTACGTCTCTTCGCTCCGGGAAAGGGTACCCTCCTCGTTCGACGAGCGAGTCTTCTCATGCAAACTTCTCCTGCTAGGTCACGCGCCTTTGCAACGCTGCAACGGCCAGAGCAACTATACGAGCGAGTATGCAAGTCAGACAAGAGAATGGACCGGCGAGCTTTTCGTATATCTAAAGCAAGTTGATCTGGACGCCTGCTCACGGGATGATGATGTCAAAGTCGCAAATATCTTGGACGAACTAGAGGCGGCCATGGGTCCTTCCAACATAGAACATTGGATCTATAGAACCTATGGCTTCGAAAACTATGGCTTCGACCTTGGCTTCGACCTTGGCGCTGAAATTCCTGCAATCACGACAGCAGCAGGTATATCGCGGTACACTTTGAATATGGCAACAGCAGACGCCCGTCTGCTGCATAGTCCACGATGGCCCCTCCTTCGGACAGCTCTGAACTGGAGTCACGTCGCGCGCGTTGCGTTGCCTTCGCTACTGGATGACGTCGACAACACGAATAACGCGGATGTTGAACGTCTGTACGCCCATCCTAATCTGGTGGTGGGATTTCTATCACTCGGGGCAGACCCAAACCAACCATTGCAGGAGCCGTATAATACGCATTGGGCAGGAGTGTTGACGCCCTGGAGCGAGTTCGTGCTTAGGTGTGCAAAGTTGTTGCCATCCTGGGACCACGAGTCCCGCGGAGTAGCTGTTGAGATCATCGGAGCCATGTTGCGTCATGGCGCGAGGACGACGATAGACTCCGGGCATCGACGTGTTTCGGTCTTCGAGCTGCTAGGCTCTAGTCTTGAACCCGCCGTTATTGAACGTCTCCGGGCCACAGCCCCCCTAGCTACCCCCACGTTAAATACAAAACAAACAAACAAACAGCCCCCCTAGCAGAGAAATCTGGGCTCTTGACATGGCTTTCTCGTTACTTGCTTCCAAAGCCAATGACTCGCTAGATCTCAGCAGGCAAGATGGCCTGTCATGGATTCAGTATGGCTCATCTCGGATATAAACATGGCTTCTCTGTCATCTACTATACGCGACCCACACGTATTCCAGACTGCACGACTTCGAGCCGGTAACATCTCCCACCCCCCTGCGGACCACCCCCCCGCGGACCAGCGCGTTCTGACCCACAAACGCGTAATTCACCAACCACCAGGATTATGGTGATCCACCATCTACACCATCACTTTTGCATCTTTTTTTTCACAAAGCACACTATTTGAATCCTTATCCACTACTGAATCTCATGATGTCATTTTACGACCGTCAAATAAAAGCTGAAGCCGCCATTTTGGCCATCCAACGCGGAGCTCCAGTCCGCTCGTCAGCCCTCGAATGGCAAATCAGTCGCTCGTACGTCAACCGACGAATCTCTGGCACCCCAACGCGGAATGAGACCAGCGCTCTCCAACAGGCTCTCTCACCGTATCTCGAACATAAGCTGGCAAGCTGGGCCCTGGGGCAAGCACGGCTAGGGTATTCTCCGGCGGTCTCTAAGTTCCGTCTCATGGCCCAGCGGATGCTCCATGCCACCAGGGATGCTCGAGAATTAGGGAAAAATTAGGCATCCAAGTTCCTGTCTCGAAGCCCGGAAGTCAAGATAATGAAGTCTCGTGTTATCGACTACAACCGAGTAAATGGTGCTACAGCGGCAAATATCAACATTTTTTTCGATCGGTGTGACGCCCCTGACGTGGTTAACCTCATGCCAGCACGCTGGTACAATGTCGACGAAATGGGAATCGCCCAGGGGTTTGGGGACTCCCATTGGGTGGTCTCCGAGGCCTCCGGCAACGTGGCTATGAAGAAAGGGGTCGAGAAGGGTGAATGGATAACTGCCCTAGAGTCTGTGAGCAGATCTGGTGAGACCTTGCCGCCGCTGGTGATTCTCAAGGGGGTTAACGTACAAGCCCAGTGGTTTAGCAACCAAAACGAGGGCAAATTCACCGATTGGAGGTTTATTACGTCGCCCAATGGATGGACCTCGAATCCCATTGCGTTAGAATGGCTTCAACGTATCTTTATTCCTCACATTCGGGAGGTCCACGGCAACACATGGGTGGTTTTGGTGTGTGATGGCCACGACTCCCACACGAATAACGAGTTCCTAGCCACCTGCTTGAGAAACAAAGTATGGTTGATCTTTTATGAACCTCACTGCTCCCATATAGTCCAGGTGTTAGATGTAGGAGTCTTTAATTTGGTGAAGAAGAGGTTAAAGACCTTACTCCAGGAGACGCCTAGCGGCCGTCTGGGACTCAGGCCATCTAAGGAGGAGGTTTTGGAGTGCTACGAGCAGGCCCGGAAGGACACAATGACGCTCCTCAACATCAGAATTGCCTGGAAAAAGACTGGGATTGTTCCTCGCAACAGAGCAGAGGCGTTGAAGTCGAAATATGTGATTCTGGAGGACAAGGGGGTGGCCAGGGCACGCCAGAGGGACCCTAAGGCTTCCGAGCGAGCCACAACACCAGATTTTCTCGAGATGGTAGCTAAAACTATTGTCACAACACCCTCTGGAAGCCGGGCTTTGCGAGAGAGTGCTCGAAAGCTCGAAAGAAAGGACCCTTCCTTTGGGGGGCCCTCTGAGCGCTTGTTGGTGCGGAAGGCTGGCAAGGCCATGGATGTTCAGGCTGCTACCATTGCAAATCTACGGGCCAAATGTGAGCTGCTTGAGGCTCAAGTGGCTAAAAAGGCTAATACCACTCAAAAAGCAGTCAAACCAACACCAGGGGAACGATTCGTCACAATGGCTAACATAAGGGAGGCCAAAATGGAGCTGAGGAACAGGAGGGTCTATAGGGACTCCGCTGCAGGCGAAGAGGTCCCACAAGAGGTCCCTGGTGAAGATTTAGGGTCGGAATCGGATTCTGGGAGCTGTATTATGGTTAGAACACCACGACCTTAGTGTATTTAGCAACTGTGGTGGTTGTAGATGGCTTCATCTGAATGAGAGTGGTGTGGTGTGGAGTGGTCCGTGGGGGGGTGGTCCGCAGGGGGGGGTGAGATGTTATCTCAAACCCGGCGAGCTGAACGCGACTACTCGAACATATGGTCGAGGAGCGTTCCGCAAAAAAATCCGGATTTCCTGCCCGTCAACGCCAAGCTCGATTGCTCTCATTATGTTGTTGTTTGAGTCGCAGGCGGCTGGCTCGCCTGAAGGGTACAAGTTACCCGACTTTTGTCGCTACTATGTTGCCGAAGTCGGAAGGAGGCCGTTGTGCTGCCTAGCGGAGGATCTGATTAGATCTGATAGACAAGAGTGTTAAGATGAGATGGCATGGCTCCGCGCTGAGCAAGGTATCGATATGTCTCTTTGTCTTGCGGCTCGTGTCCAGGGTAAGGGCGTGGCGGATCGTGCTGGGGGTTCAGAGCATGCTGCTCCTTGTGGTGAGCCTCGCGTACAGCTTCACTGCGCTGCTGCAATGTCGACCGCTGGAGAGGCTGTGGAAGCCTGAGATTTCGGGCGAGTGCTGGAGCCTGGACATCCAGCGGGATATTGGCTACTTTCAAGGAGGTAGGATATGCACTGCACTGCACTCCACTCCAAGGTTCCAGAAGAGTACTAATATTGACTCTACCAGCTGTTGATGTTTTCTCCCAGCTGTCCATCGCGCTGTTCCCAATCATGATGATCCTAGACCTCGGCATTCCGCGCAATATGCGCTGGCCATTCTACACCCATTCCATCACAAGCATCATGTACGTGAAGCCCCCCACAGAGCCAAGAAGCCCACCCGCTGACGACCCCTTAGTATCGCGATACTCGCCGTCCTGAGAACCTACAACATCTCACTCATACGCTCTGGCGACGCGGACACGTCCCAGATCATGCCCACGATCCTGGCCGTCCTGGAGCAGAACCTCGGCATCCTGTCGGCCAACATCCTACCCATCGCCTCGCTGTGCTCCAAGGACATGCGGCCGGTCAGCCGGGCGTTCAGCGAGGCGGTCAGCGTGCGGGACAGCGACGCCGCGTCGATACTCGCCAGGCGGGCTGGGATGGGCAGCAAGGCGTCGCGACGCCAGAGCAACGGGTCGACGTTTCTGATCGAGGGCCCGCAAAGGGCTAGCTTTGATGGAAACTCGCTGCATGAGCCTGAGGGCGCTGAGGCCTGGCCCATGGGCATTATGAAGACTGTTAGCGTGGAGGTGGTCAAGGAGGATGCTGTTCATGTTGAACGTGGTCTTGCGGTTTCGGAGGCGAGGCGGATGAGTGGACGGCAGGACTGGGACAGGTATCTGCGATGAGGCGTTTTTCTATCTTCTTGTTTGCTTCAATTGGGGCCCCTTTATCGTCTAACATTTGGCTGGCTTAGATCAATGTGATAGATGGGTGGGCCGGTGGATAATACCCTATATGACTAGGCGTCTCGGTCTCATCGGACGGACTTGAGATGATACTGTAATTATAGATCGTGATTGTATTGGACTTAAAAAGTGACAAGAGCCATATACCGTGTAGAGCCCGAGATCACGTCCCAGATGCCTGGTTCAACAGGCGGACACGAGAGCGGGATGAACGACAACCACACGCTGAAATTGCAACATGAAGATAAATATTTACACATTTACCCAGTCTGAGCCAACCTTCAAAACTACTTAAAACCTTGCCTCCACCTTCTTCTGCGTATCCTGCATCGCCCAGGCACTGGTCTTGGTCCTGCTGAGGACGGCCTTGCATTGCGCCGCCGTGAAGCCCTTTGCTTCAACGGCCGGGTTATATCCCAGATTGTTCTTCTTTCCAATGGTTGCCGTGTCTACCTTGGGCGCCTCGCTTCTGTCGGGACGGCAGTATACCGTGACAACGGCGGCTCCGCCCAGGCCGAGGTTATGCTGTAGGGCGTACTTGGTGCTCGGTACAGCTCTGTTGTTGGCCCATCCTCGCAGGTGCCAGACCAGCTCGGCACACTGTGCGATGCCGGTGGCACCAAGGGGGTGGCCCTTGGAGATGAGTCCGCCAGACGGGTTGATGACCATCTCTCCACCGTAAGTGATGTCGCCCTTGCGAACCATCTCATGCGCCTTGCCAGGCTCGGATAACCCTAGGGCATCGATGGTGATCATCTCGTTAGCCGAGAAGCAGTCGTGGAGCTCACAGACTTGGACATCCTTAGGTGATACCTTGGCCTCAGCCAGGGCGGTCTGGGCGGCGTACTTGGTCATTTCGAAGCCCATCAGGTCGATCGCACTCTTCGAGAAGAGACTTGGCGCATCCGTGGCGAGGCACTGCCCGGCGATCAGGATGGCCTGGTCTTTGAGGTGTGGCCTGGCGTCGAGGAAGTCTTGTGAGACCAAGACAGCCGCGGCACCTCCATCCGAGGTAGGACAGCATTGAAGCTTGGTGAGCGGCTCGTGAATCATTGGAGCTTTCATGATCTGGTCCAGGGTGTAGACGTCCTGGAACTGCGAGTAGGGGTTGCGAACAGAGTGCTCGTGGTTGACGCGACCGATTTCTGCAAAGTCCTCCAGCTTGGCGCCATACCTTTCATGTTGTCAGTACGAGACGGGAGGCACGGGAGCGGGAGGTGGACTTACTTCTCCATGTATTCCCTTCCGGCGTTTCCGAACATCTGAGCGGCACCGGGGGCGTTGGTGAAGCCTCGGGTCTCAGCCATCATCATGGCGCTGGTGCCAGTCGGGTTCTCCCTGTCGTTGAAGAAGCTCTGGAGACTTCCGCGCATCATCTGCTCGAAGCCGACAACCATGATACAGTCTGCACCACCATAGGCGATGGTAGTCCGCGCCATGTTCAAGCCGGTGGAGCCGGTTGAGCAGTTGTTGTTGACATTGACGATGGGTATTTGGGTCATGCCGAACTGGTAGAAGACTCGCTGCCCACAGGTTGAGTCGCCGTAGCAGTAGCAAGCGATACCTTGTTCAACGTCATCGTAGTTGATCTGGGCGTCGAGCATGGCCTTCACGCCAGCTTCGAAACCAAGTTCCGTGTAGTCGACCTTGCCGCGGGGCTTGACGAACTTGGTCATGCCCACGCCCAGCACGTAGACTGGCTGCTTTTGTTTGGCCGGCATATTGCTTGATTTTCTCGGGCGGACTAGGTGACTGGTCCTTGACTGTGACACCCGAAGTATCGTAGTTTCGATGCAGTGAGGCCTTGACGGATGGAGAAGACTCTGTGCGGCGTTGGTATGTAAAGACCCCCGTTGCTAGATTCCTTTGAAAGGTTAGATCCGGGGAAAAGCCACTATCACGGTCTAAAGGTGCAATCTAGCGGGTGTGGCAACGACGGTTGGGATGATAACCGCGATGTGTGAACCACTTCTGGGGTATGCCTCTCCAGGTTTGCGGGGAAGGCGCCGTTGAACCCGATGTTCCCCAAGGAGCCGAGGGAATACCCGAAATAGTACAGCCCCCTGTCTCTTATCGATAAAAGGGAGAGTGACGCATCCAGCTCGGTACCTAAGAACTTGCCGAGGTTCCATTGCCAGCATTGAAGGTCTCCCATCCTTCTCACATTTTCGTATGTTCCAGCTCTGTCTTATTGTTCCGGGGCCGGGTACCGCGAAGTCACCATCCTTCTGTTCTCTGTAGCCGAGTCAACCAGTGTTGACCATCGCAAGACGCCTGTTGGCCATCATCTTCCCTCGCAAGTACAGTCAATACCGCCATCAGTTATGGAGCACCACGCTGCTCTAAGTCTACGAGCTGTGAAGCCATTGTCCATAGTCAGACATGAATCACTCGACGGTAGGATATTGATATTTCTATCTGATATAGTGGCTTAGGTAAACTTACATGCCCCATTCACCACAAGACCACGTGCATTTTCGTGAGCCAGCACCAGTCTTGTCTTCAGCCCCTCCACCCACGCATCAACCTTGTCCCTCGATCTCTGGATAGAACAGCCACGCCATCTGCGTGGGACTGGTCTCGCTCTCAAACCACTGCTCCTCCGGAGCCAGCAATGCCTGCTCCTTAAGTGACAACCGCTGATTGTTCACTCTCTTCGTCAAGTCCATAAGTCCATCAGCTTATCGATACGATCCTGCCCATCCCTTGTCAGAACGCCAGCGCGTCCTCCCACCGCAGCTTCTCGCCGTGCTCCTGCAACCTCGCCACCAGCAGCGCCAGGGAAAACACGTCCTCGAACGCCTGTGCCGCGCCCTGGCCCGTGGTCGGCGGGATCGCGTGTGCGGCGCCGCCGAGTATGACAACGCGCCGGTGCGCCGCCGACGTCCAGCCCTCGAGCCGCAGCAACGAGCGGAAGGGCCAGATTTTGAGGCTGTCGCCGTCGATGGACGACCGCGCGATGTCGGATCATGCTCGTATGTTCCGCCGCGCTCGCTCCTTAGGTACGCCTTGTCGGCGAGCAGGCCTACAGGGCCACAACGACGTCGAGAGGGAGACACGCCAGGCTGGTGTCCTGTTTGTGCTAGTTCGACCATGTCTCCTGGCCGAGGGAAAGGCGGCCGAAATCAGAACTTCCCCCGATACTGCGGCTGGAATCGGCTTCATGCCCAAGATCACCAGGCCGAGCGTGGCGAAAATTCCTGATAGGTGCATGCGAAGATGATGCATGGATTGGAAAGAGTCAGGTCATCTCGAATTAGGTGCGCTTTGGCGGCGACGTGGATCATCAGCACGGGCTGTTCCGAAGAGGTTGGCATATGATATCCCCGTCCTTTACCAACGACAAAGCAGTTCCCTCGGAGATGATGACCTCGCGCACTGCAGGGACGACTCTTTCCAACAAGGAGAAGAGCCAATGGAGAGCTCTCATGATCATGTCGGGCCTGGTTGGACGGTGAAGGGGTTCCAGAATTCCATGTCCCATATACCAAGATCATCGGGTAACTACGGGCTGAATTAGTTACGGCTCTGAGCTTCTGAGCGAGGAACTTGGGGATTCGCGTACAATATTCGGTACATCTGGGGTCATCATAAATGGCTGCATGTTCATCATGCTTGCGTTCGTTTGGAAGGCGTTCATGGGTAGCGGAACCGGTGTCGGCATTAACTAGTTCGAGTTAGTTAGGCGTTCAACAATTTAGTTCATAGGATCATGCTTACCGGCATCGAGGCAATATTCTCCCTGTTGGTGTGCAGTGCTTGGAAGCCTGCATCCAGGATGCTCTGCATGCCCTGGTTGATGGCTTCTTTCCTCTGCTCAAGGTTGCCACCTTGATAGGTGTGAAACACAACCATCAACGATATGAGGTCCTTCATATCCGTACCAATCTCTTTAATCCGCGTAATCATCGTTTCCAGCACCTTTTCAACAGCTCCCTTGAGCCTTGGTAAAGACAGCAGTATTGAGCTTTCAGATGCGATCGCACAAGCTTCCTCGACCGATACAGACCTGGTATTAGAGCCCCATGTAGAAGAGTGTGACGAAGATCTATTGTTAGCCTGCTTGATGTAGTAACAGATCCCGAAGGTAGCCTATTCGAAGACCACTAGTCAGCTATTGATCCGTTGACAGTTCCCATATGCCAATGGTGAGACCTATGAAGGAGAAAGATGGGTATTTCCCGCGGTATAGTGCACATCTGGGAGTGCTGACCTGGAGAATGTCTTGTTTCAAGACAAGGTGATGCATGTGCCAAAATTGTTCGTAACCAGGAGCACCAGGGTCCAAATCGTCAAGGTACGACAGCAACATGATTGCCGACCTCAGATATCCAGTCATGATTTGCTGAGGCGCATCAGGGCAGCTCAAAGCGAAGGGCCGGTACAATGCGAGAAGTGGACGGCGACAGTTCATGTCCAGTACAACTCGAGTCATCCATTGCCGCCGAATCTCTTTCATGTCATTTGTATGTTCTCTTGGTACGACATATTTGATGTCGTCCAAGACCCGTTCAAGCTCACTACCAAGATCGACCACCTGCTGATAGTCATCAAGGCTGTCGATACGGTTGATCAGGTCGAGGACCTTGAAGCGAGAAGCTAACGTGCTGGCAGCGAATACTTGTATGCGAGAATCGGTATCCTGCTCGATAGGTTTGGGCGGTGGGAGCTCCACGACAGTGGGGTGCAGGTCCTCGTCATTCAGATTTCGTGGTGGTAAACACGTAAAATCCCCCTCACGAATGCAACTAGGCAGGTTGCATTGCATCGACATGTGGACGTCAAACTCCAGGATGGTGTACCACACCTTTCGCCTCTGTTCTGCCCAAAAAGGCAATATCTTGTGGGCGAACTCACCAGGGTCTCGGTGAAGGCCCATCGTCATTGCCATTCGTACTATGAGGCCGAGTTGTGTCCACGAATCCTGATTTTGCGTTCTGATCACTGGAACATTCGTACTTAGCTAGGGACTCTTGCGCAGAGGTCGAGGTAGAAGGGCGTTCCAGTCATTATGGAGGGCCCGCCTCAGCCCGGCTTGGAGTTGAACGCTATTAGGGATAAAACTTACTTCGTTGGGCCATCATCTGCAGGATTTCGGCCTGCAGTGTGCTAAACTCGACCAGCTGCTTGCCGCGGAGGCCGTCGAGCCAAGCTCTCACCAGGGCACAGGCTGTCGGCATATGGATGCCTTCTCGATCATTCTGGTACTGCCCCTTGCCGATCCCAATGAAGCGATATCCGACACATAGGATCGAGAGGAGTTGTGGTAGGAACGCATCGGACTGCGGATTGCCTTGCCAATAAAGGTTGTACTGAGACATGAAAGATGGGATGTGCAATACCCGGTAGAGTGACTCAGATCCGTTCAAGTATATTTGAAGGAGCTGGTCGCAAACCGGCCTGCTGGGTAACACGTCGGCCATGCGTTTCTGGATCGGCGTCATGGAGTCAACATAGACTGTGATGGGGGCGGTGACTTTGCTATGTTCCTCCTGAAGGGCCTTGTGGATCTTCTGAATAGTCATGAACTTCTCTCGGATCTCGCTAGAGTTATCGCTACTGAACATGAACTCTTTCGCTTCATCAAACTGTGTAATTGTGAGCTCAACTTGTCTATCGCAGTAGCAACTGCTGACGACGTGGGGACTTACGAGATTCACCAGAACCCGAGTGCTACTCTGCCCAAAGAATCGCGTCCGAAGACCACCTTTGACAGTCAATCCGCGGATAGTGAGCGCCGACGCGATGGGGCGTGACTGGCGAGTGCTGGTGCTACCGCTGCCTGCAGTGACGGACGGGGTGTTGCCCAGCAGTAGCTTTTCCAGGCGTTCAATCCTGAGACTATGGTCGTCAAGCATGGAAGCACTCGCGTGTGGCGGCACGGGACTGGCTCGATAGCCTGGGCCCTGGCCTGTTGTTAATGTACAGTTCCGCTTTGGCGCCCTCTCAGGCGTTTCCACGTCTGATCCATCAGACGTGCTTGCGACGTCGCCGTCGGCGGCATAGCGACACGTACGCTGAGACTTCTGACATTGCGTGCATGGTAGAAGCCGGTCACACTTGAGCTTCCTACGGCGACATCTACGAAGTTCAAGTCAGCAAGTGCTGTCGATCTAACTCTGGTCCATGCGTCTCCCAAGGGCCGGTGAGGCTGGTGAGCCGAACCGAGTAAGCCTCGTCGGCTCATCAGAGAGTGAACTCAGCAAGCAACAAGGACAGAAGAGGGATGTGCGCTCACTCTAAGCAGCTCTTGACGGGCCGTGGCCGCTTCACGCTCCGGTGTGACGCTCCAGCGGCACCGTTGCTGTAGCCGGTGATGCCGTCGTGGGCCGATATGGACGGCGGTGTGTCGGTGGAGTCGGCCATAACGGACCGCAGCGGGAGTACAGCCAACCGAGATGGAGCGGGTGACAGTCACGCCTCATGCGCACAGCACCACCCGTGGCAAGAGCCTAGACAGATAGAACCCAGTCAAACCAGGGCAGAGCAGAGCAGAGCAGAGCAGAGCAGAGCAGAGCAGAGCAGAGCAGAGCAGGTCAGTAAGGCGGACTCGACCTTAGTTGCCGGTGCAAACCGAGGCTTCAGCTTCAGGCTTCAGGCTTCAGGCTTAGTCCAGCCCTGTCAGATAGAGAGTGATATGCATCGCATAAGAAAATAGATGCTAGAAGACACAATGATCCAAAAGAATTGAGGAGCTCCATACACGAGAAACAGGCGTAACAGGCTAGCTGGTAGCACGACCACCAGCACGCGCGTAGTAATACATGGACGGGACTTGGCCCGTGTTGTCGTGTAATCTCGACTGGTCGATATGAGATATCGCTTTTTTCTGCCTAATTGATAAAAGTGCTGGGGATTTGGGCGACATTTGGCCTGGACTCTGGGGGGCCGGAACCGAGCTGGAGGCTACCCGTGGACCCTTGTACAGTAGTGCACCGGAGCTGCGGAGTGTGGGAGTGACCCGACCTGGGCACGTGATTCCTGTTTATCGCCGAGCCCAACTGTCGGGGGTAAGTCGGAGGGTTCGGGGTACGCAGGAGCAAGGGCATGTGCCATAGTGCAATGCATAAAGGGCAACTACAGTAGGTGAGCCGAGCCATCCTTTGCACAAGTCACTGTCATCCTCCTAAGTCTCCGTCCGCGCACCTCAACCCCCCTGAATCAGCACATGTAATAAGTCGGAACAAGCACACTAGTATAAGCATATGAAATTCGAAAACCCATGCCTCAAGTTTATTCCGGAGTGCTTATGCTGCATTTCAAAACTACCCCTATATAGGAAGTGCCCACGCTACGTTGCCTGGACTCCTGAGGTATGATTTCCTCTCACGCGTCTCGTTTTTAAACTGGTTTTTATATCAGGTAACATAGCGGGATCTGTAAGGAAGCAGCCCCCAGGGCTTCCGCTGCTCTCCTCACATCATGTAGCACTCATGCGCCGTATTCCTAGGCGTTGGGTTTGCACATGCGGACCGGTACAGTCACCCAGGATCGAAAAATCACTCTGGCTGGGAGATTTGTGTGAGATACGACTGTTAAGGAGGCTGCACAGTTCAGACACAGTCAGTCGCCTCAACTTCATGCCGCGAGGCAGAAAGCAGTAATGGTGAGTAATGCATCTATATTAATGCATTAATGATGTTTTTCTAATAATACCAACCACCGATCAAGTCTATACCGTTCTGAAATATGTCACCGCCCCCGGAGTTGTGCTCTTCGAAGGCGTGGATGTAGACGCAGCGCCGCAGGATGGCATCTTGGATGTGCAGCAGCGCAAGGTTGCGCGCATACAGCGGCATGCCCATCGTACATCTGAGGGTTTTCGAAACGGTGCGGCAGATCTGATCCCGTTGGATAGAACAGGTTTGCGCCCATGTCAACGCTAGGGCCGGGACCAAAACCCTGCGGAGGCACAGAAGAGTTTTGCCTGTCATGGCCGGGACCGGAATGGTGCATCGGTAATGAGAAGGACGTTGCTCCCATAGGCGACAGCGAGGGTCCACTCCCTGTCGATCCCGTGTTGATTCCCGACGTCCCCTGGGCTTGTAATGCCGCGCTCTTCCGCAGACCATACCTGCTAAGATACTGGTCAAGTGCGAGGATGTGCCCCGTCTCATGCGGGAGGGTTTCCATTGGACGGTCGCCAACGTCATCCGAGAGGAAGGCTTCGTTGAGGACTCTCCCGCGCTCGAAAGAGGCTGGAATGGTACCAAAGGAGGTGTCCCGTTCCTCCGGTCACGCCATTTCTTCTTGCGTGATCTGCAGCAACCTCCGAGGTGGACTGCACATCTCCACGCTCGAGCACCGAATGATGCCATATTATCCAGCATCCGTCTTGAGAAACTGTCAGTAGACACGATCAACGTGGCAGCTGCGTGGAGTCTTGGCAGCAAGCTCATCTACTTCTACAACATTGCGAACCCTCAGGACGCGTTTAACGCAATATATGACGACATGTCCATGGAGGGATGGTGGCACTGGCCTAGGAAACGGCAGCACCCAAAAGCAGAATGAGTGCGATGAAAGCGTCCCAATGGCCGGCTTGCGGGAAGGTGGGCTTATATGTCCCTGGACGTTACCCGCGACTCCCTGCTGCATGGAATGATGTATGAACCGGGAAGGCAGTGGTCGTCCATAAGGTACGCAAGCTGGAAGTAAAAAACACCATTCTTCCATAACTTACCATTGATATAACTCTAGATACACTGAACCCCCATGAGTCTGCGTACGCCCCTCATCCACTAAGCGAAAGATGCGTTTATTATAAATGGGATAAGCACGCTGGAATAAGGATCAAATGTGACTTGTTAGATCAGAGCTGCTTATTCCTGTATGCTTATTCCAGTTTTTCGAAAATTTCGCGGGTGTTCTGGAGTCTTATCAACATTGTGGAACAGAAAGGGGGCTGCACTGTGCGTATACAGTCCATCGACAGTGCAAATGTACGGTGACTTCGTTGTGTCATTACTTGTGTGCCCCACCACGTTTTTGCTGCCGCGCCGCTCAGAGTCACCCCGCCGATCAGTGCATTCTTTCTAGTATCTACACTGACCCTCCCTTTGTCGATATTCTTTCCGTTGTGTCCGACATCTCAACACGATCTTGGAACACTTTAGGCACTGTCCATAGCTGCCACTGAGACTGAGGCCACGACAGCACTGCGATCGCGACCGGCATCTCTTCTGCACACCATGTCGAGTCGGCAATTGCGAAAGCTTCAGAAGCAGCGCGAGCTGGAAGAACTTCAGGCTCAGAACCCCGTTGATGACTTGGAGGAGAGCGAGGAAGACCTTGCGCCGGCGCCAAAGTCCAAACCAAGTGTCTTCTCTGGGTTCGCTCCCCTCGGAAGTCAAGGCGATCAGGACGAAGATGACGAAGACGACGATGGCGACCCCGCCGAGCCTGTGACCGAACCCGCCGACACCCCGAGTCTGACAGACACTGTGAGGAGCTCCTCCAAGAAGAGCAAGAAGAAGAAGAAGAAGGCCAAGAAAGCTGAGGCGACACCCAAGGCGCAGACTGCCGCCCAAGATGAGCAAGACGAGATCGACCGAGCTCTAAAGGAGCTCAGTTTGTCCAAGAAGATGTCTGGTACAGCAGGCGGGGACATTGCCGATACATCAAGCATCAAGGCGTATGAACGCATTTGTGAGCTTCTCCGCATCAACACGTACCATCTGAAGGTTGTCAATGAAATGCGCAATCTTTTCGGTCGAGAGGCTATCGCTGCCGCCGAGCAGGAGAACGAAGAACGCGCCCGAGCATCGCGTCCGCGACAACCATTGCAACAACAGGTGGACTTGGAAACCTTCCTCAAAGGGCCGCCGGGTAAGACCCTGCCAGAGGTGACGCTTCGGCGGAACCCCTTTTTGCCCGGGAAGGATACCTGGCCTCGTGCTTCAACCGAAGGTCTTACTATGAAGCTGGTGAAGGATAGGCAGGTACCTGGCGTTTCCGAGTTCTCGTTCGCACATGATGACAACTACAATGCTCTGGAAAGGCAATTCTTCACGCTCGTTCAGATGCATGATCCCATGCAGCTGGTGGCTTTCTTACAACGCCATCCATACCACATCTCCAGCCTCATACAGGTCAGCAAAGTGGCCAAACAAGACCAAAATTCGGCGCTTGCGGGCGACCTGTGCGAGCGAGCGCTGTTCACTTTTGGCCGTGTGTCGCTTTCAGCCTTCCGGCAAAAAGTAGATGAGGGCAAGGCCAGGCTCGACTTCAGACGACCAGAGAATCGTCAGTTTTGGCTGGCAGGATATCACTACCTGAAGAGCTTGGTAATGAAGGGCACATACCGAACTGCATTGGAGTGGTCGAAGCTCCTGCTGAGTCTGGATATCGAAGACCCCTATGGAATAATCCACTTCATACACCCGATGGCTATTCGTGCGCACGAGTCCAAGTGGTTCATCGACTTCTGCGACTCGGAAGCGCTAGATAACTGTGACACGGCGGGAGACTACATCAGGCAAACTCTGGTGCTGGCTAGACTTCAGCAGGAAGACACAGCTGGCGCCAAAGCTCTCGTGCTCGAAGGAATGGAGCAATTACCTTGGCTCTACAGTAGCCTCTACAAGGCGCTCAACTTGGATGTTCCTAAGGCTATATGGGGAATACAGCCGCGTGACCAGCATGAGGAGTTCTTCACTGAGCTCTACGTGCACCAGACGAAGAGCCTATGGGACAACGCCCAAGCTCTGGGTTTACTGAAGGGTGTATCCGCCTCGGCCAAGAAACCCGACCTTGGGGCGTTTGCTGTGCCGCCCGTGGTTGGAAGAAACGCTGCGAGGTTCGTCTACCTGGACAACACGCCGTCGTTGATGGGCCTGGTTCCGGACGGTCTACTGAGCACGTCGCCGAACTGGGAATTCGACCCTCTCCCACCCCCAGAGGGCGACAACATCTTCTCACACGAGTCGCAAAGGATACCCTGGCAACCGAGGCAAGCTGGCTTCCAACCTGGCTTACAAGGGATTGATCTTCCCAACGACCCTGAGGGGCTACGTGCTGCTCTAGAACGATTACGGCAATTGGGAGTGCCGCGAGAATTCGAGCAAGCTCTCCAAGAGGTACTCGACGCGACTCAAAACGGTCAGGCTGGAGAAGGACTTGAAGGGGATGAAGATGTTCTCTTTGGTGACGAAGAGGATCGCGATGATTACGACGAGCTTGAGCGCCCTGAAGCCCCTATTCCGCCCGTGGGCATGGGGAACATGTTCCAAACCTTCCTTAACCTCTTTAACCCCGGAACAACTGGCCACGGCGGTGAAGACTACGACGATGACTTGGACTCGGAGGACCTCCCCTGGGGGACCATGCCAGGGGCTTGGGGTGATGATCCAGGCGATGAATCGAGCGATGTCGCGAGCGATGAACTCCTTCCTCTCATACCAGCGGACGGAGATGGCGATGGTAATGCCACGGACGATGATATGCCAGGTCTGGTCTAGAGCGCGCTTGAGAGCCGTGCGTCTCGTCATTTCACGATAGAGGTCAAAGGGCCTACGCTTTGGTAGGAGATATTTAGCTCTGCACCCGTATACTTGATCTGCATATGCACAAGACATGGTGAACGGGAGAGCTAGGTAGTGTGCCAAGGCGGCAACATCTGCGTGGAGGGCAATGTGCGCCCGGGAATAGGTAGATCAAAAACGCTTACCACCCCATGTTCCCTTATGCATACTAGCTCTTGCTTGGTCCATTTTGCAACACCCCGTGCTGTGTGATACTGGTCGCTCAGGTGTCAAACTTGATACTGGCTCCGAGCAAGTTTCTTCCCCATGGCGTGGTGACTGCTTTAAACCAAGGCCAGTTTCAGCTCCAGGCTCTTTGAAGAAAGGGGGCTGCACTTTGACATAAAAAACTTGCTCATGTTTCACTTCCACGTTTCCTTTGTCCCAGGCGTTTTGTCCATTTTGGCACGCGAGAGCTGATGCCGAAGTCGTCCGATGTAGCTGCACGGTGTATATTACCATGTTCAACGTAATATGCACTGTATGTCACTATAGATTGTCGCTCATATGAAGACCTGGCAATGCGCCGCACTGTACGGTACTTGTAGCACCTCCTGAGGGGACCAGGGGGCTTTGCGGGAGCTAGTGTGCCGTCGATGGTGGGGTGAATCAGCTGGAGATTCGCTGACTGACGACTGCCCCTCCTTTTCCTCCTCGGACCTGGGCCAGCCGCCTTCAATAAACCTTCACTTGGGAACTGACAAACCACCGCCCATTATTAATACAACGCGCACGCCGTGCCACCCCATACAAAGACCTTCGTGTCCTTTTTCTCTCTTCGACCCCCTCGCTACATATCGCAACACGAATCTGCTCATTCTGCTGTTATCTTGCGAAACGAAACGAACCCTCTCTCTACTCGACTCTATCCGCCCGAAACACACATCTGTCTCTCCTGTTCAGAAATCTATCGATCGCAATGGCCGACGAACGCACCTACAAGTTCAACATCACCATGAGCTGCGGCGGCTGCTCGGGCGCCGTCAACCGTGTGCTCGGCAAACTTGAGGGTGCGTCTTTTCCACTTCCCCATACCTCCCAGCTGTCTTTCATGTTTCCGAAGTCCCCCGCCTTGTTCAACCCTCGCAGCTAGCTATAAGGAATTGGGTGACTAACCATGTGGTTGCTACACACAGGCGTCAAGAGCTACGACGTCTCCCTCGACAAGCAGGAGGCCCTCGTCGTCACCGAGCCCGGCCTCGACTACGAAACCGTCCTCCAGACCATCGCCAAGACCGGCAAGAAGGTCAACAAGGGCGAGGAGATCACGAGCGGCGGCGCGGCTCCGAGCGCCCCCGCTGAGCTGTAAGAGGTCGTCACCCCAAGACAAGAGAGCGCGAGAAATACTACGCGCGAAAGGCGATTATACACGACGACGAGCGATGCGCTTGGGACTGCTTATTGATAGGTGGATGGCATGGTTGTGGAGTTGGAATGGACACATGGATGCGATTGCGTTTTGCGCCTCGCTGTTATATAGCATGCATATACACCGTCTCTACGGGCTTTCACACAACAACTGTTCCAACTATGCTGCTCGAGTTCGTATGCCAAAGCTGGACTAGGACGTATCAATACTGGGTGTCTTGTCGAGCATGTGTTCCTACCGCACCGGCGGATACGTACAGCTTCCACACAAACGATTGATGTCTATCTATCGTTGGGTGGCGAGTAGTGCTCCAGTCGAGTCGTCAGTTTCGTTCCTACCTACCCTAGGACCGCCTGCTGCATTTGGGATGATCACGCCGATATCATGCACCGAAGGTACGGCATGGACCTACGACCATTGTGATCTAGACTTGGCACGATACATTCTGTAAAAGAACACCTCTGGGCATCATCTCCGGCATACCACGATATCGTCTTCGGCTTTCTTGCGCAGGCCGGCAAAGCCAACGCCTTTCCCAGGCTCTTTTGCCGGTCGAGTGGAACCGAGCTGATACACACTGTCTTGGTATGTATACAGCCATTCTTGTTGTCTGAAGTCAGACCCAACCTCGGATCTTCGCCTACGGCGCGGGCGTTTGGAGTAGGTGACTCTCTGTGACTTGTTCCTGCTTGCCAGAGCTATGGCCTGCCATCTCTGCGGCGAGGGTGCACCAGTATGCTGCTGGTCTGACTCAGCCGTCCGATGGTTAAGCGTTAGGACTAAAAAGGGGCACGGTGTAAGTCTGCTCAGTCAGGCATGTGTATAAATGGTACCTCTCTGGCCTTCTCGCAATGTTAATCGAGATCTCTCCAGTGCGACTCTATGTAGTATGTACGACTCCGTATCACAGGTTTGGCAGGCTTCAAACGGTACCAATCCCCACGTCCAGTCGTCAAGTATTGTCAGGTAAGGAAGGGCCACGAGTCCTAGACGTGCCGCATATCTCGAAGATCTCGGGGGTTCAACACACCAACATACAACCACACCAATCAAACCCCGTCTTCACACACAAACAGCAGCTTCAAACGCCAGCCGCACGGATCCGGGCCCGGCTCCTACGGAAGGGAAAGGCCACGTTGTTTCGTCCGATGTGAGGATGGAGGTATGCGAGATTGCGTGGCATCGGTGGTGGCAGTGGCGCAGGAGTCAGCCCTCTGCTCACTGCCTAGGTACCACGCATTGCCAATTCACCAGGCTATCAGATCAGAGTATGCCTCGTTCTGCACTTTGGTTGTGTCCATTCTCAAATAACATCAGCGTTTCGTGCCTGCTGTAAACCCACCAGGACTGCAGTCCTACGACTACAACTCGCCAGCGTGGAGGCTCACCTAGGCGGCGCCCGAGATCATGAGATACGACCACACTCATGAAGGCCGGGCGTTGTTGAAAATGCCGGTCCGTTGTCCTATACAAACAGTAACGTGCTTGAGGTTTCCTTACCTAATCTTTATTTAGGCTCACGATCGGCATACCCAAATAGGCAATCGAACTCCGGCTCTTTGTTACCGCTACGCCGGCATACCGGCTTAACCGCCACGGGCACCACTTTTATCGCTTTATCTTATTTTATTGTAGCGGCGGCTCGCCCGTCCAAGTCTCATCGACTGAAGCCGCAACTCGGCGTGTCTCTGCAAGTCAACACGCTTGTCATAGTAACAAGTTGCTGTATTCAACCCACGCCGGGCTGGCCGGGCTCCGAGCACCCCGAGCCGAGGTGCGGTCCTGATTACAAACCTCAAGTTCTAACCACGATCCTTTGGGCCCACCACGATGATCCACGTTGGCTCATCAACCACAGCCCGCTATGCTCGTGTCCGCCGCTGTCAAAGTCGCACTCGCATCCGCCTCGCACGCATCCCGCAGACGCTATATCTGGCTACACGTGTGGGTATACCTGGGGTCTGTTGTGCGGGTATCATCTTGCCCCGAGATGCCAACCCCGACAGGCTCCTTCACTTTCGTTTACTAAAGGCTGTGCCCGTGCCGGTGCCGCGAGTCCGCCTAGTCAGCCTGCTTCTGCTCACCTCCAAGGTCTCAGTCCTACGAGTGTAACACATTTGCACTTTTCTCTCCCTCGAAAGTGCTATCAGCTTACCCTGTTCCTCTGACGGTTCCTCTTCTGACTCGCTTATTACTTTACAGAGGATTCTCGAGTGGGCTTCACTGACCCAGTCTCATCTCATCTTATCTACTGCTGCTTCTATCGGTATCTTGGAAGTGTCCCGACGACTCCGTGACTTCACCAACACTTCGGTCAGCCGAACCAAAATTGTGCCGCACTCAGTTACTGCTTTTTCCCACCATGAGTGACCAATCCGGCAATGCCGCCGTCCAGGCATTCATCAACTGTACCCCAGAGATCTGCCCATACGACTCGTCGTTCTACGGCTACCGGATCCAGATCGTGCCCAACGCCGTCTTCTTGGGCCTCTTCTCCCTATCTCTTCTCGGCTTCCTCGCCGTGTTCCTCATCACGCGGCGCGGAGGAGCCTTCACAGTCGCCGTGAGCCTCGGCCTGATCACCGAGATCTTGGGTTATGTCGGGCGCATTTTGAGCTGGCAGAACCAGTGGGCGGAGCTCGGGTTTCTCATGCAGATATGCTGCCTCACTATCGCGCCTGCCTTCCTCGCTGCTGGTATCTATTTTTGCATTCGCAAGATCGTTGCCGCCTTCGGTCCGGAGAACTCGCGTATTCCGCCCCAGTTCTACACCCGAATTGTGAGTCTCGACCAGCCGGCCCCTAGGTAGTCTCAGCATAGAGACGGAAAGGGGAGTTAAAAGGGGGGGTGGCCGGGCTAACAAGTCGCACAGTTCATCCCCTGTGATCTTATCTCCCTCATCCTCCAAGCCGCAGGCGGTGCCCTCGCGTCCATTGCCTCGCACACCCATGGGTCCACCACGCTGGGCGACAACATCATGATAGCCGGTCTCGCCTTCCAAGTCTTCACCCTCCTCGTCTTCATGATCCTCTGCGTCGACTTCGGCATCAACACCCTGCGGCGCACCCGCGCCCTCGGCGCCGCCGCCCTCGACCAGGACGCGGCCATCGTCGCGATTCGCCGCTCGCGGATGTTCAAGGGGTTCCTGGTCGCGCTGGCGCTGTCGACCATCTGCATATTCTGGCGGAGCGTGTACCGCGTCGCCGAGCTGAGCAACGGCTGGACGGGTCCGCTGATGAAGCGCCAGGACCTCTTCATCGGCTTCGAGGGCGTCATGATCACCGTCGCCGTGCTGGTGCTGAACGTCTTCCACCCGAGCCTGTGCTTCCGCGACCTGATGGGCCCGAGGAAGAACTTTAGGTTCTGGGCTGCGAAGCGCGCGGTGGGTGAGCCAAAGGGGGATGTTGAGAAGAGCGAGGTTAGGGGGAAGTCGAGCACGGGCACGAGCGTCACGGGGCCGAGTGGTAAGAGTAGCGCTTATGCTAGTGATGGTGAAGGCGTGGAGAGGACATAATTGGGGAACGAAGCATAGAGGGTCGGGATAGATAGGTGTCTCGATGACCGGGTGGATTGGGGTTATGACAATGATGACTCGGGGCTTGGGCATAGATACGGGCTCGAATTCCGATACCATATTACTTGTTCAGCACATGTAAAGAATGAATACCTCCTCAGCTTTAAACCCTCAAAGTAAGTTTCAACGAAGTTGCCATCCGTGTAGTCAGCACACAGCGTCGTCGTATCGTCAGTTCTATCAGGATCAAAAACATACCGCCTCCAGCAAAAGACACCAACTATCAATGTTCAGTATACACGAAAACAACTCCAGTCCTTGGTAGTAGGGTTGCGTTGCATACCTAGCAGCTACCTATGTCCAGCGCGATTGTCTTCGTCAAGACGCAATCTCTTCGTGGACGTCATTTCCAGTGAAAGACATCCCCATCTTGAAGTCGTTCCACCACGCTCAATGACTAGGTCCAATCACATACATACCCGCCAGTGCTGGTAGACGCAAAGCTAGCGGCCCCGGCGGCGGCGTTGGCGAAGCCCTGTCTTGCTCGGCGACTGATGCAGGTACTGACCTCGTGGCCCTCGGGGGAGGGGCTTCTCTGCCGCTTGCGCGCGTTTTCGTCGGGGTTGTTTCCGCTCGTCTTGGATGAGTCTGTGCGGGTTCTGGGGAGGGGGGGTATTGTGTTGGTGAATGGTGATCGGGAGGTCGATAGGTCGATGGAAATGCGGGTGTGTTGTGAGATTGAGACATGCCATGTGTTCGGGGAGCCCAGACTGGCCATCGATTACCTGTCACTTATTAGTGCCGCTACTGCTATTGCTGCTGCTCCTGCGCTTCGGAGCCTCCTTTTCATATCGCGGATTGCGCTTGGCAAATGCTCAATGTCGTGAATGTGAGCAACGATGTGTATCTCCTGCATATTTGAGTCCAAGGGGCCGTGGAACCATAGGATGGCTGCGGATAATCAACACACTATGGAGGCTCGGGCGAGAGGATGATTCCGTGCCGGTTCGCACGCCTCAACTTCCGTGCCTCGTCCTCTGGGAGAGCGTTGAGCCCGTGGATGAAGGCGTCCATGGTGTCTTGAACTGGAATTGGCAAACCATCCTCGTTCTTCTTGAACTGACCGTTCTCGCCACCCTCGTGGATCCCGATTTCTTCCAAGTGTCGATCATGAGTGACACCTGTGCACTAGTGACGCCACAGCCTGTTCGCACCATATAATTAGTATGGAGCTCACGGGTATCTAGGGAGCCGTCTGCTTGGATTGTGAAATGATCCCCCTCCACGGAATCTAAACCTTCCAACAAGCGTTGAAGCTCCTCCACCATTTCTGCCCGCACGGTGTCGAGATCATGTACAGGGACAAGGCGCGTCGGGACATTCCACTTGGGAATTGCTGGTCGGAATGACGACAGGAAAAATAAAGAACTTACTGCTGACAGACATTGTTGTCTACTATGACGAGGGTTCGGAGAATACCTTACTAACGGGCGAAAATTAACTTCACGGCTGGCATGATTATGAGAGACTTACGACGGTAACAAAGGGTCGATGTCATGGTCGATCATCCAGAGGTATTAAAGGCCGTCAGGGTCACTTTCGACCCTTTCGACCGGTCTCATTGACGCCAAATACGGGTCTGTTGTTCTCTTCAGCCTGCTTCTTGCTGAACGCCTTAAAGCCACAATCCAAGCAGGACATGTCAGAAGGGGAATTGGAAGGAAACAGGCTGGCTGTTGGATTATCTGAACCACGTGATGCAAATTGCGGTAATGTATCTTTATACTGTTTAACAGGCAAGTATGGCTGAAATGACTGCTTATTCCTAATGCTTAGGCAAATTTTCATTTCAACCAGTTGCCCTGGTAAATAAGACTGGGAGCGAAATTGAAGCTTATACATGCAGATAAAACGAAGATTACCTCAAGCTAGGAAGGGTCTGTCGCTGAGCTCAAGACCTGTCATGGTATGGTTTATAGATCGCATTCGCTGTTATAGAGACAAAAAGTCAATATCAAGCTGACCAAGATCTGGAGCTACACTTAAGTCCCGGTCGAAGGGCGTTGCAGGCTATATCCACGCCTACGAAAAAGTTCCGGTAGTCGATGAGTCATTGTGACTCAAACGGAAGCAGGACAGTCCAAACGACCGAACAATCCAAACTAGGCAATCAAGAAAGTGCATCGGCGTCCAGTAATGATGGGAATGACCAGGGTCATGAGTCGCATGATCCTCAGAGAGCGCGTGGGTGACCTTTTCAGCTCTGCGACTATAGAGGTTTGTAACTATAGTGTCATCCACAGTCAGTATGATTCGGGCAGATAATGTGGCAGTGTATTAGATAATAGCTTTTCCGTTTCGACAGAGTGTGGCATATTCGATGACAATGAAAGGGACTTTGAGAAGAAAGATCAAGAGGGTAGAAGGCGGGACCAGGGGCGATGAATACGTAAACTCGAAAGCTACCTCTTACTGCGACTTCCAAGAACTTCACCAAAAGCCAACGCATAGCTGGTCTCACCCGAAGAATGATGGCATCTCGACCAGTGATCAGGTACGTGGGTGCCAATCGGCATGGGCAGACAGGCCAACAACATCATCATCTCGTACGTTGCCCCCCTGTCCAGTTCCGGAAATATCCTGTTGGCTGCAGGAGCGCGAGGATTTGTAGCTTCGACGTCCGGACCGCCAGGAGTTCCTCTGTTGATGCCAGAATCAGGTTGAGAGGGGCGCAGGCCAACCGCGAAAGGACCAACCAAAACAGGGGGCTTTCCCATGGACTGTGTGTCGGCAGGTCTGAAGACGTTCGATCCATCAGGTCCGGCTTTAGTATTGTTGGCCGTAAGAGCACGATTGGCCGCTGTAGTATCAGCATCGTGAGAACGCGATTTGGGAGACTCCAGCGGCCTCCGACATCTGATAGGCCGGCCCTGGGGAGAGGTGTCAAGGCAACCCCTTCCTCCGCGGCCCCTTCCCCCCAACGGCCCCTTTCACCACGGCCCCTTCGAGGGTAGTCGTGGCTGCGTGGGGAGTCGAAGAAATCGGCAGAGCTGCCAGACGAATCCACTCTGGCTGAGTGCCCGTGCGCCTGGGGCCCGTACACCTGGGGTACTACGGTCAGTGCTGATCCCGAGTCGAAATGACGTCTTGCGAGTGCGAGACGCGCGGGGACGCAACGCAGTCAGAGGGAACGTGCGTTTACTGGAATATTCTCCCCGCCTTCCACCTTGCCTTGTCTTGGTGCTTGTTGCCTACAAGATAACGAGGCTGCGAAGATGGAGATGTGCGAAGGGAGAAAGAGAGGTGTGGAGGGAGTCCTTGTCTACAAGATGTCGAGGTTGCAGAAGCGGATATCTGGGAGTGGAGGAGGGAGAGAGTAGATGGCTGTGGGAGCAGAGTCAAAGAATTAGGTGGCAGGGGATGAAGGAGAGAGTAGATTGCTGCGGGAGCAGAGTCAAATAGGTAGAAGGGCAACAGTAAATCACCCAGGCGTGCATTTCTGGGCGAATTTATCACTTCTCTCATTGTTATTTATCGCCATGGTGATTGCTTTCTGAGGACAAAGACGTGCCAGGCGATCACCATCTCCTGGTTAAGGGCGGCACGAACGTCGACGGCCAGGAGACAAAGCAAACCCCGGTGACTCTGGGTACTTTTGCTCGGCTGGTTGGCCATTTCGTGGAAGAAAGCTCAAGTATCACTCTTATTCCTTACTGCTCTGGGGTCATGATGTTCTGTGGTGTTGAGTACATCCGAGGATAGTTCCGAACAAGAGCGCGTGATGACAAGATGGGGGCAAGGAAAAGTGGCTGCGTTTGTGATGATAAAGAAGACGCTGGGCCGCTGATAATGATGGGCGAATAATTGTAGGCGAAAGTACGGCCAATCTAGGCGAACTCGTTCCAAACGATTCCAGGGGCTTCTGAGCCCAGCACACAAAGAGTAGTTGGAAGAGAACCAGGTCTACACCTTCCTCAAGGCCCGAACTCATTTCACTTCCGCCGGCGTTGGCCTCGAAGAGCTCTGACAATGGGATAACGTTGCATCAAACCACGTTCTGCTGGCAACCACTCAGGCAAATCATTGGTTCGTGTCAGCGTTGGATAAGGGTTCATTGATGGATGGGACCTTCATTGTTACGCCACAGTAGATAGTCTGAGAGTTCCGGAAGGGAATACAAGGGGAAACGATAGCCAGGTAGCCGGAGTGCAGCTTATGAAGCCCCTCTCTGATATCCCTCTTCGGTCGGAGATTGTGTGAGAATGGAATGAGTGCCCAGTCGACGAGGGCGGATGAGACACTGAGATGATAACAGGTTGGTATGTGTATGATGACCGTGGGCCATGTTTTTGTGCACACATTCCCACCTTTGAGGGAGCTTATTTCGCGCCGCCTGAATATCAAAAGTCGACCTTGCACCCATGGCATGCTTGGCCTTTGTTCTGGCATGCAGTTTCGAAGCACCATTTGAGATACGCTTTTGCAGGCATACATCCATCGATGCAGGAATGGCAAGCCTCTATGTCGCAATGACCCTCTATCTGGAGATCTTCGTAGATCGATGCCGTGCCGTTGGTAGTGGGGAGTGCTGCTGCCTGCTAGAATCATGTGTCAGCGAGGCGCCATGATGGTTGTATCATGTGTTTTCATTACAAGGTAGAAGACGTACGGTGAGTGGCACGCCACGAACGGCCAGAGTACCGATAACTGCGGCGAGTAAAGCTGCAAGCTTCATTGCGTCTGTATGAACTTGTACGTTGGGTGAAATTGGAGACAGTGCTTGTGGGAAGAAAGAATGGAGGAGAGCAGGAGGTACTGGAGACTTAAGCCGTCTTAAAAATGTACACATAATAGCTTGGAGCCTCTGGGTCTCCCAACAATTGACTCGGGAGTTTGATGAGAAATTTCTCCTCATAAAAGACAGCGGTCCTTGAATGGGGAGGGATACTGTTCGATATCATAGCATGTTGTGATATGGCTCCAATTAGATTTAGTGGGATGCCCGAAAAGTATCGGGTGACGCTCTAGGACTAGAATCCGAGCAAGTTGAAGCGCAACCTTGATTTTAGTCGGCTGGCAAAAGCTTGCTTGCCATCGATTCGGTCGCGTGGCCTTCACCACTAGCCTCGCCCACCTTCGTCTTCTTTCTGTGGGTTATGTTGGTACTCTGGGGGTACACTGAGTCCTTGATTTACAGTTCTTCCTGAGAGACAATGCTCAATGAGTCCGGAGAGTTATAATCAAGTCTGTGTCTATTTTTTTCCCCTTACCAATGTTCTTCTCCCTCGTCCCTTAGTTACATTTACGATTCATTTCTTGCGTGTAACTGTCACTTTCGGAATGAATACCGCCGCGTTCTTCCCATTTGATGCGCGTGACATTCATTACGGGATTTGTGATCCGCAGTACCGGCAAAATATGTTCCCTCCTCCTCCTAATCCCCCTTTCCCCGGGCCCGTTCATAACACACTGTTTTTTCCCGCCCAGGAGGACGAAGCGCCAGGACTCTAAAGCGTTTACGTAAACGCCGTTGCGAATGGATCACGGACTAGATGGTCTCTCACTGAAACCTAATTTTCAACCGCCTGCTAATATTGGTACCACGGCTTCAGCTGTAAAGAATTAGGTCGGACCAGACTCAGAGGCATCCGGAAATTGAACACGGCACTCGTTGGACTAAAGGAGTAGCTGAAAGAGTCCGTTCAAAGGTCAATAAAGCAGTGAATATGTGATCGTGTCGTGGATCCAGGGAATATGTCTGTGGGCGGGGGCTTCGGATGAGAACAATATTGGGTCGCAATACCATGAGGATTTCCAATGCCACCAGCCTGGGTCTGGCTTGACGTCGCAAGCTGAGGGACCTCACCGGATGTTCAAGCAGTCCGATCTGTAAGACAAGATCGGAATGATAGACCACTTCAGCCCGCAAGGGAATCAAGTAGTAGTATAGATCAACAGATAGTGGTTTTATAGCAACAGTCCTTCGCGTATACCACCGTGCAGCCCCCGAACACGATAGAGCCGCTATTTTGAGCAGCTTTCAGCTTGTTGACGTTTCACATAATCAAGCATCTCACGACTTCTTGCCCAGCGATATCAAGACCATCTCCCCACCTGAACGATTTCCATGGCGATTGTCGGTTGGGACTATGTGACTATATCGTAACGAAAAATAATGATAATGTTACCGACGACTCTTTGTGGCCGCAGTCATTATGCCTGGACCCCTTTTCGGCTAGTCGACTGTGCCAATATAAGTTACATTCTTAGTCCTTGATATCTTTACGACAACTATAAGACAAGAAGAACCCCTTAAGAGCCCTTATTGAAGCTAGTCAACTCTCTTAGCCTGCTGGACTACTCTTCGATGGACTCGTACAACATAAGCTCAGCTAGTTTCTTAAAGGTAGACGCAAGTACACCACCCGTATCTCACCGTACCATACATCGCACAACTCCAGATCTACAAGTGCGGCAACACAAACCCACCCCATGAACCCCATGGCACGAGCGTAGGCGTGACAGACATGCCACAGACGGAGATTAAGGCCATTCGAGGGTATTCACCTCCGCAACGAGGTTCGAAAATATTCCCGCCCGCGTAGTACGGCCTGAGACTGAGACCGCCGATCGCCGATGACCACGAGGGCAACCTACCCAGGGCTCCATGCCTCGGCGAAGAATCAGGCCATTCGAGGGTAATTCAACTCCGCAACGAAGTTGGAAAATATTCCCGCCCGCGTAGCACGGCTTGAGACCAAGAGTGCCGATCGCCAATGACCACGAGGGAAACCGTTCCAGTCCTCGTGTGCGAGGTAGCACAGGCGCAACCGCACCACATGGCAACTATTGCCCTCCACCTTCATTCACTATTGACCGAAAAGGTCCAAAGCCCCGGATTAGTGAGGCCCTCGTCCCACCCGCCAGGCCGGCATCAGCTCACCTTGCGGCTCGAAACACCGCGTGTCGGGCGGCCGGCCATGTGGGATCCAGCTCGCATGTGCAAGGCATCCGAGACATGGCAATGAGAGAAGGCTGGCAAATCATGCCCCCAGAATGGCGGGCTGCTCGTCGGGGAAAGTGGCTGGGATAATAGTTCGCTATGCGTTCCACCACTGCCGGGACTGGAAGCAAGCAAAGAAGACTTCCATCCAGCCTGATCCCGGTTGACGAAGTCCAAGTACCGGTACAAAGGGCCTCCCGAAGTCAGAAGTAGACGGTACATGTCCCGCAAGAGAGCACCCTTTGTCGAGGCGACGAGCCGGCCAGCAGCGATGGTCCCGAGACCTGAGATCTGAGACTCGACACTTGATAACTGACAGCTGCCGTCTGGCCTCAGGGGTATGAAGCCCAGTCTAGCCTCGTGCCATAGCCATGGGATCCGCGGGGTGGGCGGGTTTCGAGGCTGAAGAAACGACAATGCGGGAGACGGGGAACAAAGAAGCTCGCGTGGAAGTCTGGGATGGTCCCGGTTTCTGATCCCAGGTGCAGGTCGCAGCCACAGACACGCACACGACCAAACCGAAGATCTGGTCGGCGACTATGCCATGGACGCCAGAGACATGCCCGGAGCTCAGGCCGGCCAACCGCGCATCGTAGGGCCAGAGACATGTCGTGATGTCTTTCAGCCACCGTTGCAGGAGCCATGGGGGCCCAGGCCCCGGAACGGTAGGAGAATTCCCAGTAGCGCGGCTCAGGGGCTGCGGAGTACATCCATCATGCACAGCAGTTACCTCAGGTGCCTTGGGTATATCGCCCGCCTTGACGCAGGCTAAAAGTCCCGATCGAGATCCGGGCTCCTGCGGTGTCACCACCACCGCTGAGCACGACGGCAACGAGGGAGCCAACGCTACAGACAGCTGGACAGGGGCACGAGACGCGGCGCTGACAGAAATATTATCAGGCCATTGTAGGGAGGACAGAGGCAGGTAAACACGTGCAGACCGCAGCACCATATCTACCGCTAACCCCAGCCCTCACGAGTCGTGCCCCCCCGGCCCCAGTCCCGACTGGTTTGCCGGACAGCCCGTATCGCTTCGGTGGCGGAATCGGGCAGGTATCCAGCCAGTGCCCCGGCCAGTAATAGCAACGTGGCAGCCGAGCACAGCCCGTGGCTTTTCTCGTCCTCCCCATCGCAGGCCATCGCAGGCCGTCGTCGTCCCATCTTCGACATTGCACATCCGTTCGTATCATACGTCGCTGGCCCTGTGGAGTAATGGTCCGACTCGCACCGAGCTGGCCGTAATCCCTCAGCCAGGTGAAGAGCCCCTGTCCTTCCGGCGCACGCGGACTATCGGAACGCCCCGTAGCACGACGATGTTCGTTGCCACGCGTGCGCGCGTGATTCAGCTGCCGAAGATGAAAGTGCGGTTCTTTCTAGCATGATGGCATCATGGCTGATACACAGATTCCGTATCTGTCCAGTCGCACGCATGAATGCACGAACGAACGCGAAGTTGATGCTGCGCTCTGCCTCCTTCGGAGAATTTCCCCAATCCCACGTTGCGCTGCGCCTGCAACCATCAGACCGGATCTGACGGTGGATCTGGGGCCGAGGGAGTGACTCGCAAATCGCACCTCGGACCAATCCCACGATAACAGGACCTTTCAACGGACGGATGGAACTATGAGTATCAGCTTTGAAAGATACTCACCTTCTCGATATCGCCTAGCCCCCTTCCCCAGGTCACCGAAATACCTGCTTTTCCCATAACTGCCCTCTCAGCATTGTGCGACGCCCACGTGGCCGAGGCAGCACGGTACCCGCGGCGTTTTTTTGGGGGGCCGACGGGTGAGACGGCGTGGGCATGGTGCTTGTGCTTGCTGTGACACCCACCCACCGGCTGTTCGACGAGATACACACACACAGCCCCCCCTGGGCTGATATGTAATTACCGCAGTTTCGAAGAACGTGGGATGAAGGGGATTGATTGATTCTGTTACTTCCGAGGTCAGTCCTGCGGGAAGAAAAGGAGAGTCGCACTGGGGGCCACGTTCCTGTGCTGCCTGCTTGCCTGGAGGCTTGCTGTGGAAGGGGAGACGAAGCGTGTACTATACGTACGTACATTGTGTGACCCGAGGCGGAGATTATCAGGATGGGCTGATGACACGGAAAATACCCGTTGAGGATGTTTGACACGGTAGGTACGCACGTAAAGATGTAGTGAGTAGTAAGAGTGGGACGTGAGAGAAGTGCTTGCTTGCCTTTGTATTTGTCGGTCGGTTTGGATGGATTGACGAGAGGGATAGTTCTCGCTGCTTCAAACCTTGTCCTCCTCATAGGCCGTGGGGGACTGTTGTCGTCACACTTGGCCTGGATTGAAACGTCGCAACAAATGCCGTTCAGACCCCACGTGCCCATGTTGGGATGACAGACAGAAGGGGGAAGTGGAAGAAAGCCGTTACGGCCCCCAACGGCCCCAATGTCGATTCCCCCCACGCCCATCGCAAGTGTCTCCCCTAATGCGCGGGTGTGAAAGGGGTAAAGTGTGGGTCGTAGTTCAGCTTCAGCATGCTATTTCTGGCCGTGGCCCATCTCAGCTTTGACGGATTCGCGTTACGTCTACGAACATCATCTGATCTAATCGCGTGCACAGCATATATGCCGGTGAGTCGTGATGCGCGTTTGCAAGCAAGGCTCTTTTGTTGCCGTCGCAGTACAGCAGGTGTGGTGGTGACGATGATTCCATGATTTCCAGAGCTGAACGGAACATGTACCTACTACCTGCTGCAGGGGACTCACTGCATGTACGGACGATACGGTACGCCATGTGCGGTGCTTTAAAAACAGATCTTCGTACCTATCCATTGGCGCGTCTGCACGTGTAGAGGGTTGCAGCACCGTATCTGATGTGAGGTACGTACGTACGTACGTACGTGGCGGCCATCGGGACTGTACACGATCGCAGGCGCATGGAGTATCGTATTCACATTCCAGTCCGAAGTCGAATATGACAGAAGCCGCGGGAAAAAGGAGAAATCCCATCCACGAGAACAATAAAAAAAAGCGGGTTCAACGTTACTTTACCATGCGCCGCCCCCATCATCATCATCATCATCACCACCCACCTGCAACCAGACAGTCACCGCCAAAAAGTTAAAACAGCCCACCCGCCTGCATCATCAGCGCCAGCAGCAGCGGCCGCTCCCGGGGAATATAAAGAAAAGAACCGCTTTCCCCCATTCGGCAACATCGACAGAAAATGGGCGAACCCGACAGGTCGGTCGCCGGGAACCCCCAATGCGCAATGCGGAGCTAAAAATGGACAGAAGAAACATCCCTACTTTGCAGCACCCCGTTTGGCCTTGCATTTAGTTCCGTCCTGCAGTAGAGACAGCGATGATGTAGACAGGCCTGCAAGAGAAAAAAAAAAGTTGATGGACCCTTATTAGAGAGACATCTCGAATACCTCATCAGTACGCGACGAAGTGTTGTTGTTGTTGGCCATATTCGTGGTATCTTGGCGAGAGTATCGTTTTCTTCGTTTTCCTCCTTTTCCGTTTCCAAGCGTCGAGAGAGTGGACGAATGGGATTGACCGAGTAAACGCGACGGCGCAGAACGACAGGGGGCTACCTTACTGTAGCAGCGCATCTCCGCCAGCGCAGACGACGACGTATGTGACGAGATTTCGAATCGAAAGTTGAGATGTGACCAAACAACAAAAGACCCGACCAGACCAGCCCAGCATCTGTCACAACCCCTCCTGCCTGCTGTATTTTTCTTCTTCCAAGGCCGATCGACGCTACGAGTCTCATCATCAAAGCTACTGAGATCTATCAGATCTCGCATCTGTGCGGATAGGCGGGCGGACAGGCGGACAGGCGGACAGGCGGGTGGGCGGGCGGGAGCGCGGCGGGACGGGCATCAAGAGAGACATTTTTTAAAAATAACGAGTTTGTTGTTCGTTCGTTCGTTTTGTTCGTTTGTTCGGTTATTCATTCCGCGCGACAACTACCGATTCGCCCCTAGGGAGTAGGGTTTTCCTGATCGGCCTCGAAGCAAAGGGAGCAAGACGGAAGGAATACCGTAGATCATGAACACTTGGCGATGGTGCCCGCATGACTGACTGACTGACTGACTGGTCACATAATGCCAGATCAGATCTGGGCTGCATGCTGCCGGCCATGCGTCCCCGGATTTGGGGAAATTCCGATTCGTTTGCGACAGGCTCAGATCTCCTCCTCCTCCGCCTCCTGACGGACACTATTCGTCATGTTCGGCTATGTCTGGATCAGATGGATGGTGTGTTTTACCCCTCCACCGCCCCTCGGCTCGTCATTCCCATGACCGAATATGAGTGAGAAATGTGACTGTGTGAGTTGTATGCCGAAAAAAGAGGCGTCTCCTCCCTTGTTGAAAATTGTTGGGACCCTAGTCCCTCATATCGTGTCGGAAAAGCAAACAAGAACCAGACTTGTCATATGACATCGCGGGATCGGGAACGTGGCTAGACTGCCAGATCGACCGGCAATCGATGGCAATGGACGCCTCCCGACTTTCGTTTGCTCGCGGCCCGATACTCAAGAGCGGCTGCATCGAGGTGGAGGGGTCGGGTTCGAGGCTTTTTGTAATGTCATATTTTTATGAGCCGAGGCGGGAGGAAAATTGAGCAGTAATAAATCTGATCCATCATGTTAAAAAACTATCGTGCCAGGGCGCGCTGTGTAGCTCTCATGCCTCTCTGTGGTGTAACTGTACAGTCTAAACAGGGGGGTATCTTCTATCAACCTGGTTCCAGCCCAGCGTGCCCAAACCACATGGTTGAACAACCCTCAAACAAAACCCAAGCGTGTAGTACGCGCGCAGACAAGCCATCCGAATGATGACCACCGAAAGCAACGGTACAGTAATCGAACAGACCAGATCCGAACCCCCGTATGAGTACAGCCAGGACACCCTGTCATGAGTGATCCCCGCGAGGGGCTCACCCACTGGGTTCACATAGGAAACAAAGGAAATGTGACGGGAAACCCTCACAAGTCTATATGCAAGCCAAAGAAATGTTTTCCCCTTCCCAAGCCCAATTTTTGTAGTCCGTCCCATGAATCCGCGCAAATAAATTCCAAATATGAATCGTGTGGCTCAGACCGTTTACTCCAAAGCAAGGGTATTAAAACGGTTGTTGCAGCTGTTAACACCATGGCGGCTGGTGCCGACTATGCCCAGTCGGACTCGACGAATGAATCCGGGCCCAGTCGAGGGACAATGCCAGGTCTCGGGTGCTTTGCCCCTCCAGTCTGGCACAACCACCAATTGTCGCGGATCGACGGGTCGCCGTCGTTGGATGTGGTGCAAATGGTTGAAAAGAGCCATGACATGTGACGGAGAAAACCCAAAAGTCGCGCTGTTTCCGGAACCCTGACCCAGTCTAAAGTAACGCCGTGATCGAAGCAATATCCCCGAGGTGTCGCAAATCGAATCCTCCGTAGTGTTGCTTCCCTTGGCGCTGGGAAGCGAGTGGCAGCGAGCCGATTGTGTATGAATGATGTGGTATGTGGGTGTACGGAATGTGATGTATTAAATATGTGTATCGGAATGCATGAGATCGGCCGGCACAGATATCCGGGAGTGCGCCAGGTGGTGTACAAGATCGAAGCGCAAGCAGATATTAGTATGGTCGTAGGTATGCAACAATGGTTCGAATCAGCCGCTCAGATATTGCGCCAGAAATCGCGGACGCTAGAGACACAAACAGCCTTGGTAGACTGGAAAGATGGTATCGGCTCGTCGCATGGGCGTAGTGAGCCACCGACGCAACAATGTGTGTCGGGTTTGGTGAACTCTGTGTCTGTTGCAGGAATAGGCGAGTTTTGACGCTTTATCGTGGCTTGGGCCTCGGGGGAGGCTTTGGCACACCAGTCGTGTCATAGGCACCACGGCCCATGTTGGTCACTTGGATCTCTCTGTCGATCATTTTGTAAGGATTTGGAGAATCGGTACTGCAGGGAAACTATAGGAGGAGTAAAGGTCAGCGCCTTGTCCGAGCAAGCCGGGTGCTCAGTTATATACGAAATGGCGATGGGCGCAGTGAAAATGGTGCGGTGTAAAGTCATCTTCGCCGCCACGGCTCGCGATAGGTCGCAGAACCAAACTTGGGCGGCGGATGGCAAGGCAGCACAGCAAGACACGGCCGAAAGCCAGGGAAGAAAACAAGGGTTGAGAT